AAGCAGACACAACTAAATAGACAATAAAGACGAAAACGAAAAGCGGAAATTGTTTCTGTATCCGTGTCGTCTGAAGTATTAAGCTTAGATTAATTGTCATGTCCACAAATTTGGAAAATAGAGCAAAAGAAAGACAGAGAAAAAGCGAACGTAGGCGGCAGGCCAGTGAAGCTCAACGAGAAAAAGGGCGACAGAGACAGAAATAAACCACAAAGAAGACATTTTTTTGTTCGAAGAACATCATGACAATTTTGTTTCGGCGGTGAGAAAATAAGAAATGCTAGCGGCCACCACGGGAGATCTAAAGAATCAACCATAAGAGGACACAGAAAAAATCTGGGCCCAAGATGGGATTCGAACCCACGACCCTCCGTGTTCTAGATCGGATGCTCTAACCTCTGAGCTAGCATAGGTTCGCTGGTTGGAGGCCCCTTCATGAGTGAGACATTTCTTACTATTAATGTGACTGTGTGATACAGTTAAGCCTTAACGGGTTGCTTGTGATAGACGGTGTGACTGCGAGATGCGGTTCGCAAGTCCAACCCACAAAAATGACCCTTGCTCGCCAACGAGTCCTCAGTAGCTCAGAGGTTAGAGCATCCGATCTAGAACACGGAGGGTCGTGGGTTCGAATCCCATCTGGTGCTCAGATTTTTTCTGTGTCCTCTTATGTAAGCGAAAATGGCCTACCGTCGAGTTAGTGAAAAACAGTGTCAACCCACTCACCGACTAAATGCCGTTATGCTTTAAGTTTTTAGTTTTTAAAGTTATAGCGATAAAATAGAAAATAAATTGGCTATATTTTAGTTTTTAACTATAAATAAAAAAAATGTGAAAGGTCTGGACCACTTAACGGCCATGTTTTAATTTTACTGAATAGTAAAGCTTTTGCAATACTGTAACTACATAATTATAGTCATGCAAATAAAGCTTATGTTGTTGTTGTTGTTGTTGTATAAACAATTCAAGTTGATTGATATAATTGCTAAATAATTAGCTACTTTTTTTTGTGTGCGAGTTGACCTAGACCAAGAGACTATGTTGGGAACCCATTTTATAACTGATCGCGATCGGGAGGAACCTTTGAAATCTTGAGAAATGCTCTTTCATTAGCTAACACTCAATTATTAAGCCTTCTCAAAGATCGATGGAGTCCATAATATACACTCCAAATCTATAAACATTTCTAAAGAGGCACAGCCGGTTTTTTTTCGTTCTTTTCTTAGTGTACTTGGGGTTTTTAAATTGAAGTTTTAGTTTTTTACTCTCGAATTAAAGGAAATAAAAGTAAAAAAAAAACGGAGTATACGAACGAACTTGCCTTATATCCGCTGTAGAATGATCGCAGCCGCGTTCTTGCCAAAGAAAAGAGAAACGTGGAGCTGCCTTAGCTGTGTGGACCGAACAAAACTGGAATAAATCAGAATTGGCATTAGAAACACTGGAGGAGAACTGGCTAATCAATGTTGTTGACTTCGACTAAGAATACCACAGAAACAGCTAAGAAAGAATTTGAATTAAACAAAAAAAACAATTATATACTGCCACAATGGCTCTGAGTCACCCGAAGCAGGTATCAGCAAACATTTGCCGGCCTACTCAAAGAATCAAAGAAATTAAAAATATAACAATAAAATCATAGTAAAAAATAATGATTATGAAGCTGTTGAAATAAATGCTTTACCTTTTACTAATATCGACAAAATCTAAGTTTTTACTAAACCAGTACCGTGTTCTCGCGAGAAAGAACGGCTCTGTGCAAAAATCTTTTATGTCTTTGTATTTGTTGGCGTCGGTTCTGATGCGGATTACAAGTCTCACTGAGTACAATGATGAAGCACTTCCCTTTTAAGATAATTTCCTAGTTAGCGGAATGTTTTTTCCCACAAGGCCAGTTATGGGCTGTTTCGTCGCTTAAGATCCGGAAATTCTTGTTAACCGGAATGGCAATTTTCAGCCTAGGAAATATACTCCACGCTTTTCACCTGAAAATCCGGCTGTTTTAAGTTTTGTCTTCTTGAGATTTTTGTTTTCTCTCTCTAATGCATCAGTCAATTCCACCTGCACCCAGCCCTCCCAGGCTACTGCGGGGCATTTGCCCGCCTTGTCAGTCCCGAGGTGGGGCATTTGCAAATTTTGCACTGCCCGTGGGCCGGGCATTTGCCAACCCCGGGCCACTCCCGAGCTTTTGACACGCACGCGTTTTCCTGTCAGAATATAACTACACAGAAGGTTTTACTGGAAAAAAAGCAGATTGGCTCATCTGTCAAGGACAGGAATAAATTGTAGAGGGTTGTAAAGGCATGTTCTCGATTTTACATGCATGTATGCATTTCTTCATTGCTTATCAAGCCAGAATTACATAGCGAAATTGGAGGTATCGATGTGAATCAACGTTTTCTGGTTATTGAATTAAATTTCTGTTGATATTATTTGAAGAACACCCTTTCATATTTATAAATCTATTCATAACATATAACTTTACAGCGCTCTGTTTATTTTAATGTCAATAATTTTATATCAATGCTAAAACCATATACTGGTGCATGTCGTCGCGGCGTGAAGTCTTAATTGGAATCCTAGCACTATTGCAAAGGAAGACGTTAATTGAAACAAAAAATCGCACTTTAAAATGGCACTATTGGACCAATAAAAAATGTTGCACTGTTGACGGAGGACGGGGCATTTTCCCTCTTTTTTCTTCCCCACCCCGGGGGATTTGCTAGCTCAAAAGTCCCCATCCCCGAGAATTTGCCATCCAAGGCAAAAAAAATGCTACTTTCCGGGGGTCAGCCCGGGGGGGCCTGGGCGCAGGTGGAATTGACTGATGCATAAGCAAGAGAGAATGAGCTTACTCTAAGGTACCGCGAACGACCTAAGACGTCTGAGAATCAGCCTACTTGAGAGTGTGTGCACCAAATTTGAAACATGGTGAAATAAGACATCATCATAGTAGAGCTGGTGTAATTTTAGAGCATTCTAGCTTTTTATTTCTTTAATCGACTTTACCGAGCGAGAAGAGGATTTGATACCCTGCAGGCAGACGCTGCTGGCCCCAAGCGCGGGTACTCCAGATTTCAAGTGACGGGGATGATCAAATGACTTTTTTAGGATTGAAATTTTTCATCCCGGGATTTTTTTGGGTAGGAAAAGTTGTCAACCACCTGAAGATTCGTCGGTAGTGCCCGCGTATCCCAGCCGCGTAATTCTCCAAATAAAGTGCAACCAAACTTGTTTTGTGGTTGCTCAGAAATTCGGCATGGGATTGTTTGGGGGGTTAATTTTGCATTTTTTTGGGTTTTGATTATTGCCCCCATTCGATCATTCCCGTCAATTAAAATCTGGAGTACCCTTCCAACCCCCATTGGGTTACTGCCAATAGGCATTCCATCGTGTGTGCGCGAGTTTCGTCACGTGATTCTCAAGTTTACAATGGAGCGTGCGTTTGTGAGTAGCTTGTGAGTGGGTGCCCGGGGGGTACTCCCTTGATTTTGAAGCTCCTATTTACGGGTATCCATTTCAGCCGCGTTTTCTAACGGGGTCGTGATTTTGAAGGCTCCTGATTTAGAACTGGGTATCCATTTCAAGAGTTTATTTTCTAGAACATGGGTATAAAAATTTGGGATCACGGCTTTATCTTCTCCTTCAAATTTGTTTTCAAAACCCAGATCATGAAGAATACTATTTACTTGATGTATAAGTCGAACAAACAAAAATGAAATATCTTTTTAAAAACAGGGCTAACTTTCAATTTACAAACTTTCTAGAACAGTTTAGTATAAAAAAATTGGCCCAGTTCAATAGAACCGGGTATTAAACATTTTTGAACAAATTGAACATTCATACCATTTCAAAGAAGATATCCGCTGGTATTGCTATCTTAAGCAAATTTTATACCATTTGATTTAAAATATGTACAATGCACTTGTTTTTTAATTACTGTGGTGCCGGGGTAATATCAATAAGAGACTAGCAGACAAACTTCGGCAGAATATGGCCATACCACATCTGTAAACCTGAAGTTCGCTGGTTTTGGCCAGCCTAGAATATGTAAGACTTAAACAGTTGGCTGTGACAATGTAAAAATCCATAATAATCTTTCCCCGTCGTATTTCTTTAAACACCTCAAATTTCACACAATCTTAGAAATTCTGCGTTAAATTATTATGTCCCCAGACCCAGAACTGAGTCTGCAAAAGGGAGCCTACACTACAAAGGATCTGTTCTTGAGATTAGAAAACTTTGTTTAAATCTTTTTTTCAATTCAGAAAGATCCAACGTTTAACAACATAATCAGGATCTTCGTCCACGGTTTTTGCAGTTTTAATTTAATCCATTAAAAATCAGTTTTAAATAAAGGGCCATTTGATGATGATGATAGAACAAATAAAGAAATATCAAAAAAACAGGGCTTTTCAATTTACAAACTTTCTAGAACGGAGTTTTTTTAGAACGGGGTATCAGTTTTAGGGGAATTTTTTTAGAACGGAGTGCCAATTTGGAGTCCCGGGCGGCACATACCCACCCAAAAAATACCCAAGTGCCCCCCCGGGCCGGGGGTGGGTGCTGGTGCGCTTGGTCCGATATGCACCTTTTCGATAGAAAATTGGGCAGTTCAAGGAGAAATTGTCAACAGATGTTACTTTTTGCGCGCCTCAAAGCAGCTACCCTGCGAAAACATCCGTTTCTCCTCGCTGTTCTACAGATGTTTTCGCAGGCTACAAAGCAGCGTTACTTCTGCTCGCTGGGTACACCGATGAAGGGACAGTAGTCCCGAAACGTCTGGATTTTCAAAAATTTTAGCGCTAAGAACACGAAGACAAATTTTAATTGTAATCGACGTAGCCAGAAAGAGGTAAGCTTCCGGTCGTGATTGGTTGCTAGGCAGCGAAGGGAGCGTATCACTTTACGCAAAGGCCAGGTCACTAAGCTTTAGCAATGGCGGCAAAACAAGTAAAAGTTGTCGAACTATAAACCTGAATGATAATCGACTAAAAAAAGCCGATTGATGGGGAAAAACTTCTAAATGGATCCTCGAATCCAAGCTATTCTTGCACAGTACGAAGAGGAAGAGCAGAAGGAAGCACTAAAGTACAAACCTAAAACGCCAGAGCCACCGAAAAGCTTTGAACAATGGTTAGAGAGAAGACCGACAGGGTTTCAGGAATGGCCTGACTCGGTGGAATTTGACAAGGATTTTAGCGTTTCAGTTGCTTCTGTAGGATTAGGAAGTTTAGATGATATCATTGAAGACCTTGGAAGTCATGCACGTATCCTTCTATTAGTTTGTTAACCCGAATCCTGAGCTTAGGTTTATGTTCAGCCCTTCTCTACAACATTAGTTAACTTAATATAGGGTGAATTGCTGGAGACAAGAAATTTACGGCGTGCATAAGGAACATAAGGCGTTGTTGAAGAACCTTTAAATTATGGAATTACTCTTGTATATACTTGGGCTTGTTTGCCAATTGCAAATTTTCTATTATTATGGAAAATACAATACAAAACAACAGAACTAATGGCCGGCCACCTTGTTGTTTGTCCTTGTGGATACATTCACTTGTATTTTAACCTCTATGCAATAGCCACGTCTCTAGAATGGTTATTATCTGAAAGGTGGCCACTGTGGAAGGGTTCAAGTGTATTTAAGGGGGGAAAGGGGAACAGCACAGGTACAATTTTAAATCTTACTTGTTATTGAGTTCTGTGATGTAGTGGCAAGAAAAGGCTCGTACTAATCAGTGTTAAAGTTTGTTGCAGTTAATTTTTTATTTGAGTTAATTTTCATATTTCTTTTGTTTCAAATTCATTAGCATTTATTACCATACCCAAAAACAATGGAAAAATAGAAAGTAAGTGAGATAAAAAAATGAACTACAACAGTTTTGCATGTAGAGGTGGGTACTGTAGCAGTGTCTATGGAAGGGGTACAGGGGGCGTCTGTGGAGAGGGGGGGGGGGCTGGTCCCCACCTTATTCATAGGCCAAGCTAAGGCTTGCGTGGCTGAGAAAAAAACAAATTTTTAGAGTGGGTCCACCCCTTTTAAATCAGGTTCTGTGTAAGTGTACCCTTCCACCTGCTTGAGGGATCTGCTTGGTAGGGAAGGTACACTGTGGCTATGGTGTTAAGTTAAAGGAATTTGTGAGTTGCTGGCAAATTTCTTTGAATATCCATACCATATTTACTCGAATAAGTGCCGCAGTGCTTATGTAATTTTTCGTGTCTCCGGTGCGGCACTTATTCGAGGGCGGGGCTTATTTAAAAGGCTCATACCACAAAGACAAAACATTTTGATTGTACAATTTAGTTTACTTCATGAGTATTTTTTCATGGCTTACCGACTTGAAGTTAACCTAAGTTAACTGCTATAAAAGGTAACTATACTTTTGTGCAGGTCTTCAATAACTCTTTACTTGATGTCAATGTCCTGACTGTTGCTGAAAGTTCACAAGATCTAACAAATGATTAGAGTGTATTTTTATTATCTTATGGAAATACTCAAATAAGCGCTGCACCGGAGCTGCAGCCCTTATTCAAGGGCGGCGCTTATTGACTCTTCCACTCCATGTGCAGCGCTTGATCGAGGGCAGCACTTATTCGGGGGCAGCGCTTATTCGAGTAAATCGGTATATCCCTTTAGTGGGTCAGTGGAATTTCTGAGGGGGTAGGGAATCTCTTTGGCCAACATTTTTGGAAAGGAAAGTCTGAAGCTAAGCTAAAATTTGCAGAGTAAGGGGAAAACTCCAGTAAAATTTATAATAGTAATGTTACAGGCTACCCTGATTTCAGCAGGTAGTTGCTTTCAAAGTTCTAATGTGAATGGTTGAGTAGTTCTTCTGTTTTCCTTGATAACAAGTTATTGCTAGCCTTGGGAATTGGCTTGATTGATGAAGTGAACGATGACATACAGGAACTTGAAAAAAAGCTTCAAGTTTACTCAAGTCAGGTTTTAACTGACAAAGAAAGACCACAAACTACTGTGCAAACTCTTAGTCCAGCAAATATTAAAGGTGAGTTTTTTTATTTATGCTTTTCAGTGACATTCATATAACATAATTATATAATTCACAGACTTGCCAGAGGCTGACCTCATGATTCTCATAGTAAAATATCTGTAAACTAAGTAAAATGGGTGGAGCAAATGTTTTAGGCCACAAAGCGGCTAAGCAAATAATAAGGTTGCAAAGAGTCCATGCAGTATTAAAAAATAGGATGAAGGAATTTTTCACAAGTCTAATTATTGGAGTGCACTTTAGTTTGAAGAAGTAGTGAATGTGCATGAAAGGATGTTGTAAATCCATCTACATGTTCATTATCATACATTCATAAACAATGATTCCTTTTTGTTTTTCGAAGAAGAAAAAACTGGTTTTATTCTATGTTGAAGTGGTTGCCTTGTACATGTAATTTGTTGACTTTGTGACAAAAAAGTATGAAGTCTCCTGTAGTTAATATATATATATATATATATATATATATATATATATATATATAAGTAGATAAAATGAAGACTTCATCTGCTATAAGAGTGCTCAATGGTAACACCAGAGCTGTAAATAGATAAAAGATGAACTTCTGGAGTCGGACTAGTTCAAAAACATTTAATCGCTACTCGGAGTTTCATGCCTCTAGAGAAGCAATCATCAGGCGACTGACAACATTAGCGGTCACATGTAAAGATATACAAATTTGAAAAGACGTAAGAATTCTGATTGGACGGCTAAAATGCTTAACGAACAGGTAAATCTATATTAGGTTATCGCGGTATTTAAAAGAAATTTCTTAGAATGTCTACAGATCGATGACAGTTCGTTTCTACGATTGAGTGTCGACATTTCCGGTTTGCAAATAATAAAGTATTTCTCCCACAGGCAGAGATTACATTTCTTGTTGACATTAGAGTAAGACCTAGCTTGCTTTACTTTTCTCCACTTAATTTGGTAATCAATTTTGCGTTGTTTTAGGTTCCATACGTATTTGCTAAGCTCTGTGCTATTCTTGTATCTTTCGTTCCTGAAAGAGCATTTATGGTTATTGAATCGTTCCTTAAACATCGTGTCACATAGGCCGACGTACGTTTCTTTTGACTGTGGAGTCGTGACCTCTGCTTGGTATACAATGTTCTGGATTTTGCAATTTCCCTCAAGCGGGCAAGAATCTTTTTTGCGGCAATTGCAGCCAGCGACTTCTTCCGATTGGGCTACTGGTTTGCTGATCTGGGCTTTGTTGTGGCTGGAGATGATAGTTTTCACGTTGCTCATGCAGCTGTAGCTCAACTTAAGGCTGTTCCGGTTAAATATCTTATGCAGTGGGTTTGATTTGGGGAAATGCAGATCAACTAATTTGAGGAAGCATTTTCCGATTTTCGTTTCAACATTTTGGCTGTAAGGTGGGTTGAACCAAGTAATGTTTCTATGCCGTTGGTTTTGTCGTGATGTTTTAGGGATTGGCACTTTGTATGAAAGATTATAATTGTGGCCACATTTATTAAGAGCATCTTGGTACGCATCTTTGGCTTTGTCAAAGCATTCTTTGTCCGATGAAATTTCACTTAGGCACTTATTGATGGATTCGGGAATGTTCTTTATGATGGAAGGTGGGTGATTCGATTGCTTGTGTACGTAGATGGGTGTATTTCCTTCTTTCATGTATGGGGAGTGCTTTTCGCTTTTTAGGTCGAGTGTGACATCTAAAAAATTTACTTTGGTGAGGTTGGCTCCCACCATGATTTTAAGATCATTGTCGCGGAAGATCTGGCAGATATCTTTCTTAACTCTTTCGATCTCACGTGGTGTTTTGTTGAATGCCGACAGCCCGTCGTCACGATAGAGACTGATGTTCCTTCCGAACTTTTCTGTAAGGCGTGACAGGATGTAGCAACCAACTAGTTCGCATGTTTCGGCCCCATCGAACGACCCCATGGTGACATCAAATCTGTCGTTGGAGTTTTTCTTCTCCCAGGGGACATGTTTGCTGAACACCAGTGATCTTTTAGCGTGTATGATAATGTCACGCTCATGTTGGCTGATGGGGCGGTAGCTGTTAGCGAAATCCAGCGCTTTGCAGAGCAGCTTCTCTGTTATCGACGGGTAAAAATTGACGTGTAAAAATCACACACGTCGATTTTTACCCGTCGATAACAGAGAAGCTGCTCTGCAAAGCGCTGGATTTCGCTAACAGCTACCGCCCCATCAGCCAACATGAGCGTGACATTATCATACATATATATATATATATATATATATGTTATATCCATTTTAATTATTGAAACAGCAAGCTGAATTAAGTTTATCATGAATGCAAATTTGTGTTGATGTATCTTAAACAGCCATAAGCACAGAGATCCCAGCAGAAATTATCAACAAGAAAGAGAAATCTGTTCAGAAGGTAAGATGAATAAGGTTGTCATTCATGTGCATGCATAATCATCATTATAGCTTATCATATTCAGGGATTCTGATTTTATGTGACAGTGTAGTGTTGCACTATTTATCTCAAATTGTATCCAGGTATATAGTCCACAGGAAATTTATCATTTATTTAAAATATTTGTAAAATAATATGCTAATTTCATGTTATTTGGAAATGTTATGTAGAGACAGACCTCCTGAAATTTTTTGCAATTGCTGTGAAACTACAGCAAGGATTAGCTGTTAATTCTGAACAAAATAATACTTTGTAGAAATTGCATAATTTGCTACATGTGCATCCTTGGCATGCATCCAACAGGGTGGGAGATGGAGAGGAAGAGAAAAAGAGAGGGGGATTGGGGAGAGCTGGTAAGGGACTCCTGCCATAAGAACCCCTTTTGCCGGTCACTTTTTGTGGCTGCTTCTATCCACAAATTTGCTTTGAGTTGTAACGAGTATTGACGTTTATATAAGTAAGAAACAACCAAGGTAGTTAACAGGCATCGAAGGAAACTTGTCTTACTGGCATAAGCTTTGGAGGGTCAAGACGTTTCACCCATGCTGGGAAATGCTCCCTGTCTGTGAATGGTCATGTATTGACAGTTCACGTTTATCAGATAAGTTGGGAAATTGGTGGGCGGAATGCAAAAACACCAGCTCTCGTAGCAAGTGCAGTCCCCCTCCCGCTTCCCCTTCATGCTTTTCTTCCCCTTGCCCAGCCAGCCTTTCATTTCGCATTTCCAACTCAGATGATTCCAATGTGAACATGTTAAATAATTTATCATTAATGTTAAGCAAAATTAATGTGACTGCTCTGTTAGCTCAATTTTTCTTTATTTAGTATGGTCTTGGAGATGAACAAGCCAGCAGAATGAAGAGTGTTCTGGTAAATGTTCTTTAAATTTCCATGGCCGATGTCCTTAACCCATTCGCCCCTGAACCGCCCGTAACCGCCCGTGCGGATCCAGGTCCTTTCTACCCTTTGTGACGTCATCAGTTTTAACGATCAAGGACAACACTTTCTTCGCTAACTTGTGCAGAGTGAAGAGATCTTTCAAACCATACCAGAATGAGCACAATTCAGTCAAGGACACCGGAGAAAGAAGCAAAAAACCACGTGACAAGGACCTGAAAATCTCCATGAAAATCTTGTTCCATTACCCACCTACCTTTCCTTTCACCTAATCCTAAGATCCTAAAAGCTTTCCTAAAAACTCTTCCCACCAAAATGAAGCCTACTAAATGCCCAGCAAGAGAAAAAAAAATGAGGCAAGAAAAGCAAAAAAAGAAGGGAGGAGAGAAAGCGAAAAGTAAACGTCAAGACTGCTGTCTCACTTTTAAACCGGACAGCAGCTAAATTCAAGGCAAAAATAAATTATAAATGTTTGACTGAAATATAGTTGAGCCTCTCCTTAACGGTCACCTTTGGGGCAGAAGAAAATGACTGTTGTAGAGAGGTGGCCGTTGTAAGAGTCAATAGGGCCATTTATACGGGGAAAAATAAGACGCGTCTTACATAGGACGCGTCTTAAATAAGACACGAACTTTCCGTATAAACGGCACATTTCATCTAAAATAAGACGCGTCTTAGCTAAGACGCGTCTTATTTTAGAACAGCCCTTAACACCTGTTCTCAGATAAGACGTGTCTTAGCTAAGACGAGAAAAACTTCGTATAAATGACCTTCGTGTCTTAAATAAGACGCGAACGCATAGTACTCATGCATTAATTTTTGGCGCGCTACGTTGGATTGGAGTTGCTACGGGCAACATTCACATGAAAACGAGTCAAGAACAGAAATAAGACGCGAACCATTTATACTAGCTGTTCTCATCTTAGATAAGACATGCTCGTATAAATGGTACAGTTCGTGTCTTATTTAAGACGCGTCTTATGTAAGACGCATCTTATTTTTCCTCGTATAAATGGCCCTAATGTATGGACTGTCCGCCAAAAATAGTGGCTGTTGTAGAGTGGTGGCTGCTGGTGGAGGTTTGACTGTACATTGTAAACTCCCACTATTACAGGCTCTTGCTAATGAGGACACTGACTCAAGAACCCTACAGTGTCTGCTATACAGGGAGTTGACCGCATGGAAGTACCCCCCCCCCTCTCTGGGCTGTACATGTACCTAAAGGCAAGGTTAATGATAACAAATGTTATTTATCTTCTTTACAGTATACTTCCTATCCTGGATTCTTTCCAAATGAAGTTACTCCATTACCAGGACAGCTTGAAGCTCCTCAGTTGCTAAACAGAGTAACCAAGGCTCAGTGTTTTCCTGTGAGTGGATGTGTGGCATAGTCGATCTGTTTTACATTTAGTGGATAGGGTTGACCAGGGGTTATCAGCAAAGTTTTGTATGTTGTGTATTGTATAGGGTGAAGGACGATTCACATCAAAGTCTAATTCTGAATGTCCTGTAGCAGTACATGTACATGCCAATGATGATCTGTAAAAATATCAGATATTTTTTTCTACATGTCCCCATCAATTGAAACAGCCTGTGCACATGTAGCTGTTGTTTTTGTCTGGTGAGCATGAAAATGCACAGCCATGAAGCATGCACCTAGGAGTGTAGCATCCATATATATACACATATGCCCATGCATACACGTACAGACTACAGCTGAAAAATGGGAAAAAAATGTATTTTTTATTTTCTGACTGATACATTTTTCGCACTATATTGGTGTCTTCATGTTAGTATTATTAATTATTATAATCTTTTATTATTCCATAATACAAGTGACATCACCAGCCTCTCTTGTAAACACTGTACCTTACCTAGACTTAGAGATGAGTAAAATAAACTAACTACTGCATTTTCATGCGCATTATTTTGCTGAAATGTCCTGCAGAAAATGCCGGAAATGGAATTTCTGAGATCCTAAATTCAAGAATTTTCTGGGGAGAATTCCCCCACCCAGACCCCCCTAGGTTGAGCCGCCTTCGGCGCTACAACTTTTCTTCCCCGTGTGTGTACACCTTCCAAATCTCATATCAATGCCTCTGGCACCACCCATTGCCTTGCAGCATTGCCTGCCACTCGCCCTGCTCCTCTTTGCCTACATGCATTATGTAATTTTTTTTTGGTTTCAAAATGTAGTCCATCGTGCTCATGCCGACCTCATTACTCAACTGTTTCTATGTTGTGTTTTTAACTGCTACTTAACATGTGTTTCAAGTTAATACTTTTTGACAAAATAAATTAAGGTTGTTTATATTTTTTCCTGGTGTCTAGTCAACTTTCCGTAAACGATGGAAGAAACTATTCTTATCAGAAGGATCTGTGATTTTGCTGCAGGTAAATGTTTTAATGAAATATGAGCACCTACTTATTTTGAACTAGCTTATTGACCACTATGCAATACGTGGGTAAATAAATGATTGTATTGTATTGTATGGGCTGACCACCATGCCAAGAAATGCTCATATAGGGGCTACAAATTGTGAGTCTACCAGCGGGTGAAGCTCGCAGGCATTGTTGGTTTTCAGTCACTGGTAAAGTGTAGATTGCACGTACGCTTAAGTCAACCTTCTCACATTACATGTAGATTGAATATGCCAATCCGTTAAATAGTGGCTGTTCAAGCCAGAAGCTCTTTTATTTTATTAAAACAGGTTAGCAGATTTTGACTGTTTGTCCACCGATAAACTTTCAGGGGCACCCAACGAGGATATAGTTCAAAACCACTTAACATAGCATTGTTGAACGTATTTTAGTATTCAAACGGTACATATAGGCATATTTTTATCCCCTAAAAACTTTCTATCTGTTCGGATTTCCTAGCTGAAAGTCTAATGATCCGAAAATTATAGGGATAAAAACTTACCTTCTCGAAAATTTCAGCCAGGAAAAGGCTCACGAAAATTCTAGGTGGCCTTTTTTAAGGTCAAAATCCGTCAAAAATGGGTAATTATACCATTTTGTAGATGTTCGAAAATCCTAGGAGAGGCAGGCAAGCAAGAAATTTTACAACAAATGCTCCGACATGACATTTTTACGTTGCCTTCAGCCTACATTAATTTCATGAACGTTTAATGATCATTTGTAGGATACTTTCTGGTGGTTCTTTCTGGAAAGATTTCAGGTCAGTTGACTGAAAGTTACAGCTTTACTTAACATAATGTCTTTAACGCAACAACAAGAAAACAGTACCTAAAAGAGAAAGTAAAATTTGCCATCGTTTTAATTCACGTCCTCCATAAAACGAGGCTTCACGAGCTTAAAACTGCGATGCATGTGTAGAATTGTTGTTGTTAAAGCTCTCGTTGCGTTGTGTTAGCTTAGAAGGTTGTTACTGGTTATAGCCCGGCCCCCTCAGTCTGACCAGTCCGTGTTGTTTCTTCATCTGTTAATTGTAGAGATGGGAAAGTGGAGCCTCCAAGCAATGTTTTGAATACAACTCATTGCGATGTACCAGCTCCTGGTTAGACTGCGAGTAATCTCTGTTTTTCTTTCCTTACACCTTCAGTCATGCGCATGGTCATTTGCGTTTCTTGCGTGTTTCGCTCAACGGAATAAGAAAAAAGAGAGACTGCTTGTAAAATAGCTCCTGGTACAGGGGGTATTTACCGTTTACACAGGAAAACCGAAAATTCTGATTGGAAAATCAAATGAATGGCACCTTTCTGACACATTCAAACAAACATGCGAGCGTATGAAACCCTCTTACATGGCATATTTGACATTTGACATTTTGACTCGAAAAAAGATTTCTCTGGAAAGTCCGTTGTGGCATTTTTATTATTTTAACATGCAACCTGTAAACTCCTTTCGCATCGCGCTTCTCCAAGTTACTTCTGTCCTTGGTTGTAATTTTTCTATTCTGTTTCAGCCTGATTGTAAGAAGGCCCAAAACGGATTGTTTAGCAGAATAGCGGACAGTTTCGTCTCCTTATTTTTCAGCGTTAGTGCAGATTTCAAAGACAGGTTTTTTCAGGTATGATTTTAACTTTTACAAACTTTTGTATACTGCAAGTATATGTAAAATGCTTTCTGACCTAAGGTCAAAATTTTAAAAGTTCTGACAAATTGGCTGTAGACTGTTCACAGTCCCCTATTTTTCCGTGAGATCATGGTTGTGATATAGCGCGTCTTACCGTTAATGGCGGCCATCTTGATTTTCAAATGACCAAGGGGGTGGACGTCAGATATTATACATGTAGCTCTACCGTCCTCCACCCCCTAAGTAGTTTTGACACTCATCCAAGATGGCAACCCGTAATGCATAGCGATCGATCTTGAGGATCTTATGGGAAAATAGGGGACTGTGAACAGTCTAAATTGGCTGTAGTGAACCCCCTTTTAACCGATTAGTCTCTTAGATAAAGTTTCTAATTATTGTTTGCCTTATATTGTAGCCTGGGAAAACAACCGACATTTCACGACCCCACCACTAGTTTCCCCGTAAAGATGGGCTAACTGAGGAACCAGCGCAAACATTTCATACTAATGATGTGACGCTACCCAGATCTGGGTGTTGCTTCTGATTGGTGGTGCTGTGAGTGACATTTGCCTCAACCAATCAGGAGCTCTACCCACAACCCGTTCCTCAGACGTCATTTTTCGGGATAACCACGAGTGGCTTCGTGAAATGTTGGCTGTTAACTGTTAGTTGTTTACCATTTAAATGGGCAACCTAGTCGGTTCACGGCTTGGGCAAATGGTCAGAAAAAATTTCGTTGTGGAGTCGCATTTACCATTAATTGCACAGATCAGTTACATTCACCAAAAACCGACCGCGAAGGCCTGAAACTGGTATCAAAGATGGCTTTGAAGAAATGGAACACGAATTTCTGTTTGGAATAATCCTTCTGGAAACACAGGACTACCTTTTCAGATGTTCTGTTGCTTCTGGAAATTGTCCACTGGAATGACTCAAAAAGTCGTGCTCCATTTACTTTCCAACTGGATTTTTCAGAAACATTTGTAAATGGTCAACAACCGTTTTCTCAGGCTACAAATATTGTTGTTTTTGGTGTTTATTTAGTTCTTCGCTGATTGTCTTGCACAAGCCGTTTATGCTGCATACTGTGAAGTGTTTCCACGTTCTTATCAACTGTTTGATGATGACTTCAAGAATTTCCTTCTTAACACCATCTCTGAATGGGTAACAGGTAAACACAACTACAGAAAGCAAGTATTTAACCCCTGCATGTACCTAGAGTTAAGAAAGGGAGGGAAAAAACAGAAGGGAAAGAAACAGTAGGAAGTTGAAGCAACCGCGTCGACGAAGTTGTTCCATGTAGAAAATCAGAATTTGGGAATTTTTACTTGTCGAATCAATATTATTGGGTCTTGGAATGGCTTTATGGTCGTTTTGATCCAAAGTCGTTTCGATCCAAGGTATTTCCATCAAAACTAAAGTCATTTCGATCCATCATCAAAGTCGATTCAGTCGTCGTAGAAAGTCGGTTAGATTCAACCAACTAATAATTACCGTACTAAACAAGTCCCAATTTCATCTTTTCCAACATCAACGATCCAACAAGTGTGTTTCTATACTTCTATACAATGTGACTGCCATTTTGAACATATTTGCAATATTAGTACCCAGGCCTTAAGATTGTTGGTGTTTTCACTGTCATCGCTGTTGTCGCTGTTATCACTTTGTCACTGACTGTTGTCGCTGTTGTCACTGTTGTCCCTGTTGTCACTGTTGTCATTGTTCTCACTGTTGTCATTGTTCTCACTGTTGTCACTGTTGACCCTGTTGTCGCCAATGTTGCTGTTGTCACTGTTGTCGCTGTTGTCACTGTTGTCATTGTTGTCGCTGTTGTCACTGTTGTCAATGTTGTCGCTATTGTCACTGTCTTCACTGTCATCGCTGTTGTCGCTATTGTCGCTGTTGTCGTTGTCACTAACGTCGCCGTTGTCACTGTTGTCGCTGTTGTCACTAGTTTCGTTGTCACTGTTGTCAGTGTTGTCGCTGTTGTCACTGTTACAGCTGTTGTTGCTGTTATCACTGTTGTCACTGATGGTTGTCACTGTTGCCGCTCTTGTCACTGTTGGCTCTGTTGTCGCTGTTGTCGCTATTGTCGCTGTTTTGACGGTCATCATTGTTGTCGCTGTTATCGCCGTTGTCACTGTTGTCACTGTTTGCGCTAGTGTCACCGTTGTCGCTGTTGCCACTGTTGTCGCTGTTCTTGCGGTTGTCACTGTTGTCACAGTAGATGCTGTTATCACTGTTGTCGCTGGTCGGTGTTATCACTGTTCTCGCTGCTGTCACTGTTGTCATTGACACTGTTGTCACCATTGTCACTGTTGTCGCTGTTGTCACTGATGTCGCTGTTGTCACTGTTGTCACTGTTGTCACTATTGTCACTGTTGTCGTTTTCACTGTTGTCACAGTTGTCGCTGTTGTCACTGTTGTTGTGGTTGTCGTTGTCACTGTTGTCGTTGTCGCTGTTGTCACTGTTGTCGTTGTCACCGTTGTCGCTGTTGTCACTGTTAATGCTGTTGTCACTGTTCTTACTGTTGTCGCTTTTGTCGTTTTCACAGTTGTCGCTGTTGTTACCGTTGTCGCTGTTGTCACTGTTGTTGTTGTCACTGTTGCCGCTGTTGTGGTTATCATTGTTGTCAGTGTTGTCGTTGTCACTATTGTTGCTGTTGTCATTGTCACTGTTGTCACTGTTGTTGCTGTTTTCACTGTTCTCACTGTTGTCCCTGTTGTCGCTGTTGTCATTGTCGCTGTTTTCGCTGTTGTCATTGTCACCGTTGTCGCTGTTGTGGTTATCACTGTTGCCAGTGTTATCGTAGTCACCATTGTCACTGTTGCCGTTGTCACCGTTGTCGCTGTTGTCGCTGTTGTCGCTGTTTTCACTGTTGTCACTGTTGTCGCTGTTGTCACTGTTTTCACTGTTGTCGTTGTCACCGTTGTCGCTGTTGTAACCGTTGTCACCATTGTCGCTGTTCTTGCGGTTGTCACTGTTGTCATGGTAGATGCTGTTATCCCTGTTTTTGCTGGTCGCTGTTATCACTGTTTTTGCTGCTGTCACTGTTGTCATTGACACTGTTGTCGCCATTGTCACTGTTGTCGCTTTTGTCACTAATGTCGCTGTTGTCACTTTTGTCGCTATTGTCACTGTTGTTGTGGTTGTCGTTGTCACTGTTGTCGCTGTTGTTACTGTTAACACTATTGTCACTGTTATCCCGGTTCTTGTTGTTGTCACTGTTTTGATGTCACTGTTGTCACTGTTGTCGCTGTTGTCACTGTCGTTGTTGTTGTCACTGTTAACACCGTGGTCGTTGTCACTCTTCTCGCTGTTGTCGTTGTCACCATTGTCGCTGTTGTCACTGTTAACGCCGTTGTTACTGCTGTCACTGTTGTCGCTGTTGTCACTGTTGTCGCTGTTGTCACTGTTGTCGCTGTTATCACTGTTGTCATTGTTGTCACGGTTATCGTTGTCACCGTTGTCGCTGTTGTCACCGTGGTCACTGTTGTCGCTGTTGTCACCGTTGTCGTTGTCACTGTCGTCGTTGTCACTGTTGCTGTTGTCACCGTTGTCACTGTTAACGCTGTTGTCACCGTTGTCACTGTTGTCGCTGTTGTCGTTGTCACTGTTGTCGCTGTTGTCACTGTTGTCGCTGTTGTCGCTGTTGTCATTGTCACCGTTGTCGCTGTTGTCACCGTTGTCGATGTTGTTGTTGTCACTGTAGTCGTTGTCACTGTTGTCAGTGTTGTCGTTGTCAATGTTATCGCTGTTGTCGTTGTCACCATTGTCGCTGTTGTCACCGTTGACGCTGTTGTCGTTGTCATTCTTGTCGCTGTTGTCAACGTTGTCGTTGTTGTCACTGTTGTCATTGTCCAGGTTGTTGCTGTTTTCGCTGCTCTCATTGACACTGTTGTCGCGGTTGTCACTGTTGTCACCGTTGTCGTTGTCACTGTTGTCGCTGTCGTCACCATTGTCACTGTTGTTATTGTTACCGTTGTCGCTGTTGTCACCGTTTTCACTGTTTTCACTGTTGTCACTGCTGTCGCTGTTGTCGTTGTAAGCGTTGTCGATGTTGTCACTGTTGTCACTGTTGTCACTGTTGACGCTGTTGTCACCGTTGTCACTGTTGTCTCTGTTGTCACTGTTGTCTCTGTTGTCACTGTTGTCTCTATTGTCACTGTTGTCGTTGTCACTGTTGTCGCTGTTGTCACCGTTGTCACTGTTGTCTCTGTTGTCACTGTTGTCTCTAATGTTACTGTTGTCGTTGTCACTGTTGTCGCTGTTGTCACCGTTGTTACTGTTGTCGCTGTTGTCACCGTTGTCACTGTTGTCTCTGTTGTCACTGTTGTCTCTAATGTCACTGTTGTCGTTGTCACTGTTGTCGCTCTTGTCACTGTCGTTGCCGTTGTCGTTGTCAACGTTGTCGCTGTTGTCACTGTTGTCACGGTTGTCGCTGTTGTCACCGTTGTCGTTGTTACTGTTGTCGCTGTTGTCGTTGTCACCGTTGTCGCTGTTGTCACCGTTGTCACTGTTGTTGCTGTTGTCACCGTTGTCGCTGTTGTCGCTGTTGTCACCGTTCTCACTGTCCTCGCTGTTGTCACCGTTGTCGTTGTCACTATTGTTGATGTTGTCACTGTCACTGTTGTCACCGTTGTTGTTGTCACTGTTGTCGCTGTTGTCACTGTTGTCATTGTCAACGTTGTTTCTGTTGTCACTGTTGTCGCTGTTGTCGTTTACACTGTTGTCGCTGTTTTCACCGTTGTCACTGTTGTCGCTGTTGTCACCGTTGTCACTGTTGTCGCTGTTGTCGTTGTCACTGTTGTCGCTTTTGTCGTTTTAACCCCTGTCGCTGTTTTCACTGTTGTCACTGTTGTCGCTGTTGGCACTGTTGTTGTTGTCACCGTTGTCACTGTTGTCAGTGTTGTCGCTGTTGTTACCGTTGTCACCATTGTCACGGTTGTCACTGTTGTCACGGTTGTCACCGTTGTCACCGTTGTCACCGTTGTAACCGTTGTCACTGTTGTGACCGTTGTGACCGTTGTCACCGTTGTCACTGTTGTCACCGTTGTCACCATTGTCACCGTTCTCACCGTTGTCACTCTTGTCACTGTTGCCACCATTGTCACTGTTGTCACGGTTGTCACCCTTGTCAACATTGTCACTGTTCTCACTGTTGCCCCTGTTGTCACCGTTGTCACTTTTGTCACTGTTGTAACTGTTGTCACTGTTGTAGCTGTTGTCACCGTTGTCACCATTGTCACGGTTGTCACGGTTGTCACTGTTGTCACCGTTGTCACTGTTGTCACCGTTGTCACTGTTGTCACCGTTGTCACCGTTGTCACCATTGTCACGGTTGTCACGGTTGTCACTGTTGTCACCATTGTCACTGTTGTCACTGTTGTCACCGTTGTCACTGTTGTCATCGTTGTGACCGTTGTCACCGTTGTCATCGTTGTCACTGTTGTCACCCTTGTCACCATTGTCACCATTGTCACCGTTGCCACCATTGTCACTCTTGTCACGGTTGTCACCGTTGTCACCATTGTCACTGTTCTCACTGTTGCCGCTGTTGTCACCGTTGTCACCGTTGTGACTCTTGTCACTGTTGTCACCGTTGTCACTGTTGTCATCGTTGTCACCGTTGTCACTGTTGTCACCCTGTCACTGTTGTCACCGTTGTCACCGTTGTCACTGTTGCCACTGTTGTCACCGTTGTCACCGTTGTCACTGTTGTCGCTCTTGTCGATGTTGCCATAATTGTCACTGTTGTCACGGTTGTCACCGTTGTCACCATTGTCACTGTTCTTACTGTTGCCTCTGTTGTCACCGTTCTCACGATTGTCACCGTTGTCACTCTTGTCACTGTTGTCACCGTTGTCACTGTTGTCACTATTGTCACCATTGTCACTGTTGTCACTGTTGTCACCGTTCTCACTGTTGTCACCGTTGTCACCGTTGTCACTGTTGTCACGGTTGTCACCGTTGTCACCGTTGTCACTGTTGCCTCTGTTGTCACCGTTGTCACTCTTGTCACTCATGTCACCGTTATCACTGTTGTCACTGTTGTCACTGTTGTCACCGTTATCACCTTTTTCATCATTGTCACTGTTGTCACTGTTGTCACCGTTGTCACTGTTGTCACGGTTGTCACTGTTGTCACCGTTGTCACCGTTGTCACCGTTGTCACCGTTGTCACGGTTGTCACAGTTGTCACTTTTGTCACCGTTGTCACCGTTGTCACTGTTGTCACCGTTGTGACTGTTGTCACCGTTGTCATCGTTGTCACTGTTTTCACCATTGTCACCATTGTCGCCGTTGTCACCGTTGTCACTGTTGTCACTGTTGCCACCATTGTCACTGTTGTCACGGTTGTCACCGTTGTCACCATTGTCACTGTTCTCACTGTTGTCACCATTGTCACGGTTGTCACAGTTGTCACTGTTGTCACCGTTGTCACCGTTGTCACCGTTGTCACTGTTGTCACCGTTGTCACCGTTGTCACCGTTGTCATCGTTGTCACTGTTGTCACCATTTTCACCGTTGTCACCGTTGTCACTGTTTTCACTGTTGCCACCATTGTCACTGTTGTCACGGTTGTCACCGTTGTCACCATTGTCACTGTTCTCACTGTTGCCCCTGTTGTCACCGTTGTCACCGTTGTCACCGTTGTGACTCTTGTCACTGTTGTCACTGTTGTCATCGTTGTCACCGTGGTCACTGTTGTCACCCTGTCACTGATGTCACCGTTGTCACCGTTGTCAGTGTTGCCACTGTTGTCACCGTTGTCACCGGTGTCACTGTTGTCACCGTTGTCACTGTTGTCACAGTTGTCGCTCTTGTCACTGTTGCCACCATTGTCACTGTTGTCACGTTTGTCACCCTTGTCACCATTGTCACTGTTCTCACTGTTGCCTCTGTTGTCACCGTTCTCACGATTATCACTGTTGTCACTCTTGTCACTGTTGTCACCGTTGTCACTGTTATCACTGTTGTCACTATTGTCACCATTGTCACTGTTGTCACCGTTGTCACCGTTGTCACGGTCCTCACTGTTGTCACCGTTGTCACCGTTGTCACTGTTGTCACTGTTGCCTCTGTTGTCACCGTTGTCACTCTTGTCACTCATGTCACCGTTATCACTGTTGTCACTGTTGTCACTGTTGTCACCGTTATCACCTTTTTCATCATTGTCACTGTTGTCACTGTTGTCACCGTTGTGTCTGTTGTCATTGTTTTGACTGTTGTCACCGTTGTGACTGTTGTCACCGTTGTCATCGTTGTCACTGTTTTCACCATTGTCACCATTGTCGTCGTTGTCACCGTTGTCTCTGTTGTCACTGTTGTCATTGTTGTCACCGTTGTCACCATTGTCACTGTTCTCACTGTTACCTCTGTTGTCACCGTTGTCACCGTTGTCACCGTTGTCACTCTTGTCACTATGGTCACCGTTGTCACTGTGGTCATCGTTGTCACCGTTGTCACTGTTGTCACCCTGTCACTGTTGTCACCATCGTCACCGTTGTCACCTTTGCCACTGTTGCCACTGTTGTCACCGTTATTAAGGGTCTCACCGTTGTCACTGTTGTCACTGTTGTCACGGTTGTGACCGTTGTCACTGTTCTCACTGTTGCCTCTGTTGTCACCGTTGTCACCATTGTCACTGTTCTCACTGTTGCCTCTGTTGTCACCGTTCTCACGATTGTCACCGTTGTCACTCTTGTCACTGTTGTCACCGTTGTCACTGTTGTCACTGTTCTCACCATTGTCACCGTTGTCACTGTTGTCACTTGTTGTCACTTGTTGTCAACGTTGTCGTTGTGACTGCTGTCGCTGTTGTCGCTGTTGTCGCTGTTGTCGTTGTCACCGTTTTCGCTGTTGTCGCCGTTGTCACCTTTGTCAGTGTTGTCGCTTTTGTCGCTGTTGTCGTTGTCACCATTGTTGCTATTGTCACCGTTGTCACTGTTGTCACCGTTGTCAATGTTGTTGTTGTCACTGTAGTCGTTGTCACTGTTGTCGGTGTTGTCGTTGTCACTGTTGTAGCTGTTGTCACTGTTAACGCCGTTGTCACTGTTGTCACTGTTGTCGCGGTTGTCACCGTTGTCGTTGTCACTATTGCTGATGTTGTCGTTGTTACTGTTTTCACTGTTGTTGTTGTCAGTGTTGTCGCTGTTGTCGCCGTTGTCACTGTTGTCACTGTTGTCACTGTTTTCGCTTTTGTCGTTGTCGCTGTTGTGGCTGTCGTCACCGTTGTCACTATTGTCGCTGTTGTCACTGTTGTGACCGTTTTCATTTGTACTGTTGTCGATGTTGTCGTTGTCACTGTTGTCATTTTCACTGTTGTCGCTGTTGTCACCGTTGTCACCGTTGTCATTGTCATTGTTGTCGCTGTTGTCGTTGTCACCGTTGTCACCGATGTTGTTGTTGTCACTGTTGTCACGGTTGTCGCTGTTTTCGTTGTCACCGTTGTCACTGTTGTCACCGTTTGTTGATATTGTTGTTGTCATTGTTGTCGGTGTTGTCGTTGTTGTCATTGTCACCATTGTCGCTGTTGTCATTGGTAACGCCGTTGTCACTGTTGTCACTGTTGTTGCTGTTGTCGCTGTTGTGTTTTCACTGTTGTCGTTGTTGTCACCGTTGTCGTTGTCACTGTTCTCGCTGTTGTCGTTGTCACTGTTGTCTCCGTTATTACTGTTTTTACCGTTGTCGATATTGTTGTTGTCACTGTAATCGTTTTCACTGTTGTCGATGTTGTCGTTGTTACTGTTGTAGCTGTTGTCGTTGTCACTGTTGTCGCTGTTGTCACTGTTGTCACGGTTGTCATTGTCACCGTTATCGCTGTTGTCACTGTTGTCACTGTTGTCACCATTGTCGCTGTTGTCACCGTTGTCGCTGTTGTCATCATTGTCACTGTTGTTACTGTTTTCACTGTTGTCGCTGTTGTCGTTGTCACGGTTTTCGCTGTTGTCACTATTAACGCTGTTGTCAGTGTTGTCACTTATTGTTGTCACTGTTGTCGTTGATGTGGTTTTCACTGTTGTCGATGTTGTTACTGTTAACGCTGTTGTCACTGTTAACGCTGTTCTCACTGTTGTCGCTGTTGTCACTGTTTTGTCAGTTGTAGTTGTTACTTTTGTTACTGTTGTCGCTGGTGTCACTGTTACCACTGTTGTCGTTGTCGTCGTTTTCACTGTTGTCGCTGTTGTCATTGTCACTGTTAACGCTGTTCTTACTGTTGTCACTGTTTTGGCTGTTTTCATTGTTGTCAGTGTTGTTTCCGTTGTCGTTTTTACTGTTGTTGCTGTTGTCGCTGTTTTGACTGTTGTTACGGTTGTCGTTGTCACTGTTGTCGCTGTTGTTATTTTCACTGTTGTCGTTGTCACTGTTCTCGCTGTTGTCGTTGTCACCGTTATCGCTGTTTTCACCGTCGTCCCTGTTGTCGCTGTTGTGACTGTTGTCACCGTTGTCGCTTTTGTCGTTTTTACTGTTGTCACTGTTAATGCTGTTATCACTGTTGTCAGTTTTGTCGCTTGTGTCGGTGATGTTGTTGTTACCGTTGTGGCTGTTGTCGTTGTCACTGTTGTCGCTGTTGTCACTGTTGTCACTGTTGTCGTTGTCCCCGTTGTCGCTGTTATCACCGTTGGTACTGTTGTCACTGTTGTTGCTGTTGTCGTTGTCACTGTTGTTGGTGTTGACACTGTTGTCGCTGTTGTCGTTGTCACCGTTGTCGCTGTTGTCACTGTTAACGCCGTTCTTACTGTTGTCACTGTTTTCGCTGTTGTCACTGTTGTTACCGTTGTCGTTGTCACGGTTGTCGCTGTTGTCGTTGTCACTGTTGTCGCTGTTGTCGTTGTCACCGTTGTCGCTGTTGTCTTTGTCACCGTTGTCGCTGTTGTCGCTGTTGTCGCTGTTGTGGTTGTTGGCACTTTTGTCACTGTTGTCGCTGTTGTCTCGGTTGTCGTTGTCACTTTTGTCGCTGTTCTCACTGTTGTCACTGTTGTCGTTGTCACTGTTGTCGCTGTTGTCGTTGTCACTGTTGTCGCTGTTGTCACTGTTGGCGCTGTTGTCGCGTTTGTCATTGTTGTCGCTGTTGTCATTGTTACTGTTGTCGCTGTTGTCACTGTTGGCGCTGTTGTCACGTTGTCACTGTTGTCGTTGTCTCTGTTGTCGCTGTTTTCACTGTTGTCGCTGTTGTCGCGTTTGTCACTGTTGTCACTGTGGTCGTTGGTTCTGTTGTCGCTGTTGTCACTGTTGTCACTTTTGTCATCGTTGTCACTGTGTTCACTGTTAACGCTGTTGTCACTGTTGCCGCTGTTGTCGTTGTTACTGTTGACGCTCTTTTCACCGTTTTTGCTGTTTTCACTATTGTCGCTTTTTTCGTTGCCACCGTTGTCGCTGTTGTCACTGTTGACGCTGTTGTTACTGTTGTCGCTTTTCTTCGCCGTTGTCGCCGTTGTCGCTATTGTCACTGTTGTCGCTTTTGTCGCCGTTGTCACTGTTGTCACTGACAGCGCTGTTGTCGTTGTCACCGTTGTCGCTGTTGTCGCAGCAACATTGACAAGAGCCAGAACACTGTCAACAGCAATGAGAGCGACAAGAGTGGTAATAGTGACAACAGCGATAGCAGCGCAACAACTACCGCAGTGACAAGAGCGACAATAGCGAGAACAGTGACAATAGTGAAAAGAGCGACAACAGCAACAACAGCGATAACAGCGACAACGGCGACGACAGTAAGTTCATCATCATCCTTTTACGGGTTTAATATGAACCAATTCAAAGAGCTTTCCCAGTTGACTTTTTAGTTGAAATGGTAGTGAAGTGCACCTTTATGGCAGAGGTCAAAGGTTTGATTCCCGTACTTGCTTGCCTTTTTTCAGGCCTTGTTTTTGCAACTGCAAAAGTTTCGTCTATACCTGCGATGATCTTCTTTCATATAATTCTTCACTCCGCATTTCTCATATATGGTTTTCATATATTCATAAGTTTAAAATATATTTTCTTTATTTTTACACTCATCGTTTTGCTATCTCCACCCGTAAATAGCAAGAGCTAGACGAGGTGGGCGGAGTGAAAAGTTTACAGCAGTCATAAATATGAAATGAGAAGAACCTTTGAAGATTATATTAAAGTAAACTAAAGAAACTATGCGGATGAATAAGAATTACAACAAACAAGCTAGAGTTATAAAGTAGTCTTACAGACTGGAATTACAAGACGTTTTTTTCAAGATGATATGCTATTATTTTTTTTACTCGCTTGTTCATATAATGTCCCATTTTAATTTGATCACTTTTACAAGATAGGTGGGGTGACCTGCTACATGTTGTTTCACCTATCTGGGGTCCACGCCCTTAGGAGGCATGATTGACTGCATTTTTAAATAGGCCATTTTAGAGTTATGGATGGAAGCAAGGCTGGAGTTGACCTCGTTTTGATAGAAGCTATCCTACTTTATACTGTAAATTAAGTTATTCTTATACTAACTCGTATTTTTCAAGGGCAATTTCCATAGCAAGTAAAGGAGGTTTGTATCAAAACAAAGTCACCGTCAGCCTCACAGTCACTCGAAGGCTAGGGTACTTAGTCCACAACTGTAAAATGGTCTGTTGTGAAGGTGGACTGTGTAACTTTGATTTGTCGCAGGTACCAGGCCTCCTCCGTACTCTTGGGAGAAATGGAACCTCAAACTTTTAGAACCAAGCAATATTAGGGAACTACAGGATGACAGAACACAGTCTCTGAAAGGTAAACCATGTCGACTGCAGCTTAGTTTTAGCATCAAACAAATTGACTTGCTATCTACTCTGCTGAAAACTGAAGCTAAGGCCGGACGCAGTTAATGGACTTCGGTTGAAATCTTCTTTGTCGTCTTCAGTCCTCAGTTCTTTTCTTCAAATCCAGTTCTTTCGATCTCTCATAATTATTCTCGCAAGCTTTTTGGTGGACGCGCGCTAGAACAACTATTTGACTGCTTGTCTCCCTTTCACGGCTAATCAGTAATTTGTTTAATTTCTTCATATCGCAAGGCTTTTGAAAAAAAGTCAGAAATCAGTAGTCGTATTTGTGCTTCCTTTACTTGACAGCTAATCGTTTTCAGTTCTCTGAGGTAATTATGACTTTGAACAGATGCATTGGACCGAACTACATGTCAAGCGAAGTTTGGGGTTCTAAAAAGCATAGTCCTCGACACATCATCTCTTTAACGGATTAGACACAAGCTAACAATTTTTTATCAACTAAGAAAGTATCTTTTTATTTTATTATAGCGAATATGTCGTTTGACTTGGATTTGGTCCTGGATGAATACAGTCTCCCAGTTGGTAAAGATAGGCGCGGTACATTGGCAGGACAATACTCGCCCTCAAGAATGGGGTTAACCGTTATTCCCTCATTTGACAGCACTGAGGTATTTTGGCAAGATAATTACCGAGATAACGAGAAACGAAGCAAGTATGATCGATCACACTACGTTATAAAATAGACTTTGCCAGACTTAAACACGACACACGTAGACAGCTGTTTTGTCTCTTTAAAGGTGATGGTACACGAGACGATTCGCAACGACTTTTTATACTGAGCGCAACACAGCGTTGCAACATTGTTGCGACATTGTTTCGAATGGTTACAACATTGGTCCAACATTGCAGCGCTGTTTTGTGCTTAAAATCGTCTCGTGTAATATCACCTTAAGGGGCTCAAGAAATCACTTGTTGTGATTGTGATTTGTTTTTTGGGGAGAGGGGGAGGGAGGGGAGTAGGGGAGAGACGAGTGACACCCAAAGATCTCGCACCTCCCCCTCTAAATCCCCCTCATAACATTATATACACTTTCATTCTGTCAGGAACAGTGATGTGGAAGTGCAATGATCAACGTGATTATTGTTTTTTTATTTATTTTCCACTTTTTGCAGTCACATGAAATCGGCCCAGGTCCCGAATTTGAGCGCGTGGGTTTTAATCTTCTGGGTAGAAGCCCGCTGGTGACGCATTTTCTGAAGATGAGGGAGCTGATGGGCAAAGAACAACAACCCGTGCAGCCTGTAGGCCGCACTGAAGTCGCTAAGTTACAGTATCCTTTTAAGCTTGGACGCATTTGCTCTGTGGTACCATGTTTGTACGGCCACGGACTAGACACACCTAGTGTATAGTTTAAACTAACCCCTTGTGGAGGATACCTTGATATTAGGGAGCTTAAGCAACGACGTCGGTGATGGGAACGAGAACGGCAAAATGACAATAGGTTTATATTAGCGAAACAACAACTCTGCACGTGCATCACGCATTTTATGTGCCTTTCTTAGCCGTCGTTGAACGACTACAACGTGAAATTGCCAAGTTTCACGTTTTGTCGAGAACGGGAACACAAGACAACTTTCTTTTTCTTTTCTTAAACTTTGATACAGTCTTTTAGAGTTAAACTCTAGAAGGATTTGCCAACATTTGACGAATTAATCGAGATGGAATGAGTGCGATCATAAAGTTTGAGACAGCGAGAATTCACATTTTAAATGCTGTTTTCGTAGCCGTCGCCGTCGTCGTTGCTTAAGCTCGCTATTTAACAATTATTCCTCGAGCCCGAATGGGCTATGAGTCAATAGCCCATGAGGCCGAAGGCTGAATGGGCTATTGACTCAAAGGCCATGAGTGCGTGAGGAATAATTGTTTTAGAAAAATCCAACTAGCTGGTCAAAAATAACGAGAGTAAAAAAGATTTAGCTTGTTAAAGCTAGACTTTAACCCTTTTTTGCCGCCAAAAAGCCCGCGCTTTTCGCTACTAGCAGGCTATAACATATAGCCTAGTAATAGCTCAACCAGTCAGAACGCAGCATTGATAATAGACCACTAGTTGAATTTTACTTATACCTGATAGAGGGGCGGACATTGGGGGACTGTCAACACCGCAACACCGCAAAAAAGTTGATGAAACACCGACATTGCAATTTGCAATTCCATCAATCTCTGTATCTGATTGAAAAAGGAGGATCTCGGAGCTGGTTCGGATTTAGTGAAGACTCAGACTTACCTGAATATTCTAAGAACTCTATTTCAGTCACGCAGATATAAAGAATGCTTGGTGGCCCCTCTCCCCCCCGATACTACCACCGGTGTGTCCGTCAAGACAATCCCGGAAAAGCCCGCGTTTTGCTCTCCAAGGAAAAACTAGAGCACTAGAGAACTTTTAGATGTCTTCCTCGAAACTCAAACCTTAACCTGTTCTTAGACCTGCCGCACCAACATACAGACAAGTTATAAAAGACTGTAAAAAGACAACTAAGACGCTGAACAACCATTATCAAAGGTGAAGAACTACAAGTCGTAACGATATGACGATAGGGACGTTTAGATAAGACTCCACGAGTTCGAGGTTTTAGATCAAGTGTTTAATAGCTATCCTCGGAGACTCACAGGCAGCTAGTCGGGTAATGGCATTTTCGTGGGCAAAACTGTTATATACAACATCTTTCGCCCACGAAACTCCCTTCGTTTGACTAACGAGCTGCCCCTGGGCCTCCGAGGATGAGTGTATTTTTGTGGCTTGGCAATCTCTTTTCACGCCATTCCTATCCCTAAAATCCCCTTTAAACTGTATTCTTTGATCAGAAACCGGAAATAGTGAGAGGTCTGAGGAACACAACTTAGTTGTATTAAATTGTTTTAAGTTTGCTATAAACAATGTCACGAGGCAAAAAGGTTGGATTTGCGTTACTTTCCTCATCAAAAGCTGGAAAGCACAAAACTTTTATCGTTTAGACACAAATTTCAAAACTAGGATTGAGTGGCGTTGACCCAGCGGAGGAGGAAGGGGTAAATTTTTAATCGTGAACTAGATTAACGGTAAACAAATCGCTGAAGCTAAATATCTTATAATTGCAGAGTCTTAGACACATCTGAACAAGAGAGCTTGAAGATCCAGAAACAAAAGCGAGCCGCCCTAGCGAAGCTTCAAAGGTAGGCTATTTTTTTCGAGCTGTACCTGTTTTTCTACCCAATGACTTATTGCTTGAAAACTTCCTCTAACTGGTGTCTGACTTTTTGAAAGGTCGGATCACTAGAGTGGGTTTGAAATTAGCTCTTACCTAATAGAGGCCGTTAAATTTTAGGACGAGGGCGACTACGAGTACGAGATTTGACTTGAAGTCTTTTCGCGTCTTCTCAAAATATACAGAGTGTTTCAAAAGTTCGTTCCGATTTTTTATTGGCTTAAATTTCACCAATTATTAAAAAAATACTTTTTTAAAACTTAGTATGTTATTCATTATTCATTGAACATTGAATAACTAAAATATTAGTCACCAGAATGTCTTCCTGTATTTTTTCTGACATTTTCTAAGCGGTGAGGTATAGAATGTACGAGCTCCCAAAGCGTGTCCAAATTCACATTCTTCAGGCGAAGCGTAGTCACTGTCGTAGCTTGTCCAGTGTTTTGGGGGCTGGATCTTTGTATGTCTCGTCTACGATAATTCAGATGGTCTCTAGGGGGTTCACATCACGTGAGTTTGCCGGCCGGTCCTCTTTTGGTATAAAGTTGGCAAATCCTTCTGACACCATGCTTGCATGAAGGGTGCACCGCCTTTTTCTCTTCAAGGTTTTCCAACCTTTTTTGGTAATTTATCCTCATACCGTTGTGCTCCAAACTTTGATCGATAATGTGAAATTGAATTTTTTTTACCTTTCTGTTTGTGGAATTATTACACATACACTTACAGCTTTTTCGATAATGTTTCTCACGCATTTTGTGAAAAAACGGCCATCCACTCCTTAGTTTGTCTTCTAAGGTCTTTACATTTGACTACTTGTTCGGTCATCGTTCACACTTCTTGGACAATTTGGCAATTTTTGTTTTGACTGAATGGCCAGAAGACCATGAAAATAGATGCCTGAGCTCTAGCACAAACATTGTAGGCCTTCATTTTCATGAAGGGGTAGAGAAAATAAAAGAAAACGATAAAAATACCAAAATAGAAAACCTACAAAATGGGCAGGAAAAGTATGGCGGGGAAAATCCTCGCGTACATGTACATTTGGGGCAAAAATTAAAAAAAATTGTAATTTCTTCAAATTTTAGTTTGCAATTGCTTTGAACGGTTATTTAGATAAATTTGTTACCTGCATCAGTTTACATTTGCCTAAAGAAGTATTAAATGCTTTGCTCAAAATACAATTTACAATCGGAACGAACTTTTAAAACACCCTGTAGACTTCCCGGGAAGCTTCATTTTACCATTTTTCACGAGACAAGTTAGCATTGTTATCTTTAGTGAAGGAGGTTACGCGCTCTCCCAGTCGTAAAATGATAAAACTTTTAACAGTTGGTATCTTGTTTTCGCCACCACGAGATTCGCGCGAAAACTCGTATTAGAATGACGACGGCTACCACGTTTTCCCGCCAAAATAGGGACTTTAAGATCCAATGACGCGGACGGTAACGAGAACGTCAAAAAAGCAATAGGTTTTATTAGCAAAACAACAACTTTGCACGTGCACCATGCTTTTTTGTACATTTCTCTGCCCGTTTTTGCACGACTACGACGTGAACATGCCTAATAGGACAATTGCACGATGACGATATTTGACTACAACTACCACAATTCATTTCGGTTTTGCTTTGTTATTTAAATTTGTCAATCCCGCTGAGGATTACAGAACAATTGCCTTAATTTGCATAAGAAAACAACAAACTCAAGGATTCTGGTAGTTGTAGTCAAATGACGTCATCGTGCAATTGTCCTATTTCGCGTTTTACCGAGGACGTAAACAAGCAACGACGAAATTTTATTTCTCTTACTGTACTTGGATATGGTGCCTAGGAATTCAACTCCAGGAGGGTTCGCTTACATTTGACAAAGTAAGTGTGTAGGAATAATTGCGATATACACTGAAAGAACGCAAATTCACTTTTTAAGCGACGTTCTAATTGCCGTCGCGTCGTTGGATCTTAAAGTCCCTAAAATCTCGCACTCGTAGTCGCACTCGTCTTAGAATCTAAAGGCCTCTAATAGCTATTTTTCTTGTTTTTTAAAGGGTTGAAACAATGCTTCCCAAATGCTTGACGATCTTTTAATTCTTCAGTTGAGATTTCGGATAGTTTTGGTCAATACTAAACTCAAACGAAATAAACCGTTAAACTTGAAGTTCTTTTGAATGTTTTTCTCTTTGCTACTATTCATGCATCGCTACAAAGTGTGGTGGAAATAGGTATCCTGTCCAAAAAAACTCTTTGCAATCGTTTTAGTCGAAAATTTCCGGAAATTCGTATGTTGTGCAGCATATTTTTCTTTTCAGTCAAGCTAACACGGGAAACAAAATCCACCCAAACCAAACATATAACGAACATACACGAAAACAATTTAGCCAGATAAATGAAAAGAGTCAACAAGAACAAACAGACAGAGAAGCCACACGCAAAATAGTCTGCGTAGCAGGGCCTTGAAAGGGGTATCGGCTCAAGAAAAAACGGGTTGCGCGAGGGGAGCCTAGCAGTTTGACGTGTGACACAAGCTACTCACTACGATAATAGCATCAACAACGGAATTTTCTGCAGATATGTCGGATTTTTGGTACTTTGTGACTTGTGCTTGAAACATGATTATTACAAAATTAATACCAGGCTTGGATCTCTTTTCTACTAGGTTAAAGAATGACTTAGTGCTGAAAAATCAAGACATAAAAATGATCAACGAGAGACTTCTTGACTTAATGGTGAGTAGCTGTTGATGGTCAATTGAGCCGAGATGCTAGAATGTTATGCTTCATTTATCACCAGCACAGAACAAAGCTCAGTTAGGCTATCCCTTTTACCATGACTCTCCTCCTTTTATGCATTGATCGGTCAGCCAACTCATTCAGTTATTCGATAGGTGGGTCGTTCAGTTAGTGAATCAAATGGTCAAACCGTCAGCCAGCCAGTTGGTCTGTCGGTCGGTTGGTTGATCGGTCAGTCAGTCAGTCATCCGGTTCCTCGGTCATTCGGTCGATGGGTCAGACAGCCAGTCAGTGCGAAAAAATCGTAGTTCTCGCCAGTAAATTTCGATTTTTTGAATTTCTTCTTCTCAAAACGTGCAGGCTGAAAGCGTGCGCATGTACATGTGCAGATAGCGGTTCTGCTGCAATCGAAATAGACTCGGCAAGAAAGCCTTTATGACATGTTTTTGTCTACACCAGCAGTAGGCGAATCTTTGTTTACACTTTTTGCCTCATTAACATGTGCTTATCACAATCTGATGACGCTAATAAAATAAAAACTCTGAATATTGAAAGAACGTAACAGTTTCAGTTATCCCTGAAAATTTGAGCCCAAAACACCGAATGGTTTCGGAGAAATTCTCTTCTGAAAACTCGAAATTTTACAGAGAATGTATGGCTCATTAACCTTTTTTACCAAAATCAGCAATTTTAACAGTTTTTGATTGCTGATATTTTTTCAATAAAACACAAAGAAATTGAAAATTTTGTTTTGCAAATTGCTCAACTTAATCAGCTCTTTCAAGTTTTGCATTTAGTTCATATGTGCGGCCACGGCTTCTGTGAGTTAAGTCGTATGCTAATGAGGAAAAATGTTAACAGTGACGTCAGCAAAGATTCGCCTATAGCTTTTTCAGTGTGAGTCTGTCCTATCTACGGTGGTTTCATTCAGCTAGAAAGCCGATAACTACCTTTATTGTTGAATCTTTAGGCCCAGCCTGATCATGCGGCAACAGGGTTCCCCAAAAGTGCTTTAGAGCAATCCTCGGATGACGAAACGTAACGAATGATTTTGTTGCACAGCTGGTAAAAGGTTGCCCCAGGTTAATAAAATTTCTTCATGCATAATCGTAAATATTTACGGATGTGTTTGTGGTTAAAGACTTCTTGAGAAAGTTTGCCTTTGTAGAATAGAATGGATTTAAACGACTTATTTTGCTAGTTTGTAAGGTACTTTTATGATGTTTTATATGGATATGGTTTGCACACCTCGGCGACGAAATGTTTGATGAAACGAAAACAAAAACAAACAACAGCAAAAAACAATGGATTGGAAGGAAAAAAAATGATGAAAAGTGATAATTGAACGAAAGATGAAGCTGAACCTATAAATTGTTAAATGGAAATAAAGATCATTGAAATTAGTGACAACAATCCTCCATCCTCTCCGCCTATCGATTAATCTATGTATTGGTGGTACAAACAAAGTATTTTATAATAATGTAACAATGTAACCTTTGTACATACACTTAGATGAACTCCCAGTTACATTAATTTTATTTCTTTGTTATAAGATACTTTATTGTAAAACCTGTGATTTATTTATTGAGTTCGCCAAAATTGATAGTCGCATCCGATGATCGTTTAATTTTTCGTCTAATTTGTCAATCATGCTGTTGTTAACTGAAGGTATAAAATGTAGGAAAAAATATAAAATAAAAAAAGGAAACAAATCGAAAAAATGTTTCTTGCTTTTTGCACTTTGATTTAAAAGCCGCCGTCATGAGTGCTGGCCCCTCGTTTGCGCAATTCATGTACATATAGTCTTTCGGTCTTAATTTATTCAGTAGTTGATGCTTTTATTTACTAAAAAGTTGCTCATACAAAATGGAAGTAGTTTACATTCTACAGCTGCATAGAATTCATTTTCCCTTTGAAGTGCACGTCTCATGTTCATCGCCCTGGTCCGGTGGATTGTCTGGTTTTTCCACTGTTTCGCGTTTACAATTTTGTTTTCTTTCTTGGAAAGCTGCAAATTAATGAGTACACCCCACGATAAATACAGAGGCGGAACAGGACCTTGCTTAACATGTGTGTCGATGAGTGTCTTTTTTTCCCTTGGTTATATACTTAGGAGATACCTTGCAAACTACTGAAGCAGCGGTATAAATAAGTACCAGAGGAGGTCATGTAGTTACAGAGTTACAGCTAATTACTTTTTCCCCTTCCACCCCCCCCCCCCCAAAAAACTTAAAAAAAAAAACAAACATTAGCAAATTGGCAAATAATTGGTGTTTCCTTTTTAAGATGTTCAGGTTTAGGGATCGTTTGTGCGACGGTCCTTTTTTTTGTATTCGCTACGCGCCCATCTCAGGTCTATGCGCTATTGTCACCAATAAACTTGCGCACTTGAGGGTATTTAGTTATGGCTTCAAATAAGGAATTGTTGCCACAAAAAGTTAGAAAAATGACGTTAAAACAAAGTTTGTTATTGATGTGATTTATCTTCTGTAGCAATAGCAATTGAATTACCTTATTTTAGAAATCTTGAGCAATGCTTCCTGTAGCCTTAATGAGCGTCTCTTCCTGTGGTGTCCGATTCCGAACCGAGCATGGAGATAGTGCGTGCGGTAAGGGTCTCCCGGCCCTGATAGTTATAATTATAATTAGTTATAAATAACCCACGGTCATGATTGACGTAAAGTATCGTTAACTGCCTCTTATAAGCCCCACCCCAGCCCCTCTTATAAGCCCCACCCCAGCCCCTCTTATTAGCCCCCCCCCTCCTCAAGAGATAGGTCCATCTACCGGTAAACAAAAAAATACTTCTGGTTATAAGCACCCACCCCCACTTATAAGCTCCCCCCTTAAGATATAGGTCAAACTACCTGTAAACAAAAAAAAGCATCCGATTATAAGCCCTCCGGATAAACTTGCACTACTAAGTATTTGCCTGCCAATTGCATAGATTTTTATGCAAATAATGTAAGTGCAAGTTCCAGCTGCCATAGTTCATACCTCCTTGGACGGCCGGAAAGTCAGGATGATCATGCATATAGACTCCTTTACTGTGATCAACCTCTGGAACGCGCCCTGTATTGTGTTAAAAACATCTAATTAATTTCCTGCACAAAAACGTTTTGGAATAAGCCGCAGTGATAAAGCTTCGAAACTCGATCTTAAAGCGTAATCGAATCCCTCGTCAAAGGCCTCTTCTCTCGCTTCTTTAGGTCTGAAGCGTGGGAAATAGTGTGCACCAAGTCCCTGATACGGCACACATCCAGTATCAATATGTTTCAAGAACTGTGTGGCATTTCTTTATGTTGACAACTGTTCTTGTGGCAGTTATGTGCTCTTGGCTGGACAAAGCTTTCTGGCTTTCTGGCTAAAAGGGTGGGCGGATATCAAGCAGGTAGTTGGTAGGCGGTAGAGTCAACGTTCTATAGCTCAGAAGAAGGTCAGGCATCTCGTGAGGTTTAGACAATGTAGTATTTATTCTCGCTTGTTAAGAAGAAGAAAAACTTATTTGGTAGGAAATTAAGAAGAAGGGTAGCCAATTTAGTCGGAAACGAAGTTAGTATATGAAGGAGACTCTGGCGGTAAGACAGTGTGTCGATGGTAAAAGCCTCGTACAACGAAAACACGCAAAGCAGGTTGCGTTTAGAATAACAACTGGTATAATTATCTCCTACCTGCATTGACTTCCGCGTATAACATAAGAATTCCCAGCGCTACCACAACTGAGAGACATCTGACCAACATCTAAAGTTGATATAGAAAAGGACCGTTTTTTTATTAGAAATAAACAAATCACGGCAGCAAAGTCTGTGTAACGATGTCCATAATTCCGTTCGTCATTATAAATAAATGCCGGATACTTTTTAATGGATAATGAGGAGATTGTTCTCCCTGAAGTCGGTCGTTAGAAGTGTCGTCTTAAAGCGATAAGCTATGTAGCAAAAATTTAGGAGCGGAGAACGAAGGATTGTTTAGTCATTAAGGGTAGGAAAGCCTTTTACACGACATAGTGTTGGTTTGAAGATAAAAGGGATACCGAAGTTTCACCTAGTTTACATGGTGTGAAATTTAGAATTTAGCACTCCCTACTATTCGCCACTCTTGAAGATTTTCCTTGTTATTTCACCAAAATTGGGTTCGTCTTGTAAATATGTATATATATGTATTCTTAAATCATGTAGTTCAAACCTCCTATATCGTACTATACTTTCTGGCAGTCTTTGTGAACTCTCTGATCACTGTTATGCAGCGAGATTTTCGGTGAATGACTCAAATTTGAATCAATAGGAGAAGAGTATAGACCGTACTTACTGCGTTAGCTGTCTGTCATTGACGATACCAAAAATATAATCGTGCGTAGGAAGTTAAAAAGCGAACTTAACTTGCAATTTAAGTTTTGTGTCTCGTTCTTGGTGTAGAGTAGAGACAAAAAAACAAGAGGCTTTCAACTTAAAAAAATAATAGATATAATAGTAACCTTTTGATATCTCAGGTGGACAAAATTCAATAATTAATGTTTCCCTCCGTCTTTTAACATTATTGTGAATCCAGCGACTTGATGACATAACGAAATTCTTGAAATGCGTGCTTATAATTAAAAAAAATCCTTTCCCCCCTCTTCACCCGCATGTAGAACCAATTTTTTCGTCTAACTGTAGCAATGCTACAGTTGAAGGAAAAATTGGCTCTACATGAGGGTGAAGTGGGGAAAAACATTTTTTTTTCGTTATAACACGTTCTTTCCAGGTGGAACTAATTCATTGTAGGAACATTGCTTAACCTGTTTCCACCTGCGTAAATGCATGCGCGGTAAACGAATTTCAGGACTGAAGGGCGCGAAAGTATCACGTGACCCCCGACGGATTCCTAGCTCCTCTCCAGTTACTCCAGTCCACCTGATGGGTCATAGCGACCTTAAGCAAGGACGACGACGACGGAAGTGAAAGCGTCGGTGAAAAATTTGCGTTCTTTCAAACTTAATCGCGTCTATTTGGACGCGCTCCATATGTCAAATGCAGGCGACTTTTCCTGGAGTTGAATTCGTAAGGATTTTATAAGGTTCAAAAAGAGGAAGGAAAATTTGTCGTCGTATGTCCACGTCCTCCATAAAACGTCAAATGAGGAGGTTTCACGTCGTAGTCGTTCAGTGGACATCAAAAAAAGGTACTAAAAAGCGCGATGCACGTACAGAGCTGTTGTTATAATCATTAAACCTATTGTTATTTGAAGTCGTCGTTGTGGTCGTCGTCGTAGTTGCTTAAGCTCTCTATTTTGGCAGTAGAAAAATGTATGTAAGAGTGCCTGTTCCATTTACTGTATTTCTTGGCAGAAAATCTTTTTGGTATTGAAAGATGGAACCTCGTGCGTCTAAACCAGTTACGTTCCTGACTATTCATTTTATCACTTGAAGAGCCGGGGAAAAATAACCAATCAAACCACGTGAGTTTCCTGCATAAACCGGAGAAAGCGAGGGGATAACAATATAATTTGACGTAGTACTAAAATATCCAGTCTAATTCACGCCAGTCTGTAAAGTCAGTGGTAGACGTGTAAGTTATAAATGGACGTGATGGCAAAACGTTGTGCAAGATAAAACTTTAAACTAGTGTTTCGTCAATAAAACAAGCCATATTTCGCACTAGCTTATTTAGTAATCAAACTGCAGCCGAAAGTGTTAGATGGGATACGCAAAGGTGTTGCGGCGCCAGAATATTCCCAACGCAAAGCAGCTGGGTGGTACTAAAACGGGAAACATGGAGCGGGGAACGAGAAAATGGGAACAATGCGTAACTTGAACCCTAGCCCTATCAGTAAATTCATTTCCAATTCTCTGCTTTTTTTCCGTTTTTCCTTTTCTTCTGTTCCCCGTGCTCGTTCTCCTGCTCCTCGTTCCTCGTTACCAGTTCCTCGCTACCCGTTCCCCGTTTTAGTAACACCCTGCAAACGCAAAGCGGCTTGTTGTTGTTGCTATTGTTGTTGTTGTTAATATGTGTCAGTACTATGAAGTCTCTCATGAGACACAGGTTAATGAAAATATTAAAAAATATTGATTGTCTATTGTCCATACACGATCTATTAGAGGATGTGGCTTTGTCTTTTTGTGACGTCACGTGCTTTTAAGACAACAACAATTTAGTCGACTATTCTGTTTCTCATTCCCAACAAGCTCTGATTTCGATAACAAAGTTCATATGTTCATCAGAGATATGCCGTATGCCGTCTCAAGCAGGTAGAATAGATTTTATTCTGGAGGGGAAAGGATACTCCATTCAGGTCACAGTGGAAACTCTGTCACCTGATGCTCTTCTGCAAGTTCTGTACTTGATGCATAACAACGTACACTTCTTCAACTCCGGCTGCAGATCCAAGGGAACGACGAGTTCGTATAGTCAGTGGAGACAGGATTGAATGCATTTCAAGAATCCGTTTCGTAGAATTGTCGTTTTCATGCGGACTACCATGAACTCTACATCTCTCGATCCTAGAGAGGAACGCGAGTTTGACTTGCAACTCTTCGTGGCCTACTTGACTTTAATTATGATATTTGTGGCAGTTATTGTGAGGTCCGTTTTGTGTACTTAAAGGATCGGAAGGTGGAACGGTCCTGAGGAATTTTAAAACGTCATGACCTAACTACAAACATGGTCGTAAAAGTGCAGGAGATGTAAGATATAACAGCTATGATGCATCCAAGTTTCAAGTTATATTGGTTGAAGATGCAAGCAATACTCAAGCATGCATAATTTATTTAGAAATATCACCATTGGCAGTGAAGCTCCGAAGAAAATATTTGTGGTAAGGGGTGATTAAAAATCCTGTTATCCTTTTGTAATTCCAATACGTAACGACTTGACGTGGAAGTCAAGGATCATGCTTAAATGAGTTCATGGATATTTTTACTAATTAAATGAACTTTCTGAGGCAAATGTGAATAATAATGAAATCTTTTGTGTATTGTTGTTAGTCGGAATGAGAGAAAAACAATTCTATAGGACTAGGAATTTTAATTAATAATTTACAGTAAATATCGAACCCTAGGTATCGCCAAGCGCGCTTAACGCTTAATTTACTAAGAATTTTGTCATGAGTTGTTAAATCTAGTAAAAGGTAATGGGAATTTGAATTCTTCGTATCGCCATTGGACGCTAAAAGTATAGTTATAAGCACTACAGCCATAAGAGAAAATATTAAAGTGCATGTCTTTGTGAGTTGGTTTGTTTTTGAAGAATTAAACGCTGGACAATTAAAACTTTCTTCGATTTATTGGTTTATGCTCTTTGTTCAATCTCTGTCATTGAGATTTTTTTTAGCCAAGCTGTAGAGTTAGAGTGAAAAGGATAAAGCTGAGCGCAAGCTGACCATACAAAGTTGTGATGTATTTCTTTCCAGTTTCCCGTGATGCTTTTCATGTAGAGTCTGACGAATAGTTTATGAATTACAGATTCGTATTGAAGACGTTTTGTATTTCTGCACAGTGTTCATCAATACAGTGTAATGAAGTTGAATTGTGATTAAAAGCTTGCGATTTAAAGCTAAAATAGAGTCACAGAGACCTTGAAAATGTGGTTTCACAGGACAGTACTATGGCACTTCTTCGTCTTCCTAAAGCTTATCGGAAAAGCAATCGGCGCTGTTGAGGCCAAAGTGTTGACAAGCCAAAAACGACGTAAAAACTAGGTAAAGTGTGATACGTGATCAAAGAGTTTTCCTCCGGACAAGAATGTAGGAGATAAGGGTTGGCTTTTTGAATACTTCTCTCTGTAAACGCTGGATTGGACGCCAATTGCTCACGAAGGTGTTCTTTTGGTGAGACAGTGGTGGGATGGTACTTTGTAACTGAACAAAAGACTGACTTTCTTTTGCAGCATATTGTTTTGTAGTAAATTCCTCTTCTGTTTAGCAAATTTAACCTCCGAAGTAATTTTTTTAAATAAGATTGTGAGGGTAGCTTCTGGTTCGAAGGCGTGTGAGTTAAATGATTAGTTTATTTCTGTAAGTGTAAGGTCTTCACCTCTCCTTTTCTGATCTTTTCTGAAGTCTCGCGCGAAATTTCTAAAGGTCCAAAGTGCAATTCCCAGATCTGGAAGTGTAATGTGGTTGGTCTACTTTTTTTTCCACTCGCTTCAGCAGACGTTGGTTGGGGAGGATTGCGTCACGAGACGAAAGAACGTCTGCCGGGGAGTGCTAACGTAGCGGCTTTCAGTGTCGGAATTTCTGGATTTCCATTTGCTGACGTATCATGATCGACTGCCTACTGTCGGTCTCCGACTGGCTCAGCCTCGCTGCAGTTATAAAACAGACTGCGATGGGCTAACAAAATTACGCTCTTAAGTCACAGCGGAAAGTTTCCACGCTAAATTTTTAACGAAGCAGTCGGCGTGGTGTGATCTCCGTTAAGACTTTGCTCGGGTTTCCAGTTAAACACGTGGTTTTGGCGGGCTGGAACAGAATGGCTCCCTGATTTGTTCCCTCTTATTTACCTGACGTATAGAGCTAAAATGGGTAATAGTAAGAAACACGAGTGCTGTTATAACGACGCCTAAAGTTATCCATCCACCAATCTGAAACCAAGTTGAAACAAAAAGACAAAATTAGTCTTTGAAGCTTACCAGTAATATGGCTCACGAGAGAGCGACTGTTGTAAGCCTTTAATAGTTAGTGTCTAGCTTTCATTTGCCTAGATTAACACGTGGGTACAAATCTAAAGGAGCAGTAAGTTGGCCAGCCTGCGTAGCTGCCGGAATTGTTTTAGCGCTGGTGAGAGTTTTCGCGGCTAACCCGCCATTCTCGCGGCCTTGTGGCGTGAAAATTCAAAGCGTCTCCTCTCCATTCTTCGCACGGCTTCGCAGCTCCTCAACTAAAACTTTGCGCGCGCACAGGCTACAAGGTGCAATGAAGTTGGTCAAATCATCAGCGACAATATTTTGTAACGGGCGCGCGTTGTCTGTAGTTGGCCCGGACTATGTACAAATACCATGCTGAAATCCAGCAACAACAAACGCAAGAAATTTCAGCATAAGTGTAAAATCAAAGATCTCTACTGCAGCAAGAATTGTTGAGAGTAAGCTTAATCGGCACTCTATTGTCATAAGAACTTATATCACTGATTAACCTATTTAAAATTCCTTTATCCGTTATAGCAATAGAGCAGTCACTTTTGTTTGCATCAGATGGAAAATAAATAACGAGGTAAATATGTTGCAATTAAGCGAATACTGCCCATCCCTTCCGCTACCATTAAACATCATGCTTCGTTCTTTCTGCAAACCCAAGGAACAGAGAGCACAATAAAACAAAAACAAAAAAGGTCGGCGTTCATAAACAAAACCCTCTCGTTACAGACGACGTGGTCAAATTGTTAGGCCACAGCTTTCTCGCGGGCTAATTCGCTAACAGTTTTTTGATCAATGAGATACAACATCATCAACCATTTTAATGTACATTATGCTAGAGCCATAACTTACCCTTTTATAAAATATAACACCCTTGTCTTTGCCACGGTACTCTCGTAAATAGTATCTATTTGCCTTCTTGTCATTTTTTGTTATGTTTGATCCGCTATCCATCTTTGTCATCTGTGAAGTAGGGCTTGCGGACGCCGTTTGAAAGCGACTGAGTGAAAGACTGTTGTTTAGTGATTCTGCAGTTGCTTGTAAATGTTTCTGAACGGCTCCTGTGCTGTGTTGACTTAGCGACGGTGAAGGCTCCGTACTTCGCAGATATGTGCCGTTTTTGTCTGCGTCTATCTCACCGATGTGCATTTGAAAGCAGGCAGTGAGTACAAGTAGGCTTTTAGGTAAGACAAAGCAATGCGGAGCTCCAACGATGAACGCATCGTCTGAAACGACAGTTGTCTGAGACATTCCGGCACTTGTGCACGAACAACGTAGCATTTGGTAATTATCTGTTAAGACGATATAGCAAACAATTAGTTTTTCTTATAAAAGTGCTACGCTTCGTTAAAATACAATGGGTAAACTATGGAATTGATTTAATTTGTGTCACAAAGAAGAGCGGTATATTGTGTACTTGAGCGCCGACCATTTTTTTGTGAGCTGAGCATTCCTAGCCTTTGAGTGGAAGGCGGGCTGGCGGTGATTTTGTTTTGATAGAAACCTTGTGTCATTCGTAGCCCAAGAACATGATTTACCATTGAAAAGCAATGAGGTTTCTTTCACAATAGGTTACTCCAGCCTCCACCTCTCTTGGACTCAATTCCAGGATACTTAGTACGCAACCCGGCGAAAAACGATATATTCTGTCTCGCTGTTAAAACATTTGCATTCCTTTTTGCGAAAACAATAACTTTCAATACGTATTTCGCTTAAGGTTAAACCCTTCCATTGTCGGTTAGTAACAAAGCTTTCTATAAGTTAGTGTATTTCAATTTGTAGATAATTTATGAACTCGAGCACAGTGACCTCGGTGAGTAACAGCCTCTATAAGATCTGCATAATTCTTCATATCATACGAAAGCAAAATTCAATACTTTTATTATTCATTTGCTAACAACATTACTGTTTCTCGGCACGGTTTTAGGTTTGAAAATGAAATCCCCTTGTGGAATTTTGTGGAAGAGTGTCCTGGAACCTCTTTTAAGGTTCGTTATTCTTTTCTGAGAACTTCTCCGCTAGGCGTTTGAGAGAGCAGTTGCAGGCGGCTCCCATCACACCGTTGGTTCCAAAAATTACTAGGGGAGTGAAAGATCCTATTTCAACGTCCAGCACCATCTGTTGGTACTTCCGCTTTTTCTCCTCCTCTTGCTTCTTAAAGATTGTGGATGTTGCTTTTCCCTGGTTACACTTGGAGTTAACATGTGTTACTCTGACATCAAAAAATTCTGTAACTCCACGGGATTAAAAGCCCCTTGCCCTAAAGTCCAGTCTTGCCTCCGGGCTTGTTACCGCGCTTTTGAGGTTGAATCGCTCATTAACGAGTGTTTAGTTGTGGTTCGACTTCAATGTTGGTGCAAACCTTACCAATAAGTGACGTAAGTAGGTTACGAACACCATCGTGTCTCTGCGTCACGAGCCCTCCCTTTTTGCATGACAGGGCATGGCAGACGGTATACTTCTCACTACAAACACACTTGCTTGGTAAGTCGGACAGACTAATATAATAATAATAATAATAATAATAATAATAATAATAATAATAATAATAATAATAAAGAAAGCAAGCAACTGGAAGTCACCCAGCCCTGATGCAGTTCCTAACGTCTGGCTAAAGCAACTCACAGCACTACATCAACACCTACTGAATGCATATAACCAAGCAATACAAAACCCAGAAAATCTGCCTGATTGGTTCACTACAGCACAAACGTATTTACTACCAAAGAACAAAGGCACAGAGAACCCCAAAAACTATAGACCAATTGCCTGTTTATCAACATCCTACAAGGTGCTCACATCGATTTCAACTGAAAGAAGCTACACCCATATCACAAAGAATGATATATTGCCGGAGGAACAGAGAGGTTGTGTCAGGGGTTCATATGGATGCAAAGATCAGCTCCTAATAAATAAAATGATCATAGAAGACTGCAAAAAGAAGAAAAAGAACTTGAGTATGACTTGGATAGACTACAGAAAAGCCTATGATAGTGTTCCTCACAGCTGGATACTGAAGACCTTACAGATTTACAGATTTAATGAAAAACTGATCAAGTTCATGAGAACCTCAATGAGCAACTAGAAAACTACGATGAAGCTATCTTACAATGATGGATTTATCACAGCAGATCAAATCAGCATCAAAAGAGGGATCTTTCAAGGAGATTCATTCTCACCTCTGGTGGTTTGCCTAGCCCTTGTGCCTTTAACATCAGAGCTGGCTACATCTGGGCATGGTTACAAGATCTTAAACACAAGTGCTCCAATAAGCAATCTGTTTTATATGGATGATCTAAAATTGTATAGCAAGAACGAGCAAGAACAAGTTGGAGAACTGAAAATAGTGAAACAATTCAGTGATGATATTGGTATGGAATTCGGACTTGAGAAATATGCCAAAGCCAGTTTCATGAAAGGTAAACTGGCCTCAACTGGAAACATAATAATAGATGATGACACAGAAATACAAGAGTTGGACCAGGAAGGAGTTTACAAATACCTGGGTGTAGATGAAAGTGATGGTATCCAGCATTGCAAAATGAAAGAGAAGATAAGAAAAGAATATAATAGGAGAGTAAGATTAATCCTAAGAACTGAGCTCAATGGAAGAAACAAAATAGAAGCTATCAATAGTCTTGCAGTCCCAGTTGTGCAATATAGCTTTGGCATCATTGACTGGAAAATCTCAGAACTGAAGAAGATTGACACAAAAACACGCAAACTACTGAACATACACAAGATGTTACATCCTAAAGCAGATCTGGAAAGGCTGTACATCCCAAGAAAAAATGGAGGTAGGGGCCTGATTGATGTAGAAACAGCATTCAAAACTGCAACAATAGGGCTTGATCACTATCTGAAGCACAAGGAAGGGCAATATCCAAAGCAGGTGCTTGAAAAAGAAAGATCTAAAGCCAAACATTCAATATCCAAGAATGCTACTAAATTCAAAAGAGAAGTAACAATGCCAGAGATTGAGAACAGAGTAGATAAATCTGCCTCTGAAAATGCTAAAGCCCTGAAACACGTGTTTAAGTCCAGGATGAAGTCAATGAAAGAAGAAAAGTGGAAAAACAAAGCATTGCATGGCCAGTATCCAAAGATCCTAGAGAAGCCTCATGTAGACACAGTCACCACCAACAAATGGTTGTCAAGTAATTTGAAAGGAGAAACAGAGGGACTACTTGTTGCAGCTCAAGACCAGGCAATAAACACCAGAAACTACCAGAAAGTAATATGTGGCCAGCAAGTGGAGAGCAAATGCAGATTGTGTTCGCAACATGAAGAGACAGTGGACCATATTGTATCTGGATGTGAGGTATTAGCCAAAACAGAGTACATCTCCAGGCACAATAATGCTGCAGCATATCTCCATTGGAACATATGTAAAGATTATGATATAGAGATTACAGACAAATGGTACGAACACGTACCAGAGACCGTGATACACAATATAAAGATAACAACATCACCATCATGTGTGACATGCCAGTCAATACTGATAGAACTATAACAGCGAACAGACCAGATATCATCGTTAAAGATTCAGTGAATTCCACCTGCAAACTTATTGATATGACTGTTCCATCAGATAGAAACATCGCACTGAAGGAAACTGAAAAAAATGCAAGTACAAAGACCTAGAACTAGAAATACAGAGAATGTGGCATATGAAAACCGTAGTGATCCCTGTGGTTGTTGGTGCGCTTGGTACAGTGAAGAAGGGTATGGTAGAAAACATCAAGAAAGTATCAGAAAGAGCTAATATGACAGAGATTCAAAAGATCTGCATGCTGGGATCTGCACGAATCCTCAGAAACGTGCTCAGTGTATGAACAGAATGATTGACTTGAGTGACTGACGCTCTAGGTGCATGGTTTGCGCCCGGCTGATGCTCAAAAAGAACACCAGCAAAGACTGTGATAATAGAGACAATAATAATAATAATAATCTGGCCCGTGAATGTATTCAGTGGGTTGATGAATAATTTTCTCTAATCACATATGAAATCTCTTTATTCACTGTCTCAACATATTTTTTTTTATTAGCATAAAACATAAGACAGGGTCTTAGCCAGTAGGTTATTAAGCAGTAATATATTTTCAAGCAAGTTTTAATCGCTCTTGATTAAGGTAGTACGTTCATTCAGCACAAACCAAATAGAGATTTTTACCAATTAGCTTACGTTTGAGATCTAGCCGGAACTGAGCAAGGAAAAAGAAAGGCCAGATGTTACCATGTGCTGTTTAAAAAAGATATGGTGAATTATTCATGGCATATTTTGGTAGCGATAACGTGATGAAAATATTAAACAGCCTGCCAAGTATTTAAGTTTTTTTTAAAGAGAGGATTTTCGCCAATGGAAACCGCGAAGTTCGACAGGAGTATCCGCATGGCGATAATTAATTTATAATTTATAAAAAAAGGAATAAAAAAGAGGGGAAAATGCACTTCGATTCTCTTTACTTGTGATCATGAAATTGAGGAACCGGCATTACAACCTACCCCATAATCTATAATCAATGTTTTTGTTCTCAATATATAGCAAAACAAATATTAACGTTCTCCCGCTTGGTTAAGTCTAGCCGCCTTCAAACATATGCGTCTTGTGCAAGACAAAGAAGGTGTTAGCTGTTAAATTTGTATTCAAATTTGCGCGGAAATTAAGTTTGTGAGTTTTGGCTAGAACTCTTGCTTAGAAAAAATCTAAAAAGGCTAAACCTGGTGTGTTTGTTATGTCTTACCTTAATTTATCTCGGTCAGGTTCATTCAAAGCCATGCCTAGGATTATGCGCTTAACATCTGGTAGAGCAGGAGAAAATAAAGTCAATTCTGAGTTTGATTACAATGAAGCGCGTCTGTCAGTCAATCAGAAAATAGTCAGCGTCATAGGTTGGATAATTGGCCCTCATTAATGTAGATTTTATGCTTTGTTAGTTTGTAAATTTGAAACTGTAAACATTAACTATGGAACATAAAAAATAACGGAACTTGTATTTGCTGCAGTTGAAGCTCGATATAGCAACGTAACCTTTATAAAACAAAGACCCAGGTACGACGAACGAAAGTGAAATATATGGAAAGAAGCTTGTTATATCGAGTTTCCGCTGTACTAGAAAACGATTTGTGTGTTAATACATATTGAGCGTAACCGTGGGTGTCAAAAATAAGGTTGTCTACTGTGCTTTTATAAAAATGCCAAGATATAAAAGTTTGAGTGACATGAAGATAAAGTAATCCGCCACAGGCCTATCATCGGGTTCTATTGCATTTCATCTATACAGTATCTATGCAGAAATAACAATTTTCATCACTGAAATGAAAATCCACTTGTCAGATTGAGCGACAAGCCTTTTGCGTTAGAACTGCAGGCAGGTGTTGGCTCGGGCCCGCCGACTGAGAACTATTTTTGACATTACACCTTTTCCTGTAATGTTTGTTCGTCCAAGTTATTTTTAATGTATATATTTTTTATAGACCTAGAGAAGGACATAAGGGCAAAAACCGAGGAAGAATACCATACAGAAAGAAACAATCAAAGAAAAACCACAACGTATAACTTGCAATAAACATTCTTGCCAAAAACCGTTAAAAAATTTAAAAGTGGTTTTCCACTTTTTGAACAACATGATCTTCAGACTGATAGTGTTTCAATATAGTTTTTTAGAGGCCATACCGATGTTTTTCAATCGCCTTAAAAGTGGTTTCTTCCTTGTCCGATCGCTATAAAATTTTCACCAGTAATTGGCTATGGAGTGAAATTTGTGAAAATGTAGTTTTAAGTAAAATCGATATTACTATGACAACAATAAACAAAAAAACTTTAAAACTGGTAAAAGCGGAATATTTTCTGATCTAGACCTACTACTGAAAATCCAACAGTAGGAAAACACACATAATTTTTTTATTTCTTGCGAAAGTTATTTGCTAAACACCAAACTTTAAGTTCCTAGTATTGGATTTTCAGTAGCTGGTCTAGATCGCCCAAAATTAGGCTTTTATCAATTTTAAAGTTTTTGTATATTGTTGTCATAGTAATATCGATTTTACTAAAACCTACATTTTGACAAATTTCAATCTATAGCCAATCATTGGTGAACATTTTATAGCGATCAGACAAGGAAAAAATCACTTTCAAAGCGATTGAAAAATATCGCTATGGGCTCTGAAAAACTACATCGAAACACCTTAAGGAGGACGATAATCCAGCGCGTGGGAACAGGATGCTACGTAACTTTAACAGGCTTGTTGTTCTAAATGAGCCTATGCTCTGTCGCTCTCCATCTGATGTCAAGTTAGATTAATTTACGAATCTTGGCACAAAAGAAAACTGTAGTTTAAGTCAGTGTAACGGTACCAACGTGGGTTTTGTCTTATAAGCTGTGATGTAACTTCAAACGAGTATCCTCTTCAGGCGTAGACTACAAGCAGTCTCTCTTTTTTCTTGGTCCATCGAGCAAAACGCGCGAGACACGCAAATGACCACGCGAAGCGCCACTCGACGCTCGCACACGCGTGCACTCCCCTCACTAAATTTGATGAAAAAGAGTCTACTTCAAGCAAAGAAAACCTGACATTCTAGATCGAGTTTCGCAAGAACTGTTCTCTCGTCCTTACTTTTCTTTCTCCTTTATTGATCTTCCCCTTACCCACTTAAGCCAAAGTTGTACAGCCGCTTAAAGTTGTCCGGTCGTTTTCTGGGTTGAAGGACACGACCAATATATGCTTTACAAACAAACCACCATGCCAAATTTATTAACTTTTTTAAATCATGACCTCTAATTAGTACATATTTTAATGTAAAATCGCATAATACAAATTGCAATAAAAAATTTTATCGCTTCTATTGTACATAACTATATAGAACACTACTCTCTGGCTTCTTTTTTGAATGGTAATTGAACTGAGTGGAGTGCAATTTGGTCTGAAATCATACGCGTGAAGTGTGATTTCCGACCAATATTGCACGACACGAAGTTCAATTACCACTTTATTACTTCCATTTTGAAATCGCAGAATTTAGTCAGTACTAATATTTTATTGATCAAGTAGCCGGTTTGTTAAAAAGCCGAAACAAAAAGGCTTTTACATCTCATTTTGTATTCCAAACAGAAATGATGCGATATAGAACAAAAATGGTGCGATTTAAAACAGAAATGATGCGATTTAGAACATAAATGACGCGATTTGGAACAGATGCGATTTAATAATCACACTGCTGAGAGCCAATCAGATTGCACGGATAGCCAGTGATTTCAAAGTGGATGTAATAAAGGGTATTACTTTATTTTAAACTGTTTGTGTTTTAAGACCTCTATAGATTTGTTCTTGAAGTTTGCCACGAAAAATGAAGGTAGACTGAAACAAAGATGTATTTTGTGATATAGACGTGTCGAGTGAATCCTTGGAAGACTTTTTCTTCATGTTTGAATATACAATGTATCTAATATATCCATCTCTTTTGGACGAAAGGAAACCAAATATGTCTTAACATTTCCTTACAGTGTACTTAATCGATTTTGTGAAAATCTTTTGGAAAAAAATACTTTTCTTTTTAATATAGTCCTGTAAACTTTGAAAGTTAGGCGGATTAACCATAAAAGTTTCAACCCTTCATTGCGCATTTTCATTGTGTGACAAAAATCAGAGTTAAGTTTCAAAAGGATTTCTGCTGAATGCCCGTCAAATCTGAATATGGGTAAAGTAATGTGATCAATCTAACATTCATTATCTCGGACGAAGTATCTCGTCCGACTACGAAACTGGTTATTTCTCTTTTAATTTTTTTGAAACACCAGTGACAAAAAAGAAAACACTTAATTGTTTTCAGAAACATTTTTTAGCTAAGGCCGTGTTTACAAGGAGGGAGGATAACCCTAGTGCTTGGGTTACCCCAGCAAAAGGGTTACTCTAGCACTCGCACATTTCTTCCTTTTTTACACGACGTATTTACAAGGTACCTGAGTACTAGAAGGTTACCCTATAGCAAGAGGGTTACCCTACCTGGCTTGTATAGACGCTCTGCTAGGGATAACTCGCCTACCCGGGACAACCTTCTTCCGTCCTATGCGTGAACAGTAATCTTGACAAATTGAACGGAATAATCCAATTTCTGAGCTAAATTATAAATATCTGGGCCGAGTTGTTCAAAGCTGGGTTAAGATAACCCAGGGTTAATGCGAGATTTGAATTCAGATTTGAAAGCTTAAAAAGCATTTCAGCTTGGATTCTTTTTGTCTACAAGTTGATGATTGGAAGCTCTAAAAATAAGAGAAAATCATCCGAGAAAATGCTTTTCAACACCAAAAAAGGAAACCCGGGTTAAAACCTAATCGGCCTTCGAACAACTGGGCCATAAACAATATAAGGTTTCTGCATACGATGATAATATTTTTCCGTTTTTTCGTGAATTTAACGTGATTTCCATAGAGAACTTCAAGTTTTATTTCAAATATTGGACGTTGCCAAGAATGTTAGGCATGACGAAACAAGTCAGCAAAGCTGGTAAAGTCGAAGCGGGTGATAGGGTAACCCTACCTGTGAAATGTGCTTGTAAACCAGAGCTAACTTTGACCCGCTTGCTAGTGTAACCCTAGCACAGGGGTAACCCTCTCTCCTTAAAAACAGGCCCTAAGAGACTAGCGCTCTAATTTTCATCTTGAAGCTTACACTTCAATCCTGCCGATAAGTGGAGCAGCATATATGTCGTATCTTTCCCAATTTTTTCAGAAAAAAATATAATTAAAGGAGCGGGTTGCACCAGATATGTATAGGCTCCAATACTATATAGGTTCCCAGTAGATATTTCAGTTTATATGCCTTCGGCTAGGTACCACGCCTTCATTGTCTTTGCTGAACTCCATTTCGTTACACTGGCCCCACAATGAGTTGAAAATCCCGGGGCGCATAGCTATGATCCCCAACGTTGCAGAAAAGGTAAATTTGAAAATAGCTGTAGTTATCTGGCCATTTTTTTCCAGTTAAAACAGTCGCAAAATCCGGCGTTCATAGTTCAAACGTCTACAATACACATAGGAGGGTTATACTTTCCAAATGCATTCATTTCCACGTAGATGGATATTCCCAAGAAAATGAAGTAAAATAGAAGGTAAATACAGCCGACTTTGGGATTTAAAACCCACTTGTAGTAGTAAATTATTAGAAGTGTGACGGCTATGGAGCCTAGGATGAAGAAACAAGACACGAAAAGTCCGTGGCTGTTAATCACCACAGCCGAGTCATAGTCCCATACAGTTGTCTTGACAAGCCATGGAATACCAAGGCACAATAGGATATCGAATACGTTGCTACCGACTGTGTGAGATACTGCCATGTCCCCGTCACCTGGAAAGAAAACGTTTGATAGTTAAACAGGCACTTTTTTCATTGACCTGAGAAAATAGCCATATTTCGCGACGCTACCACTAGTTTCCCCTCGAAATAACGTCTGAAGAACGAACGCACAAACTCCATATTAATCACGTATCACTACCCAGATCTGTGTAGTACTTCTGATTGGTCGCTGGTTGAAATTTTCCTTCATCCAATCAGAAGCGGATCTGGGTAGTGACACGTCATCATCAATATGAAATTTCTGCGCTCGTTCCTCGGACGAAATTTCGCGGGAAAACCAGACGGGTGGCGTGTCGGCTGTTTTTTCATTTTCAGCCTCCCCCCCGCTCTAAATCTATTCCTTCTTTCTTCTTTTCTTCCGTATACCTAGCGTCTCACCCTGTTACCCATCTTCTCTTCTTTCTATCAAACTTAAACATTCTTCTCATTTATAGCACTCACTCAGTTCCAAGTACTGATAAAGTAAATAACAGAAATTTAGAATATTAATATTTAAATTCAGATATAGGTTCTAAATTCTGTAGAGTGTATTTCTTTTGTTGCGGAAAGAGGACCATCATGCTACTGGATGTTTGCATCCAGTTTTCCCTTTCTTCCTAACTCTCTTCTTTTTCTCCCTTCTATTTTGATTCATTACTTTTTTTCCTGAGGCTCTATTTTGTTTTTGTGGAAAGGGGACGCGCGTGCGCCGTTCCATCTAATGTTCCTGCACAGGGTTGTGCGCTTCGCACAATTGGGCAATTCATACCACGTTCTTTCTATACTGTTTCTATACTGTTAAGGTGCATTTGCCCTGATCATTTTTTTAAGCAGGAATTAACTATCAGGTGGGACGTATGCAAGTACAATTTCAAAAGGTAATTGCAGCAGTTTCAGTTAACTTGTACCAAAGCTGGCCTTACCTTTCTGTGCTACGAAGAGACTTGATAAACAGTCTGGCACGCTGCTTCCGAACGCCACCAGAGAAAGACCCATAACGGTATCGGGGATCATGAACGTGTACCCGATAATGGTGACCATCCAAACGAGGATGTACGAAGTGACTCCGATCCACACGATACAAATCACGAAGGAAAAGTAGACGTACTTCTGACAAGATTCTTTCTTTACATCCGGGATGGTGAAATAAAACGAAATGTTGATTGGGAGACCAAGGAACCAGCAGGTTCGTGCCCAGATCCCCTCGGGCGGGCTCCACGGAGTTCCTAGCGTCAGATCCGGGACCTCATGCGGCCTGTGTTGATCATATTCGTGATGGTGAGCGAGATGCTCACCGCTGTCTGAAAATTAAAGAAAGATTACTCAATTCGTTGTTTTTCTGTTAGCTATCTGAAGAGGAAATAAATATCTTTCAGCACCATAGTTCTTATTTGTTGTAATATTTAATTATCGGCAAGCTTTTCTTTTCCTTTTTTGACTCACCTCCCTTCTTTTTTTTCGTAAATGGTTTTTGAAGAAAGTTAAATATACATCCAATCAAATTTTCTTAAGAGGAACCAATTCCCTCGTCCAAAAAAATTGATGTTTGGTTGTCCACTTATTTACCTACGCTTGGCAGGACGCGACTGAGAGGTTGCATTGCGAAATGTCTTAGTATGTGTCAACAGTCTTTCAGCTCTATCGTCCTACGTGTTGCCCCGTAGACACAAGGAATAGTAACGTTTGGATTGTAGGTAGCAGTGGTGTATTCCAGTTCTTCAGATAAGGGGGAGCCCCGGTCATCCAGACCCTGGGATACGGGGGGGTGCAGCTCAAAAATTTGGGGGCCCTTCGGGCCTCAGTTTGGTCTAAAAATAAGTGGACTGGGCCCCCGGGCCCCTTTCCTGGATCCGCCACTGAGAAGTAGTGGGCAGAGAAAACGCAAATTTGGATACTTGACACCGCTCAGCTGACAAAAATTTACCAGAATATCCTTTAACATCTTTAGATTCATCTTTGTCTTCTTTGGGTTTATCCTCACTGTCATTTTCTTTGTCAGGCGTCTCTTTTTCAACGTCATTTTTTTCATCTTTTCCCTGGTCTTGTTCTTGCGCTTCGTCTTCAGGAAGTTGCGAATAAGCTTGACCCTTGCCGTTTGAGGCGTGAAGCTCGGATTTGTATTCGGGACTTTTTGTCTTGGTTACTTTGTAAAGCCACGCCTCTATGCGAGGATTGAAGTACATGATGAGAAGATATATGGAATAAAAGCAAACCATGGCTGTGGCTTCTGACCTAAATAATAGGCATAAATAGGATTATCTTAAAGAAAACATTCATTCAAATTTAAAGAAATTCGCAGAGTCGGCCATGGTCAAGACGACAACATAATAACATAATATGACTGGGGGTAAGGGATCGGAAGAATTTCGATTTATGACCACGGAACGGTTTTGAAACTGTCAGAACACTCTAAGCAGGCGTATTTGTCGGGCGAAATTTCGTACTCGTCTGAGTCGCTGTCCTTACTATTTTTTAAGGCGGTTGCCATAGATGGATTGCGGGGAGCTTGGCATGGGTCCCCAGGTGTTAGATGGATTATCTTTCGATACATTAGGGGCAAGGAAAACTTGTCAGACAATAAACGGCTGTTTTTATCTATTTGGTGACGGTCCACGCCACGCCCAAAAACCCTTGAACTTAAATGGGCCTTTTTCTTGTTTCTTCACTTTTCTACATTTCAATTACAAGAAAACGCCAAACTTTTCAAAGGAAAGGCATGTTAAAATGTTACATTTGTATTGACACAAATCGCTTTATTTTCAAAATAAACGATTTGATCCTTTTTATTATTTTGTATCTTCTTAGGATAGTAAAGTAAGATAGCTAAATCCACTTTTTTCTTAAAGGTTTTAGCAAAACGTGACCTAATTTGCATAATTTTGGTCTAGTTTAAAGCGTTATTTTGGTGTTGGGGTAATTTCTGCCATGAAAACCCCTCATTTTTACAAAAATGGTTGTTGACCGCCCCTTTTAGCAGCAAAAACGCACTGCAGGCCAGAAAAGACACAAATGCTATTCCTGATAATATCCTATTCGTTCGGTTAGTCCATTTTTATCAACATTGGCCTGTGAGTTCGTCCCATGGCAGCGTATTTTATATTAGTCCATTTTGCTGTGAGTTCGTCCCATGTAAGCTAATCGAAGTACAGTCTTGGATTCTGGACTACACGCTGTGAATGCCAGATTCTAGGTATTGGGTTCTGAATTCCTTGTCAGTGGAACTTGGAATTCCGGATTCCAATTGTATGTGGGATTCCGGATTCCTGGAGTTGTATTCTGGATTGCAAAGCCAGGATCCTGGATTTCACTGATAAGCTAAAATTTTCCACATTCCGGCGTGCAGGTTTCCTTACTTTGGACAAGTGAGTAACAATTAAAAAAAAAAAAACGACATTCTTACCAAATTACCACGTTATCCATGAGCACGAGCATGAGTATTACAAGGCTAAACAGGTAAAACAAACTATCTCTGACAAGAGGCCACCAAGCCAAGTACAGAACCTGAGAAGAAGGTATTAAAATATAAGGATCGAAATTGAGCACTATTAAATGTATGAATTAGTCACTTAACAGACGTAACTTTTTCTGGACCCCGGGGGGTGGGGGGTACTCAACAAATTTTTGTACCAGGAGGCTCCGCCCCGAGGTTCAACCCCATCACCATTTTATCTACCTTTTTTTAACAGGAATCAATCACAAAAATAGAAAGTTTTTCCGACTTTATAAAGCGATAAAATTCATCTGTTAGCCCTTTGGGCCCTTTCACAGACTCAAATGGCAGATTTCCCTATCCTTTTATGTACTTCAACAATTAAATCCCTACCCTTTCATATACCTGAAGCCTGAAAAAGGTACTTCTTTCGGGCGGAGCCTTCTCGTAGAGGCGATTATAGGGATTACCCTTCCCTCCGGTTTCTGGAGATGATAAAAGTATATTAAACTGAACTGGCCGGGAGCTAAGCAAGTGAGCATAGGGAATTTCCTTGCGTCTGTACCATGCAATAAAGCAGAGAAGGTCCATTAATTTGCTGAGCAAGCGTTTCTGTGACCGATAGTATGTAGAGGCAAGACAAAGTTCAGACTAAAAGTCGGACTAAAGTGTCTTTACTGGAATGTCTTTTATGAACATTTTTTGAGCAGCAAAACTAGCATGTTGGTTGGTGGGTAGACAGTGACATCGTAAGTCATCACAGACTGTCGGGGTACTAATCTACGCCACTTAGCTCCAATTATGTGTATTTAATTGCTTTCAAAAAATTGTCCTCTATTGGTTAAGATTTTATCAGGGAGAGCTCTGCATTCTCTATTAGATAAAAATAAGAAAGAGCGTACCGTCCCGGCTCCAATCCCGCAGACACCGATGACGAAAAGTACGTTGAATACCGCTGATCCCAAAATAGTCCCGACTCCTATGTCACCTTTGGTGATGAAGACGCCTGCGTCAAAAGGAAGGAAATTTGTAGGTGAATTCTTGTACAATTTTTTTTTCCTAGCAAGTAATGCTCGTTATTCTCTGATGGCGGAGACCTAGAATAGATGAATTTTCACGGAGAAAAGGGAGCAGTTCAAGAACTGAAGTTTACTATAGAATCGGGCTGGAAGAGCCACTGGGCTTTTTCATTTATCGAGTCAGTTGTAGAAGCATTTGTATGGAATTCCTCCCTCTGATTAGCTACTGAGATCAGTTTTTGACTGGATCACCACTTTGTCTGCAATCGTTGAATGACGAGAAAAGCTACTCTGGTTTTGACTTCCAAGCGAACCCGTTTTACACAGTCTCCTTTCAAGTACTTACCAATCACAGAGGCAAATAGTTCAGGTGCAGAACTTCCTAGCGCCATAAAAGTAGCTCCTGCTACATCGGATTGAAGCCCCATCTTATCACAGATGATCTCAAGACACGGTACGAAGTAATCATCGCATACAATGGCTATCGCCCAGAACATGTAGAAAGCCACCGCAAAGTTCACAATGACAGCACCATGCTGTCTTTGATATTGATTGAAGAAATCATTAGGGAATTCTTCGATTGATGGTGGAGTGCAATTCTTGATTTTTTTAGTTTTGTGAGCAAATAGATGCCGTGTTGTGAAGGAGCCGTCTAGAAAACGAAAAGAAGGTGGAAACTCAGTAAATTCAGTAGATGCCAAATACATGCCTAAACTGCAATCTACTTGCTTTACTCAGTAGGCTGCTTACAATATTCGCTCAAGAATTTATAATTTTGGTAGACTTCCTCAAACTGTTTCTCTAATATATATCGTGCTTACAAGCATACGTTGATGTGCACTCTACATATACTTTTGGAGAACAAGAGTAGATGAAGAGGCCTACTGCATTGACCAGAAATCAGTAGCTTGTGAGATCTTTTACAGCAAATTTTGGATTTTTGGATAAATCCTTGTGTTATCTGTAAGTGTTATCAGCCTCGGCCTTCGGCTCGGCTGATAACACTTACCGAGACCTTGATTATTTAGGATATCACAAAAACCGAATTGTTTTATTATACTTTGTTTTGAAGAAAATAACGACATACACACCATCGCAAGTAACCTGAATTGATATTGCTATAAAATCACAGGGGCACCCAACGAGAATATAGTTCAAAACCACTTAACCCTATTCAGACTGGGCTTTTTTGGTCAATCTGTGACTAGGGGGGGCGGGGGGCTCCTCGGACCCCCCTCTGTATCTCTGGAACCAATAATGCTAGGGTCATGAAATTTACACACAATGATCATCTCCGTACAAAAAAGCCCCACACTCAGTTTTGACTTGCCACGCCCAATGATGACGTCACAGTGACGTCATATTCCGATTTTTCAATGTTTCTTATTATTTTTCCACTTAGATACGTAAAATATCAATAATATTGGTAAAGTCATCTCTTTGTTATCCTTTCTTATGAACTAGTAACAAGGAAACACTTGTACAGCGAGAAAAAGCAATACGAAGCAATAAAATTTAAAATTTGAAATGGTTGTCCGCCATCTTGGATCCGCCATCTTGGATTTCCGTTTTTTGTTAAAATTATAATTTAAAGCAACTTTCAAAGGGGAAAAGCTCAGAATGTATAAAAGAAGTATCAAACTAATGTTTATTACCCAAAAAAATGACTTTGGAAGTGTTATTTGGAAAATAGAGCAGCATATTTGTCAAAGCAAAAAGTGACAAATTTTACCCCACCCTCCCCCAAATATTCGATGTTGAAACATTTTGATGTAATTCAAAAAACTAGTCCCAAGCAAAGACTATTTTGACAACAAACAGCACTATAAGTGTAAAAACGCGATCTTAAAACAAAAAAAATCACCATTTTTTAAATTTCCAAAACCTATGTGTCAGAAACCGGTTGCCATGGCAACATGATTAATCACATGGACATGGTAATTATACCAAAATGTTTCTAGATAAATTTTAGGAAAAGTCAGAAAATTTGAACGTCATAGTTTTCGGTGTAAAACCACGATTTTGCCGGATAGGGTTCAATGTTAAACGTTAAACATAGCAATGTTAAACGTATTTTAGTATTTAAACGGTAGATATAGGCATATTTTTATCCCCTAAAAATTTTTCATCTGTTCGGATTTCCTAGCTGAAAGTCTAGTGATCCGAAAATTATAGGGATCAAAACTTATCTTTTCGAAAATTTCAGCCAGAAAAAAGGCTTCCGAAAATTCTCGGTGACTTTTTTAGGGTAAAAATCCGTTAAAAATAGGCAAATATACCATTTTTTGGATGTTCGAAAATCCTAGGAGAGGCAGGCAAGCAAGAAATTTTACAACAAATGTTACGAAAATTCTAGATCTCAAATCGTCTTCCGAACAGATATTCTTCCGAAAATTGTCGTTGGGTGCCTCTGAAATCATGCATTGCGCGCGTAACCTACAGATTAGTCAGTTATCTGCTGAGCAGATAACTAACTAATCTATGGGTTGCGCTGATTTCCAAAATTAGCTGTAGGATCTAGCCGATGAGAAAACAGCTATTGATTACAATATATAATAAAGTAGCCTTTAATAGATCTTAACAGCTCTCACGAGTCTCCTGTGGCTCAGTGGTAGAGCATCTGGGCTAACAACCAGAAGTATATACTAGGTTCGTTCTCCTTTCTTACGACGCACCCTTGTCTTTGACCAAAAGACATCTTTCTCCTAATTATGAAACATTTTTAAAGTAAGGACGAACCGTCTATGCGTGCAACTGAGATTTGCATCTACTGTTACCTCAACCTTTTATACCCGAAAATTGATAAGTAGATCGGACCGTTGCGGCGGCACTTTTAAAAACAGGCAATCAGCAGGTTACTTACACGTTCAGGTGAAACAGTTGCTCGAAAATAAATTAGTTTTCTTTGCTTTAATTTTCAAATTATGATCTTTTTATCCATTTAAATTTTAGCTAAAGTACTCTGACTGAGATAAACATGACTAAAAAATAATGACAATTCTCTTAATCAAACTGGAGAACGACGTTTCTCTTTAGTAATTCTAGCAATAAGGACAGTAACCTTAAAATGTTTGAACATGAATCAAAACATTAAATTCATCTGTCAAGTGATTTTTTTGCGTTTTTGGGAATAAAAGGTTCTCTAGCTAATGCTAGAACCGTTTGGAGATTAGTTGCTTTGCAAACTTATGACAAGAAGGAGAAATTAGTTTATGACCAGGCAGGTTATACAGGTAATTCGTTCCCGCCCCCGCCTGGACCCCAAGTTATATTTCCTCAACAAAACTTTATTCATTTTTTTTGAAAATGTCACTTTATCCCACTTATTTGGTGTCAGGTCCAAAATGATTTTTTCTCCATAGGGTGGCAGGCATAATTTTACACACCAGCATCCAAAAACTCTTGAGCGTTTTGCCCAAAGATGGACTTGAAAGCTAACAAGGAATAACGTGTTGCAGTTTACTATTGTATGCAAGAACGCAATAAATTTGTTTTGTATTTAGTGTTTTCACAGTTCCTAATTCAAAAGATAAACATACCTGAAAGTTTTTCTGAAAGTGAGGAAGGTTTTCTTGAGACATCCTGGGTCAGATCATGAGTGTTCCAAGTGTAGAAGGCAAAAAGCAGGGCCACAAAAACCCCGAATCCTAACTGTGCCTTGAAACTTCCCCTTCGTCTCATAGCTACGATGAACGACGGAACATGATATGTAAAGTGAACTAGAAGAGAAGAAATTTCATTGGGAAACAAGTGAGTTGTTTATCGTTTGGTTACACAATATCGTATTTATGTAGTAAGCTATTGGTTATTTATAAAACGACCTGTAGCGAAAGAGCCTAAATAACCTGTCAAAGGCGGCCGTCCGTGACTCGTAAGTGTCGACACAGAATGGCATAAACAAACACGGTTCAATTTTGCTGAGCTCTAACTTATCTTATATAGAAGAATTTAGTGAAGCAATTTATCTTATGGATTGATGAGACTTTGACGCAACGGAGTCGTGGCGTGTGACAGACAAACCGCGTCTGACTGACAATTAAACACCGATTTAGTTTAATTGGTTTGAGTAAACAGACTGAAACCAAACAAATGAAACTCAAAGACAAACCAGTAATTAGATGGATTATGCACAATTTTAGGACTTAACACAAATGCGCAAGCCATCTGAAAAACAAGTTTTGAAGTTTTTGTTTTTATACCTTTCTTCTTGTCTCTGTCACTTTTTGCGACGTAACTTCTCGAGTGTTCACTGGCTTCATTCATAACCCTGGCGTATCAGTCCCCGTCCACACGAATCCGGATATTTTTGAAGCCGCTCTCCAGACTGGTTTAAGATCGCGTCCACACTGTAGTCTGCAACACTAGTCGTTTTTATTGTCACGCAACGCTCCTCCCCACGAGGAGCGTTGCGTGACGACACTAAAAACAGCTTTGTAGCCGGACTACGTCCACACGAATCCGGGTAAAAAAAAATATATGCGGTTTCAAAAATGTCCGGATTTCTTGTGGACCGGGCCTTAAAAACAAAAGAAAATGTCCAATTCCTCTCCATTGGGATATCATCAAGAATTGTCATGGCATATACACGCTTTTTGTAGCTCGTGTAACTCTAGATTTTAAGGTAGAAGTGCATGATTGCTGGCTTTGGAACTAGAAGAGATGGCTGATAATTAAGAACTGCAAAATAAATTTATATGCATCGATATGTAGCAAAGTAACTTGCATTAACAGTTTGCCAAAGAACAAAAACAAAATAGATGTAGAATGTTTTGTAGGAATAACAGCTATTGCAAGTATGAAAGTATTCATCAAGGCGAAATGAAGCAATCGGCTGTATCCTCTGTATTCAGGAAACTTGTCGGCGCTTTCCAAAATTATTTTATGCTGTTTATGTCCGATAATCAAGCTTGTGCTCGTCTGAAATTTCTATCCCCCTGCCTGACGCTCTATTGTAAATAGGTGGCTGCTACGCTCGAAAAGGATCGCCAGGATCGCCAGGCGGTAGCAGTAACATGATTTAGCGAACCATGACATAACACTTAAACGGCGAAAAAAAAAATTCAAAAACAAAACAGAAAAAGAAATGAAGAGACGAGGAAAAAAGAAAGAAAATTTGTTCTGAGCATTTGCAAAGTTTTGTCTCTAGGTTCTTAGCGAGAGCCAGGGAGCGTTTCGCACGGAATAGATATATGTCCTGGCGCACCCTTCCAGCAGAGGGAATTACTTCCTGTTAAGGGTTTTCCTGTCACTACTTGTAGTCTTTTCTATTGCCAAACTATTAGAGCCTTCCTTAGCTTTCGCTTGCTCGATTATGGCGTTTTCGAGAAATGAATCCAGTAGGATCTTTGTTGAGCATGCGCTGCATTTTGCTAGGATACAGTTTCGAACCCAGGCCATTAATTGTGCTTGGTACAAAGGGCTCAGTTATAAGAATCAGTTAAACAATTAACGAATGCTGGCGCACTTGAAAAACCAGTTTGACGAGAGAAAAACAGGACTGACCGTCCAGAAGTTCGGGCTGCGGCGACTTCAAAGGCTTGACACGATTCATGAAGAGCCTCCTTGATTTTTTATCCTCCCCTCAATCAGGAAGAAGACAAAAGCTAGGAGGCTGTGCTGGCAGGGTGTATCTGGCGTTACCGAGAAAAACTACGGAAACACATTGGAAAGCAAGACCCACACTATTTCGGGGACACAATAAAATAATACGAAAGGAAATGATATGTGTGGGGAGAAGAACACAGAAAAAAATTTCCGAGTTCCAGATGGGAAATAATTGAACCCACGACCTTCCGTACACTAGTGCTTTAACCACTGAGCTACTGAGAACTTAATGATGAGCAGGTCAATTGTAGGCTGACAGAACTACCGCATCGCGCAGTCACATACAGTAAAGTAGAAATAAAAAAATCAACTATTCAAAAAACTAGAAAACTGTACTTTGCACAGTTCTGTTATACAAAGTTAACTTATTTAATCTATGGTCAAGAAATAATTCAGGGGAGCCCAACGACCAAATGTTTCCAAGTACGCCAGAAGTGTGTCAGAAGGTTTTCTCTATACCTGTTTGGTCAATTTGGAGTTGCCCCAAAAACTATTTATCTGTTCAAATGTCTTAGGGGAACTCTGTTCGTCAGGAAGGTTTTAGGTGGCTCTAGTTTCGTCTCATCCGAAAGTGGTAGCTACCCTTAAGGGTCCGGTCGAAAGTTCGAGAACATGAAGTAACCTTGCTTTCATAAGGAAAATTATAGGGGAAGTTTTGTCTTTACACCGAACGTTTAAGGAGACCCTTTAACAATAATCACAATACCATGGTATTAAAATGTGACTAACACAACCTTCGAAAATCGTAGTTAAGCTATTAGAAAACCTCCGAATATTTGAGACGAATGGAACGGTTATCCAGAAATTTTTAGCTTTTCTCAAGCTTTAGACATTTCTAAGCAACATTTGCTCCTTTGACGAGTCATTTTACAGAAAAAAGTCGCTGGGTGCCCCTGATAGTTGGAAAACTTTGATTAGAAGGTATTCAAAAAGGGCACAGCCCCTCACAGCAGCCTTCGTCTTAAAGTATTGTTGTGAAGTATTTTGAAAGTTATAGTTTTTAAGACGGATCTATCTTTTCTTATAAGTTTAGTTTTTGTTTCATTTAGTCTTGTTTGCGCTTGGCATTGTCAGATGTTAGTTTTTTACAGGTGCAGTCGTGTTTGTGGTGTTAGAGCTGAGCTTGGTTCTTTGGTACTTGTCAGTTGCGACTGTGCGTAGGCTAATCTATTCTCTAACAATGGCAAACCTGTTGCAATGTTTGCGATAAGATATATAATAGACCTTGTCACGGTTTTCGACGCCATGTTGACGAGTAGGCAACAGCAGAGCTGAGAGATTACTTTGTGTTTGCGACTGTGAGAAATCTAATGGCAAACCTGTTGCAATGTTTTAAGATATATAATAGACCTTGTCACGGTTTTCGACGCCATGTTGACGAGTAAAACGGCTGTTCTGAAAAAATATCAAAACGGCTGTTCTGAAAAAAATATCAATTGTAAACTAAAGCTACAAAGCAAAGGATTATCCTAATAGATTTGGGGGTCGTACCTGTGCTTGAATTTCTCCAGAGGCTTGCTTTAGATTTTCCACATATTTGTCCGTAATTTTCCCGGGACTTTCTTTCAGACAAATGTATAGAAAATTAAAAAAAAGTGGTTCTAGGTCTTCTAGTGCATGTAACGCCTTAAAATTTTTTTGGGAGAATCCTTAGCAGTGAAGCTTTAGTTTACAAATAATATTTTTTTCAGAACAGCCGTTCTACGGAAAATATTCGACATTAGATTCTCATACAATCACTTTAATTTCTCACCCGTTTGCCTACTCGTCAAGATGGCGTCGAAAACCGTGACAAGGTCTATAGAAACTCTCCCGATCAGCTAACCCAAACATGTCCAGCTTTGGCTATAAAAACCGCTAGTATACTTGAACTAGTAAGTAGAGAAGAGTGGAAAAGTAGAAAAGAGTGAGAAGAGTAGGAAGATTAAGATTGGTAGCAAAAGTCAAAGAAGAAGAAGGTCAAGATGTAAATCATATTCCTGGTACCTCATTGAGTAGCGAGCGAGTTGCTCGAACAACCCGGCCCCCCACAGTATACTTATATGACGCTTACGGCCTATTTAGTTTTAATTTTTAAAAACTGCCAGCGAATTAGCAGATCTCTTTTCACCGTTTGGGGGCCTAAGGAACCTGACGAATGTGTTTTCCGTATTGTATGTGGGTGTGGAAAGAAACAAAGATTGCCTAAGTAGTTTTAGGATGAATGTTATGTTCCTAACTAGTATCACGAATATTCGTAGAGCTTAAATTGTGTTTCAAGTTGTATTTTAAAAGAATGCATAATTTTTTGCCCTATAAGCGCCCTAACGTGGTCAACGTTTCTCTCACTGCAGTTGTTAAACTGAAGGCTCCTTGCACGTTTTTCTTTATAAACCGCCTTTAAATCACCTCTTTCCTTTAATCTTTCTAACTTGTTGGCGATACTAGATCCGTCAGAAATGCGCCGCAAGAACTGGCAGTCATGTCAAGGTGTGGTAAAGGCTTTCTTGAACAATTGCAGCTTAGCATTTGTTGGAAGTCTAACCTTTAAGTCTTAAAAGTATATTATAATAGTCTCCATCGCAAGGCGTATTTCTGACCACCATTTGAGTTACATATTGAAGGGGGAAGAGGCTCCCCAAGCGACATAAAATGAATATAAATGCGAGGTGTGAAAAGCTTACCTTATTTAGGAGCAAAATGTGACCAAGGTAGTATAGTAAAAAAGAGTCGGCTATTTCCTCCAAGGCGACTAAGTTATAAGTAACAGAAAATAATTAATTTAAATCAATCCTTGCAAACAAACGTAACAGTGATGATGTCGATCAACCATAGCTGATATTAAAGCAAGCTAAATGCGGTTCCATGAGTTTTAATACTCACGTGAAAAAAACCCGTTGTCAGGGAAATATAATTTTCTAGTAGGCATCGTTGTGTTTATCGCTCTTATTTGTTAACAAATATTAGGGGAGTAATTTCTGATATTTTTATTTGTGAAAGCTTTTTTCATTCCAAGCAATTTGCAAAGCTGTAGACTACGTGACTGAAAACGATCTATATATGGTTTTGGTGGCGGCGTAAGAGCTATACGGTGAAGTGTAGACATCACATATCCTGAAACAAGCGCATACAAACGTAATACAAGCGAGATACAAATACCAACGAAATACAAGGGACCTGAATTAAAGTACAAAGTAATTAATTTTTTAAATGTCTGTCTCATGCAGTGCTCTATTTTAATCAAATTCCCTTTTTGAAAAATAATATTCGTGCATTTAGACGGTGTTTTAATACTGCCTGAGGAAACTGTTGCCAAGGAAATGTGCTTATCCTAGTTGGCATCGTTGTGGTTATCGCTTTCATTTTTTAATGAATGAAAGAACAGATCTTTCAACCATTTTTCTTAGCCATATCCTTATCAAACCTTGTTTTTATCTGATTCATTAGCGGTCGACATTGGTGTTTTTTACTTTAAGTGTAAAGTAAATTTCTCGTTCAATTACTGACTGAAATCCACTAGATGATTAAACGCATCCGCCAACTGCAGCGATTGAAAATAAACAAGTCAACTTCTAATTACGTGAATCTCACCACGACTATTTTCTCAGACAAAATTCCTGGCACTGATTGTACCGTCGAGTCGCCAGCATATGTCTTAATGGGCTTGCCTCCTTGTTGGGTACAACCCCCACCACCACCCGCGATATGGTGCTAGGGATTTTGTAGCTAGTCCAGTGGCGATAACGGTAGTTTCTGCGCGCTGCGCGCCCTGTTTAAAAATGCTTTTCTTAACGCCAAAGTCTTCTTACAAGACGGGTTGTCGACCTCATCCTGTGGTCAACAGATTCACACATACACCGAGTGAATGCGACGCCCACATCAGCAGCGACAAAACTAGTGGGGTTTCTATTGATATAACCTTATTGTCATCTAAGAGCGGCAAAGTTCCCTCTTTTTTAGGTCTTTCTGAACAATTTTAAAATACCTTTTCAATTTGAGGGTAAATTAAAGACCAAGTCAACTGATTCAGTATAAAGAATAATTGAGGTACCTCTTTCCTACCAACAACATGAATTAAATGCTCAAATCTGACTTTTGTCGATTTAATTAACGCCTGCACGTTAGCAATGCATTATAACAATCTGTTGTTTTGCTTAATTTTCATCCGGGTTCTGCTTAACGAAAAAAGCAAATTAAAGTGAAAGCTTTTTGTAAAGGATTTACGTAAAATATTGTTTGCTTCAGGGCCGCTAAGCCAAGCTGCATGCAAAATGTGAGAAATTCTCGGAATGCTTATATATTCGAAGAACATAATAATGATATGATGATGATGATGATGATGGCGACAGCAACAACAGCCCTAGTCGATTTTTTTTTTGACACTTTCCTTGCTTTATTTATCTGACCTGTGTGATAAAATACGCTTTTGGATGTGTTTTATCGGAGAACTATTGAGATTAAAAAAACTCAAACATAAAGTGGACCAATGTACAAAAAAAAATCTGGCAGCTTCAAAGGAGGGTCCCCAGAAGATTTATCGGGATCCTGGATTTCCCTTCTTTGAAGCTCGAGATTTGGGATTTAAAGCAAAGACTAAAGCAAAATCGTGGTGAGATTCGGGGTCGAGAGTATACACGCGAGATGAGATGTCATGTACCCATCGGTTGTACGGGATTGCGCGAAATTTTGCGCCGGGATGACGGACTTGAAAGCTCATCCGTCTTTTGATACAAAGTTATCTTCACATGAGACGTCCAATGTTTCAATCTTTGCTTTAAACTTTTAAGGTTTTTCTCCTATGCACCATATTGTAATAGCGTTGCATTGCCACAGGAAAAACAAATAGGGAACACACTGTGTTCGGAACTCCAATTTTAGCGTCAAAGTTTCAACTTTTAATCGCTAATTAGCCCTGGGGGAAAAAATTCTCTAGCATTTTTTAAAATTAAAGTTCAATGCTTAATAAATTATTTTCATTTATCTTTTCATTTTCTCTGCGTAAACTTAATGTAATTTGCTGTACAATTCGGATTTTAAAATCGTGAAGTTAAAGAATGCCAAATTAAGACACGCTACATGGTACTGGATACATCCTCATTATTCTTAGTGCAAAACCAAATCATTTAAAAAACAAGACTCGATCGTCGAATGCGCAACATAAATTGTTCTTTTTACCTCTGCCATTTTCTTAGCGCCCTAAAGAACCTTGGTGTTAATGGCGCTAATATTCGAATAATATATCTTAGGCCTCACATTCGTGTCAACACTCCTATGTTAAAAAGATAACAACACGTAGGTTCAGGTGAAGAAGTATTATTATACACAAATATCTGCGCAATTTACGGGTCCATTACAGTGCGATGAAATTGCTAAGGACGAAGAGCATGACCAGAGTGGTCTATACATCGGTTCAGTTCTACACCGCTATAATCCCTTTTTAAGACAATTGTCGAAGGAGATGATTCGTGCATACTTCTTCTAAACGTAAAATAACATGAACTTGGGCCGCACCCAAACTTTCGCGTTTCCTGCATAACACTTGAACCTTATTGCCAACTGGGACGCAAACAGCTACACACTTTTCAAGATAATTTCTTTCTATATAGCATGCCTTTACCCCTTTCTTCCCTTAAATAACCTTACTTAGGTTGGAAAAGGAATGAGTTAATTACCTTTTTCCTTTTCTTTTGCGATTCAGCCCATTGAACAGCTCATGATCAACTCAACCAGTGATACTACCGTAGATCTTTTGCTAACTGATCATTTTGCAAACTACACCTTGTAAAATTCAGTAATTATTCATGAATGTTATGACAAATCAGTATAGAAAAACACCTCTGTAAAACCCAATACTACTTGACTAGGCTGATGACAAACACTTGCTCACCTAATAAGCATTCGTCAACTTTAAATACAGATCTTTTTCATTGTCTTATTTCACAAGTAAAAGTGCTAACAATGGCTCGCCTTTTCCCTCTCCATAAATTACAAACGCCCATACAGATCGGACGCGAATACTTTGTCTAGTACTTACGTACCATTAGCAAATTTTTTGTTCTGTCGTTTTGAGTTTTTATCATGATTTTGTGAAGTATTCCTTTAGTTTCGGTACACTGTGTTTAAAAATAAGCTAGAAGGTTTTTGTGAGAAAGAAATAACGAAATTTATCATGGAGAACCTCTTTGTCGTCTACTTAGTCCTCAAGTTCCCGCAAAATCATTGCTTTTTAACATTTCGTTAAACATGAGGCATAGCTAGCTAATTTGACACTGACATTTTTGTTATTCTAGGTTTTCCTGTACATAATTAAGTCGTACGAATGAAAACACGCCTATGATTACAGACCTACCATTGATAATCGTTATAGCGGAGCTCTCGCGCGCGCTGGACATTTTTTGTTGGAGGAATAACATGAAATTTTGTAGCGGCGGTGAGAAAATAAGAAATGCTAGCGGCCACCGTGAAAATGAGCGACAGTAGAAAAAAAGTGAACAAGAACACGTACGTACATTTCCTCCATAAAACGTGTAGCCAGGACGTTTCTGGAAGTTTCTCGTTGTAGTCGTGCAAAATAAGCGCAAAGAAATGCACAAAAAAAGTGCGCTGCACGTGCAAAGTTGCTTTTTTGCTAATTAGACATATTGTTGTTTTTTCACCGTTCTCGCTGCCTTCGCCGCTCAAGCACAGGGGCGGATCCAGGATTTTTTTTTAGGAGGGGGTGCACTCGTCTCTTGCTCTACTTCAACAGCAATAAACCACATAGTTTTTTTTTGGCAGAATACCAGTCGTATTAGAAAACCGCAGGTCATCTCAGGGGGTGGGGGGGTTCGCACCCCCTGCACCCTCCCCCTAGATCCGCCCCTGTAGCATTTCGCGATTGTTTGAGCAAACTAAAATCTTATCGAGAGCTTTGCGTTTAGCCCTGGCTAAATCTATGCATTAATATATATATATATATACACAGTTATCTAGGGGAAGGTGAATAGCCATGGATATTTCGAGCAAAGGAAGCCAATCAAAACACGCAAAAATTGCTTTCAACTGATTTGGTTAATACTGATTATAAATCTAGTAATGCGCGTAGCAGGTCTGATTGGATTTCATTTCAGGCTGCGTTCAAAAGACGAATTTTTGGCCGCCCGAAAAATTTGACTGGCCACTTCGTTCACAGGGAACCGTTCAACATTTTCGCTCTGTTCAAATGGAACTTTGAGCGGCAAGACGTCTTAATGTTTGTACGGTTGAGGCGTTCCTGTGTGAACGGAACACCTAAAACGCACGAGTTTTTTTAATTTTGATTTTTAACGAAGGAAATTATTGTTTAATGAGTGTTTGGAAATCAGACTGATATATTCCATGCAAAAATTTGAAAATGTATGTTGAACAGCATGTAAAAATGCGAAAGCTCACAATGTTTATCACTGCTGTTTGTGTTTTATTTTTGATCAAACTATACAATGGCTCAAGAACAAGTCTCTAAAATTGAATATTGAGAAGGTAAGATCGCCCGACAGATTTTTGCTAGTCTTGAAGAAAAAAAAAAACTCATTTTATAAGTACCTCTGTCCCATATCCCGCTAGTGATGGTGCGTTGACGACAATGTAAAGGTCTGACATTAAAGCGTAAAAAGTCCTTAATATTTATCGTTTTCTTAAACATCAGTTGGCTTTTTAGAATAATGTGCGTATATTTTATTAATTGCCTGAGAAAACCGTTGCCAAGGAATGCAATTTTTCTCGGTGGTATCTTTGTAATTATTGTTTCTTAAAAGATAAAAATTCGTGAAAAAGAAATTTCAGCTATTCAGTTTCCCTTCTCAAACCTGGCTCGATGTTTTTTCTTTTAACTGTGAATATCTTTTTATGTACGTTAGGATACAAGAATAAAACAAATTTCTTAGCAATTTTACAGAATGGAATTAAACAAACGCATCAAGAAAATACAAAGTTCAAAAGATCAGAATTTACGACGCGCTATTATTGAAATATGCTAAACACAGTTATGAAATACATTATTGTGATTGTCCAACTTCGACTACTTTCTCAGAGAAACTCCCTGGTACCGATTAGCGGTATTTCGAATCCTCAGATACCGTTAAGGGTTTTCCTACTGCACTTTCACTGACAATTATGAATAACCTTCCGCTTTCTCTTCTATCAAATGAACAGTTATGCCTAATTTTCAAATTGTCAAAATAAAGCCTGTAGTGTCCTTTTATTTTCCTTTATAGCCTTGACATTCTAGGTTCTATGGAACAGTCTTTCCAGGCAAATTCAGTACATTTAATTTCCTAGCTATGTCGGTTTCTTTATAGAGATGGTATAAAATAGTAGTCCTATGTGCCTTCTTACTTATGGATTGAAAATCATGCACACATCACTTAATCTATTTCATTATCAAACCTCTACACTTTCTCGTACAATACAAGGACTATAACGCCGAATCTTTTGGTTCTCATGTCTCAAAATGATTCATAGTTCTTTGGCAAATGTAAATCGATCGCATCTCAGTCACTGGCCACGAAGTAAAGTACCGTATCTTAAGCTCAGCAATGGCGCTGTTTTATAAACAGACGAAACACCCAGAAATGCCCTAAATGCTAGTTACAAATTAAAGCGTGCTGAGGTATAAAAAAACTAAAATTAATTAAATATAAGAATGAAAAAGAGCTAGAATTTGTATCAATTGTCGACAGGTTATAAAATAAAAACAAAGAGAATGGCTAAAAATCAATGGAAACCAGTAGTATATATTGTCTATTTATAATTGCCTGGCATTTTAAAGAAGATCAGGATAGTCTTGTTATTAGGGAATAGCTGACTTTTGCGATATCGTCACACTCTAGGCCACAGGTCATTTAATTAAAAGTCAAAACGTAGCCTCTCTTTAAAAGGAGAATGTAAAATCAAAGATTGTGAAAGGGGGGCGTCGAAGTACGTTTTGGTAAGGGCACAATTCACACGTTCATTTCATAGGTGCTACTGCAGCCTGCGTGGTAGACCTTCAAAGGGGTAGGACGAATTCAGGCCGAAAGTCTCTTATATCCCCGTCCCCTGGCTTTCGAACGCATTGCACGCAAGCTTGTGCTACGGCACGGTGGATATAATTACCTTTTCAGTCCGAGGAACTTTAACGTTAAGCCGTTTCTCTTAATGGTGCCAAGCAATGCTCATTGCATTGTATACTCGTAATCAAGTCGACAATAGAAATGAAAGTTGTTATTCTTGAGAGAGATAATGGTCAAACAAGAACGAATTTTGAAATTTGCAACTTTGAATGTTAATTACGTCCTTGTCAATTCATTGTGAAATGGGGACGTATGTTGACACAGCCGTTTTGATTAATTGTTCCTTTTTAGCTTGGGAGTAAGAAGGCACTGATTAAAATATCATCTGAGCCCAAAGGGACACTTAAGTTATCAAATTTATTCACTGTTCTCTAGACACCATTTTCTATCTGACAAGGAAACGACTGACGGCTGCTCATTGCTGATTATAATTTATGCAAGTCTGCTTGAAGAGTGAAAGGAACTTCTTCGTGGGATGCTACGTATCTGCTTCGTTTCCAAGGTTTCTCTTAGCTTCATCCTGTCTCCTTCTGAGATCTAGAACTTTTACTTTTGGGCACTGGGAATGTATTAAGTAATTTCAAAAAGAAAATTTCTGGGAACGAAAAAATCTAGCATAGAGTTAAAGCTGTATACATGCATTTGCACAAAAAAAAAACAACATCGATCATAGTAACCTTGGAGAAAAATGATTGCACAAACAAATATCCAACCCCTCCCCACTAAAAAAAGGGTCGGCTATTGTTGCTTCATCGATCATTTATTTATTTCAATCCTGGATTGTTTTTAAATTCAGTCAAATTTTTAGAAACAAGAACCATGACTCTATATTTATTTTCGCATTTTACTTATGCGTCAACGTTTGTATGTATGTCCAACTCCGGTTGACCGTATTTTTTTTTGTTTGGTTAAAGGTAACAATTCCTCTGAAGATGTGATTTATTTTAAATGTAGATTCTGGCCCAGTTTATTGACCAAGGGTGTCAAAAACGAACATGAAAACGCTTACCGTCTTTTGTTTGCACGACAGCTGCCACTGACACGATCACAGTCGACTCGGGCGCTCTGCTGAATATTATGTGCGACGTGTAATGGGAATTGTCCTTCACCTTCTCCCTGATCCCATCACACCCCATAGATTGAGCCAAAAAAGGACGGGTCAGCGGCAGCCATCTCAGTAGTTTTTCACTTAGGCAAAAACGAATGGTGCCCAGTCCCCAACGATTCTTCCGAGTCTGGTGCAGCGTTAAATTCCCGCCAAAATGTCTCTCCTGTTTAAGCCACTTGCCAAATTTCACGTAAACCTCCCAATGGTTTGTATAGGTAATAGCATGATTTGTAGTGATATTTGGCATAAATACAACGAGTGATATTTGAAAATTGTTATACGTAATTTCACGAGCCTAGCGGCTCGTGAAATTTGAGACAATTTTAAAATGTCACGAGTGGTATTTATGCCAAAAATCACGCAATTATTTGTTTATACTACTACTCGCAAAGGTTTTGTACTTTTCACATGGAGGTATTTCAAATTAAGCTGAAATACCACTGCTCTAAGCCAATCAAATTGCAGAAATTTCTCATGTAGTAGTATAATACTCTGAAATACAAGTGTAATTCGCCGAGCTACCCAAATGACTACAAAAAGTGCATCAAGGTGGTCGTGTCAATCTGCTCTAGACATTTCGAGGACGGTCTCAAAGTTTACTTCGACGTCAATCTCATGGCCGCCAAGTTCTCTTGATTTCGACATATATTATACTCTTCCGAAAACTAATTGTGTCAATCGGGCACAATTTATTATTTGCATAAGCTTGTGAAGATGAAAATTTGTAACACATACACCTAATTTTTGTTTTCTTTTTTTTTTTTAATAACTGTTTACATGCAAATGTTAATTATTCAGCGAAGAGACTGCGACGCTTGGCCAAAAATAGTCTGTAGTGCAAATTAGTTTAACAGGCCATCCTTCAAGCTGGTACTGGAAGAATCTACTTCTCATTATATCGTTTCTAACGGGTACTATTGTCCTTCGAATAGCTTTATAAGGGATATTGATAGTGTCATTAAACCGGCACCGAACTGCTACCAACGCCTCTGCGTTAGAGAGCAATCTTTCAAGAAGAATTCTTCCTACGGATTCGTAGGTTCTCCCTCGCTGCTGGAGGGCCGCTCCATTGTGAGACTTTCACCAGAGCCAGAGGAATCTGCCCCTGATAAAATGGGATCATGTTCGAGATCATTGGCTACCTCCCAGTCATTCAAAGGATCATCAAGGTACTCATCTGGTTCTTCGGTACTCTCGATTCGTGTTTTCATCCTCTCTCTGAAATACGTCACATACGATATTTCATTTTTCATCATGCTTTCGCACAATAGTTTCTTTTTCTCAGGAACATTTTTCTTAAGAGAAAAGCCTTTTACGTAAACACCTGTATAGGCCTCGTCCAAGAAGTCACCCTGCTGAAGACAAGCTCTTGTCAGGGCTCTTTTTTGGCGTCTAAACCGTTTGAGTTCTCTCTGAAAACTAGGTCCCTCTGCCCTCACTTTCCTCCAAAACGTTCTATTGAAATGCTGGTAGAGCATAAAGTCAGCTTTGTTCCAGCTCTTTATGTCTTCTTTAACTTCAGAGCTCATGAATTTTCGCTTTTGCTTATCCTGCCGTTCATTAAGCTTGAAGTATAGAATGTCTTTCATTTTCCAGCATAGAAGGCGCTTAAGAAGCAGTAGAGACTCGTCAAAGTACTCCAAGATCATTACAAGGTCAAATTCATTTTCTATAAAGTCCAGGTAACGTTCCACGGCGGTAACGTTTTGGAAGTATCGAAAATCTAAGCCCAGGTCAAAAAGCATTGGATTTCGAACCAAATGAAGCGCCAAGGTTTTCTTCATTAGTGGTCTAATCTCTTGGAAAGGTGGCGGAAACTTCAAAAACGTTCCCAGTGGATCATCTTCGTCTTTAAACCCCAACGGGTTGGCAAGATGCATAAAGTTGAACACTGATTCGTACTGTGCTGCGGGATCCCTTAAAATCGTTATGTAGCGACTTTGTTTTTTGGGAAATAAATGGTTCATTGGTCGCTTGTTGAACCTCGCGTGATTGCACATTATGTTTGCTCCAAAGTTGTACAAGGGTGCGGTGTAGGAAAGCCGAAATCTTGCAGGCCACATGAACGTGAACAGCTGCTTCTGTTTGGGCAGCACAAACGTTAGGTTGTTGGAGTCTCCGTATCGATTAAGAATGTTTGTTATTGTACTACCGCCCGTTTTGTGTGTTTTAAGGAATAGAATTTGATCAATCGGTGAACACGACTTCTGGCTTGTACGTCTTGAATATTTTGACTTCTTGAATTTGTTGGATTGTTCAGGTTTTAAGGCGGCATTAGTTTTTGTTTCCACTAGAAAACCCTTTGATTCTATTGGCATTGATTGCGCTGAATGGATTTTCGAATCTCGTGCCATCAGAATTCTGTTTAGAAGACAAACAAAAAATGAATGAAATAAATAAACAAACAAATCGTATGCTATCCATAGATGTTACAAGCAACTTGGTCTAAACCCTTGCCTTACTAACTGGCTCTTCTGTATTTCAATATAGTTACAATGTTATTATAATAAGCAGAACTTATTGTCGAACTGGTTGGATTGATTCCAGAAATCCACATGTCGTCTAATGTAAGTAAATCCGGATTCCGCAATCTGGAAAAGTTTTTCTTGAGGAATCTAGAACCCTGGGCTTTGAAATCCGGAAACTAGCTCAAGGAATCCGGAATCCCGCTAACAGTTGGAATCCAGAATCCAAATTCCACTAAATCCGGAATCCAATACCTGGAATCCAGAGTCCACAGCAGTCTTACATGGGGCGATACGTGCACATGCCACGTGATCATGCTTCTTCGCCATGTCAGTTTTAAAAACTGTGGTGTATGTAATAGAGAGCTCTGGATATTTTCGAATTTTCCAAACACTCACTGTGAAAAGGAGGCCAAAACAACTTCAAAAATTTCATACAATGAAGGAATTCACAATCGCCCTCGTTTCTATAACAAGGTTTGGGCTACTCGAAAATGGTCTTTTTGTCACGAAATATGTATCCTGCATTTTCAAATGGGTTAAAACACGATACATTCAGAACTCGATACTTGGTTTTTGTTTGTTTATATGTTGTTGTTGTTGTTGTGGTCTTATGCAGTAATAACCCAATGCATCAGTCAATTCCAGGTGCGCCCATCGCCCCCGCAGGCTGACCCCCGGGCATTAGCATTTTCTTTGCCTTGGATGGCAAATTCCCTGGGGTGGGGACTGTGGAGCTGTCAAATCCCCCGAGGTGGGGACAAAAAAAGAGGGCAAATGCCCACTCCGTAAACACTGCAACATTTTTCATTGATCGCATAGTCGAATATATGGTGCCGTTTTAAGCATTTTAATGTGAATTTTTTGTTTCAATTAACGTCTTCCTTTGTAATAGCGCTATGACTTCACGCCGCAACGACATGCACCAGTTTATAATTTTAGTATTGATGTAAAATTATTGACATTAAAATAATAGAGCGCTGTCAAGTTATATGTTATGAACAGTTTTATAAATATGAAAGGATGTTTTTCAAATAATCTCAACAGAAATTTGATTCAATAACCAAAAAATGTTGATTCACGTCGATAGCTCCCGATTTCGCTATGTAATTCTGGCTCAAAAAACAATGAAGAAATGAATGCATAAAATCAAGAACATGCCTTTACAAACCTCCTCAATTTTTCCTGTCTTTGACAGATGAGCCAATCTGCTTTCCTTCCCAGTAAAATCCTCTGTGTAGTTATTTTCTGATAGGAAACCGCCTGCGTGTCAAAAGCTCAGGAATGGCCCCGGGGTAGGCAAATGCCCGGCCCCCGGGCAGCACAAAATTTGCAAATGCCCCACCCCTGGGACTGACAAGACGGGCAAATGCCCCGCAGTAGCCCGGGGGTGCTGGGCGCACCTGGAATTGACTGATGCACAAATCTTTCATGTCATTTACAAGTTTATTTGTTACATTAAGGCAGAAACAAGAAGCAGTCAATGCATGCTGTTGTTGATCGTAAAGGAGGTTGTTGTTGGTAGAGGAAGTCAACGTGAAAGAGCAACGAAGCATTGTTTAGTCAGGGACTGAATTGATGAGGAAAAACGATGAAGTATAAAATATCATCTATATGAAGAGTAATTAACGAGCACGCCGAATTGATTTTTTTTAAAATTTCATCCTACCTGGTTTCCAGGGTCTCTTCTCCCCCCCCCACCCCCCGCGCTGGAACGGGGTAGAAAATTAAGACCCTGGGTAGTACCCTGGGTAGTACTAACTAGGAGATCAGTAATCTACTGTAGATAAATGGCTTGCTTGTGTTTCTCCTTGCCCGAATTAACCAGCCATGCATAAACTAAAATATCAAATTAACGTTGCCTCATCTAATAGCCCTCAAATTCCCCTTAGGGCTAAATCTGCTAGAAGCTTACAATATGGACCTGGAATTTGCTTAGTAAACGCCCGTTTAGTTTAACGATTCGATATTCAACATGTTGATCCAGTTTTTTTAATCAAGTCATTGTTGGATGCGATACCCAATCCTGCAAGAAATGTTAGACACTGTTTGGATAATGTTGACCGTGGTTGAAAAAGACAAATTATTATACTGGATAAATGAGCCCTAAGAGTTGTTCTTAAAGATTTCGTGTTTAAAATCAAATTCAGCTTCTCGATCGTATAATGGGCTTCGAAGCACTTCTCTCGATGAAATTTATTATTGCCTGTGATAAATTATTATTACTTACTTGCCATTTGCCTTTGGGCAGGATGGTGTGGAGAAAAATCTTTCCTTTCCATAAAAAACAATGCAAATCGCAGTGGCAATAATAAGACTCCAAAACAGCGTCCTTAAATGAATCGCCATGATAACTAATGGGCTTAAAAAAGTGTCCACATTTCATGGTTTCTTGGTTGTCAATTTATGTTTTCATAAAGGATTTAGCGTAATCAAGCCCGTTGGAATCAGAAACATTATCAGTTTGTCTTTCAGATTGAACCGCACTCCGGGCTTTTTGGTCGATAAACTAATTCGTTAGTTCCCTGAAAATCAAATAAAGACATGCGTTTTTTAGAACAACTGTCAACGATTAATCTTTAATGACATAAATGGTCTTCGCTTGTTCTTTTCACCTGCATTGCCAAACATGAGTCAAGTTGAGGATTCGAGAAAAAAGTCTTCTTCATTCCACTCTTCTCGTTTATATCTCGGCGTAAATCGTCAAAGCCATTGCGAATCCACGGATATTACAAAAATATCCAGTGGTTCAAAATCAAAATATTTGCAGGTAGCAAAAAGAGATTAATTTCCTATAGAATTGAACACAAGCTAAGCATGAACGTGTGACCACTTAGAACAGGAATATTTGCTTTAATTATTATAATACCTCATTCCTGTGCGAAGATAATTTAAAAATGTATTTGGGATAAACAAAAATCACCCTCGAAACATACAAACTAACCAAACTTTCTACAGATATTTATAAAAGATTGAAAGATCGGATCGTCAATTGAATTTTTTTTGCTCTAAATGTAATTACTAGAAATGCTCTCAAAGAGAAACGGCACTTTGAAACAATTACAAGCCAACCGGCACGAAGTCTTAAAGAATTGATGGAATTATTATGAACGGGTCCTAACACCCCACGGAAAGACTGGTAGTCTCTTTTGCCAATCCCCTTCTAGGCACGACATCCATCCGCTGTCCGGGAATTCGAGCACGCCGAGGAACAAGACCAGACCCGAGACAACGGCGGAAATCAAGTCTAACTCCATCATAAAATAAGATGCAGTCTCGTTTGAATAGCCCCCCGTCTATCACTCATGAAATAAAAACAAGTGCAATATTCAAATGGATTTATAAAAATAGATTTGCGCACTCGTAAAATCTAGTTTGAAAAACTTTTACACTGTAAAGTCTGTAAACGCGTAATTTTCGGTCCCGAACTTATGGGCGTGCATTTGATCAAGACGTTTTACCCAGTTCCCGAATTCCTCTAATTTTTATGCACTAACAAGTTCAGTGCTAATCAACAGATATTAAAATATTTCTATAATTTTTATGCACGAACAAGTTCAGTGCTAATCAACAGATATTAAAAATATTTCTATAATTTTATGCACGAGCAAGTTCAGTGCTAATCAACAGATATTAAAAATTTTTCTCATGGTTCATTATTTGCAGGTAGCATACTGGTAGTCTGCTACAGCCGTTTTTAGTGTCGTCACGTAACGCTCCTAACAGACTTTTTTACAGCAATCCTCTGTGAGTCCTTTTTACAGACCAAAAAAATGATGGAAATTCCTACCCTTTCATATACTTTAAGCCTGAAAAACGTACTCTTTAAGGTAGAACCTCTCCGTATATGCCATTATAGGGCGTATCTCTCCTGGGTAAGTTTGACGGCCAACAAATTCACTATAATTCATGAACTCAAGGCGATCTTCCGCATTTCAGGATGAAGAAGAAGCTGAAGAATTTTTAACCATTTTTGCCGTTGAAAATCAGAAATCAAGACAGTTAATCTGCTTTTTTTTCTCTTTTTTGTTTGTTAAAAGATGTTGGCTATCTGCATTCTCTAGACCCTCATTAAGACCATTTTAAAATTACCTCTCAGTGCACGTTAAAATTGAGTATATAAATACCGAAAATTCCGAAAATAAGCCCATCCATAATGAATATTTCACTTCAACTCAGTGAGAGGAAAGGTTATTTAACTCCAACTTCGTACGCTACAACTATTCGACTTGGGACCAATTAATTAAATACCCCACGTAAGCACGTGAACTGAAAATCTTCATAATGATTATTGTTTTTAGTGTTCGAATGAAAATATTTACTTTAACGCAAAGATAGCAAAATTATTGTTACGGGGTTCTGTTGCATAATTATATAACTTAATATCCACAGTGAGATATCGGAATACGAATTTGAACCTGTATCCTGAGCAAAGTATATTTTGATGTGAATAATTTACTAGTTTTGAAAAACCCATCCGCACCATACGCGTTCGTTGCTACAACTACCAGAAAAGAGGCCGACAGAATGCTTCGTCATAATGCCTTAATGACTTATTAATGTTTTGGAGATGAGCATAATTGTACCTAGAAAACAAAAACGCACAACAAGATATCAACGCGGTGTTTACTTAGAGTTCAAAAACTCATTTCCAAAATGCAAATGAAACTCTCGTGTATATTAAATATGAAGATAAGCTTTTTCGTCTTAGTGCACTTTGATCGGTAGATCAGCGATTTTATCGTCTCATTTCCCAAAAATTGCACCGTCCATTATACAAAAGGATCAGAAAGACTTTAAACGCTGTTAAATATTGCTATCAGTCATCGTTGCAAAAACTGTGTTTTTTTGCAATGAATTTCATACATTTGTTATTGTTATTTGCGGGTTTCATGAAGGCTGGAGCAAAAGAATCCCTAAGTACATCGTCTGTGGTAATAACATCGTCATTAGCACGGGCTACAAGTACAATTATTAACAGTCCTGATCCCAGGCAGTTTGATGGCTTAAAAGGAGCTATCTTTTCCACTGACGCGATTTCTGCGATCAAGTTAAGAATATCACCTGAGCAAACACAACATTTTGAAATGACAACTACCACATCAAAAGATTTAAGTGCACCATGGGCGACACAAAGAGTGGCTTTTATCGCTGGAAGTGTCCAAACTACCACTTTGAGTATCCGCTCTTCACCCACGCCAGAGTTTTCTACTTCTATTACAGTTTCCGCAGGACATGTTGGTGGTTATAAACTCCCCGCGAGCATGATTCAGCCATCTTCAGCGGTTTTAACTTCAACGTACCTGTTAAGCAGCCTCACTTTTAATTCAACGATAAATTTACATGGCGGACAGACTGATGTTAATAACGAATGTGATTCAAACGCTTGTGATACATATGTCACTCGCTGGGTGGATTTTTACCTAAACGTAAGTAAAAAGAGGTTATTTTTTTAAGGATGGGTTTACAACATCAACAAGTATAATGCTCACCAACTTAGCATTTTCCGGCCACTGATCAAAAATTTCTCTTTTAGCTACCTTGAATTAGAATTGCAGGTAGTGAAGTCGACAAAGAGAATATAGTCCCTTATAATGTACATATTTCTTCGCCGACGGCTTTGCAGGTCCAGAAAGCTTACGACCAATATAATAATAACACTGCTAGACTGAAGACTATTTTTAAAAATGTTGTAGCGTTTTTAGTCATTAGACCAACATAAATCACTCAGTGCGTCTTTACTCGGTGTGGCGGCTTTTTATTTTCATTAAGTCGCACAGATTGGCTCCTTTTAGTTATGAGACGTGTTCTTCGTAGTCAATATCTCTAGCCGGATTTTTGAAAACATCACCGCCAAATAATTATATAGACCTTTTGCGTCCAACAGTTTTTTTCGGCCAAAAACAATCTCCAAAGAATCCATTATAAATTATAAAAACTAAGAGTGCAACCATTGTTTTTTCTCTTCACCTCCTCTCTTCCTCTTTGCTCTTTCTTTTTCTCCTTTCCTTAGCTTTTCCTTGGTTAGTGCGATTTTGGAGCTTATCGGGCCCAAAAAGCCTGCCTTCCGACGCCTTTTCACTCAAATGATTGCAAATTTCGTTAGGTTGGTTTTCAAAAAATCGGCAAGATATATATGGTATCTTATGGACTGATTCACCAGTTATAGTGAAATAGTCTACATCGATCCTGGCACCGTTGAAGGTTTATCACTGAGTAAACAGCAGTTTGTAATAAAGCAAAGCCCCTCTGGAATAATAAACTAGAAACGTTTTAAGGCTACTGTACGCAGTCGATAAATCTTCAAAAACGCCAACTGTTTGTCAAGGTAACCGATCATAGAATCTTTATTTTTGTTCGTATATCTATCAAAGGAAAGCGAAAGACATTATTTAGTATGCAACTCTGTAATAGTCAGAGTATAATTACAACATCCAGCGTAAATATTTGTTAACGGATGCCCATAGTCTTTATATGCCACTTATTATTGCTCGGTCAATACGTCAAGGCCGAGGTCGCCAGAGATTTCCTTGTAATGACCGAAAGGACGAGGTTAATAAGTTCATTATATGGCCTTTTTATTATGGACCTGAGCCTGCGATCAATTAAAACCAATACCTAGTCAGCGAATAACTTAAAAGAAAAAACACGTCACCAGATGGCTCGCTGATATTGATTGTTAATTAAAGTGCAGTTCCCCTACCTTTAGGAAATGATTACCTGCAATTTTTATTTTCACAAACAATTTGGGTTTCATGTATATTGCTATCGCGGGCTAAGTTGGGGGCTTAACGTCCTGGCTCGATCATAACGTCTTACCTAAATAATTATGAAAGAAATTTACACAAACTCGTACACCACTAAACCGTGACGTAGTTAGCTACTTGAAAGTTTTGTTCTCGCCACACTCATTCTAATGAGAAACGTTTGGTAAGAATGAGAATAAAACAGTTTTTCTTTCCAATCTTTTTTTTTTTACAGATAGGAGGCTGGATTATGCTGTCTATTGTTCTTGTGGGAATTGTTATTCTGACCGCTACCTACATTCAGGGAAGAAAGAGAAGGAAAGAAATCAAAGCGCTACCGCAGTTGATGTACAGGGAAATGCATCGCTATAGAGATCGTTGGGTGTGAAAGACCCGAAACAAACCATGAATTTCAAGGCGGCATCCACGTAAAATTTTGCGAGGCTTACACGAGCATGATCTTCAACATTCAAGTGGAGAGATTGGTTAATGGATATAGGGAAGGATTCAGGCGCACTGGCTAGAGAAAAGAGAGATTACTAGAGAAGTGTAACCACATGTTTGCATTCAAGTACTGTAGTCTATGCTATCATTATTCACAAGTGTTTTAATCTGGCCTGCGTAGCTCCACTTAGCGGCGCGGGCTGGGGGCGCTCTTCCCATTCTTCTCGCGGCCATACAGCAAGGCAAAGGACAACAGAAGCTCCCGTGGAATAGAAGAAAACTCTGGGGCGGTCGCTCCAAAAAAATTGGCCCGAAAAGCGCAAGTAAATACTGAGCGAGTATATCGGATCGTGCTCGTGCCCCCTAGGCATCCCATAATACTCCTTAAATCTAATGAATTCAATGTCGCCGCCGTATCTGTAAAAAGGTCTATTCGAATTAGGGCCGACCTGAATAATTTAGACAGGCTCAATTGATCCAGACGCCGATCTTAATTCCAGCTGAACTAATTATAAATTCAAAAGGAGAAAAATGCTGTATAAGTTAAACTTCTTGCAAAAATACGCTATAGTATCTTATGCATTAGGTTCGACACATGAAAATTTCGGCGTCGGAATAGGTGCGCCTCATGAAAAGTTCGGGCGCCTAAACCGGACCTAACAAAAAGTTATCAGTGTAGCTCCACGTAAAAGGTAAATGTTTGAAATGTAAAACGTGACAAACGATTCGCATGGCATTGTAAATTTTTTTGTTTTTGTTTTATTACCATGGACATAGAATAAATAGAAAGCATTTATTTCTTCCAGCAATTAGATTAAATGGAACTGTTCTTTTGTACATATATTTTTTTTACATCTACATCATAGTCTACAGGGTCCATATATAAGAATAAAAGTGTTTTTTTTATGAAAACAAAAGCAATTTTTAACTTGTAAACAAAAACATGGTAAAAAGCAGTACCTGAAAACCGCTTTATACTTCGTAACGTGCACCATGACGTTTGGCAAGCATTTATACTTAACCCTTTAAGTCCCAATATCAACATACAAATTCTCCCTACTGATCTCCATACATTTCCTTAAACAATTAGAAGAATTTGATAAAAGATCAAAGCATTTTTCCTTTGGTGATCATTTTATTAATTCTCACTCCTTTTTCTCTGAATAATGCATTGATATCGTTGGGAGAAAATTGATGTTGGTCACTAGTGGGACTTCAGGGTTAACGCTACGAGTTGCAACGAACTCATGGGATCACGCGTGTTTTTCCTAAAAAATTCATTTGTCATAACTTGAAAACCAAATCCCTTGTTGCAGTTAAAATTTTTTTAATACCTTGTATTATCAAGAGCTGTCTTATGTCTAGTATTTGCCTTCTCATTTTATTGGACGGCGATCTTCCGACTAGAACGATCTTATAATTCCAATAAGGTGACTCAGAACTCACAAGGAAACAAAGTTGACATTCTGCTCACGAAGTCGCAAAGATTGCCATTCCTTTTGAAATTGTTTGTGAGTTGCATACATGCATGCATACCCATTATTATCAGGGCGTGGTTCTACCACTTCAACTCAAAGGAGCTATGAAAAATCATAAATGAAGAAACGACATAAAAGAGGTCCTTACGGGCAATTCGTGTTATAATTTGGAGCCAAGTTTCAAACTTTTTCCTGCAAATGTCATTGCTATGTTTGCCCCACAGGATCCGATGTAGTCAAAAGGCTGGATCCCATAAACTGTTTCCAGGTTTCGCTCTGAGAGTAAAACGGGTAAATTTTACTAAACGACACGTTTAAAGACAAAAGCGTTTTCTTCTAAGTTGTACCAAGCGTTCTTGCTCCACAAATAAAACCTCGAAAGGAGCCAGCCCGTCTCCTTGTTGGCACGCTGGAGGGTGACGACTCACTTTGCCTCAACGTCTCAAGCCTTCCCTTGCACTTTTTTTCTCCAAACGGTAAGTGTCTTAATGAGGATCGATGCTGATCTCGCTTGAAGGCTTTTCTTGTGGATACAGCCCTTGATGCTTTCATTTGTCGAGCAAGACAGGAAAAGACTTCGTCCACACAGGTGTCATTCTTGGCTGATGTCTCAAAAAGTGGGCAAGAAAAATTCTCAGCCATTTTCTTCGCATCTTGATAGGAAACTACTCGCTCTTCTTCTAAGTCGCACTGAAATTAAGGAAGGAATCTCGTTGAATAACAAGGCACAGAATTGCTCTGTTTTGTTGCGAAGTCAGTCAGCTATGGCGTTTGTTTGTCAGCATCCAAGTTAGCTTAAGATTCTAAATCGCATATTGAATGGCTGACAGAATTAAACTCGTTACAAAAAATTAAGAGAAAATCCAAAGTTCTAATGGATCGTTGAACTAATTAAATCTAAAAATAGCTCATGAGATCTAAAAATTCGAAATAGAAACTACTCGGAGCATGGTATCCGTTAGTTTTACCATCAGCTTACAAATAGCTTACGAGCAAGCTCTCCTATTTGGGCGAGCGAGGCGAGTCGCGCGAGAACGCGCGAGCGAGCGGCGAAGCCGCGAGGGGCCGGCGAAAGGAGCCCCCTGCAGTCGCGTCTCCTCTCGCGTGCCTCTCGCGTGTGTACTTTTCACGATATCCCCCAAATGGAGAGCTTGTTCGCAGGCTAGCTTACATATCCCCTGGCTTACTTTAGTATAGAAAAGCAAAATCAGTTTTTGGATTGAAAAATCTCAATCTTAAAGGTATTGTTGACCAACCGGCCCCTTTATCCCACCAACGTGGACACAAACGTAAGATATAAAATAGAATTAAGCAACATATCGTTTGAGTTTGTTTACCCTTACTTTGTTGCCAACCAAAATTAAAGGGATGTCCGGGAGAATCTTGTGTTTTTGACCCTTGACTGCTAGGATTTGCTCACGGAAGGCAGTGACAGCATGGAAGCTCCAGCGATCAGTGACCGAATAAACTAACAGGAAGCCATCACCGCTTTTAATGTATTGATCCCTCATGCGTCGGAACACGTCCTAAAGAAAGAATAAATCATCACGGAGGAAATTAGAAAAGGATAATGATAATCACAGAAGGCAAAATTGCCTCGTAAGAACGAGGGTGAACGATTTTCAAATTTTCAACACGGTTTATATAAAATATCCTGAATTTTCCAATCAGTCAGTCAGTGTACACGAGCGAATGGAGCCTTGAACAGGCTAATTACTTTTAAAAGACCCCTGAACTTAGTCACTTTTGGGAAAAAGTAATTTTCGCGATCCTTATTAACCTGTTACTGGGAAGTAACCCCTCCGGGATATTTACTTTACTTCAAGATATTTATAGCTTGCTATAACCGACGATTAACTAGACTACGAACAAGATCTCCATTTTGGGGCAGTCGTGAGAAGTCCCGCGAGATCAGCACGCTCGTGTGTATCTCGCTTCGCTTGCCATAGAGAGCTTCCTAGCAGGCTAAGGATCAACTGAGTGTCATAACTAAAAACTTGTCGGAAATACCGTCATCTCTACTTACGTTTCCCGCCGTGTCGATCACTTCAGCCTTGACTGATTTGTCGTCAATTTTGATGTCCGTTTGGTAGCTGTCCTCTGAACAAAAATGAAGTAAATAAAGATGAATAGAAAGAAATAGACAAACAACAACAATAATTTCCTTGCTTAAACCGTACCTTGACGCATTGCGTCTTGTTTTCCTACTAAAGGCAAAATTTGCTGCGAAGAAGCCCCCGGCACGTACCCGAGAGCTTGCTCGCAGACAAGGAAAAATCAAAGTTAGCTCTAAGTCACATCATGTCTGATGTCTTAAAAGTGCCCTGGCGCAAAACTCGGAGGCCCGGCATATCAAGTTAGTGGGGATTTTAAGCAACGATGACGGCAGTGTCAACGAGCTAAAAGATCAACAGAAAAGCAGTAGGTTTAGATTGGAAAAACAATTACAGCCCTGCACGTGCATCAGGCCTTTGGCGTCACCGCACCACTAGCTAGGGACGTGAAAATGCCTAAATTCATGTTTTTTTGAGGACGTGAACGGCACGACAATGACTTTCTTTTTCTTTTCCTGAACTTCGATACAGTCTTAAAGAATTCAACTCCAGAAAAAATTACCAACATTTGACGGATCGAACGAGATAGAATAAGCGCGATAAAGTTTGAAGAAGCGCGAATTCACTTTTTAATTATCTGACGTTTTCGTAGTTGTCGCCGTTGTTGTTGCTTGAGCTCTCTAGTTTATGGCGATGTGGCTCTGCTTCGTTACTTGGTATTGGTAAGTTAATTTCTGCCATGGCCAGAAATGGCAGACATATTTCCTCTGATAATCCACCAGAAAACATTGTGTGGCTCCCACCAGTAAGCCCTGTTATTGCGTGTAAGCTTTTGTCAAGTGGAGCTCTCGGGCTCAGGTTTCAAGCGCAGGTCTAGAGGATAAATAGAGGAGTAAGACACAACGTATTTACCCCAAAATAAACGCCGCTGGTCAGACATGAGTCGCACATGTGACTATCGATTCACTAGAACTGCACGAGTTATCGAGGTGATCGGAGCCGGGAGAGAGCAAACTTCGGTCACTTTGAAGTGGAAATGGCCTCCTTGTATCTGGACACTATGATTTTTATCGCCAAAGTTAACGTATATACGGCGTTTATAATCGTTTCCAATCTCTCTGAAACACGCTGAGTTTGTAAGATGCGATGTTGACTCACAGGAATAACCGTGGTAAAATCAAACATTCGATTGAAACCCGGCCGGCTGAGGTGAGAGGCTACAGAGACTGCGACAGCAGGAATTTACAGCATGAATGGCTCAAAAAAGTTGTCGTTAAAGTAACCGAAAATTTGCGGAGATAGATATGATATTCTTACTATGGAATACTGCTGGTTCCACAACTGGTTTCCGACCTTGCAGGTTACAGGTACGCGAGAAGTTTTTGTATCCTTATTTCTCTAATATAATTTTACGCTGCACACATGTGTTCTAGTATGAACATATCGCCGTGTTTGTTGATCGCCCCGAGTTAGGTAATCCAAGACCGTTCCAAGACATAGGTTCCGGACTCTTGGTACTGGATTCCGGATTTTCTGTCAGTGGGACTTGGATTCTGCATTCCAATCATTAGTGGGATTCCGGATTCCAAAGCCCAAGATTCTGGATTCCTCAGGAATTTTTTTCCTGGATTCCGGATTCCACAGGCACAAATTTCCAGGTTCCTTTACATTGCTGTTGAGGTAGTATATGAGAAAGCCGCTGTAGTTACGCGGGCGTGATTTCCAGCCATGGCATGCCTTTCAGGGACATTTGCACGCGGCTTCATGTAAGTTTGTGTACTGTTCGTCCCGTATATACGTGCTTTATACCATGAAAACCTTGGTTTTTCCCTTCTCCATTTGAACTTTTAGGGACCTGGTCACGGCAAGTTCTCTGTATAACCCCACATTAATTATGCATTCATGTTTCGACTCTATTCATATTAAAATATTTGTGGAAAAAGGTCGAAATTGCTGCGTGCATAATAAATGGGAGGGGTTATACGGAAATCTTACTGTGGTTACTATCTCTTAGGGTGGATTTCCCCTTTCGAGTAGTTTTTACGTGCGTTCGCACGCAAATTTTACGCGCATAAATAGAATACATGTAGAGGCAATGTTTGAGGGTCCACATTGAACCTCGCTCAACCTTTTACGTTTACGCGCGGTCTGTTATACATTGCCTCTACTTTATTTATGTGCATAAAATTTACGTGCGTACGCACGGATAAGTTACACGACAGAGGAAATCGACCCTAACTCTAATTACTAATGAGAGAACGGTCTATATTTATTCATGACGATGTATCAATCATGGTTGGAATGTAGCGGGATTTTAATAGTATGATGGCTGTCTGCATCTTGAATGAATTCCGATTTGGTATTCTTAATTCGCAAAAGAAAACTGTGTTTTGGGGAATAGTGTTAACTTGCATTATTTGCATTGAACTGTAAGAAGAGTGCGAACAACCACGATGGTGATGTCATGGAAACGTCATGCGGATTACGATTGATCAAGCAGAATAACAGCTGTGCACGTACAATCTAGTTACGTCGCTGCAAAATCAATGCTAAATGATCATTTTCAAGTTGTCACGATTTTGAAAGGGAACGCGTGGAGGCACATCGACGTTGAGGTCGCACGACAAAACTGAAAACAACGCAGAACAGTGTCAATTAATAAAAAAAAGAGTGAACATTGGGCTTAAAATGACCACTGCTGAAAACAATCTCTTCGGAAATGTTAACAGATTACAAGAATAAATTACTAAAATGACTTCCGATTTAATCAGATCTCAAGTGGGCTGCGACAAATACAACAATTTAGAGAGGAGAGCGTAACTAGACCTCAGCGCCATGTAATCATTGCTCACCAAAAAGGGTGAATCAGATCTTGGTTTTGAAATATACAATTTTCCTGGCTGGAATAATTTCACTTGAAGTAAAGTGACGTTATAGGCAATTCCTAGACTTTCCCACCGGCCTTCCCTTTAAACTCCCCCGCCTCCGCCTCTGCCACCGCTCCCGCTCCTGCCCCCGGAGGGGTCTCACCTATAATAATAACGAGGCAGCTACAGTAGTTGTATTTTTCTATCTGTCAGTGTCAGTTATTTGTAAAAATAAATAAAAATTTGTTTTGTAAAAATAAATAAAAATTTGTGTCACCTCCAGAAAACGAAATTCCTTTATCATTTCAGGGTGTTAAAAGAAAAAAAAAAGAAACAAACAAACATCGCACCGGAATCCTCGTGTTAATACAGAGAAGTTAACCTCCCCCCTCCCCCTTATCCTTCAGGTAGAGATTGAAGTAAAATGCAAGTGAACTTCAAAATTTCACTTTGTCACCTGATTTTGTCAGATCCTTCACAGAGAAAACATACATGTTGGAGATGTTAATTTAGTTGGCCACATCATAACTTTGAAAGTAAGAACTCTAAGTCTCATGTCCAAAATTATCCTTGGGTGTAATGGAAATGTAATCAAATCAAGGCTTAGGCGAAGCATATAAACGTGAAACCAGACAATAGAAACAAATCAAACTAAACGTAATGTGATTATGATTTGTTAATTAACCAGGAGTGAAGCTTGAAACCGTAACCATCAATCAAAAAGTGTCATTTTTGCTTCGGCCTGCCACTACAATAATACTATCAACTTTATAGCTTACCTATCGTTGGGTCATAGGTGATCGAGAACTCCTGACACACGTATCGTATACTTAGCGCTGTAAGGAAAGACAAACACGTTATCAGAATAATCAGAGGATTATAAGGTAGCTTATGTACACTTAATTAGTAGGAACAACATTTTAACACTTGAACTCAATTGTCTTTAAGTGTTGATCAATCGATCAATGTGTTTGAGGTAGCAGTAATGCGTTTAATGACTTGATAAACATACATATGGAACACAAGAACGACCGAATAAAACCTGGCTTCCTTCGATTTTTTTGAGTTAAATGGAAAAATTTAGGTTATGAAAGGCAAGAGGGACTCCCCAGTGAGATAAACATGACTGTATTTTTTTAATGCATGATTTAATCCATGTTTTGATTAACAAATGGAATTTTGATGTAACTAAGAAAGACACAAAACAACCGGAAAAATTTTTTTCATCTGGAAAACACTGAAGTTGTTTATAACGCAGCTTGTGATAGTCAACCTGGGAAACGAGAAACTCGAAAAACTTATAAACTACAAGTTTTGAATAGTCTTTAAAACTTGTTTGTATTTCCGAACAAAAATCAGCGGAAGCGGCGGTAAACAACTAAGAAAGATAAGTCAGATAAGAAACATATCTTTGAACGATTGTGGACCAAGAGGTCATCAATAAAAGACTCGTTTAGATCCACCTCAGACGAGAACTTTTCGTTATGTTTCTACTTCGAGTGGAGTTTTAAGAAAAATTTGTGAAAAAGCGATCGGAATCTCTAAGATAATGAGAAAATAAGGCATTAAAAGCAAAATCAGGAACGAAAATTTGAAAAGGTGTCTACTACTAAAAACAGACTTGAGAAAGCACTTCGGTAATGGACCATAAAAGAGAAAATAAGTTTTGTAAGACCTGCCATAGAAAGTTGAAAGGCAGGAGACACTGTGGAAAGCAATTAAACCGACACTTTAGAAGAAAAATCTGTTTGCAGGTACGTGATTTGCGGGCTGAGATTAGCTACGACGTCAAGATTATAAATGAAGTTTGAGTAATCCTTCAAACCGCGAGATATTTTCCTCTCTTCTGCCTTTTGGCGAAATAAGTGTGGTATCATGGCATTGTTTGACACGTTCAGTCATGAATAGGTATAATCTTATCGCACAAGTTATTACCAACACCCATTGAGTCAGGTACGGCTAGGATAAGTACATGTGCTTAAAATGACAGTTATTAAGCAGTAGTAATTGAAATGCTGGCATGACGACGTTGTTAACAGTCATAGCCAGCAATTTTTTTTAAATTCTCTCTCTCTCTCTTTAGAACTTGAGGGGTAGCAAAAGTTCTTGTGGCTGACAAACTGATTTACAAATTTTTTTAAGGTAAGTGGATAGAAGTAAACTTTAACTATAGTTGCAGCAAGCGGCGCATGGTGATTATCTTCGCTGCTTTGTTCTTTGCTCGGGTTCAGATACCTGCGAGAGGAGAGCACACTGAGAATTCAGGCGTTTTTAAAATACAATTATAGTCCGGGAGCCACATGTACGACTTGTACAGGTTATCAGCATTATATAAAAAGCCAATGTATTTAAATCCTTCTCGGTGAAATTTTTCACTCTTAGAGCAACCTTGGCCTATGAAACGTGTTTAAAAGAGGAAGAAGAAAGAAGGAAAAAAGCTTTGTTGTAACCACCGTCAGGGAAATACTTGTGACAAGTGATTTAGAACCCCTTCCTTCATTTTCGTCACAAGCTGACTTCTACAAAACGGCATATTTGATCAGGAGAAACAACATCGATCTCATGTCACGGCACTATGCTAGTAATATGCTCCCAACAATCGTGGATATCTATATGAAGTTTTCATCAACGACTTCTTGCATATCACTATGATACCCATTCTCCTTAGAACACTGCAAATCTTTAAGATGACTTTAACAATGAAAAAGATACTTCACGACTTTACAAGGACATACCAACCCTCCCCCCCGTCCCCCATCCCCTGAAACCACATTCTCATATTGCCTTTACTTAAGGAATAAGTCTTGTAATCAAGGGGCCCGTTTACCAAAGGTCACGTTCCGTTACCAATGTTTTATAATTAAGTCAAACCTTATAAAGAGCGGTCGCGCGGGCTTGTCCACAATCGAACTTATGTCGTTATAAAGTGGAACCCCGCCTTACGACCACCCCGTTTATAAGACCACCTCGTTATTACGGCCATATTCTTTCAAACCGAAAGTAAAAAACATTGAGTCATTTTATTATTTTGAAGACCCCGTTAATGCGACCACCTCCTTATTACGACCAGGATTTTATGGCCCAACGGTGGTCGTATTATTATTGATTTTCTTAATTTAAACATTGCGGCCCCAATATGGTCGTCTTCCAGAAAAGCCGTACATAGGACACGAGTACGGACTTATCGGTCTGAATTCAGTTCAACACGAGAAAGTGGTCTGCTAAGTACATCCATTTATTATCTTTCAAGAATCTCGTTTTTCTATTATCACCCTTTAGAAACGTGAGTGTTGGTGGGATGAAGATGCTAATTAAAAAGTAGTTTTAAATCATGGCATTATTTAGATGCCAGAACGGATTAAGGCACTCTATTAAGCTATGAAAAGAAGAGGTTCCCCGACTGTGCTAGCAGGTCATGTTTTTAACCTACAGGAAGGGAGGTGAATACATAGAATTCATGTTACATATACATCTTGCTGTGAAAATTCGTATTTCTAAAAGTACAATAAAATATGATAAAACTGCGAAAAAAAATATAAAAGAACTCCCTTGTACACGAAGGAGAGTAAAATATTTTGCAACAAGGAAGGAGCCAAATCATCGCATGAGGCGTGAATATTGAAATAACTGAGTAAATTATGTCTGTGATTAATATCATTAAACGTATGGCTGTTGTTAAAAATGCAAATTTATTTGCCTGTGGAGATGTTTATTTGTTTCACATTTTGAACAAATCACGGAAGACGTCTTCCCAAAATAACAGCAATATCGAGAGCTTTACAAAGCACTTGTTAGGTTCTTGACGATGTGGTAAATCTGATTACGGAATGCTTTCATTCCGTCTTATTAAAAATTGATGGAATAGCAATTATATTTAAAAATAGGGCGAAACTACTCACTATTAAAAAAAAATGGAACATTTGGTGAGAATTAAAATTTCTCGGTGATCTTCTCAGGTTTTACGGTTAGTGTCTAGTTCAGTTTACCGCAGAATATGTCAGCGAGTAATCTTGGCCACTTTGCGTGCAGTTCACAAAACAAATTAACAGTCTATCAACTGTGATATACCTGTACGGCTCCTTTGGCTTAAAGTTGCGGTTGACCAAGCAACTATAGGACACGGAAGTTGTCGTACTGATAACGACGGTTAAATTGAGAGCGAGATACTCATTCGTGCAATGTGACAGAGAGAAACGGGAAAAACAAAGTCAAACAACCTTTCCTGAGCCAGGTTATTTCACATGAAAAAAGAAACACCTAAAATCCTTGAAACACCACAAGGTAAAGTACTTATTGTACAAATTAGTATTAGAATCACAAATTATAATAGGAGTTCTCTGAACGCGTGAGAAATTATAATTGACGATATATCACTGATTGTATCAGACGTCTAACATAAGCAATTTAGCACTTACGCTACCGCTTAAGAAAGAGTTTTAGCGACCAAGAGGACCATAAGTGGCATATTAAGGGACAAAATTGTATTTCTTCCTTTGCTAAGCTGTTTTATGTATTTAGGTATTTATTTATGTTTATTTATTTTAATTATTTATTTATTCACTTGTTTATTTTTGAAAAATATGCTGTGAGGCAAACTAAAGAGACGGCGAAATTGACATAACAAACTGCCGCAAAGGAAGGAAGATAACTGAAAAATGAGAAATTAAAGAACACGAAAGAAAACATACTCAGAAACAAGCCGCAACAACAAAACAACTGAAGAAGTTAAATATCCACTCGGTAAACGAAACACTGGGTGTCAAATTTTCCATGTAAATAAAGATAAAACCGGAGGCTTGTTACCCCATTCTGTGAAACATCTACAAAAAAGGGTAAAGGACTCAGTGATTTTAGCGTAGAATACTAGCATTCTCTCAGGATTGTCGCGTGGGCAAGAATTTAACGTGCGCGTGTGCCTCGCTCGCTCCCTCGCACGTTACATGCTCCCCTGCGCTACAATCCTGATGGCCTGCAGATAGTGTAATTTTAGTGCGTTTGTCTACGAAGCTCTGACAAGAGGACTCAGACACCCAAGTGAATTGTTTGGGTTATCCAAAGAAATCACTCTTGCTTAATTATGAACCTTTGGACGGGGTTCACAGCCATTTAGCTACCAATCATCCCGACACACGTACACACGATCTTAAGCACGTGATGTTCATTACGGACAAAATTCACTTCGACAAACAAAGCAGCAAGGCTCAGGATAGTTAATAGAAAAATGAACTTTGGAATGAAAGAACACCGCCAGTGTGGCATCCTTAGTCCACGGAAACCTAACGACCTTTTTTCTGTGAAATAACTGTTTGAAGAAGGAAATATTATCTGCTAGAGAAATTCTGAAGTTTTCTAAAGAAAGGCTAAAAATTCTGGATAACCGTTTCATTTTTTTAAGATCATTCGGAGTTTTTCTCGTTCTAACTTAACTACAATTTTCGGAAGTTGTGTTTTTCACATTTTACTACCAAGATATTGCGATAGATGTTAAAAAAGGTCGCTTGAAAATTTCGGAATAAAGACAGAATGTCCCCTAGAATAGTACGGCTATTCCATGTCCTTGAACTTTCGACCGGTCCCATCAGGGCAGCTGAAAGTTTCAGATGAGACGAAGAACGGCCACCTAAAATTTTCGAGACGTCCAAAGTTCCTCTATAAGACATCCGAAGCGATAAATAGGTTGAAAGGCAGCTCCAGATTAACCAAAGCCGAGAGAAAATCATGTGAGACATTTCTGACGTGATTGGAAACAGTTGGTCGTTGGGTTCCGCTATCATAGTGCATCGCGATAACTTTTTATTACTCAGATTGCCGAGTCTTTAATGACTAGACCCCTGTAAAATTTCATACACAGTCCATAGTCGATAGTAGACAGTCCTCAACCTGAATTCTGTATCTGAATGGACGGAGAAAATCAGAAGCCCGAACATTAAAGATTTAATTTCGTTTTACATTCTCAAATCCTCGCTGCACATTTCGTCATCAGCTGGTAACAATAATGAAATAGCAATAGTAACCATCTAACGACTCAACAAACCATTTTTTACAAATTTTTTGGATAGTGCTTCAAACCCAAAAAAACGAGAAACAATCAATTTAATTGTAGGGTCTTAAATCACGTGACATCAGCTGTTCCATCGTCATCACTAAGGTTAGTACCGTACGTACGCTTGTCCGTGACTTGTGATATATCTTTCACTGTTGCACATGAGCAATTTTAATTGAAAATTAAAACCGTCTACAGTTCAAACTTCAACCATTTTGAATTTGGTAAGTCATCGCTCTCCATGGAATACGTTTAAATCCATTCTGCCGTAAAATCACATGCAATAATGGCCTGAGTTGTTATTTCAGTGTTCTTCGGGTAAAAATAATCAACATCATGGGATTATGTTAATTTAATATGTTTTCTAGGAAACTGTAATGTCAATGAGGGATATCAAGGTAGACAATTGGATATTGAACCTGATTAAGGGAGGGATATTTTTTACCCTGTAGAATATTGATGACTTTTTTAAAAATGCATATTCTGAACTGAGACTCCTAGACGACATTTTTCAAAGGAATTACTTTAACAGAGCATTTGCTTCGTACCGAAATCGTGTCACGTCACTGAATTTCGCCTTCGTGCGGAGTAGTTAAGGGTTTTGGCACACACGCAATCTATAGCTGGGTAAATAATCTATGCTATAAATGGCTTGGGATGTCAACTTGTGATATGCATCGTGATATTTTTACGGAAACTCAACATGCTTTGATACATTTTATCACTCATCTGCCGTATGCAATATAAGTTATACAGCGTACCAAAGAATGATGTGATTGGTGATAGCTAATCACTAGGTCTGCCGTTATTAAATCTTTCTGATCATGACTTCTTTGAACTTACCCGATTTTCCGACTCCTGATTCCCCAAAAACGATCACTTTAAAGGGCTTGTTATGGTGGTCTTTCATTTTTTTCTCTTGATTACGCAGTCTTTTAACCAGAATAGACTTGCAGCTGTTCACAAAACTTGCCAAACAACGGTTTGGCTTTCAACCAAGCTTTACGTTGTTATTGGGCTCTGGCTTTAGTCCGTTTAATTCTTGATCTTGTGAAATAACTCAATCCAGGTAAGAGCACTCAAAAGTCAGCTTTGGAGCTGATATAATTACACCTCCCAGCTGTCCAACGCTTGTAGTGATAGGCTGCGGTTCTCGCAATGCTCAGTAGCTAGACGTTGAGCTGTCGCGTGATCAGTAGAAATAAATAGGAGTGTGAACATTCCGTCAATACGTGACTGGGGTCACCATCTGATCGTGTTGTCATTAGAAACTGTGTCACTGACCTCTTTAGTCCTAGCGTGACTGAAAGATGAACAGAGATTGGTATACTGAGCCACACGAGAGGATAAAAACTACGCTCTAGGCTTACGGTGACACCCGGACATACTAGAGTTCTCCAAGACAAGAAGTAATCGCTCAGAGATGGACTCTTGTCGCTTGGCTGTTTTTGCCAACTGACTGGCTGTAGTCAGAACGACCGAGAAAGCTGTTTCTTTTTTTCTCGCTGTTGTTGTTTAGTGTTTTTTTCCTGTTTTTCGGCGTCAGATTCCCCGCCGCCAAAATTTCCCCGAACTCGCACAAGTGAACCCTAGGTATACTGAGCCACGAGTAGATAAAAACTGTGTTCTTGGCTTATCGTAATACCATACACGCACTAGAGTTCTCCAAGACAAGACGTAATCGTTCAAAACAGTATGGGCTCTTGTCGCTTAGTTAATTTTGTCAACTGACTGGCTGTAGTCAGAACGACCATGAAAACTGTTGCATAACAAGTGACCTAACGGAGAGTGGCCCTGGAGAAGACTACTGTTGTTACAGTCGAATCCCGCTTTACGGACACCCCGTTATTGCGGACAATTTTCGGATCATTTTACGTTTCTGGGAAACTGCACACCTACCCCTCCCCTAAACTTACTTAGGGCAAAATGTTGGCTTAGGGGAGGGGTAGGTGGGCAGTTTCACAGAAACGTAAAATGATCCCAGTTTTCCTGGTACCTGGGGAAAGTAAGCCCTCACATTTTCTCTAAGTTCAACCCGCTCAATGCGGACACCCCGTTAATACGGACACTTTCTTTGGCCCGTCCTCAGGGTCCTTATTAACTGGCTTTGACTGTGTATTTATTAAACCGCTGCTATAATGCTTATAGCCTCGCATTCAGTTTTGCCAGTGTATGAAGAAGCAGCTCCATCAGAAAAGCAGGTCTACACCGACAGGCTCTGCCTGCCGAAGTAGAGAATGGTCTTTGTTTAACTTCATTTCAAAACCGGTGCCATAATCGGGCTTAAACCTGTCTATAAAAGACGGCAAACTTAAATAAAAATAAACAAACAAACAACAACAGCATTCGTTTCTACGTCATTCGTAAACAATACCAAAATATACTCCGTCAAGAAAGACGCACTGACCTTATGAAAAAACAAACAACCAAACAAAACAGCTTGTGGCCGAAGATACGTTGTACTATCTACATTTAGCCTAGCCTGTTCCAAGCTCCAAGTCTTGATAATATTTTCGTCTTGCTTTGCAGCGTGATAGACAAGCTGAACTAAAAAGGAAATTAAGGTTAAACAAATAAAACTGATCTTGTGTCTTTTGAAATGTTCTGGGGTTTACGTTTCTCAATTTTTTGTCGCGGTTTAGCAGAAGATATTTATTATAATAGGCCACGGTACTCACAGGCTAGTCTGATCGTGATCTCAGTGTTTTAAGCAGTCAGTCAAAACACCTGTTCTGCGTTTATTGCATCAAATTAGCAATTATACTATTGAAATCCTCAATGCTTAATCCGTAGAAATGAAGCTTCACGAAATTTCACGGATAGTGCAACTTTCACTGTAGTATGCCTGAAAATGAAAAGTTGACCATCTGTCTCGGCGTGGCAAAATTACGTACCAAATGTTTCTGCAGTTGTACTGTAAGTTAGTCTGACTGAATCTTAAAAATTTTTGTTGGTCCGCAGAATTTAAACCAGCCGTCTCACAAGAAGCAACGACCGACGGCGCAAATTGACTATAAAGTCCAAAACCAGCTAAGGAACAGAAGCAAGTAGTCAAGTTATTTACGGTAGGTCGGTCAATCTGCTAGTACTAGATGACAGCTTAGTTTCATCCGTGAATGAAAATCTTAATTTACTTTTTACTTTTCGTTGCGACGGCTATTTTATGCTCTGCAAGCAAAAGACTGAATCATCCAATGTTTAGCACTAATACTTAGCACCATTTTAGTTACGCTTCCGAAAAACACGTTCAAAAGAAAGCGCTATGTTCATGTTGTACGTGTCCACTTCATGGTAGTGTCTTTGGGGCCTGGCCTTTGAGGCTGGACTGAGAAGAAAAATGTGTCCTTTTGTATGTTCTTTTTTATGCAAAAAGGGCAAAGATAAAAGAATGAAATAGCACCAAATTTTCTCTCTCAAACAATTCTTATAAGCGTTAAAATATACCTGCAAAGGACAGTAGTCACAATAGCCACAGAGATGGAAACTTCTCTGTAGAGTCAGAAGGAGCTGAGTGAGCGCCGTTATAGATCAGTTACACTAACAATGGGTATCTCCGACACAAATGACAAGTGACAAGCCTGTTATATATATTATATATAGGTCTACATATTTCGATGTAAGCTTCATCGCTCATCAGCTAACAAGCACTGTAATAGCGCATTTCTTATTTTAATTAATTTATCAGAACATGTCGAAACGGGAGTGAGTCAGACAAATACTCACATCAATTTTTTCGTCATTGTTTCTTCTCTGTTCTGTTTCCGATGCAGAATACCTTGATGACCCCCGAATGATAGATTGCTAGTCTTAAATTATATCTGCATCGATCTAAGCTAAGGTTCGTTGCGGATGCTTCGAGAGAGAATGTACGTGTTCATTCATTGCATTCTGTTACACTTATGAACGACCAGTTTTCAGATCAGTATTCCATGCAGAATTCATAGTGGACTGGTTTTCTGCCGCTCAGAAACATCAGTAACCGAAAGCAAAACAAGCTGAATTACAAAAAAGTGTACAGTTATTTCAGACCTTCTAGCGCTATTAGCCACCAGAGCTATTAGCGTGCTTTAATTATCGATTCGATAATTTTTTTTCTTTCTTGGCAATCGATATCGAAAAGCAAACCTCTTGGACTCTAGGACATGTCTAAAAGTTTGATTGTAAATAATTATGCTACTCCTTTAGGGCTGCACGTTGTTTTTGCGATACTCAGTCACAAGTGAATCACAAGAAATTACAATGGATTGATACATTTAAAAAATGACCTCACGCACGAACAAGCCAAACACATGTCGCTGATTAGAAATAAATGATGTTTGTTAAATTTTACCAATATATTTCCACTTAGTCCTTGCCTTTAATCGCTATGATCACTAATAACTGTTTAGGTTTAAAAAACATCTCTTAGCATAATTTGAGTGACTGTTAATGTTGTTTATAGTAGTTCCCGGCTAAAAGACCGTTCTCAGCTTACGCTAAATGAGGGAGAGATTTTGTCTGAGAAAAGTTTGGTTTTAACAAAAGAGTACGAAAGGACCATACTTTCTTGGTTTCAGCAGTTTTTCAAATCAAGAGGGAGTGCAGAAACTAGATATAAGAAGATTCTTTCCGGACTCTTGCACGTCTTCCCGTACAACCTATGCTAATCTAGTATTTGCATTTAAAAACTAGACCATTGTTGCTGCATGATGAGCACTGGCGGGTGGGGGGGTTTTGGGGGCGTTTGCCTAGCATGATAGAAGCAAAAATGTTTTGTTATTCTTTATCAGAACCATAAGATGCCACTCGTCTCGTCAAATGGAAAATGTGATCTTAAAATGATCTCAACTATTGTTACAGACAACTGCGATTTTTTTTAAGGTCATATCATAAAAGAAATGAACTAAACGAAATGGTCACTAATGATCGAACTGTATTAATCAACAATTAAATCTATTTTTAAATATAATGATGGTTCAATTTACTGAATATCACTTTTTTTCAAAGAAAGGATGTCAAATCCATTCTTTTTGCGCTTTAAGAAATTAAAGTGCAAAACGTCCGTAAAAATTGAAATTTCACATTTAAGTCTATACTAAATTAAAGTTTAACTCGGCCACTGATACCACGGTTTCAAGGTTGTATTTGCCTAGCCCGTTCGAGGCCGTTGAAAAATGAATTTGCTCTCTTAGGAATATATTTGTTTCGACGCCACAGCAAAATAGTAATATTTACCGACCAGCTTCTGGTTTGCATGGTTAGGAGAGCCCCCGTGCACTCACACTTTCTCAACTAGTTCCAGAAGAATTTGAATTTGCCAGTCTGGCCGTTTGGAACCAGTTGGGAAGAGCAAGGACGTATTGTTTCTTCAAGTATTCTTCAAGACTTTTCATTGATTTCGCCACTAAATATCCCGTCACAGGTGCGACTGCATTTGCCGCACCAATTTAACCATAATTAAACGGATTAATTTGCTGTCTGATGATAAGTGTGGTAACACTCAAACAACGTTAATTTGCTCTCTTAATTATATGAGTTTGTTTAATTCGAAAATGTCAGGACTATCCCGCGTACCTCAATATTAGAATGAGAAACCACCTAATTTATATTAAGTACATGTCGTCAGGCTTAAAAAAAAAATGGGTCTATGTTAAACAATATTCGAAATAATTTACAGTTCATGTGTAAAGCCGAAAATACGACAGTGAGAAAGGGAAAAGAAAAAAAACGGTTGCATCTTTATTTTGCCAGTTCTACTCAGTTGTGAAGTGGCAGCAGTGAGGACCCCATAAAAGCTCTTTAAGATGATGAATAATTTAATATATTTGACAATGCTCTAAGATAGACCAGTTTACCTCCACGAGAAGACAAGGGGGTCAGTTATTACCTCCTCCAAAACTGATATGGTTAATAATGGCTTATTTCTGCCCAACTGGAGTGATGGTATTGTTCTTGTCGGGAAAGTTAATATCAACCTCGACCTTGCGGTACCTCATTTTGTATTGTAAAGTGTATTGCCTGGTTCATCTGAAACTACGCATTGAATTGAGAGACTACTGAATACATTTTCAAAGCGTCTAGCGTGGTTACTCAAAAACGTTGTGTTGTATACATTTCTAACTTACTTTCTTAACTTCTTATAGTTGATGGATTATTATAGGTAACCCCTTTCTGACTTACGGTGGCTGACTGATATAGCACCGGTGACTGACGGGGGAAGAAGTGCTTAAAATGCAATCTAACTGGGTGTATTCTCTTTGTTGTTACCCCCATATTTTGATGCAATTTGCATCGGGTTTTCTAACATTAGCACGACTTTGTTGATTAATGTATGATTTCTTTGCAACACAAACGGAAACAACGACAACTCATTGAAGGCGTCTGTCCTGGAAATGTACCCGATTATAGCTTCTGGCTTATGGTTCCAGCCTCACTTTTATTCTAAGGACAGGGCGTTGGGCACACAATTGTAAAATGGCCTACTTTTTTAACAGTTATTAAGCTTAAGTTGACCTCGTTAATTATGACTTAACCCGTCCTTCCTGTCGACCAATCATTTTGTTCTACAATTTTGTTAACTTCATTAAGGACTGACTTCCTTAAGAACTTAAAAACGTAATATCAAGTTTTGTGGGGAAAAAAGGTCAGCCCAACCTCGCATTCACTCAGTGAAATGTTCAGATGGTTATTTGACCGACTCAGTGAAAGATCCAAACGAATGAAAGCAAAGAGAACCCGGCATTAGGATCCGCCATTGCGGGTGGTGAAGAGAACAAGTTTCGTCAAAGTGTTAAGTACGTCATTTGGTGATCGCTCCCATCCACAACACCAAGTAACTACCATGAAATATTAAAACCTCTAAGATGGCTTTACAGATCAAACGGTGAATTTGGAAAGAAATGAAACTGATGTAAATGTGGTGCTGAATTTTAAAGCATGGTGAATAATGTATGAGGAGCTGTCTTCTTTTTGTGAAGTAGGTGCATTTTAACACAAAGACTGCGAAATGACTCATAGTTGAGCATACAATTCGTCATAGTAAAAACTGATTTCTTATTCCTCTGGTCTTTTGTCTTTAGTTGAAGTTTTTGGCACCGTTAATATATTTATAGCTTTTTTTGTCATAGTTCTTCTCGTTTTCATGGTTCTATAATTTTGATGCGAACTATACACCATTCCAAAACTCTAGTTTTGAAGAAATGTGCAAATAAGAACGACAGTCACTATTCTGCCAGTTATTTTACTCGCTATAATGGAGTACCAGGTAGTTTTGCTTTTTCTCATGACACATTGTCGCACTTTTAACGAATAGGAAAAATAGATATCACGACAAAGCGCATTCTGTCAACAGCGGTGTTGAACAACTATGGGGGAGAAAAGTTGAATTCCGACCTGAAGCCATAATAAATAAATAAATAAATAGACAATACATAAGATGTTTGTAAGGTACTGTACTATGGTGTTTTTCTTTATTATTTTTCTCTTGTTGATTTTTAGGAGGTTTTAAATACAAAACCTCCTTACCAACTCGTGATGGGCGAGTTGAGAACAATACTTGCAAAAAAGACTGAAAATCAGGGATTTTATTCTGGTAAACTCATAAAGTCACTATATATAACTTAAATGAGGCTTTTGTGTAGAGTTGTTAAAAATAGATGCTATGAAATGTCGTGTTCCACGTGGCCGCTTCTGCTTACTCTGTATTTTAAATTAAGGCTTAGGCCAAACTTCGAACTTTTCTTAAGACAAATCAAACTTCATGAGTTAAGTTCATGAAAAGTTCGACGTCCTGCCGATGAGTTAAGTTCCACGTCTGAATGAGTTTGGATCGTCCAACACGTTCTATACGTCTGCTTCAGATACAGTTGATTGGTTCGACGCGTCCTTAGTTCGACAAATGACCCAACAGACGATCTTAATTTAATTTAGGTCGACCCAGATTATAGTTTGGTTCGTCCCTTACGAAAGCTTAATTCGACGCTTGGCCTAAGCCTAAGTCATTAAAGTACTATCGGGCGTTCGTCACTTCCAATGAAACACTTCAGCGATATATAGCACTTAGAGCGATAATATGCTAGTTTATGAACTCTTCAGTGTACCGGCGACAAGTGTTTACGACATAATTGAACGATAAAATATATGGAGAATTAATAACCTGCATCGGGCAATGATGCGCCAATATTAAAAAAAAGGCTGTCACCAATATTTGGTTTAAATTCAAAAAGAACGTTACCATCAAATTTCACCCAAACACAAAATAACACCTGTAAACATTAAAAGAAGATATTAGCAATTTTCATCAGATATAAAAGCAAACACGGATGGAGAGAATTTTTTAAAGATTTTTGAATTGAATTAAAACTTGAAAACGTTTTAGCCTAACAGTTTTTCAAAGTTTATTTTTATTATTTGTAACCGATTGATTTAATGCTTGCAGATGACAGGAAATCTTTTGGACAAGAAATGCCGAAATTTTAAATTTAAAACTGAATTAGTATATTTTCTTCAATTAACGACGCCATTTTAGCTTTTCAAAATGAATCGTAACAGGCAATATTAACAAAATAAACTCTGCAAAGAGATCCATCCTTTAACATGAACTCTGGATACGATCACAACATCTCAAGATACAATATATTTTACGCGTTTATAATTTACGCGTATATTAATCAATCATTTGCGGCATGGCCAGTTTTCAAGGACTCCCAGCAAATTGCCAGACTCATTAAACTAATGAGAAAAAGAAACTGGATGTGTTCTCACGCGTATAAAATGCAAGTATTTATGACGAATGAAAAAGGGAAAAATAATAAATAAATCCGGCGGCAGATCAAGCTGTATGAATATTTGCCTATCTATATAAATGTAAGAGAAGCACACGATTTTTTGGACTCTTGAAGAGAACAAAGACGTTGACGTTTGTGATCACCACAGAAAGGCAGGCTACGATGATCGGTTGTCACCATTTCCAGCTTGAGGTTTGAAATCTGTCTGTCTATTCTCGTCTTAAATTCGCCTCTATTTAAATTTCTTCATCATTCCTCGGAGAATATTTCTATAACCTAAAATAAGAATACTAAACACGTCACAACAATTCCTTTTAATTTTCAACTACGATCTCAAGAGCCGAACTATTTTTGCGTTTGTTGATTTTAGTTCTCCTATTCTAAAACTTAATCTCCAACTTCTAAAACTTTTAAGAGTCGATGAAAATTTAACATTAGTTATTTCCTCTGGAAATTAAGAAACCAAACTAAGTTTTATCAAGACGCGTAACATGTAATATTGGTTAGTTTCTAAGTGAATATTGAAAACACGACCACCGATGTCGGTGTGAGAGTACCATGTGGCAAGTTTGCGTCTAGATTGTTCATGTTTATGTCCCACGCGGAAGTCATCCGTTATAAATTGGCCACTTTAGATATCATCTTGTAACAAAGAACAAACGAATAGAACAATCATCCACAAATAAAATAAATCATAGATGAATACTCACTAATAAATTTTTTGCAATGATTTTTCATAACTGTTCGTATGGTTTTTACGACGAAAAAAAAATGCAAAAGGGTGTGTAAATTTATGAAATTGAAAGAGAAAGAAATGCTTAAAATAGACATTGAAGTGGAAGTAAATAATTAATATAGAAAGAGTTCAGATAATCATCTTAACCTGTATGTATGACATTTATTTCATTTCGTGAGTTAACTCAAGTGAAAATGATTAAAAGTCTTACATATTACATGCAAAAACTGACACGTACATTTTCATAAATTCTTTAACTGCATAATTCAGCTTGTATAATGGCGATCGTCACTATTCTGTTTTGTAAGTCGCTAAATATTTAAGGTTTAAACGTTGGATTAAACCCCATTCAGTTCAGCAGGTCCCCGCCAGGAAAAACGCCATGATTAATTTTAACAAGTAAAAAATGTTACATATGATTAAACTCTTAGGGAAAGTATTGACTTGGAAAGGAACAGTCAGAGAACAAATTAGTATATATGACGTCACTTCGTTGTGAAAGGTTTAAAATCTATTTTTCACTTTTTAGCATTTCTGTCAGAAAAGAGTTCTAATCTCGAAAGTAGTACTCATTTAATAGGTGCTGTCTGTTTTCCATTAATTACAATTACATAACACAAATTGCGAAGTCACTGTACGTTATAGACAAGCGATATATGAAAGGCAATATCACCCTTGTAAGATTACAGATTTCACTGACCATGACAATGCCGAAAAAGATAAATAAATACATACAAAAAGTGTGTTTAGTCACGTTATGGCTTCTAGCGTCCGCATGATCTGCGCCCTGAAGCTGATAATATTTTACAACGAATGAATATTAAGTTTTTTGTATATAAATCAATCACAGTTATTCTTTTTTTTGTGGCGAATACTTTCAAAAAGTTACGACCTTGCATTTTTAGTGTTACATTCAAGAACCAATTAGCTTTCCGATTTATTACAAAATTTGAAAATCCGTTGTACACTAGATTACTATATAGCTACTTAATATGTGGCTTAATTCTTAATCTCGTATCTCTTTTAAGGCCAAAGAGTTTTCTCTTTAGGGTTGAAAGTATATGATTTCTTTCCAGTGGATATTAAGTTTCCTCGGTGAGTTTTTTGTTTTGTTAAATTAAACCAAATATCAATATGAGCTAGCTCTCAAGTCATGGAAAATTAAAGCCAAATGTTCAGCATTATGAATTAAAAATAAATTAAAAACATTCTCAGTTCTAAATGAAAAGGTAAAACAAAAACCGACTTGTGAACCCTGGCCAAATATATTAATATATGTATCGCCCGGCATGTATGTTCTAAGAGATCTGCTAAACGAATCTTCAAGTTAATTCAATCACGTACCTATTTAAATGACTCAAGACATGTTTGAAGCGTGGCCTTAATTGTTACGAAACACTCTGGTGGTGCGCTCACTCGAAATAGTTATTACATTGCATGATGAATTCCCGGGGGGGATTACTTGGGAGAATTTTTGCTGGGTATGTGCCCGCTGGACTCTCAGAGCCCCTACTCCATTATAGTTTGTTCTGTGGCCAAGTTATAGACCCCATCTTAGTCACTTTTGGGCAAATAGTACGTAATTTTCGCGATCCCATCTTAGTCACTTTCTAGTTATGTATCTACCCTATATTGAATGAAGAACACTTTGCTTTTCACCCACATTACAAACATTTTGGTACGTTTGCGAACAGTAAATATGAAGAGCTATCTTACCCCCAAATTAGAAAATGTGCGACCCCATTCTAGTAACTCTATTGAAAATGCGACTCCATTATAGTCAATCCAGTCGTGAAAATGCGACCCTATCCAGCGGCACATCCCCATTAGCCTCTTGTAAGGAAGTACTCCCCCTCCGGGGATGAATTGGCCTCTAACCTGATGCATCTTTTATTTGCGAGATTTTCATTGAAGAGATAAGAGCCTGGAGTCACGATTCTAACGTAGCAGCTGCTACTCTTGATACACTTGCTATATCATTGGATTTGATTTGTTCCGACAGCCTGGATTCATACTGTGCTTATTATCTAACCCCTCCCTCTATTTGACTCCTTTTGTTTTAATGGGGTTTGGCTTCTATTGTCTTTGGTTACAGGCTAGATTTGAATGATAGGCACGACGGAGTAAAAGGAAGACAGAGCGTCAGCGAAAGCCATATACTGACTTGAGCTAGCTATAGTGAAGATAACAGGAAGTGTCTACTAAAAGGTGCGTGTCTTGCATTCCTTATTTTTTCCCTACTTTTTGTACTGTTTCTCATCGTTCCTTTTTTTCCTTTCTCTCGCTTTATCTGGCCTTCGGCCTTCCAAATGTATGTTAAATACTGTATTGTCAAGTACTTTCTTGCTTGTTCCGTCAAGAATAACCTTGCAAGTTTTAACGTTGTAAAGGAACTTTTTACTAAAGGGACCTTTTCACCGAACGAAATAATTCGATATACCGAGATCAGGTCCTTCGCTGTGAAAAAATCAGAAGAAAGGAAATCGGTATACAAACATTTTGCTGGCACCTAAAATGAGAAATTACCGACATTACCAAACGTTCTCAGAACTCACATTACGTGCGATTAACTTTCGTAGACGCGCATTACAAATATCAGTACCGATAACATTTCTTTTACAATTTAGCTCTCGATGCTGTCAATGAGATTGATGGCAAGAAGAAGGGTTTCTTGAGAAAACTTTCATCCGTGACTAAGGAAGAAATTGTTTTTTTTATTCAATTAAACTAAAACTTGCAACGTCAGTTACCGATATAACATCGTGTTTCCTTTTTTAACTTTCTTTTCTTAATGAATTCAAATTCATTTAAGGTTAGCCTGTGATAATAATTGCAGCGGCCTAAAAGTACATTGAGAAGTGTTTGACATTTTGGTGTCATATTCAGTCAAAATGACAGTATATTTGCTTTCAAAAATAGAATTAAAACTTTCAAGAATATCCTTCAGATTTATATTTTCAAACGATAATGAACTTTTCGACACAACCTATCTCTTTCACCTGAGTTTTTGCTAAATTTCTCATGCTAATCAGCGGGAAGTCTGTGATTTAATGAATCTGAATCCTGATAAGAGTTGAAGTCGGTTAGAAAACGATATGGAAATATTTAGACTTATTAGCAATGTATCGAATAGTCGCAAATTTGCATTTTTTGTTCCTTTGTAATTTTCGAACATGTCATCCTCGATCTTTTATCTTTTATCTTTAAAACCTTGCCTGATGACCAAATTTCAGATCTATAATGTCTGTCTGTCTGTATTGAAGCCTTCGCGAATTGAATATAAACAACAGCGATATGGTTATAGTTATGAAACATTTTAGTCGTATGGCGGACGATATCTAAGTATTATACATTACACATACAATTGGAAATGTGAACTAAAAATTCATTACTGTCTAACAGTTATTTAATGACTGCCCGAAGAATTTTCAGTTCGGTGAAATTTTCACCCAAGAGTGCCTTTGCCAAGTATGATTCCCTATCGTGACTTTTACTTTTCATTGTTACCACAAGTTTAAAGAGATTGGTAAACGTTCTTTTTAGTTACAGTCAATTTTCTAGTTTCTAAGTCTCACGGCATAGCTTGAAGCCCGACCAATGCTATATTCAGTGGACTAACAGTGAAAGCACCTTGTTGATATTAAGGACTGGCTCAGAATAATTGTATTCTCTATCTGTTTTCCTAAAAACAGGGACCAGATTAAGTTTTATATTGAATGTTGCCTCACCGTAAAGAGGGGCGACAAGCAAATCTTTGTGACCTAAATTCCGAGTTTAATGATAAACACTTAATGAGTGGTATCGAGGGAAACATTGAGATTCGAGCGAAACAAAATTAACTGTTTCCCGAAGGAAATTTGAAGCTGGAAATTCATTATAAAACCTCGCTGTAACGGCGGTCGTCGATCAACATTCGCTGGTAACAGTACACTGTTACCCTCTGACGTCATAGATTTTGCAATGTTGCCAGCTCGGAGATCAAAACAGTGGGAAACAGTTTCATTGTTAGATGTCATGTGACCTCGAAGTAACGTAACCAATGAGAGTGTGTGCTGTTAGGAAAGAATTTCCAGTTATGTAAAAATTCCATTTTCAGTCACAAGTTGACCTGAAAAAATTTTGAAATTCTCCTCAAACCTTTTGTAAATGCTTTTCATGCTACCTATCAATTTATCGAAATAATTAGGCGTTACTGATATGAGAACATACCTTACGGTATTAAAGTAGTAGTAGGCTCCTGATTATGAATCAACATTTTCGTTAAAAAAACATTGACAAAAACAACCATTCCTCTGCCACGACATGAGGTCACTTCGCTACTCGTATGTTGCTGCATGCATGGAAGAAATGCCGGGTAAGAACGTTTCAGTCTTCACCACGGTCAAACGAGAGAAATTCAGTTGCAAAAGCCAAACAAACTATTTCAAGGCTAATCGGGTTTTTACGTTCACTGCTGAACGTTTTATACATGATTACCAAGCTATTAATACTTTTAACTTTTTGAAAGTTTGCTTTAAATGTTCCGTGTTTGAAAACCGAAAGAGGGTGTTGCTCTCGAAATTTGTCAACAGAATTTTGCGTGGGTGCGAAGCGTTTCTTCAGCTAAAGAAGCTCGACATTTTGAGACATGCGAAGGTAATTAAATTTTATTAACCGATTATTTCATACATTCCTGCCCATGGTTCCAATGAAATCCAACCAAACAGAACAGGAAACGCCTCAGACGTTTGTCAAGACAACAGTGGAATCTTAGTCATGATGATCAGGCATTCTTATCACAATTCTACTGGTCATTACCCTGATCTTAGGAGAGGTATTTTTGAAAAAGGTTACTTGTCTCTTTACCGGATATGCTACCCTCGGAGACTCATTATGAGGGGAGTGGTATTGGCGAGAAAAAAGCAGCAGACGCCGGGAAAAATCAACGAAGCCTTTTAAACTTACTAAATTTTCATTTTGTAAGATTTCTTTACAGATATGACATAGTGATACAGTGGTGATAAGAGTTGCTAATCCATGTTCTAAGTAAAGAGCTAAACATCTCGCTTACATTTGACTTCATCCAAGACAATCCTATAAATTGTTTTTATACGCATAAGACTATAAGCATGCATCCGTTCCCACAGCATTTGATCCGATCAACTGTGAGCACCACAAGCAGGATCAAGCAGGAAGAAAGACGAATCTATTCGGCAACAGCAATGACAAATATCGTACACTACAAAAGCTAGCAAGCCTTATTGCAGTTTTATTGTTTGTCGTGCGTACTGGTCAAGTATAGTTTTAAACAATTTTATATGTTCAATTAAATGTTTAATTAATCGCGTGCGTCGTACAGAAAAAAAAAATCGGACAACGATGGGATTCCTCTCCTTCCGCTCTTATCTATCGATCGTAACAGTATTCACGCAGGATAATTTTCTCGTGGAATTTATTGCCCCTTTTACCCTTCAATCCATGGGATAGAAAATTTTTATGTAACTGTGGTAAATACGGACAGTTTTACTACACGGGCTGGCACTTATTTTGCGATTATAAAGAACGCGTGCAATTACTCTTTAAAAAGGTATTGATAATTTCTCTTGTAATCGTTTTGTGTCTTAAAGGCGTGAAACCACCCTGTGAGATGATTCTCCCATCGTTTGAATTAATCTCTTGTAGCTCATCGAAGGAAGTGATAGCTAGAGGAAGTCTCGTTTTAAGCCGGACAAGCTAGGTACTAGGTGTCTACGTCGCTTTATTAAGCCTTTAAAAATTATAGAAAATAAGGGAGAGAGACAAGTACTGCACAAAGCCATCACTGAGGGCTATCTTCCTTATGGGCTGGCCACTTCGAAAGATTTTTGTACTTAATAGACTTGTATCATGAATAAATGTCATGTTGATGAATTTAGAGGACATGTCACATGAAATCTCCGAGTAATTCAAGAAAGGGAAAGAGAGTTGGAGATGTCCAATTTGTGTCGCTACGGTGTAGGAAGAAAAGAACATTTACGACATAATCGTGAACAAATCCACTATTTTACGGTTAGAGAGATTGAAGATCCCCTGGGCGCTGAACATTGTCGCAAAATAACAAAAAGCAGTGCACACAGGAAACGCCTCTCTGTAACTTGCTTTTTAAGCCGTTGGAAATTTCATCAGGTGAAAGTGAATGCAATGACTAGGCTGAAAGCTAAGTTGATAGGTAATAATATGGCTAAAAACTTCCGGTTCTTTGTTGAAAAGACAGTACATAAAATGGTCTTAAACCGAGAAAATCCAATTTTGTTTCCCAAAGTATCACCTTGACAGACCTGTGATAAGGTCCTTACAAATCCGCTTTTTATAGAATACATTTATCACTTGTCTGCCACACTTGTGTTGGCCGAGTGACACAGTTAAGACTTCACTGAGAATTTCATACATTTATAAGCTGCAAGAAACTAACAACTTCGAAGTAAGAAGTCCTGGATCCAGGTACCGTATTTTTTTTTCACTGAACACATTCTCCCTTTATTGCCCCTCTTTACGTATTTCCTCAAGTTGGCTTGGCGGACGTGGTGTTTGTTAGACGAGTATTCAGAGCTGATGAGTATTCAAGGGTCATTGGCTAATTAAACATAATTTTTTATTTTTACTAAAATAGCTTTTGGCTACCAAAAACATGAACAGTTAGTCCCAACGTTTTCTTGGGGCCCGGTGTTTAATCAAGTTGGCCTGGCGAACGTCGTGTTAGTTAGACGAGTATTCAAGGGTTCTTGGCCAAATAAACATGATTTTTTATTTTTACTAAAATAGCTTTTGGCCACCAAACAGATGAACATTTAGACCCAACGTTTTCTTGGGGCTAGGTGTTTAATCAACATATTCAGTTCTTCCAGAATTGGCATATTTTGAGAATGATCAGAGAGAGCTATGCTCAACCTTGACAATCTAGCGAAAACCTTCAACGTAATGCAGCTCAACATACATAGATGCCGATAGTACTTTACGTGATCTTTGTTGGGATGTACCAAACAATGAGAAACGGGCTTTGGGAAAGTTTGTGTCAGGTGCAGAATATCTAGCATAATTTCTCAATTCATGAGAAAGGCAATGTTCTTATTTATTTGCTTTTACGTGTTGAAAAACCAGGACAAAACTTCAGTAACGTGAATTACAAAAAAGTAGACAACTTACTGAGAGCTTTACAATCCTATACAAAGATAACTGATTAGCTTTTCCTTATCAATGAAATACACGAGTGAGATCTTCGAGAATAAAGGTCAAAAGTCTAGTTTCTGGCCGTCTGCTCTGACTATTGAAATACATTGTCAAGGCAAAAAGAAGTTTGCATCCATTCACAACGTACCAAGGCACTACTTCTATGGATCTGAAGGTGACAGGCTATTCCGTAGCCCTACACGTGTATCCAGAATGCGTGCACGTTTTGCTGGAAGATTCCAGAATTCTGATAACCGAACTGTACTGTTACTGTGTATTTTGCGTTTAGTTCCAATGGTGCTTAAAAGACACGTACAACATTTAAAATAACGATGCAAGGTTTTTTTAACACAAAAACAGAAAATCTTTGTCAGTTCTCAGTTATCAGTCAGCTCAGAGAAATGTACAGCGACAGGTTAAAGCGGTGAAAAAGGCTTAGACTGTGAAGGTCACACAGGTTTTTGCCTCGGTATCGTGGTATTCTGTGAGTCCTGAAGGGCACCATCGAGGCTTTCTGGTTGCTATACAGAAACAACACGATAGTTCAGCAAGGTTAAACACATTCTGGTTCTCTGGATTTCTACATATCGCTCTTGTGATAGAGTTTCTGTAAAACAGCTGGCCCAAAGCCACGTCAAATTTAAGGCAGACGGTGAATTCAAGTCGCACAGTTGGAGTGGAAAACTGCCACCCATACCATGACAATTTCATTAATTAATAACAGGGCGAATACTTCGTGTGATAGTCACTCGTTTCGTGACTGATTCTGTAGCGTGCTAACTGAGTGAACCTAAAGGGCCAATTAGCACCACGGCAAGTCCGCGGTGGTCGTGTACACGGAATTCAATTAACTCAGTTTTGGAGGGCCGTTCAAGGATATATCCTGGATCATTTTCAGGTAAAAGTGCATGTTCCTTGCCGCTTTGATGACAGTTATGAAAACTTTAGACTAGCGTTTCATTTCGCTGCTAATCACAAGCTGCGAAGGTCAAAAGAGATTTTAGGTGTTGTCAATTTGAGGTGTACAAAAACATTGAGTGAACACCACCGGCCTTCGCCTTTTCTAAATGATGGGTTCTTTTGTCGTTGCCGAAAGGTCTTAGTCGTCCACCGGCATTTTTGTGAAGCAATCAAAGCAAACTCATCGTATCTCCAGAGAATTCAGAACAATTTCACAAACAATGGTATGACATCTTCATGCCTTGAAGGAAATCTACCGTTTGATTTCTAAACAGAAAAGTGAACGTTAATGATCAATGATAAATATTCCTTGTTTACATAGAGGTATTTTTAATAGTGACCTGCTGAACTCATTGTTTTCACTAAAGAAGTTTAAATTGATCGACCACTAAAATCGTTCATCTCAGAAACATTCTGTCAATAATACAGTCAACTCCTTTTATAGGGGACACTGTGGGCACCTCAAGTTAGTGTCCTCATTAGCGAGTGTCCGTAATAGTGGGAGTTTATTTCGGTCGAACGTCTGTAATTTATTTTTGCTTGGGATTTAGCTGCTATCCGTGTTATCGGAGTGTCCATTATAGCGAGGTGTCCACAAGGCGAGAGTTGACAGTATTACAAAAATCGATAATAAACGAAAGTAAAGTTGGTATTTTGTTCCGTACTCGATAACAGTGGCACAGTACTAGAAGAAACTTTCACATATTTATCGCAGCGAGCCATAGTTGCGCTACACGCGAGTTTTTATCCAATACGTTGTACATACATTATGGGATAACAGTTATTTTAAAAGTATGAAGAGTAATAAGAGAATTTGAATTTTCGCCTTATATTCACTTTCATCCTTCGTGCAATTATAATACACTAGTCTATGTTTTGGGTTTCTCTGAGAGAAATCTAAAATGGCGTGGTTCTAGCTTTTCAAAAAATCGCCGAAAAAAACGCTCTTTAATCGCTTAATCGCGTCTTCCTTACATGTAGACGAATTTAATCAACAGAAATTTCGTATATTATAAAATGGCCTTTTAAATTACAACATATTCTTTGACAGCTTCATTTTCTAATCTATCTTTATGCAACCTTAATCCTATACTAAGGAATGTTAAGAAATCTATATGGCTATGGCCAGGCCATGGTAAATTTTTTTGGACGAGCTGAGAGCATGCAAGGCCGCCTCTTTGCCTGTTCCGTTTTGAGAGTCTGCCAAAAAGGGTAGATAGTAATCAAACCGTGTAAAGCGGTGCGTAGGCTCTCAAATTGGGCTGTCATGATACTACTCATTATCGATGAATATACGTAATTTATACAAAATGGTTTCTTAAATATGGCATTGTAGATAGAAAAATTGCAAACTCTGTTGATTGGGTCTATTTAACACTGTTGAAAGTCATGCTATATATATGTGCCAACGAGGCAATGTTTTTTCATGAGCAAATCATGCTAGTAGCCTGAACATTTTTGCATCTTATCGTTTGATCACCGAAATGTGGCTAGCTTTAACCAATTTCCTGTACAAATCAAATCTGGCAGTAACTGGGCATTTTGAGCATTTCGTGCTCCGAGTTTCATGTACCTGCCCACGCTGTGTGCAGACGTCTTCCGATTACCGCCGAGCTTCTCTACTAAATATACATTTCATATATTTTAAGACTTTTAAAGTGCATGTGTCTATTTTTAAGTATAACCTAAAGTGAGAATTGACAGTAAGCTGTTGTTTTGCTCGTGTGAACAGCACGCCTCAGTGACCGACTACTCCCACGAAAGTATTCAGATCCCTTAAAAGTAAACCGAAGAACATTTTTAGTCAGTCGAACGTGATTTGGTTTCCTTCTAGAAACATTTTCACCAGTTTAAGACTGAATCACGAGAATACAGCAGAATTGACATTTTAGTGTACAATGAATTAAAAGCCCTCGGCTTTGTTCTTCACCACGCCCCACTTTCTTACAGTCTTGATAACTAGGAGACCACAAAGAAAAGTGTCGAGTGACCTTGGTTTTTTTGGTAAGAAAAAGTAGGAATGTGAAAAACAAAAATAAAAAAAAAACTCAGTGGTTCATTGTTTAGTACAAATTGATCTCATATGAGCAAGAAGTGATTTTTGCCCCGTGGCAGAAATGAAAGGAAGTTTGTCAGTAATGTTGCGTAGCATATTTCTGGAGTTTGTTTAAATGAAAAGCAATTTTTCGCGTGCTATCGTTGAAAAGCTAGGGGGGCTCGCTTTACTTTAATTACACTCAACGTTATCACCAAAAAGATAACACATGTCAAAGTTTATTGTTAGGCTGTTTACTTAAAGTCACCAATAAACTTAGCAAGCTCTTTCGTTTCAAGCGTAGACAAAATGAACACAGATAATGGTCAAAACTGTAGGAATGTCTTTTAAGTACACATATGCAACCACGATAACCCTTCAGAAAGTTGCTTTTGATGTAGAGTTATCTTAATGCTATATCTCAAATGTAAGATCAGGAGTCGCGCCATTGGTTTTAGCATCTAAATCCTTCGATAAGGTCTTGCTTGAAAAGAACCGCATGCTGCAGGCACAAAACGTCACTCAACTCCTTACTGTCACAGCTATTGTGCATTATCCTGAGTGCTACCCTAATGAGCTAAAAAACAAACAATCACGTTTGTCTAAGTCAAAACAAATGCAATTAACCCAATGAACTCTCTCTTTGACCAAGACACAATATCCTGTTGCCAGTACCGGAGCCAATAAATGGAAAAAGAGTGCAAGTTAGACTATTCACGAAGGGCTACATTGTCAGCCCGAGTTTTATGAAGCTTACAAGACTATTTTTCCTGGGCATGTTTTACGTTTCGCCCAGAACAAAACTGCATGCTAACAAATCGAAAAACAAGGCTATGCTAGTGACTGGTTCAGTGCGACCTGATTAACGAAATTTAGTTAATCTATTAATTATCGACCATGGCATTCGTGGATTCCGAGTTTTAACCATAATATAGAGACACATCAGACAGGTTCTTTTATAAACAAAACATGTTTCCGTTAATACCCGGAAATGATATTTTCTGGGTCATGTCGTTCTTCCTAAAACAGGAGGTTTTGGAGGCAGATTTATTTTCGATAGCTTTTTAGATGGAAACTAAAACAAATCAAGGCACGTAAGCTATCAGTCCCATCGTGTTCTTAGGATTCGCCCCCATACATCACGCACTGAGGGACGTTGCATTATATAAAGTGATTAAGACTTGGCCAATGTTCTTTTAAAATTTGGTCCTTAAAAAACCCTTAAGAGGCACGTACAGCTATGTAAATGGAACTGCGTATGTTAGCATGAAAAAGAAAAAAATATAAACAAATGACTGCAATCGCAGCAGTTCTTCTTCGTGCGCTCCAAGTCATACACTTCCCTGCTGTTGGGAGGTTACTTAAATTTCACTTCAGGAACTGTACGAAAGCTTTTAAGCTGAGCACTTGAAGCTAATCCCGTGACGCGTTAATATGACGTAGAATACTCCATTTCAGCAGGTTCGATATCTTGAACGTGTTTGTCCCCGCATAGAAAAGCTGGTCGAAATTTTTCTAAGTGCGCTTGGCTTTTTTCAACGACATAGTAGCACTATTTATCTTCGAAGGTCACAGACTTAATACTGATGGTATGACCGCCGCTCAATGATTACTATGCAATGTATGGGGAGTATTTAGGATTAGCGAGCTTCGTCAAGTGGTAAACCATAAAAACGTAAGTCGATTACTCCGGATATCAAGGATACCGCATTCCAGCAACATTGGTTGAGAATACAGTAAGGAGTACATGAGAAAGAAAAGGAACTGTAACAGCCAGGAATAAAAGGTACATGAAGTTGAAATTATGAAAAGAGTAGAAAAACGAAGAGCCTTAATATGTTATCGTACTGTAGCAGCCAACGAAGAAAATCGCTTCTTTTGTTTAGGGTACTTGTAAATAAACGTCGTTGAAGAGGCCATAGATGTAACGTTAAACGAACGATTAATTCAAGAGGATTCTTAACACGACTAGTTTTTGGTTAGCATCCCGCAAACTACAAAAAACTGGCACTGCTCAATTAACTGACCAGCTAATCATTTCTCCTCTTAGTGAAAATATTACGGAAAAAACTTGTTTCTAGTCGCGAAAAAGCTTTGTTCTCTGCACAGATTATCGCTATTGTCAGTGTATTCTACTGGGCAGTCAGATGCAAATTTTGGTTTCTTGGTCAATATAACGTTGAATAAAACCACTTGAAAGGCAGGTTATAATTTTGGTCAAGCACACTCGACTTATTGTTTCGATTCTATGGAACTATGTACAGTACGAAGGAGTAAAATTGAGTTATCGCGTGAACATATCAAGAACGTTGATGAAACTAGGCTTTTCAGTTTCCCCACTGTGACTGGCATTTAGCAATAAAAAAAGCGTTACAAAGAAGTCAACAATTTGCCCTCCTGTTATATGACGTCACTTTGCCTAGCTCTTTTCAAGGTAAGGACACCAGTGAAGGCGACAGAGCAAGACAGCGCTTTACAATTAGGATTCAATGCACTGTTAAAAGAACTCTGCATGTTCGTCTTTGAATTGCGCAAACGACGCTTCTTTTGATGTCCAACTTCTTAACCAAGGTACATAAAGAGCTCATTTTGCAACTTGGCTTTTGGCCTTTGTTGCCCGTTGTACCTTTTTAGGGGGATAGTGTGGTTTTTGAAAATAACATCCGTTGTCCACAAGGAATGTTTTGGTATGTAGTCTCCAGTCAATCAAATGTCATCGAACTGTTTGGCTGGGTTCGTGATTGAATGGCAAAAAAAGTCGTATGTGAATTGTTGACGGAAGACAGAAGAATAGATCGTGCATCTCGGTACACGCAAAGTTTGTCCGAACTATTGTAACTACAGTTATTAGTTGGGCAGTTATTTGCATATGACGTTTCTGCTCTGGGTGGCATAACTGTCTTGGTTAAGTATAGGGAGACAATAAGCTGGCCTTGGACTTCTGGAGTGCCATAAGTATTTTGTAAGTCTCTATAGCTACTTGTTCTTCCTAGGTCACGTTCCAATGATCACGACAGGACGTCGAAGAACACTCTTGTTCGGATCACTTGTTAATTTTTCCTTCTTTTTCTTACTCGTGCAGAACTCACTGATTTTAAGATGGATCCCTCAACGATTTCAAACTACAGTAATGTAACAGCAACACCTTCAGCAACTGAGCCGGGGGAGCTGGTGCACGATCCACTTTGGGCTGCAATACTACGCTGGGTTATTGGAGGCATTATTATTATCGTAGGTAAGAGCATATTCATAATTTTCTTTCTTTTCGCCTCGCTGTACGAATGTCGTCAATAACTTCGAAGCCTTAAATCAAGCAAACCTCCTTTTTTGCTCAATAAACTGCTCTCTGTCTCCTAATCTTTTTTCAAGAACTACACTCCGTCATTTTACCAATGTTACTTTTTCGTTGACGCAGACTAAGCATTACAAAAAAATGTAAATTTTTGTTTAACTTAGAGTAATTAAAAGCAAACATTGAATGTTTGAGTTTCTAAACTTGCAACATTGAGGTTCGAATTCGAATTCTGAGGGTTTTTCATGGATTAGAGGGATACTCATGACAAATTATTTCCTGTTTCTGAATGGAAATGCCCGAGTCTGAAAAGATCGATACGATCAGCCCGGCTTTTTCTGGCTGTGTGATTTTATTTAGTGTTAAGTGTTTAGCTGTTGAGTTGATCAGATTAAGTAATCGCTTCCCTATAAGCAAATTAAGCCTTTTGACCAAACCAGGCGAGGCTGAAGAAAGAGGACTACGAACAAGACCCCATGTTTTGCCAAATGAGAAAATAATGGGAACTTAATGTTTTGACAGCTAATATGGTCCAAAATTGTGTCTGTATGAGGTTTGATTAAAAAACTATAAACTGCGTTTTCCGCCGGTTTTGTAGTCAAAGTTCTTGTTGTAAACTTTTATCAAATATTATACTGAAAACGTAGAGCTCTTAGTTCTGAAGGCCATATTGCGTTAGTGGTTTTTCTTTCCTGTCGATCAGCACGATTCTTCCGTAGACATGAGTTGAATACTATTTCCCTGCTCAGCATGATGTTATGAAACAAAGCGATTGTCGGTCAACAGAATTGAATAATTTGACAGCGTAATAAACAATGTTCCCTTCTAATTGTTCAACACCCACGAATTAGATAAATACACATGAAACTTGTAATCACGGAAATAAAATTCCTAGAGTTTTAGCAATCGCTCATTCAATACTCTTGCTATAGCGTTCAGGTGAGGTTTGTTCAACAGGGACAAAATTTCTGTGCAAAATTTATTTTCGCCAAATTGGCATTCCAAGCATACCTCTTCAATGTCAATTTTGTAAAATGTGATAATTGGGTGCTAAGTGCGTTGAAATAATTAAGTGCGGCATAGTCAGTTGAGCACACACACGAGGGCTGGACCCCGTAATTCATTGTGAACACAAAGAAATGGCTAAAAAATAATCTAGGGTCATAAAGACATTAGACACATTAGACCTAACTGTTGCAGCTTGATTAACCTTGAATACAACTGATAAGGTTTTACAATACTCTTTTATCAAAGCTATATCGAGATTGAACACTCACATCTCAAGTTAACTGTTCAGTGCCAAGAAAAGCATTCTCCTCAGGAACAATTCCTGTGTAGTGCGTTATCAAAACTGAGTACCACCTCACTGCCTTTATTTTTAGTGATTTGCATGACTTCGTAACAGTTCGCAAACTCTACATTTTGCCTGAATCATGTGGCGAGAGCTGATTTACATTTACGCAAACACTTAGATCAAATTATATTTAGTACCACCTTGTGCACCAGTATAGATTTTACCGATCTGTGAAATCGATTAGTGAAAGGGACAGAAATGTTTCATATCTTACGAAAACAGATTTGTCTTTGTTTAAGTGTTTGAAGAACGGCACGTCTTTTCTGCTCAATTCGTTTCTAATAAGGTACTTAAAATATTTTGTTATCAAAAACCCATCTCGAAAATGGGTGGAAATGAATCACCCGCAAGGCAGGTATGATCAGGAAGGCATGATCTTTCAAAAGAACGTTAACTCGACTGGAGAATACTTAAAATTGTTAGTAGCAACAAAGAAAGACATTAAATTTCTCATAGAATAAACAAATCCATTGTAAGTCAAACACAATGACAATAATCTTTGCAATTAAAAACGTTTGTAAACCTTGGGATGTAAATCTACCGGTCCATTTCAGCAGGTCACTTCCTTCTCTCGGTGCACTTCCGTAACTTAATAGGAGTGATTAGTTTTCTTTCTTCCTTAATAACACTACGACAACAAAATGGTTTTTTGATACGACTAGTCGGCCACAATCACCCCAAGGATTAAACACGTTTAAAAGAAGTTTAGTTAAACAGGTTTTGTTGGTTCTTCTTGAAAACGTTGCTGGTTTTTGCCGACTACAAACATAGGGCAAAGGGGAACACTTGTTACGCCCTTTCGCTCTCTTAGAGAGCGTGGATGATGGAGTAGTGTTGCAAATCAATTCTCACTCTTTTTGAGTCACTCTGTGAACAAAATTCTTTTGTGATGCGAGAAATTCAAATGGAACCTTTTTGGCAGTACTTTCACATGACGCTATTTGTTTTCAAGCATTTTCAAAAATGAAGTTTGCATTTTTCTTTTTCTTTTTTTGGAATTTTGCCGGACTTAAAGCATTTCCGGGAGTGAAAGCGTTAAAAGGTCTCCTGAATCTTCAAGTCATTCAGTTTTTTGTGTTTAACTTTTTTTAATTAAATACGTTTTGCTGGCGTGAACGGGGCGTAAGGCCACCAACTCAGGCTTAATAAGGGAAAGACCCTTAACTCAGAGAATTTGAGGGTAGCTTCACATATGAGTTTAGTTTAAAAAATTTCTCGCTGCAACCTCAAGAGAACCTCACTGCAGGGTACTGACTGACCACAAGGGTGCCGAACATAAAAAACTAAGTCTGTTTTCTCTGCGTGAGCGTTTTCCATAGACTCATCAGCACCATGCATCTGCTTTAATCAAATTAACCATATAGCCTTACTTTGATCTCTCTTTTTCTTTATGCTTTTTTTTTGTTATAATTTTCAACAGGATCAGTTGGCAACGTTATGGTTTGTGCTGTTGTGTTTAAAAACCAAAGAATGCAAACAGCTATGAACTTATTTTTGGTGAATTTAGCAGTATGGGACATCCTCGTTTGCTTGTTCAACATTCCTTTCACATTGATTTACAATCATCTCAAATCTTGGCCTTTTGGATTGTTCTGGTGCAAGACGATGCCGAGTAAGTAAACATCCATTAGTGTTCATAATATTTATTTGTTTAATCTAAAAACATCCTTTTGCTCCTGTGATGACAATTTGACTAATGTATTGAACTGCTACGTGTATATGTAGATGGCTATCGGCTCATGGATGTACCACGAAGCAGCCGGATAGCAGAAGATATCTTTAGCTATTTTTATCTAAGGCGTGCAATTTACTAAAATTAGATGAAAGGGGCACTAGACTTTCACTTTGCAATACGTACGACATACGTAATTAAACAAAAACGGAACGCCTTGTTGTGAAGTTCAGAGTTTAGGGGATCAGTCCGTCAGGCAAACCGAGCGTCGTCACCATTTACACACTGAGCCATATAGTTGAGAATCTAGTGTCGGTAAAATGTATTGAACATGAAATTAGACCTTATGGAAGAGGGCACTGCAGCTACAAAGTGTAGCCAAATATGCCGAACACAGGGAGGAAAAATACGTCGCCACAAATGGGAGTCAATATTCTCTGTGGAACGTTTTCAAATTTACGTCACGGCGGCCATATTGGTGTTCCAAAACAATGAAACGGCGGCCATAGTTGGTGTGCCAAAAATCAATCCTGCGAGAGTTAAACGCTTTTTCTATGTAAAAGCTTTCTTTCGTGGCTTCCAATAAATTTGCATAGATGTTAACCACGTGATTGAGAACGCTCTATAGCTTTCCAAACGGATTGACGCGAACAATTTTGACTTTCCAATCGTCTTTTCCACTTCCCCATAAGCAAAGTCATATACCCCTGCGTCTCTGACTCTTGTGAGAAGATTATAATTTCAGCACTTTTTGTCTGACACTAAGCCGAATTTTCTCTTTAGCTTTGCAGGTGATGAATCTCAGCGCATCCACCGGTTCCTTAGTAGCCATCACTATTGAGCGTTACCGGGCCATCTGCCTTCCTTTCACACCGCCGCTATCAAAATTCCAAGCCAAGCTTACCATAGCAATTGTTTCTATGGCCTCGTTTTTGGTGGCCCTTCCAGAGGTGGGGGCCTACAAGCTTGGACAACCCTTCGGTTGCATAGAGCAATTCCCGTCTGTACAACTGAGAAAAGCGTATTCGTTGCTCCTCTTCCTGGCGTGTTATTTGCTTCCGTTGTTGTTCATCGCCCCAGCTTACACGAGAATGATCTTAAGACTATGGCATGACCGTGACGACTTTCCAAGTGGTGGCGTGACAGAAGATCCCAAGAGCCATAAGAGAAAACGGAACGTACTGAAAATGATGGTTAGCGTTGTTGTGTGCTACGCCATCTGCATGCTGCCCACTTACGCGCTATTCCTATGGCTTGACTTCGGTTTAACAGGTTACTAATAGAATTGCTGTCTTTAACATTTGAGTGATCGGTATCAAGGAGCGAGTTTGTGTGGAGACCGAGCTACAGAGCTAGGGAGGGAGTGGATGAGTGAGTGAGGTGGGAAAGCCTGGCGGATGAAGGAACTGAGGATGATCTTGTTGAGTGAGAAGGGAATAAGGGGACTTGGGAGTGAAGGAGGGAGTGAGAGGACGGAGAGATCAGAGGGGTGATCAGGGGGACTGAGATAGGAAAACGAGGATGAGTTATTGGTAAGAGGAGGAGGGAACGAAGAAGTTGGCAAAAAAGGAAAGGAGGGGAAGAGAAGGAGTAGTAAGGCGAAGAATGAGGGAGAAGAAGGCGAAGGAAGAAGGCAGAGAGAGAGGGAGAGAAAGAAGAAAGGAAGGAAGACAGGAAGGACGGGAGGGAGGAAAGGAGGAAGGGAGGGAAGGAGAAAAGGGAAGGAGAAAAGGGAAGGAGGAAGAAAGTGAATGAGTAAGTTACTGAGAAAGGAAGACGGTGAGTAACAATTAAGGGCGGAGGAATGAGGAGGTAGGGAGAGAAGGGGTGAGTAAGTCATCCGTGAGCGACAAGGGAAAAAAATTAAGGGAGGGAGGAAGGAAGGAAGGAAGAAAGAAAGGAAGGCAGGAGGAGGGAGGGAGGGGTGAGGGAGGGAGGGAGGAAGGAAGGAAGGAAGGAAGGAAGGAAGGAAGGAAGAAAGAAAGGAATGAGGGGGAAGGAAGAAGTGAGGGAGGGAGGGAAGGAAGGGAGGAACGTTGGTAGGTAGAATGGAAGGCTTGTGTAATTGAAGTTAAAATCCATGAAGGACTGGTGAGCCCAAACGTCAAGAATTTAAAATTCAATTTAAATACAATAATTATTTCAGCTAAATTATTCACGGTCGCTGTTTCAATCTTAAAACCAGTCTTTGCTCAATTGCAAACCACAGCACTATTTTACGTTATCAAGAAGACGTTTTGCAAATTTGAGCATTTGTTTTTTCAATTTGGCACGAAACTATTCTTACCTTAAAACGTTACCACTCACGTTTCCCATAATATAAGAAAACTACCACTTACAGTTTCAGTGTATCGGCGGCAGAGTAACGACAGAGAAATAATTTCACCGTTTACAGTCATTTGTAAGATTTGCATTGGATATTCTTTTAACTGACGTAAAACATAATTCTCATCCTTGTTTGTTTGTCTTTGGTTTTTGCAGGGAATACACCTTCATACTTCTTTACTTTACTCAGCTTTACGCAGATTATGAACTTCTTCAACAGTTGTGTGAATCCGATAATTTACTGGTGCCTCAGTGAACAGTTCTCGAAAGAATTCAGAAAACTGCTGGGGTGCAATAAATTCAACAATTTCACTAGACATCACTCTTCCACTACCTCCTCCGAACCAAACGTTCCCTCTAATGTCAATCACAACACCGTACCAACAAAAGTATGATGTGTTACATCTATAAATTTTGGTGGAATTCGGTCAGCAAGTACATTGGTTTATATCTTGCGATAACAAGTTATTCGACTAGATTTAATATCAGCCATTCATTGTTGTCACACGACCACTATATCAAGCAGAACATTCGCCATAAATTGACAAGTGGCTTATATTGTAAGAGATATGTACAAGAACGAACCTCTGGTTCCATGGAAGCAAGATGAACCCCACATATACACTCGCTGATGGTTATGCCTATATCTTTGACTGTATGCCAGTGAAATAAACTACAGAACAAGCAAGCGTACATTTTTTTTTTTTGCGAGAGATCTCTACCAGAAAAGGAAACGTTTTGGTTTGCTGATGAAAGACGGTCTATCAAAGACTGTTCCCTGAAACATTTGCAGCCGAAGGAGAAAGGAAAGTGTGTTTCTAGGTCATTTAAAGAAAAGAAACATTTATACATTTTATAAGGTTTCAACAGATCGTTTTCACACACGTGGTCAACAGCTATGATTTTTTTTTTTTTGAGCGAAAGAGGGTTTTACAAAAGAAAAGAGTTCAATCCCCAAGGGACTTTTTTTGGTACACCAATATGGCCACCGTTTCCTCATTGTTGTGTACACAAATATGGCCGCTATGAGATCTATGTGAAAACGATCCATACAGTAACCATTGCCTCTAGAATGTATTGTTAGTGGAAGGCTGGATTATACATTTGTACTCCACACTTGCCAGCGTTGACAACGATCGAACAATATCGGTTCAGAAATAGATTATTAAACACTGTCTATTGATACGTTCAAGAAATTTGCTCACTCGCGATCGGTATAAATAATATATATTTTACCATACTTTCCTTTAAATACTTGATGCAGTTGTACATAATTCCATGAGTTGATCGAACTATCCTAGTGCATTATAAGTTATTTTGAAAAAGATGTTGTCGCAGTAAAGCAGAGCAGTATTGTAAATATTTGTAGTTTCTGTAGTGGAGCTAATGATAAAATATTTATCAAGAAAAATATTCTTCGTTGTTGTTTTTTTTTAGCAAACGAAATAAGACCCGAATATTCAACTTGCTGATTTTGTCTTATTCGGAAAGAGATGGCGCTTTGAAATTGTTATTATTTTGGCTCGATTTCCCCCAAACCACGCTATCTCATTTCCTTCTTTTAGATCAACAACAGTTCACAGTTGCACGCCAATTTTGACCGCTTTTTGGCTTAATAGTGGAACTAACTATGTCTTTGTTGTTCTTTTTATGTAACTGCATGATAACAAAAGAACTGGCCCCTCGTAAATTAAGTTACGTGTATTTCTCTGGAGCCATGCTGTTTCCACAGCTTGGTGGGGAAATTGTAATACATTTATAGTGTCGGAGGTTAGAGTCAGTGGCCAAGCGGACAACTTCTGATAAAACGTGTGCTCGGCCGGATTTCATAGGTCCCGAAAGTCATTGTTTCAAGATTCTTTAATCATGATCACCTCCCAAGTAAAATATTTACAGAGTTTCCACGATCACGTCAAGGGGAAAATTTCTGTCAGTGATAAGCTTAACCGTTTCTGCTTATATTAATCTGTGAAATCATTATTCATGTATTGATTATTTCATTTTTTTGCTTTGTTTAGTAGATTTCCATCCGAATACAGCAAATTATTAAGGTAAAAAATATACCTGCCGATCGAGAAAAACGATTTCTAAGAGATCGAAACTGCCGAGAATAATTAATACCTGCCAAAAGGTAGATGATAGGGTAAATTCTAAGGTACCGGAACACCGTTTATACACTTGTTGTAAGAAAAGTAAGAAACCACGTTAAATAAACTAATAAGAACATTTCAAATTATTTATATTACCTTCCTTTAAGTGCTTTTTCCAGCTCGATGATCAATGGGTAACTCTTTCTCTAGATTACCTGTAAGTTAACGTATTTGAATGAGCTCACCACAAAAATCATGCACTGCATGCAGCCATGACCACAAGGCTGCCACAAGCGGTTAGAAAGTTATCCTTAAAAGCAACTGTTAATTCAGTCAGAATTACCTTTGAGATGCCTTCAGAAAGAATTTTGCCGAATCACCCCTAAAGCAAGTGCATTTAAACGAGGAGACCGGCGAAAGAGACGAATTTTCTTTCAAGTGCACTGTTCACTTTCGTCGTCCTACGAAAGTTTCACTATTTACCTAAAGTCCGGGTTGCTAAGCGACATACCATGACCATAAACCTTTGCGGCAAGAGCGCTAACTCGTTCCAGGATGTTCTCGGACTGTTTCCAGTGCACCGGCGATTTTTGTCGCGCTCCACAAAGTCGGAGATCAGGCTCTTTTTTGACTTAGAAAGAAAGCAAGAAAGAAAAGTATTGTTGCTGCAACTATTTTAGCGCGATCTACTAGAGATTTTATGAAAAGTGAGAGTTTTTTGAAAGGAGCTTTTTAACAACACGCATACGGTTGTTTCCAAATTCGTCAGAACTGTTTCAAATAGTTTTTCTATGCTGTTAGGTTAATTAGAGCTGCCCTAACACTATGTGTCTGTTCGGATGTTTAATGGGAACTTTGCAGTGAAACCACTCGCCTAAGGCCGGTGTTGTCCCTTTAGTTTTGAAAATTTTGACGTCATTTTTATCGTTGATAAGAGTACAGACCATAGAAAATTGCTGTTGATTTGTTAATTAAGGTGGCCGTTTTTCGTCTCAACCTAACCAGTTAGCTACCCTGATGGGTACGGTCGAAAGGAGGCTTTTCCTGTACCGCGTCAAGTTTGAAATCACCACGGCTAGAACTTTCGAGCAGAGCCTTGTTTTTCACGTTCGTTTTGATCGGTCGAAAGTTCTAGCCGTGGTGATGTCAAAGACTTGACGCGGTTCAGGAAGAGCCTTCCTTTCTCCTCTTCGATCAAAACAAACACAAAACAAGACTCTGCTCATACGGTGTGTGTGTGTCACAGTACATTACGGGAACGAAATAAATTCTAACCTAGTAAAAACTAGTTTACTCTCGTCTAAAGAGTAAAGCCCCATGCAAACTGGGCGCAACATTGTTGGCCAACAAGTCCCAACATTGTTGGGCCAACAATGTTTTGAGTTGCTGCGTCAGTTTGCGCGTAGCTTAAGTAACGACTCCCCACTCTTTTATTCTTTTACATGGGGTAAAAGAGAGGAGAAGTCGTTACGTCACGTTGCCACGGTAGCAAAATGTTTGGATGGCAACAAACCGAAAACATCACTTGAAATTAATAAAAAGCGAATTCGCACTGTTTCAAACTTCGACGACCTTATTCAATTTCATATAATTTGTCAAATGACAGCGAAATTTTTCTGGGGTTAGATCCGAAAGGACCGTATCTAAGTTTAGACAGTATCTAAGTTTTTTCTGTTTAGAAAAAGAAAGAGGAAATTTTTGCGTTGTACTCGCGTACTTTGTAGAAATTTGGCTACCGTGGAAACGCGAAGTAACATGGTACCATGGTAACGTCCCTGTCTCTAACAAAAATCGGTCCAATACAGCAATGCGATGTAGACAAAACCAATGACACGCGACACTTCGTAGCATTGTCATTTCATGGCACTTTTATTTTTATTTTTTTAATTCCCAGACACAAATAACTACGCCTACAAGACTTTGCAAATTGTACCCCTACTATACAGTATAATAGCTTAAAGACGAAATATTTATTAAATAACTTGATCAATCACCAAAATAAAAGTAGATTGAAAATTCTAAGATTATCGTGTAATAAAATAAAAATTTTTAACCTAGGGCCTAGAAACTGAAAAAGTAACAACTTTGTACCACCTTTGAAAACTGATACATAAAAACATCACATCGTGTATTTTCTTTGATATGACTGTTTCTGAAAGCGAAAAGATATGTTTTCTGAAAGGTGATCGTCTTTACAACATGCACCTTTGTAATCCTGGACTTGTACATGAAAGAAACTAAATTCTTTAATCGCCCCACACAAGGCAATCTGGATTCTGAAATCTGGGAAATTTTTGCTTGTGCAATCTGGAACCTGAAAAACTTTTCCTTGTGAAATCAGGAATCCTTGGCTTTGGAATATGGAATTAACTTCAAGGAATCTGAAATCCCGCTAATGATTGGAATCCGGAATCCCAGGTTCCACTAACAAGGAATCCACAATCTAAGACTGGCTTTGATTACCTTAGGTGAGGCGATATTTAAGCAGTGTCACAGGTAGCTTGTATTGTAAAGCCCCATGCAAACAGACACAACGTTGTTGGCCAACAGCTCCCAACATTGTTAGATGTCACATGTTGCATCCGTTTGCACACCCTGTTGCTTGTTGTTGGGAGTTGTTGGGCAAAGCTTGAAACCGGTCAAACTTTTAGCTACATGCAAACGGACAGAGGCAACAACTCCCAACAATTTTGGAAGTTGTTTGCCAACAATGTTGCAACTGTCTGCAAGGGGCTTAAGCTTTCCAGTGACAATAGGAACTTTTCTCATTTTTGGTTGTGTAAATTTAAGTTAGAGTTGACATCAAGATAAACTCCCTTCAGCCCAAAACGTTTTGTCCACGTGTTTATTCAAATTCTCTTGTCCAGCATAAATCACAGGTCACGTGAGATAGACATGTGCAATTTTTAGAATTAAAATAGTTTTCTTGCTGGTAAAAAGAAAAAACAAGAGACAACATTATGTGTTCATTGGAGAAACCCAACCATCCTATAACATTAAAACAAGAAAACCCTTCCCACATTTCACTATGAAACTATTATTAAAAATGGTAAGTTTTAGTGCCTGCATGAAAGAAATGTACTGCTCCCAAGAAGAAGCTTTATTTCTTTAAGACTGTACCTGACAAAACAATAATGACCAGAGAGCTAGGGGAAAAGGAATTATTATTACTAGATAAACCAACTAAGAAAAGATAAAAATGCATTGATTTTTTGCTTTGAAAAACCCTGAAAACTGTGAAAAATTATTGATTACTGATTACATTATAAAATTAAAAATAATATTATGCAATTTGCCGCACAAAGAACAAATCTTTTTCAATTTAAAAGAAAAGAAAACATTAAAATCATCTTTCTGCAATAAATACCGTCTTCTTGAATGTGCACAAGCTTTTCTTGGAAGTTGATTCAAGATCTGTTCAGTAGATTGAGTGCCAGAACTGATGAAAAGTTCAGAAAGCTGACCAAAGCCTGTTTATGCCTAATCTTGGACTAACTATAAACAGGGCAGATCAGTTGCCATGGTAACTGCACCTGAATGTGCACTAATTACCCTAGGACAAATACCTTGGCCCAGGATTGGCCAATCACCTATCAGAGAGGCCCTTTTTGGGAATGCACATTACTCTAATCAGCACTTCATGTTTAATGGCATTTTACTACATTGAATTACAGTCAAACCGGCAAAAACCGTGAACAGTTAAAACACAGTACAACTTTGATAACTCCAACTCAGTCCAATTTCCCTTGGATTTTTACCCCACTTTCCAGTCATTTTTACTTTAATAGTAAACTTGAACTCCAATAACTCAAATTCCCAGCAAATTCAAACTAATTTCCTTTCTCTTGATCCAAAAAGTCACTGAAATTTACCCCGATAACTTGAATTCTGGTTCTTTTAACTCCACTTGAATGCCACCCCATTAGCTCTTCTTGTTGTATAAGAGTAAAAACACTAAAACTTAACACTGGTAAATGCTAAAGCAATCTGATTTTAATCGGTGTGACAAACAGATCACGTTTTATCATAAAAAATGCCTAATCATGTTACTGTTTCTGATGAAATTAGTTAAATTTGTACTGTACCATACATGTACATTGAAATGCTGAAAAATCAGTAACTATCAGTTTTTAACATGGAAAATTGAATTTTGCAATCAACCCCAATAACTCGAACCCCCACTAACTTGAACTGTTTCTTGTTTTCCTTCAGATTTAAAGTTATCAGGGTTCCACAGTACTTCACAAACATTTATTGTGATACTACCGATTACAGCGAAGATCAGGACACATGAATTAGCCACAAAACCATAAACTAATCAATGTTCTTGCTTGTGGTTTAGTTTCTCAAGCCTGATTGGCTTTTTTCATGCAACACAATAATATTCCAGAAATATTTCTGGTGTTCGCGGTTTTCCCAGTTTGACTGTAATTCTGTGGTTGTATTCTCTGCTATTGCAGTTTCTATCCACCTGCATTTTCATTTCACCTGCCTTACAGCACTATTTAAATGCAATTTTTTACAATATTTTTCCCCAAAAAGGCCTCACTGGTGTCAAATATAGTTCGTTTGTATTCCTGCATGATGTATATTGTTATTGCAAAGATATTGCAGATACTGATGGTGTCTATGTTGCCGACATGCTGATGGTATAATTATGAGAACCAAGAGACAAAGGCAAATCCTTACAAAAATAACGCATAGCACACTTTTTTCATAAAAATAACTGAATATTAGTTCAGGACACAATAATACTGCTGGCCAATACTCCCTAAAACAGCCTTTGGTGCAATTCACTTCCCTTTGAACATGACCATCCTAGAAAATTACCTCGAGGCTTGTAACCCATGATCTAAGTTGGTGTGTAAGAAATTTATATACTTTAAGGCTGTGCTCAGGTGCTGTCTCAAAATTTTATCTACTTGGTGTTCTAATAACATCATTTATTGTTGCCAGGAACTATAGGGGTATAATGGGCAAATATTTGAAATAATTATTATACTACAATCAACTCTCTCTAAGACAAACACCTTGGACTAGCACCTAGTGTCTGTCTTAGAGAGATGTCCATCTTATAGAAGTGTCGGTGAAGAGAGAGTCAATGGTAATATTATTATTATGCCTACTTGCAGACTGTTTAAATACATGTACAGTGAAATCCTGCCTTACAGCCACCTTGGAAATAAGGTCACCTCGTTATTACAGCCACGTTTTTTTTAGCCACCCGGCAAAACGGCCATACATTTTCTTTGTAAAAAACCCTTGTTAATATGGCCAATGTTTTTTTTTTGCCTATTGGTGACGTATTAGCGGGATTCCACAGTTGTAAAAGAAGTCTACTCATACTTGTAAAGAAGGAAATCTTTCATTATATTTGATACTGGTAGCTTTGCAATCTCTGCTAAACGTCTGGCACCAAGAGCATCTCGAATGACAAACCGGCATGAATCTTGCAGACTTCTTGGATTTTCTAGAAAAGGAACAATGGAAATCAATACAATATTTCTAGATTGAAAAGCTGTAAATTCAATTGCATAATAATAATTACTGTACTATCTCCATTTCTTAAACTGATCCTCTCGCGATATGATGTTCCTTTTTCTCTACACGTACATACTTTTGACATACAGTAAATCATCTTGGCTGTATCACAAAAAACTGACTAAATGGCCTTATACATGTTGCTTGCCGTGAATCTCTTTGTTTGTTAGCACAGTGGTTATACAACTTAAGATGCCTGACTGTTGTCTGATGTGTAGAGGGTTTGTTTCTTTTTCCCAGTTTCCCTATATTTCAGTATTCAAAAACTCAGAAAAAAATCTGTTGATTGAGTTATTGTACCATTAATGAAGTTCATGAGAACACACTCATGGGAAATGGGGAAAAGATGTTTATTACTCTTAATATTCTCTTATTACATCAGCCACCAAGTCCTAAAACTTAATGAGTGCAGAAACAAGAAAACAATACATTTACCCACATGTACCTTTTTTGGGAATCTAATTACAATATTCCCAAAAAATGGGTACATGTAAACATATTGTGCATGGCAAAATAATTTTGCAATCAACAAAGCACAACACTATGTTGACATATTGCTTTATTTCCATTGTATTTTATTACCTCTTAGATAGAGTATTTGTTTTATTGTGTTTTATTTTTATCTATCACTTTTTGGTATTGTAAATACTTACTTGATACACTTATAAGAAACTCCAAGCAGCCTTTGTCTGCAGTGTTTACATTGTACATCATTCTTGATATAGCTAAAGGGGTAAGTCCTTCATCGTTGAAAACATTTACATCAGCACCAAACTTAAACAGCAAACGCGCCAAGGGTTCGCTATTCCTCAGCGCCGCTAAATGTAAAGGAGTTTGTCCATCTTCCGGCCTCTTTATGCTCGTGAGAGCCCCATGTTCTACCAGCATTCGAACACAATTTATGTTACCTTTTATAACCGCGTAACGAAGAGGAAATCCAAATTGAACGTCTATGTTAGCTCCCCAGTTCAGTAAAACCTTAATCGAGCTTGTTCTTTCGCGTATTATTGCTAGTTGAAGAGCTGTAGTGCCTTTGTCGCTCAGAGCGTCCACGTAACCCTTTGATTCTAACAGAAGCTCGACAAACGAGTCCCTGCCATAATGCGCTGCCACGTGTAAGGGTGTCCAGCCATCTTCGCTCCTGGCATCGACAAGTTTTTCTTTGTCCAAGCCTTTAAAATCTAATAACAACTTCGCGATTCTAGTTCGACCGTGCATTGCCGCGTAATGGAGGGCCGTAAAACCTCCGACGAAATCTCGCGCAAATGCGTCACCTCCTTTTTCCAGCAAGACCCTTAACGTGCGCTCCTTGCCTCTACTCGCCGCAAGGTGCAACAAAGTCCATCCGTTTGGATCCATATGATTTACAGAAGCTCCTTCTCTGATCAGTTCACGAACGAGTTTTACATTGCCACTAGCAACCGCCTCTCTCAGACGCGCAGTTGCTGGACTTTCCATGGTTCTTTCCCCTCTCCTAGGCCGCTTTCGTAACATTATATACAATTATAAAGTCTCCTACATATTGACTGCTATCTAGACTCGTCTTTTAGATGAGCAATATTGCAAATCAATTTGTCAATAAAAGTACGACCTTCGAATGTTTTCAAAGGACGCCATGCTCCCCAAAACATTCCAGAAACGCGCAAGCGTAATGCAGGAAAGCCGCATTTCTAAAGTACAGCGGGCTCATTATCTCCAGGTATTTACAAAATGGCGTCCAAAGCAACCACTGTTCTGAAAACATGAATTGCATTTAAAGTACTGACTCCCCTATTGGAGTTATCTTGGGTTAGATGACACAAGAACTTAGCTACATGCAGCTTAAGACTGCCAATGATGCACGAGAAGCGGTAAATTTTACTGAAATGGTCTTTATTTCTTTTCACCGGGCAAAATGTTGACATCCAGATCGTTTTAATATCGTTGTTTCTTGTGTTCATCCAATTAAGGAGGAGCAAAGATTGGAGCAGCGTAAAAGGACGCTATTGATACTTATCCTTGATTATTTAAGGGAAGAAGGGTACGTATAGACTATTTATAGTAAATATTATCTCATTTCATTACCTTTGCTTTTAATTTTGGTTGCCACCACGTGACAAGACTTCCAGGCTGCAGGTGGGTTGACAAAACAATGCAATTTTTTTTTTTCGCAAAATTTGTATGAAAAAGAGTGTTAAGTTTTCAAATTAGGGAAATCCTTCTTTTTGTTTCGCCAGCCAACTAGGCCACGGTAACACCAGATGGATAGCATCAATTGAGGAATCAGTATTTGTACCCTGGGTGTACTCCCTTATATGGCCTATACGGGGATGTGCAGCGGGATGGGGTATGGGTTTTGTCCTCTCTGTCCTAAACAGGGTAAATATTTTTGGGCGAGTCTGTCCTAATTATAAACTGAGTATTGCCTGCACGATTGATTTGATTTGCTCAATGGCATTTGTTTGTACTCCAAGGTAGTATACAGAAACAATGACTGTAATGTGAATTTGCTCCATTGCAATTTCCAATAGACTTTAAAACAAGACTTCTTCTATACTGTCTCTTTTTCTAAACAGGGTAATAAAATTAGGGGGAATGTCCTAAGCAGGTTGTGTATAATAGGAAATTTTTGTCCTAAACGAGGTCAAGATTTCAAACCCTCAGCAACTCACCTATACCCAAATATTGGTGGAGCAACCCCCTCCTGGGATTTGCACGACTAACAGTTGGTAAGCTTGCCTCTGGATTCCCCCACGGGTGGCTTGGTTTAACTGCATTTAAATGCAATTTCAAGGAGTTAACAACTTAGAGCATCTTTAGTGCCAGAGGTCAGCAATCTTTTGGCATGTGCATGCCCAGTACTAAGCTTGCTACATTGATAATGTGATTCAGTGGCACGTAGAGTTTTCCCTTATGCTGTGTTGTTTATCCTACGAGGTTCTTTCACCCATTTTCGCCTCCCTTCTCACTCTGCCTGTGGTTCTTTCTTCATTGATATTTTTAAGTGTGATGGGTGCCTGTCGCACTGTTGCACTGTCGTCCCAGCGATGGGGGCATTATTTCAAACTAGGATGGAAGCCCCTGAATACTCCAGGCACCCAACTTCCATTTAGTGATGTATTAATTTGTTAATGGTACAATAAGGTGGATTATGGTTGGGTATATTCAAGTTACCAGGCCCCCAAATTTGGACCTCTTTGTAGAAGGATTTGTCACATCAAAAGAATAGTTTGTTTCATAAAGTTTTGAATTTTCATTATTTTTAGTACGGTGTTATTCTGCTATGTGTCATACTATACAAATTATTTTTCTTTTTAACATTAATTATTTTCATCATTTTCTAGGAATTTTTTTCGGCTCTTCAGGCCTCAGTTTGGTCTATAGATAAGAGGGGGGGGGCAGGCCCCCCTGACCCCTCCCCTAGATCCGCCACTGAATTGTACATTAGATATTAGGGAAAGAGGAAAGTGGCCACTGGATATGCATGTGGTGTTGCCTGGTGGCTGTACATGTAAAGTTGACACCAATTTTATTTTTTTTTGGGGGGGGGGGGTCCTTTTAAGTAGCAGTTTTATGAGGGTACCGTTGGTGTGCTTTGATTCGTCATTTTTCATTGTTATATCTACCTGTGTAATGTTAGTGTAATTTGTCAGTTCTGTCTTTTTTCTTTTTTTTTCTTTTTTTGTAGATACATCGATTCAGCACATGCTTTAGAAAAAGAAGGAGGAACCAGTTTGACTAAATTTGAAGTGTGTGACAATGTTGACTTACCCACTATTTTACAGGTACATGTACAATGAATTGTTTTTTTTTTCATTTTCTACTTAGACTTTCTTTGCTTCACACTTTACCCTCCTATGTAGCATTTTTTCTTTTGTTGTTGTTATTGTCTGTTTGTTTGTTTGTTTTTTCACACATTCTTTCAGAAGCCTTTAAGTGACCATGGCATTTTGCCTTTAATTTATTGTTTCGTTTTCTTGAGAAAACTTATCATAGCAGTAATATTGTAATGATGATGATGATGATGATTGTTATTATTATTATTATTGTTAATATTAATATTACTACATGTACATGTATTTTATTGCACTCTGAAAACCAGGAAGAAAAAAAAAGGAAATTTGGTTTAACCTGAGTTATTAGATATATCTCCAGCATGTGTATAATGTCTAGTATAACTGTATGTTACTCTTGTTTCCCAGGAATTTGAGTCCTACCATTTTGTTAAGTTCAATCGTCCACCAAAAATTATCAAAAAGAAGGTGACTAGTGGTAAGTTAATTGCAACAAATTTAAATTAATATGATGTGTTAAGTGAAACCTTGGGAAAAGTTAGCTTCTAGATTCCTTATTAGTATTTTACATTATTAACTGATTATTGTTCCCTGTGTCAATTTCTCAGTTTTTGTTTGGAAATTAAGCAACTAACATAATACTGCTACAAGTCATTGTGTATTCGAGTAGAAAAATTATAAGATGCATACATCATGGTTGGTTTGTGTGGTTTTTGGTGTTAGTACAGTATGCAATCTATTTTTTTAAGAAATAACTGTAAGAAATTAAACAGTAGCAGGTGTATTCAGGGTAAGTGATGAACAGCCATTCAGTGGTTTGATCAACAGACTCACTTACAGAATACTGTAAAATTCCGAAAATAAGCCCCTCCGTGTATTAGCCCCTCCAAATATAAGCCCCCCAATCCAGTAATGCAATAAACCCTCCGTTAAATCGCCCCTCCAAATATAAGCTCCCCGGGGGCTTGTACTTGAAAAATTGCCCTCAAATACAAAGTAAAACAAAGCAAAAACGGTAAATTTACTTCCAACTATGAGGCTAGCCCAATTGATTTTGAAACGCAACTTTCCCTCCGTAGATAAGCCCCTCCAAAAATAAGCCCCTCAAAAAGGGCCTTTGAAAAGTATAAGCCCCAGGGCTTATTTTCGGAATTTTACGGTATTGTTTTTACTTTTTTTGCCTTTCTTTTTTGCTAATAAACCAAAAACGAACATTAATTTTTTTTGACTTTGATTTCAGCTGATTCATCCAGGGCATTGCCTCCAAAAGCAAAGTCCTTGTCAAGGTAGTGCAATGCATTATTTGTCGGCAAATCATTTTTTTTTTTTAATTTTTTTTTTGTCATCATATATTGTTCCAGAATGAGAAAATTACATAGAACAGAATCAACAACAAGAAGTCCAGAAAAAAATCTGAACGATAAGTAAACTTTACTAATACTTTACTGTCCTTTTCCTTAGTTCACGAAATAGCTCAGTATCTTTACCAAGTATCAATGGCCAATCAGGAACAGAGAACTTAATGTCATCAAGTTCATCCAAGAGGCCAAGCAGTGATGGCAAAAGAAAAACAACTGCAAGCTCAAAACAGAAGATAAATAGAGTGAGTGAGTTTCTCTTTAAGAGTCATAGTCATCGAGTCATCATACACTGTAGTCATCATAGTCATCAAGTGTTCATAGCCAATAACATCACGGCTTCATTGACAGTCATCCATAACATTGTGACTTAACTTACCAATCAGGTCAATAACCAGAGTTTGATACCATCAACTGATGTGATACAACTCACTTTGACTCGGAAGATGACTACCCCAAAGGTTGTCCAAACGTCAGTCACTGTCAACAACAGTCCTATTCAGGACTACATTCATTTGGACAATCATACTCAACCTACTTACATTGTCTGAAATAACTCCTGGGTTCAAGCCTTTCACAGTTTTTTCTTTGTTGTGTTAATTTATAGAAGAACAGCTCACCTCCTGAAAGAAGCAGTCCAACAGTGGCATCATCTGATCTGAACCTGGCAGGCACTTCAATAACAAACACTACAGCTAAAACTCATCCCAGCAACCAAGTCACACATGGAAAGGTACAATGTACATGTAATTTACTGTAATTTATTTAAGTAGTATGTTTAACTTCATGTTAAAGTTCAATATTTTATCAGCTGTTACAGTGGCCGTAAATACAGTATATTGATGATATAACTTACAGGTTATTATGTTGAGGAAATGGGGGGCTGTGTCCTCCATATTTGAGCACTAAATGTTCCCACTATCAGCCTTGAAAGCCTGGAACATGCTACCAAATCCTACAGTTGGTCATTTTGTTCTTTTAGTCTAATCTTCCACTTCAAATTGTGCTCAAATTGTCTTAAACTGTGTGTCCTGGTGGCCTCTCTGGTAGTGTGGACAGTTTATTTTCTGTATCAATAAACCTACTTTAGTCTCTGACTGACATTTAGTTTGGTTGTGTTTTTTAGAATGTCATAATTGACATGAGAGCTATGCTCAACAATGCAGTTAAAGGAGACTATAATGCAGAAACAGACCCATCAGTAAGTAGATATTAAGTACCTGATCAAAATTAATAAGGTCTCTTGTCTTAAACAGGGTAGGAAATGAACAATTTTTGTCTTAAACACGATCAGGGTTTGAAGGCATTGATCTCCCCGGATCAAAGCTAGTGCGGCCAAAGAGTGCTTGGTCAATCACCAAATGAATAAAGATTTGGAATAGGAACCTCGTAAAATATCACAAAATTAATGCTTTTGCTACAAGCTAATCAACTCTCATACAATGGCCTACATGTACACTCTACATGTATGTCACCAACCTTTCAGCAGTTTACTCTAGGATAGGGTATATAAATGAGAGCGTTTGGGTCTAGAATAGGGTATCATTTCTCAGGAAACTGATCAGTTGGTTGAATATTTTATCTAGACTAGGGAAACAGCTACTCTAGGATAGGGGGGATTTGGGGAGTTTACTCTAGTATAGGGTAGCAAAATTCAGCTGAACTAGCTCTGGTATAGGTTAAGGGTTCCAGGGTCCCAGCGGCACATCCCCACCCAGAAATTCCTAAAGTACCCCCGGGGTGCAAAGAAAGTCAGTTTTACAGCTTGCCATTCGGGCAAGCTGTTGCTAGCATTTACAAGCCCAAAATTCATTTCAACTAGCCCCAAAAACTTTTTAATAAGCAAAATTGATTACACAATTTTTCTGTAATTTGAATTCCTCAAAAAATATCACTTGCCCATCGGGCAAGTAAAGAACAGAATTCACTAGCCTGATAGCAAAATCCACTAGTCCTGGGCTATTGGACACTACTTTCTTTGCACACTGGCTCCACTCCATATGAATGACTGCTTTCTGTCATTGATCATTATGTGATTGTTTAAGAAGGAAATGTGCATGAAACGTCCAAAGTGCATTATACCAATTTTTAGCTCATTTATTTTATGCTGACTGTGGAACTCACCCAATTGCCTTAACTGGCAGCAAAAGCGTTCTAAAAATATACCGGTCTTTGAAAACAGCGCAACGCGAAATTCATGGAGGTTGCTCACTCCTGTTTATTGGCTCCTGGAATTGGAAGTATATATATACGAACCAATCGGGACTCAAGTATCTATTAAACACGTGCAGTGTCACGTGTAATGGTCATGATGGGTCTCAAGAATTCTAATTGGTCAAGAAAGGTGCAAGTTATTCGGGCCAATAACAGGGCTGTGAACTTCAAACTGTAAAACTACGTGTAATTTTAATACTCACTGAAAACTGCCAGTGCACTAATTTAATATTATTTCTGCTGTCTGTATCAGGAGCGGCTTCTAAAGCCTCTTGGTGGATTTGCTGGACTGACTGGAGAGTGGAGAGATTTAGCAGCTGTCATCAGTAGGGTACTTTGATCTCTTTCTTAATTAAAGCAGACTTTAAAAGACAACTTTGTGAGTTGATGCAGTTTGAAACAGGCCAGTTTCGAATTATTAAAATTCTTGCTTGTTTTTGAGGCTGAGTGTTATAATGAGACAATGAAAATAATGGCTTGAAGATGGAGGGATTTATGTTTCACTTCCTCTCTTTTATTTCCTCTCAGCCTTGAAGCTAAGTATGAATTTTGATCATTCGAAACTGGTCTGTCAGGAAAGGTCTTGTCAATTAACAGTACACCGCAACACTGAGTATATGTGTGCCTATCACTAATAATGCGATTAATAATATTGTAGTAAGATTCTTTCCCCACATACTGTCCGGCTGCCAAAACCCAAAAGAAAAATCTTTTGCAATTGTTTGTTTTGTCTGTTTGTTTGTTTGTTTGTGTTTTACACAAAGTTGGTCATACTTTGACAGTTCTTTGGTCATTGCCTACAGCTGAAGTCGTAGAAAATGTTCTTATACACTACACACCTGGAAAACGTGAACCATAGATACAATGCAGTCTATGGTAAAAAAATCTAAGATTGCATTTACGTAGGTAGATAAAAAGGGTGACCTGTTACTAGTGTCTTCTTTAACTGACTGTTGTTTATCAGGATATTTACCTTCATAACCCTGACGTCAGATGGGATGACATTATCGGTTTGGACGCCGCGAAAAGGCTTGTAAAGGAAGCAGTCGTTTACCCTATCAAGGTGCGTTTTCTATGCTACATGTATAATGAGTCTTCGGTCAGTTAGACTCTTCAACAGAAATGAGCGTGGGGGAGGTGCCCGTGTGGCTGGTGGAACCCCGAACTGCAGCCGAGTGCAATGTGTAACCCAGACAACCCTTATCATCTACATACCGTAGTGGTGGGGGCGGGAGGGGGGAGGTAGGGAGCAGAAAAAAAATAATTGCAATCACGAGTCACAAAAGGCAACGAGGCCTGACTTCAGGAGAAAGGCTTTAAAAACCAATGAGATCCTGCGGCGCGATGAGGGCGTACCTGCATATCTCCGATAAGAGAGCCATGTCTCGATTTTAATTTAGCCTAAATTTCATTAAGCCGCATTTTTTATTTGCCGTATTAGTCAGAATGGGGTTGTCGAGATTTTGTTGTAATCTTTGTCTTTGGTTTTCAGTATCCTCAACTATTCACCGGTATTTTGTCTCCATGGAAGGGTCTTTTACTGTATGGACCTCCAGGTAAGGTTTGACTTCTCTCAAGTTACGTCAACAGGTTCACGACTAAATAATTTCCCACCCAGCCGGGAAATCTGCATTGTGACTAAATCCTGGCAATTTAAAGTCACAAGTACCATTTTCTGACCGGTTTCCTGTGACATAGTCGAAGTTGAAGCTAAAAAGTGCCGGTTTTTGGGCCTTTTCAAGTTGAGACCCGCTACCACACCAACTGTTTAATTCTAAACAACTACACATGTCACGTTTAACTTAGCCTCAAAAAATGCCAAAAGAGAGTAGAAAACTTTTCATTTCAAATCTACTTCCAGTCCATTGCATACGTTATTATTCCTTCCAACGTTTTTGGAGACTGTTTTATCACTATACATGCCTTGTTGCCATTTATCAAAGGCACTGGGAAGACATTATTGGCTAAAGCAGTGGCTACCGAATGCAAGACAACCTTCTTCAACATTTCGGCGTCTTCTATAGTCAGCAAATGGAGAGGGGACTCAGAGAAACTTGTCAGGGTATGTATATATTTCTTGTACTATGTATTACGCAAATTGTATCAATATTAATACATCGTTGTCCGCCACGTTGTAGCCTTCATCGCAGACGTAATTAACGTCTGCGGAGCAGCGCCGAAAGGCTTGTTCTGGAACCCCAACGAGCTCAACGAATTACAGGAAATGCGTTTCGAATTTCGTTTTAACCTGACTAGCAAATCCACGATGGCTTTTTTAACTGGCCAAGCATGGCGCGTATTCAAATCCTTGTACACAAGTGGGACCCAGAACAAGGATTTTGATGCTGTTTCGCAGACGGACTCAACCAAAAGTTTAGTTCCGTCTGTGTTGCAGGCTACATTGTTGCGGCTACTATTGATGACAATTGCATTAATTGGTGAATGATGATGATGATGATGATCACGAGTGTCCATCACGAGGATGAGGACTAAGATAACGATTGTGATGAAGACATGAAGGTGGAGGCAGAGGATTAAAAATATGACGATGAAGATAAGGAAAAGGAGGAGGAGGTGGAGAAGGGAAAGATGGCATAGGATACGGTGGCGAGGCGGTGGCAGATGAGATTGAAAATGTTGAAGATGGTGATGATGATGACGACGACGACGACGATGATGATGATGATGATGGTGGTGGTGGTGGTGGTGGCGTAGAAAGCTTCCGTGAACGATTTTGGAAGAAGAGTTCCCAGTGCCGAAAACTACTGCTGCAAGTAAAATAGGCAATGGCGTCATTTCGTTGCTATGACAACTCCGATGTCATTGCAATTCTGATCATGACAAATTTTTATCTTTATCTAATACAATTTTGGTGGAATTTTTCCCAAATCTTTGTTTATGGTGACGTAGTGTATACTCAAGCTTAGAAGGTATTGACCCTGAAAAACTGTGGTATTGAGCCACCTTATCTAAGAGGAGGTGGTGGAGGACGCCGGAGAGGAAGATAGTGATGTTGATGATGATAATAAGGATGTTGTTGATGGTAGTGTTGTGAAGGAGAAAGAGAAAGATGAAAATGAAGATGGTGAAGAAGGTGGATATTGACAATTAGTAAAATCCAACTAGTGGTCTATTATCAATGCTACGTTCCGATTGGTGGAGCTACTACGAGGCTATATGTTATAACCCACTGTTAGCGAAAAGCGCCGGCTTTGAAAACCAAAACAATGGCGGCTGAATCGCGTTTTGCTAGCTAAAGTTGTTTTGTCTCGATATTTTTGACCAACTATTTGGATTTTACTACAACAATTATTTCTCTCGCCCTCATTGCTTCTTAGTCAATAGCCCTATTTACTCAGAGCCCATTCGGCCTCGAGGAATAATTGTTAATTATGGCAAAAGTGAAGATGACGATGATGATAGTGATAACGCGGTGAAGGTGGATGAGGAAGATGAGAATGAAGATGCTGAAGTGAATAGCAATGGTACTGGTGATGATTATGTGGACACTGATAATGACGACGATGATCATGATTATCATGCTTATGATCAAGAGAATGTCCAATATACAGCCAAAATCGGTTTTCCTCCTGTGTCCTTTGCAGGTTTTATTTGAGCTCGCCCGCTTCCACGCGCCCTCCACAATATTCCTTGACGAACTGGAGTCCTTGATGAGTCAGAGAGGAACAGGAGGAGGAGGGTAAGCAACCACTCCTCGTCATCTTATTTTAGAAAGCGTAAGATCCAACCTGGAAACCATCACAAAATAAAAAAAGTGGAGTCCACCCTGGAAACCATCACAAAATACAGTTGAACCTCTCCACAACGGCCACCTTGGAAACAGAGGAAAGTGGCCGCTGTAGAGAGGTTTTAACAAGAGTCAACGTATGACTGTCCGCCAAAAATAAGTAGCCGTTGTGGAGAGGTTTAAACAAGAGTCAGTGTATGGACTGTCCGCCAAAAATAAGTGGCCGTTGTAGAGAGGTGGTCGTAAGTGGAGGTTCGACTGTAAAGAAAAAAGGGCTGTGAACAGTCTGCCACGTAAAATGCAGTCTCATTCCCAGGGCTCCCTCTCCTACTCTTCCTTTTGGGTAGGAAGGTAAAAGACCATGGTAACGATTTCAGGGCGGAAAAACGTAATGAGCATGCGTGAACTTTTTCGCCCAGATCCCCTGGCCGGGCTTGATTAAAAAGGCGGGATTTCAAATATCTTATTGCCTAAAAATAAAATGTTCCACTCATAGCCTGGAAAGAACAGGCAATTTGTCTTCAAAAGTTGCAAGCTGTGATCATAACCTTGTAGTTACTTCATTTTCTCGAAGAATAACTCATAGTAAAACGGGCTTTAACGACTTTAATTTCCTTGCGTTGTACTGAAAGTGTGCATGCGTAGGTCCGATTTTTTTCGAGATGCATTCACAAAATGTATTCATATAAGGAAGTTCCTGGATATATAAGGTCCAGAGTTCCTCTGTGGACACAAAAACAACATATCTTTGGACAGTGATTTGCCCAAAAAAATTAACGCTTGCCCACAATGTGTTTGAAGTCACTGAACTTTGTCGCACTCGAGCTGATATTTTAAAACCCTCGCTCGATCGGACACTCGTAGTTTCGCAGATCACTAAAATATAAACAAAATCCTCAATGTAGAAGTTATTGCGTTAATATGTGGGCAGAAAAAAGGTCAATGTTTATCTTGTAAAATCTTTCCAAAAATCGGTTTCAAAGCAACTATAGTTTTTTAAACTTGCTCGTTTCGCATAGATATATAAATTTTGCTTTGTGTTGTCAAGTTGAACACGCATAACATAAATTAAACTCAGCCGATCATTAGAAAATACAGAAAATTGCACATAGGGGTTTGTTTTGCTCGCCTCAGTCAAATCAAGCTGGAGCAATTGTTTACAGAAAAAGAGTCAATTGTTTTGAAGTCCCTGCCGGCAGTTCTCTACTTCACAGCGAGTGAAAAGGACAATTTGCGTACAGAAATTGAAAGTTATTCTTATAAAGAACAGAAACCTTCACAGTGCACTGGAAAACAAAACTATGTGATGAAAAATGAAAAAAACTCTGTCTATTATTACTTGAGCAAGCTTTGAGAAAAATGATCTTGAGTAAGCTTGCTGGCCTTCTATTTCCGAGAAAGTTTAATAAGCGCACAAGTTTGTTCACTCTGATGCGTTATAACAGCAATATGGTTCTTCGACTGAAGACAAAGATAAAGCTGGTTCTGCAAAGGTAATAAATCTGGGCATGTAAAAAACAGTAACCGTAACTCAACAGAATACACACTGAGAATACAAGCGGGTTTTAATTCAACCCGGCGAAATCAACTCATAAATTAATCGGATGCACAATCAGAAAAATACTCGTCTCTTAAGAAATGTTCAAAACCTTTTATTCCACCTCAGACTGACGGAATGATCCGTTTGTCCTTTAACATTGGTTGTTCTGAATCCAAAGTAATTTTCAAGCGACGAAAAAAAAGCAAACATGTCAAATAAAAAAGCTTTACAAGGAGGTAACGATCGCACCTCGTGCATTTCACTCAGAACTCCAGTAACAAACAAACACAGTCAACACCAGGTCAACACAAGTCAAGACACAGAAAAGCCCGCCTTGAGCCTGCGATAAGGGATGCGCAGAAGCTTGCGCAGAACGTTTTTCCGCCCTGAAGGTAACGATAGAGGCAGTAATCTGGCACCCAGATCTCACTCTGTCTTACACTGGGAGATCTGGGTACGAGATTAGGGAATCATGATAATTATGTAATGATTTACGCACACAATTCAATAACTCCAGGCTCAGTTGTTCGAAAGATGGATAGCGCTATCCAGTGGAAAAATCTCGATCCAGTAGATAACGTATTAGGTTTCCCTAATACGTATCCGCTGGATGGTGATTTATCAATTTGATAACACTATCTGACGTCTGAACAACCCGGGCCAGGGAATTTTTTCGTGGGGATGACAGTGACTGAATAAAAAGCTCTTGTGTAATATGTTTGCGTTGAAGGAGCGAGCACGAGGGAAGCAAACGCATGAAAACAGAGCTGTTAGTACAGATGGATGGATTAGCGAGATCAGATGATCTAGTGTTTCTTTTGGCTGCCTCCAACTTACCTTGGTAAAGTATCATTGATTTATTTCCAATTTCCTAAACTTTTTATGCTAAATAGATAAGGAAATAATAGTAATTAAAAAAAAATCTTCCATAAAACGTTTACCACTGTCAAACCTTACGAAAGGTGAAAATAGTACCATTGAAAATTACTGCATAAAGGTTGTTCGAATACGCAGTCTTTTTTTATTTATTCAGAACTTTAAACTCGCCAGTTGTTCATTTTAACTGATCCGAGACAATTGTGTTTTTTCCTATCTAAATGTACATGAAAAGTCACCCCTCCTCAAACTTCTTGTCTCATATTGGAGGCCCTGCCAGGGTAAATTCCGACAAGCGACATGACCCAAAAAGTCGCGACAGAGGGTAAAATGAAATCGCGACAAGAGACAACCTCCCTCGGCCAAATTGCGACAGTGACGGTAAAGCCGAGAATAAGCGACAAAGAACGGTGGTTTGGCTAATTTATCACCAGTTCTGAATGCCAAGAAGAAGTAATTTTCGTCAATTTGTAGTTGTTTATCGATGTATAGGTGTTCGATACGCGAAATGTCAACTGAGAATTGTAGAACTGTAATATTTTCTTTACAACGTATCGCTATTCCCCTTTTCTAAAATTCCGACAAAGATAAAGAATTTTCGTACAATTTCCTACAGGGACGTGAAGCATTAATAAACACCGATAGGAGACGTTTTAAAATTCAGACGAGCGACATGGGACCCCCTCCCCCCCCCCCCCCCACCCTTGGCAGGGCCTCATATTGAGGTACGATTATTTTTGTCACCAAAATACCCAGTGAAAGTCGTGAAGAGAGTCGAAATTATTATTATTATTTCTATTTTTCAGGGAACTGGACCACGCCATGCTACGTCGACTAGAAAAACGAATTCTGGTTGATCTTCCTAACCCGGAAGCCAGGGAAGCGATGTTGAAGCAATACCTACCGCCTTTGATACACTCAGTAGAAGGAAGTGTGGAGATTAAAACCGAGATCGACTATGAACAACTAGCAACGGTATGATTCACCCTTATGCCACAAATAGGCCTTTTCCAAGTTGCCAAAGCCTCTGTTTCAAAGCGAGGCTAAGTGTGAAGCCACTGATTTGAGAATGATTGTTCAAGCAAATAACTCATTTTCACTGAAAATGAGTTATTTGCTTGAACAATCATTCATCATTCATCAATCAGAAAGGCTTTGCGCGTAGCCTCCTCTTCAAAGTGAGAGTTTTTGGAACTCAGAAATGGCCTATTGGAAGAAACTTATTTTATGAACTAATCAGTGCTGGAGTCGTACATAAAATAAACATACCCGGTGCGAAGCGCGGAATAGCTATTGGACGCAATGGATCAGCGTAAATTTGGTGTCTTTTCTGACTGGTCGAAAAAGCGTCGCAAATTTTTTTATCCAGTCATCTAGTTAAGTGGTTCCAAATTGAGTCAACTGCAAAACTACTCTCGGTGCTCATTTGTAGACTACTAAAAAAGCAAAAACACAAACAAACAAAACAAAAACCTGCGAAACATTACCTAGCAATCACACTTTGTTCACGTCTACTGTCAGAAAAAAAAACGATTTTGTTCAAGTGACGTCTGCTGAAAGGTAAGAGGGATGTTTTGGCATAAGTTAAACTTTCTGTGACCTTGTTTGTTTGTGCATTGCTTATTAGAGAAATTCAGAATCAATTTACGAACGTCAATTTGCACCAAGTCATCACAACATTCATTATTTGTACACAAAATAAGATTCAAGTCTAAGAACGACTTTGAGCAGTTTTTATCAGCTCATATTCTAATCTTAGTAAATTAGAACCTGAATGTGACGTTTGCCATAAGCGTAATTCCAAATACCTCTCTCATTTTTAGCGCACCGATGGATACTCTGGGTCAGACATAAGACTTCTTTGTAAAGAAGCGGCCATGAGAAAAGTGAGAAAAATATTTGATCTGTTGGAAAGTCACCAAGCAGGTGGGCATGAAATTGTTTGCAAGAGAGGATCGTCTCTTAGTTGTTTGTCAGTCTTAATTCCTTTTTTTGTTGTTGTTAATTTTTTTTTCTTTGTGTAGTTTTGCGAACAGCAAGGAGGGATGTATAATGTTACTTTGAGAAGAGGGTTTGGCTGTTGATAAAATATTTTTAAAAATATTTTTATCCCGTTTATTTAAGTGGACGAGGACGGACGAGCGACTCCGCTGCCCAGACTAGAAATTGAGCCCGTGAGCACAGAAGATGTAGAAGCAGCGTTGAAACATACCAAGCCATCCGCACGACAGCTCAAGGATAAATATAAGGACTGGCAGAAGGAATATGAGTCCGTGTAGTATTCGCTTCGTCGGCTTTGAAATTATTCAGGGTAATCATTGAGAGAACAGGTAGCCTGTGGAGAAATCACCATTTTTGTGCGAAAAAGGACTTTTGGCGGTAATAAGCAAGAGTTGCAAGTCTCAGCGCACTAATCGTAGACATTAGGTGCTTTTTAGGGACTTCAACGCGAAGAGTGAGCGTGATGTGAGCTTGAAGAGTGAGATGCTTTGAACGTGAAGAGTGAACGCAGGAAGCTGGTTCAAATTTCATCCCCTATAACTATCCCATAGTGCAATTCGAGATAACCCAGTCTCACTGCGACCTACGAATGACCAATGAATGAATGACCAACAAGATATGCTTCTGTTTGGTCGGCTGTCCCTTGAACAGAGAAGCCTGTCGTAGCAATGAAGTTGCCCATGTATATTTATTGTGTAAATAACTAATGTTGTGATACGAATGGAGCAGATTGTATATAAGTTTTTATTTTGTAAATAAACCTCCAAAATCAGACTGCTGAAAGTGGGGTTCAGTCTTGCCAGAGCGTCCGTTCTTCTAATCATTTACCAAAACAACAGAATGACATAAAAGGCTATGTTCTCTTGCCAAAAAACGCATTCGACTTCTTGTTCGTACTGGAGCGTTTGGGCCACGTGGAGGCATTTACACTAAATCAAGTGGTATCAGGACAACAGGAAGACCTTAGATAACAATAAGCTCAACCAGGTTGGCGTCCAGCGGTTTTAGTGAAAACAAGGGTTTGGGTCGGTTTCTCAGTCTCGCTGGCTCATAGAGCCTGGTCTACCTTAATTACTGCAGGGCGTTGTAAAAAGATACGTCACCGTCTACGATCTCAGCCTGAACGTGACAAATTTTTTGCGGCCCTAAATTATTTTGTCATGGGTATTTCCTTATAAGGAAAAATATTTTGCTTTGAAGATTCATTCTATTCTTGTCATTCTTGAGGGATCAAAAAGGTGGAGTCATTGATGTTTGTAGAGTTTGGCTTTCACGCTCACCAGACACGGTTAATCAGCTGTTTCATTTTGAGCGCGTTCGTCGGTCTGCAAGTGGTCGAAATGTTTGGAACAATCGGTGGTGTTGTTTTAATGAAGTTGGTGTTGCTGTTAAGTCTCTTCTGTTACATCCGAAGCGCAAGCACAGTCGCCCCAGCCAAGGTAGGAACTAAATATAACAAAATGTTTTATTCGAAATATGATGAAGACGATTAAAGACTTCCGATAATCAATAATGAAAATGGCTTTAATTTAGGTATCACAATCTTCCTTCTTATTTATCACAATTTTTTTCACACTGCATGGCATACAATTCAATTGGCGACATATTTGGTTAAAAAAAAATGCTTGATACGATAAGAACGCAACCACTTACCATTCTTGGAAGATTTCCACAAGGTTTGTCAATTAACGACACACCCAGCTTAAACGGAGTCTTCCTAAATACAGAACCTTACTTATGTGTTTATCTCACGCGTGGATTTTGCATACCACAGTGGTCATTGGCTTCCATATTTTTTTGGTACTATGCATGTTTTTAATAATATAACTTCCGGACTGTCATTCCTCTTTCCGTATCTTTTGGAACAAGGTCAATCACCGCCCGGGCGGGGGAGGGGTGCTCAACAAAGTTTTATACGTGGAGGCTCCGCCTCAAGGTCCAACCCCTTGACATTTTTAATACTATTTTTGAACAGAAAAGGTTTCCCTTTTGTATATTTGTATCGGACAAACGGTACCCCTTTCACTTACCTCATTTAGAAAGTTGCATCCCTTACAACTGCTGTAAATCACTGTCTTCAAGGTATGAATGAATCACGAAACCAGAACGTTTTCAAGACTTTTTTTCAGCCATAAAATGTAGGATCGCTTAGCCCCGTTGGGCCTTTTACAGACCAAAATGTCAGATTTCCCACCCCTTTGGTATACTTCAGTTAGTGAAATCCCTACCCTTTTATATACCGGAAGCCTGAAACCCCTTTCGGGCAGAGCCTCCCCGTATAGGACATTTTTGGGAGTGCCCCCGACGTTAATCACTGACTTAAAGCTGGCACTTCATCGGAAACAACCATAAAGGTTTCATCATCATGTTTGGGTTTGTTTGCTTTCCTCTGCATGCACGCTGCTTCTTCATTTATAAACTTTTAATAAGTTATGAACAGATGAGGCTTGTTTCCCCAACATTTTGGTCCAGAAAGTGAGCTTTTTCGACACCTTTTTCACGGTTGGCTAGGTGTTTCATTCGTATCTCTAAATGGTCAAATTCGACAAGAAAACCACACAAAACCCCTTTCCCCAGCGCGCTTTCTATTTTTCGATTATTGCAGCTTTTTTTTTATTGGGATACCCAGCGGAAACCTCTGCGGTGTAGAGAGACACAAGACACAAAGCCATGGCCACATCCTAATTAAAGGGATTTGTGCGGTGTTTATTAAATACGCGTTAATAATTCCCCGCGCATGTCTAGGGAGAACCGCCGCGCGGTCCCCAGCCAAGAGCTCCTACATGTGTTGTCTGAGGCTGGGACTTAAGGGAGTCGCCTCGGAAGGAAAGGGTGTTATATACACGGGTTTTTCACGGTCACTGAGCGACGGATATGCCATGCTGATGAGCCCCAGTAAGGGCGAAACAGCTGTCCATGGCTGCTACTGCCCTCGTGATCTGGCTGTGCGCACGCGTGAGGTAATGGCCAGACCGTGGGGTGGTGTATGTGTGCTCCTTGCTGAAATTTACTTGTAACTCGTGATCCACCTTCCCCGCGCATGCCTTTGTAGAACTGCTGTGCGGTTCCCAGCCAAGAGCTCCAACATGTGTTGTGTGGAGCTGGCGCTTGATAGACTGCTTTGCACACACCTCGGCAGTAAGGGGTTTTTGAGACGCGGGTTTACGCGTTCATTAACCCAACGGCTTTGCCACGCTGGTGGGCCCCAATAAGGGCGAAACAGCTGTCTCTGGCTGCCACTGCCCGCGTGATATGGCTGTGCGCATGCGTGAGGTACTGGCCCGGCCGTGGGTTGGTGTATGAGTGCCCCTTGATTTAAGTTTACACTATTCTAAGTTCAATCTATTTTTCATCAATTACTGTATTTCATGACATTTCTAAACAAATTCAACAGAGCGAGCGTATAGGTAAAATCTTTGTTCGTTGGCACTTAGCGATGGCTATGACTGCGTTTTAGACTAGATAACACTGTCGCGTAAAATCTAGGCTTTTTTGTTTTCGTTTAGTCTTACAAATAATTTATTTCATAGAATCCCAGTTTGTGCGCGCAAGGATCGCCTGGACTTCCCGGACGAAATGGGCTGAATGGACATAATGGGTTACCAGGCCGCGACGGTCGGGATGGTGCTGAGGGCGAGAAGGGCGTGGCAGGTCCGCAAGGGCCACGTGGTATCAAAGGAGAAGCGGGTGAGAAGGGTATGGCAGGTCCCCATGGACCACGTGGTATTAAAGGTGAAGCGGGAAAAGTCACTGCTGAAAAAAGATACTGGAAACAGTGCGCGTGGAAAAAGTTCGACAACACTGATATTGGCCTTATTAAGGTGAGCCGTAGACAATTACAGATTTCTTTATTCAGACCTAATTGAAGAATTTTTTTGGGATAAAACTTTCTTCAGTTATGTTTGACTGTTTTTCAAATAAACCTTGGAGGACATGTCATTTAGTTTTAGTAACATTTCTTTTGGCCGATTATGCTATATGTGGGCCAAAATAAATATACACATCGCTCTTGGCGTTATATCGGTGGCTCTAAGACTGTAATAGGCAATTTGCATGATGACGTCATTTTACTAATACGACCAGAATCCTTCAGGGGTTGCTCTTTTGTGCAAACAAGAGAGGCTTTTGTCATTGAAAACTCACTTGAATATGAAAGGAAAAACGAAAAGGATTCTGGTCGTAGTAGTAAAATGTCTTCATCGTGCAAATGGCCTATTAACTCTCTGAACAAAGTCATAAAATTGCAACAGAACATAAATTAAGATTTGAATAATAACGTGAATCATATTTCACGGTGTTCTGTGTGGCACTGGTTGCTAACAGTATAATGCTGTGTTTTCAGGATTGCCAGTTTACTAAAATTAAAGACAATACAAGTCTTCGCGTTGTATTCCAAGGAAATATCTATTTGGGAGGTTGCAGTGGCTGCTGCAAGCGATGGTTCATCACTTTCAACGGCGCTGAGTGTAGCGGTCCTCTGCCTATTGACGCAGCTCTGTGGATCAGAAATAGCAATACAGATGACATCAGACACGGGGCAATAGAAGGTTACTGTGACAACATTGGAAAAGGGAATATCCGTGTTGGCATCAACACTGGAAACTGTCCTGGTTATGGAAACTCCAATGGCCATACGGGATATAAGTCAGTGTCTCGTTTGATTATCGAAGAAGTTCCTCAGTCCCAGCAGTAACGAATCCATCGCATCTCAACATCATTCTAAAATAGCTAAGTGCTTGTAGAGTCATGTTGGGCGTTGAAAATAGATATAAAAAAAATTTTAGGCATAAATTTAAGAGGCAGTCTCCCTAAAAGCGTTCCACTCGATTTTGGACTCGCAAAAACTTTTGCCTCATATTTTTATCATCAACACTACTATCCATCCTAATAACGAAACTGCAGTCAGAATGAGGAAATTGTTTATTTTACTGCCATTCCCAGCATTTGATTGCTGGACGACCGTTAGCGGTTAAAATATGCAAATTTTAGATGCCCTTTTACAGGTTTTTTAACGATCGTTTAAAAGTACTTCGGGTCATCAAATCCTAGACTTTTGCACTCATTTGGAAGCATATTACTTCTTCTTACTGTTCCAATACCATTTAGGCATTATCTTTCTGTAATCAGCAAAAACTGGTCGTCTTTATTTCACTAACCCAATTAAGAAAGCAAGATGCACGAATAAATGCCTCAAAAACATCTCAAAATTCTCAAAAGTGGCACCTAAACTAGAACTAAAAACATGTTTTAGTAAAAGATTAACAGCTATTTTGTCAAGTTATGCAATAAAACTTGTGGCACAACGCGATTCAGAATTGAAGGATTCGACTTAAATTTGCATATTGATGCTGAATTCGCATTGCGTGACACGGGCCGCAGTGACAGTAAAAAAATTCTTCGTGATCCTACAAATGACAATTTTTCTGTTTTTTTTTTTTTTACTTTATCAACAAGAAAAATCGTAAATAGGTTAAGATTATAGAAGTTTAAGTTTACTTTTCCACTGACCTTCGTATTAATAGTCTCGGCAGGCCGTCCTTTGTTCGACTCCCAGTAGTTGCCCTTCTTATTAGTAGAGTGGGTCAGGAAAAATACGCATTTCTCCCTACCCCACCCCTTCGCCCTTTTCTTACTGGCATCCCTCGGAGGGTCGCCCCCACAGTCTGAACGTCTGGAAGAGGCTATTCGACATACTTCAATCGCGTTCTAACGAACATTTTGTTTTACAGATAACATTAACGAGAACATTGCTTCTCCTGTCTAGTGACAGGTGGAAGTATTTACATTTTGCAGCGAGAAGGTCCTTCACACATTTACCTTTACACTATATATATGGGACGATGGTACACGGTAGTCCTTTAAGAAAAGTAAAGAAAATGTGGACTGGAGTTCAAAGAAGTAAAATCAACAATCCGCTAATTACGTCTACGCCATAATAAGTCTCGTACTTGTAAATTCTTATTAAGTAAATTGTTTTTTGCCCTTAAAAAAATGAAATCAGCTGTGAAATGTACATTGAATTAAGTTAGTGTCCGGACACCTTTAGGAATTTGATATTAGTATAAATTCTAAGATGTATAAATCTACCGGCCTTCGATCAAAAATCTGATTGTCTATGTACAGTGCTACTGCTATGCTGGTAATGCTGTACGCTATCAATTCCGTGATGGACAGTGAGTGAAGTGACTGAGTAGCCTGGGGTAGCCTGACAGTGTTCGGTTGTAACCTGTTTATACCACCACTGAATAATACCGTTAGCCTGTCAAGTTGTTAAGCTTTGAACGACTAGGGGATTTATATTTGACTATTTTAGGGAAATTTGTACCAGATCTTTGTTTACTCGCATACAATCTCGCTCGTTTTTTGTTTTTGTATTTTTTTCATAAGATTTGTGAAGTATTTGCGGTCTTTATATTCTTTGTCATAGCATCTCGGTATGCAGACATATAAAAGCAATAAGATCCTCTCTGAGTGGCTCAACAACATTGTCCGCGGTAGGCTGGTGCATCAAATGAGCACCGCACTGGAGTCGCAAAAACGAAATGATAAACGCGGTGGCGCTTAATTTAGTAAAATCGATATCAATATGAATTTGGATCCACACGGAGGGTCCAAAGGCCGATTTTTAAAAATGTGATCCTAGATCCTTCAGCTGTTGTTCAGATGTATGTATTTTTACATCATTAACGTGGGAGAATGCAAGCGTCTGTAAGAACAGGGTAATAACCGCTAACAAGACGTGAGACGAGAAAAGACGTAAAAACAGTGTAGGGGTCTCGACCGGGAGAAATGTTCATGCTGGGGAAACCTTCGACAATGCCGGATTCAGACTTCACGTCAGTTCTCACCTCTACTGATTGTTCGAATTCAGAGGTTTTTGTACACGTTGGGCTTCAATAGAAAATTCTGTCGGTGAAGTCCATGGTACCAAACAATTGTCATGAGTACTCTCAGTAATATGCCTAAAGGTAGGTAATCACGATTTTGGCAATTTAACTCCGACTCCAAATTAGGTTTAGATATGCGCTTATCACTTTCTGTTTCACGCGTGTATCTTGTCATATTCAAATCCGTCAGCTCATAAATAAATGATATCAAATGTGCAAGTGCATCAGCTGACTGTGTAACTTTATGCCATACTGCAACACTTATTAATATCAGGATATTTGACTTAAAGCCACTTCCTACTTTTCTCCATAACTTCATTATGTTTGGATCTTCACTTCCCGCATAATTCTAAATAAAAAAATTGAGCGGACTACTGAGTTAATCATTGTCTGAACTTGAAATTACGATTATGACAATACCCATTGGCCCTTTTGTCGTTATCTTATCACAGATAAAGGAACTAGTGATAAGGATATTAGCAATGATTTTATGATTTTATACGTACGTGATCCCATCCTTTAAAATAGATGGTATACGATCTTAGCAATCTCCACACCAATTACATGCCTGTTCTTGGTCCTAATATTCCTTTCCTTGTCCTCTATACGAGGTGTCCGCCAAAATCGTCCGAGTTTATATGCCGATTTTTGTGGGTAATCCCCGGGAGGACTTCCATATAAAAGTGAAGGGCTGCTCGTCGGAAAATTAATAATTTATTATTTAAACCCCTAAGGGAGGCCAATGTGGGTGTGGCTCAAGCTTAAACTGACCCCTAAAGGAGATTTCTGTGAGGTCAGCGTCACCGCGTTTTTTTTTGGCAAATTTCTTTATGCACAGCCTTAAGCGATACCTGAATGAGCATATTTAGGTACTTTCCGTCCCAAACAACCGAAGTGAGACCAAAATCTGCAAACGACGAGCACCCACGTCACTTTTGTATGGGAGTCCTCCTGGGGAAGCAGATCACCATCTGTTCCACTTGATTTTTCGTAAGGTCAATGATTACCATCTTTTGAGAGTATTGGGTCGGCTTCACTTAGTTCAGACTTCGATGGATGACACATTTCATGGTAAGAAGTAATGGTGTCCTGACAATCATGTACTTTTATCAGTTGGGAAAAACGCGTGAACTTCCACACTTTATTTTCTTGTTACTTTCACTGATGTTGCACGATTCGAAATTAACGTTGAAACTTTATTATTTGCGTGTGCCAACTTCTTTATTAACTGGCTGCGATACAAAAGTAGCCTTAGACTCCAGACTGTCTCTTGGAGCGTGAAAACAAACGCTGACCACTGTTAATAGGACGAAACAGTCAGGAAATGGAAGAAACCTACTAATTGAAATTTCATTAACAAAGTCTTCAAATATGGGCTCCTGATCAGTGGAAGGTAAATAAAGGGAAAATTGTAAGTCGCCGTTCACAGTCCAGTACTATCGCCCCATATTAGCGAATACAAGACAGTCGTGGATTCTGGATCCCATTCCATGGATTCAGGATTCCGGGTGCTGGATTCCAGTCTTTTCCGGTGGAATTTAATTCCTTAGTAGGGTGCTTGAGCTCTATTCTGGATTCCAAAGCCCTGGATTCCGGATTTCATATCAAAATTTTCCCGGACTCCGGATCCTACAAGCAAAAATTTTCCAGTTTCCGGAATCCGGATACCCTTACGTGGGGCGAAGTACAAGTCAAACATTTTCTGACCTGTTCACGCATATTTAATTAAGCAGTGGGAAATTTACTTTTCTTCTAACGTTCGATTTTATAATATGATGGATCGGAGTAACGTCTGGTCAATGCAGCTTTTTCAGACTGGACCACATTTTAAGCTAGAAGAGGTTTGGTTCTGAAAAGGTATTTTTCCGTCGTGACACAACAGACTTAACACGAATGTTCGGGGAAGTGGGAATATTAAATGAAGCTTGGAAAGGTATCTTTTACTTGCTGAACTAATTTTTGAACAATATGTATCATTGGCAAAGGGAAAAAGGGAATTTTAATATAGTTTTGGTGGGAAAATGAGGCATATCTTACTTAAAAGTGGCAAGTATTTGAATAACTGAGTATTTTGTTGTGACAGCAGCCGGTATCGTCACGCAACGCAAATTGAACATTTGCCTAAATTTGAGTTGAAACCTTCAATTCTGAATCGCGTTGTGCCACAAGTTTTACTGCATAACTTGACAAAATAGCTATTAATCTTTAACTAAAACATGTTTTTAGGTCTAGTTTAGGTGCCACTTTTGAGAATTTTGAGATGTTTTTGAGGCATTTTCTCGTGCAGTTTGCTTTCTTAATTGGATTAGCGAAGTAAAGACGACCAGTTTTTGCTGATTACAGAAAGATAACGGCTAGACGGTATTGGAACAGTAAGAAGAAGTAATAAGCTTCCAAATGAGTGCAATAGTCTAGGATTTGATGACCCGAAGAACTTTGGAACGATCGTTAAAAAACCTGTATAACAGAGACTAAAATTTGCATATTTTAGTCGCTAACGGTCGTCCAGCAATGAAATGGTGGGAATGGCAGTAAAATAAACAATTTCCTCATTCTAACTGCAATTTCGTTATCAGGATGGATAGTAGTGTTGATGGTAAAATTATGAGGCAAAAGTTTTTTCGAGTCCAAAATCGAGTGGAACGCTTTTAGGGAGACTGCCTCTTAATCAACACGCAACTGAGAGCCTTTGTTTAACTCTTTCATTAAAATATTGATAATCAAACTACATGCTCACTTTTTTTAAAAATTTTTTCTCTTTACTAAGCAGAGCAAGTCTTTGCAGCATACGACGTCTGTTTCGCAGCACGGTACCCCTTCTGCTTGCTCACCTGCTAAGTTCGGTCCTGGGCTAAACCGAGATTTATTTGAGGGTCTTTTCCGTTTTCTAAATAACCCTCCAAAGTCAGACTGCTAAAAGCGGGGTTGAGACTTGCCATAGCGTCCGTCTTTCTGATTATTTTCCAAAGAGCATTCGACACCTCGTTCGTATTGTAGCTTTAACTGGGCCAGGTGGAGGCATTTACTCTTCGTCAAGTGGTATCTTAAGTACTGCGGGGTGTTGTAAAAAGATACCTCAGCGTGTACTGTCTCAGCCTGACCCTCACAAGTTTTTTGCGATCCCAAATTATTTTTCATGGATCTTTCCTTGTAAGGAAAAATATTTTGCTTTGAAGAGTCATTATATTCTTGTCATTCTCGAGGGTTAAAAAGGTAAAGTCATTGATGTTTCTTGAGTTTAGCTTTCACGCTCACCAGACACGGTTAAACGAAGGTTAAATTTTGAGCGCTCACCGGTTGGTCTGCCAGTATCCGAAAGCAACAACAAAATGATTGGAACAATCGGCGGTGTGGCTTTAATAAAGTTGGTTCTGCTGTTTTGTCCCTTCGTTTACATCCTAAGCGCCAGCACAGTCGCCCCAGCCAAGGTAGGATGGAGTAAAACACGATAAATTATTACATTTGAAAGGTGATCAAAACTTGGAAGATTTCCACAAGGTTTATTTATTAACGACTCACCTAGCTTAAACTGAGTCTTCCAAAACAAGAAAGTTATTTGTTTATTCCGCGCGTGGATTTTACATACCACAGTGGTCTTAGAGCTGTCATCGCAGCCGTTCCGCATCTTCTCGTTCGTATTTGTTTATTTATTTATTTATAGATATTATTAATTTGTAGGCTCTTTTACTTGTGTTTGATCTAACCATATATATGTTATTTGCACAGAACCTCAGTATGTGCGCCAAGGATCACCTGGTATTCCGGGACGAAATGGACATAATAGATTACCCGGCCGGGATGGTCGAGACGGTGCTAAGGGTGGAAAAGGCGTGGCAGGTCCACCTGGACCACGTGGTATAACTACAAGCGGGAAAGGTCGCTGCTGAAGAAAGGAACTGGAAGCAGTGCGCGTGGAAAAAGGCTAACGGCCGTGATGTTGGTCTTATTCAGGTGAGCGGGAGACAATTCTTTATTCAGAGTCGGTTGTACTGGACCTAATTATAGCAATTCAGAAACGCTTCTCAAATGTCCTAGTCCATATAGTTCCCTGTCGTTCCGGATGTTCTTGTCTTTAATTCGTCTTAATAGGGTCTTTGAAATAACACTTCACCTCTCAGTTTACTCAGTTCCTTAGTTACTTAGTTACTTAGTTGTTTTAAACTTAATTCGTAATGGACATCGTAGGAAATTCAAAATTTACCCTACTTGAATCTTTCATAACTCCGAACGCAATCGTCCTACACCTTATATTAAGTTTTGCTCGTTCATTAAATCACTAGTTGGAGTCTAGTTGTGCGTATCAGAGACTTACACTAAAGTTGTCTTAAACAAATTCGGTTTCTAAACAATGACTTTGGCTTTACGTAGTACACAGCTTGCCGTCCGGTCAGATGTCTCAGGTAGCCTGAACAAAATGGTCATGTGACAAAAAAATTATGCTGCTAACCCCGACTATACTACCCCCACCCTCCCTTCCCCCTCCCCGTTAGATCGCGATCGTCATTCGAGTGAAACTGTCGGTTGAATTATTCAACGATAAAGTGACGTCTCTTGGCTGCCCGAGAGTCACGCTAAGGAAGGGGTGTTTTTACCTAGACCATATAAATGGGGCCTAATTAGGAGACTTAAAATGATGAGATGAATGAGGTTGGGAAAGAATTGGCTACAGCTTGCAATCCTGATATAAATGAAGGACTCAAAAGCCTCTTTTTTCTCCTTTAGTGACATTTTTTAGCCAGTTACATGTGTGTCTGTAAAAATATATATACAACGCGCCCCGCGTGATATCGGTGATTGCTCTACATTGTACTGACTCACTATCTTTCATCTCACTGTCTAGAGCCTACAGTTAATTTTTGAAATCAGAGCAACCTTCAGTTGCAACATACAGATTAGTAATTTGTCTTTATCTGGTATCAGATAACTGACCAATCTCGTTTATAGAGGCAGTCATCCTTTTGTTCCTCGACGGGGATTCGGGTATGACAAAAGGGACCCCTGGGGATCGGACGAGGTTGATAACTGACTAAAACAGTCATTCGTCCACTTGTTGGTATCAGAGCTTTACTGGGCCAGGTGGAAGCATTTGCACTTTACTGAGGGGCATAGTGAAAGGTACCTCAATGCCTATGGCTTCAGCCTGCCTATGAAATGTTTTTGCGGTCTCAAATTATTCTTATGAACATTTCCCTATAAGGAAAAATATTTTGCTTTGTAGAATCATTCCATTCTTGTCATTCTCAAGGGGATTAAAAAGGTAACTGAGTCATCGATGTTTCGAGAGTTGTTTGCCATTCACGCTCACCAGACACGATTAAACGGTTGTTTCATTTGAGCTCTTTCGTTGGTCTTCATTTGCCTGAAACCAAGACCAAAATGTTTAGAACAACCGGCGGTGTGGCTGTAATGAAGTTGGTGTTGCTGTTTTGTCTCTTCTTTTACATCCGAAGCGTCAACACAGTCGCCCCAGCCAAGGTAGGGTTAAAATACGATAAATTATTACATTTGAAGTGTGATTAAGACAATCTTTGTTTCTTCTTGTGGAAAGACTTTCGATTACCAGCTATAAGATGGTTTTAATTTATGTCATCACAGTCCTTCTGATTTCTCACAATATTCTCCACGACCCATCGCAGGCAACTGAAACTTCCTGACATATTTGTTACGAAATGCATGATACGATAAGACTGGATAAGAGGGCAACCACTCACACATTCTTGGAAGATTTCCACTTGATTTATTAATTAACGACGAAGATTTATTTGTTTACTTAGGGCGTGGATTTTGCGTATGTGTTCTGAGTGGTGTTGACCTTCAGTATCTTCTTATTTTTTTCGTTTTATCTATTTACTCTTTATTTTTTTTTTTTACTTAACTTAGGAAAAAGTGAGACTTTTTCCATTTCGGATTGTGACTCTTTTTCCGCGTCCTTTGAAACAAAGTCAACCACTGTCTTAAACTTATAATTTTTTAATTTGTTTTCTTGGTTATGGATGGATGCGACTTTTTTCCCCTAACTTTTTTTTATCTAAAAACAACTTTCGCGACACTTTTTATTCACTGCTGGCTGGGTATTTTATATACATTCCTAAGGGCCATCCTGGAAAAGAAAATCACATAAGACGCAAGGAACATCCAAACTAGGAGGAGTTACGCGATTTTTATTCAATACATGCACGTTAATCAGTTATTTTAGATTAGATAACCGTACTTTTTTAATACACCCTGATATGTTGAGTGCCGCGCAATATCTAGGCTATGTTTTGCTTTCGTTTTGTCTTACAAATTATTTATTTCACAGAATCCCAGTTTGTGCGCGCAAGGAGCAACTGGACTTCCCGGACGAAATGGTGTGAATCGACATAATGGGTTACCAGGCCGTGACGGTCGAGATGGTGCAAAGGGTGAGAAAGGCCTGCCAGGTCCATCTGGACCACCTGGTTTTAAAGGAGAAGGGAGTGAGAAAGGTGTGACAGGGCTACCTGGGCCACGTGGTTTTAAAGGAGAAGCGGGTGAGAAGGGTGTCGCAGGGCCCCCTGGGCCACCTGGTATTAAAGGAGGAGTGGGTGAGAAGGGTGTGGTAGGGCCACCTGGGCCACGTGGTGTTAAAGGAGAAGAGGGACCAGTTGGAAAGGTCGCTGTTGAACAAAGAAACTGGAAGCAGTGCGCGTGGAAAAAGTATGACGTACGTGATACTGGCCTTATTAAGGTGAGTGCAAGGGAGGAAAACTACAAATTTCATTTTTAGAGTCGGTGTTACTGGGCACAATTATTAATAGCAATAGAAGCGCTTCGGAAATGTTCCAGTCCTTAGTTTCCTTTCATCGGTTATTCTTGTCGTTAACTCGATAGAGTCTTTTTTGAATAAACTTAGTTAGTTTATATGTTGTGTTTGACTGTTTTTCAACTAACCGTAACGCGAAAATAAAGGAAAATTCAAACCTTCATACCTTCGAAGGCAACCTCTTACATCTAATATTATGGGAATTTAATTCGGTTGTTCATTCGATCACTAGTTGTAATCTAGCTAGCTAGCTGAGAGTTCGGTAGGGCTGTCTCTGGTACCCGACCGATATAAATGTGCCATTAGAAAATTTAGAAATGATGTGGTGTATGAGCTAAGGAAAAAATCGTAGGGCAGAGGACTTAAGGCAATCATCAGTCATTTACTTTCAGTAAAATTTTTTTGGGCGGTTATATGTTTTACCAAAATAAAAATACGCATCGCTCTTTGTGTTATATCGGTGGCTCTAAGACCTTAATTAACTCTCTTAACATAGTCATAAAATTGCAACAGAACAAATGTTACGATTTGGATAATAACGTGAATCATTTTTCACGGTGTTCTGTTTGGCACTGGTCGCTAACAATATATAATGCTGTATTTTCAGGATTGCATGTTTGTTAAAACTAAAGACAATACAAGTCTTCATGTGGTATTCCAAGGAAATATCCATCTGGCAAATTGCGGTAGGTGCTGCAAGCGATGGTTCATCACTTTCAACGGCGCTGAGTGTAGCGGTTCTCTGCCTATTGACGCAGCTCTGTGGATCCCCGATAGCAACTCGATTGACTACAGACACGGAGCAATAGAGGGCTACTGTGAAAACATCAGAAAAGGGAATATCCGCCTTGGTATCAACATTGGAAACTGTCCTGGTTATGGAAATGCCAATGGTGACACGGGATGGATGTCAGTGTCTCGTTTAATTATCGAAGAAGTTTCTCAGTCCCAGCAGTAACGAATCCACTGCATCTCAACAACGTGTCCAATAGCTGAGTATTTGTAAAGTTGTGTCAGTTAGGCATAAATCTAAACTTAAAACGGTTATTTTTAGGCAACAAACAAATATAAACCTGCGAACAAAGCCTCTTGTGAACTCGAACTGCATGAGGTTTCTGTTCGTTTATTTGTTTGTTTTTAAGGGCAGCAGCGATTCATTGCAGCACACGGAGCCTGTTTTGCTTGGGCGATCGGAGTCATCAATGGGTCCTTCGGGACCCGGGGTTTGCCTTATTTGATGACCGGGATGCAGGATTTTAAAAGAAAAAGGGGACCGAGATTGGGAATTGTAACTGTGTAAAGGATTGAATCCAGCGATTTTACCATGTCCCGCGAAATGTCATGAGGAAACTGAAAAATCCTTTCATTTTGTTTTTAACTCTAGTTTTCTCCCACACCCCTATTTCTCCACCCAGTGACGTTCTTCCACTGATTCTCCGACGATAAGAGAATCTGGAAACCCTGTAAGGAACTTAGTCTTAACAATTCTTAAGACTGTGATACAATGATTGACCGATAAAAACCAGAAGGATTGCGGAACTGAGGAAAACTTTGGTTGGGATGACGAGATTGAAGAATCCTGTTAGGGATGGTCCTTCTGTTAGAATTTTCGACAAAACTTTAATGAAAATTCAATAGATCTTAATCATTTAATATTCAACAGATCTTGAATGAATATTATTGCTTTCAATTCTGATCTTTGTGACCCTCAAAATGGCTCTTTCCCATGCAGAACCTTTCCTAGCAGGAGTAGTAAGCTGTTATTCTTATTACCTCATAAATGACCTGCTTAGCTCAGTAGTCCCGCTGCATCAGGTGAACACCGGCAAAGCGCAGTGTCGGAGTCATGCTGAGCTGCGACTATTGCATTTTTATTATCTTTTTTTAGCTCTTTTTCTTTCCTTACTGTAATCTTTTATTGGATTATGTTTTTAATAAAGTTGCAGGAGTTGTTATAATTTGAGCATTTTATGGAACAGTTTTAACCCAAGCCTAGGGTTTAATTTTAATATTTTTTAAAATAGATTTTTTCCATGAATTTGTATTATTATTCATTCAAAATATTTCCCCACTTCTGATTGGCTAAAAGCACCCGCATAATTCACCATAACCAGTTGCTGATGTCCAAATTTGGAAAATTTTTGTGCTTAACGAGGAAATGACGTAAAAAAAGGCAGCCTTCTACAGGTTTCTACAGGTCAATGCACCGTTAACCGAGAAGACCTGGGGACGAGATTGGGTTGTTTTCGTTGTAAAAACTAAAATGGCAGACACTTTACTCGTTTCAAGAGTAAGAACTACAGCTGGAACTAGGCGAAATAATGACTAAAAACATGGCAAAAACAGCAAGAAGACAACTCGGAGGGCGACATCTATTATTTGGAGAATATTTGCGGAGCTGGACAAACCTAAACGTAAACTATCGAAGATAAACTTAACATCGATGCAGGTAAGCTTGTTTTAGCTATGTTTTTAAACTTGGAATTATTTTGGGTGAATAATAAAACAATTATTGCATTCGGCTTTCGTATCATATGAAGAATTATGGAGATCTCGGAGGGTGTTATCCGCCTCGGCCTACGGCCTCGACGGATAACGCCCTCCTCGATCTCCATAATTCTTCATAAGATACTCAGCCTCATTCATTAATTGTCAAATAACTTTTATCAGTGCTTCTGTATACTGTATCTTCTATTGGATAAAGTTTTTTTTCTTTTTAATTCAAAGATTTGGTAACAACTAGTTAGGATGACGAAAAAATACGCCACATTTTTATTAACATTATTATAATAATTATTATTTATTTTATTATTATTATTATTACTAGTATTATTATTTTTTACTGTTATTTTAGTTACCAATAAAAAGAAGAAGTCTCAGTTTATCAGTATCATTCCATATATCCCAACAACCACTGAAAAAGGGTTTTAGTGTTCCCAAATTATTGACAGCTGTCATAGAAACTTCCTCATGTAGTCTGTCACGTGTTTTGGGTTGTTAATTCTTTTTCTTTCGGGGATTAAACGTGCAAAGTTACTCCTGTCTGTAAAGTTAATGGCAATCACACTCTCCGTACGTAGTTGTTTAATTCTGAGCGCTTACGCTGGTCTGCAAGTACTCGAAATCCAGAGTGCCTACTAATGCTTTGCCTTTTTTGCCACGTTCGAAATGCGAACACAGTTGCCCCAGTCAAGGTAAGATCGTGTTTTATACTTTTAATTTCAATCACGGAAAGGGAAAAATTCTTGTAAGTTACATTGTTTCAGATACACCTATAAGCTCCTATAACAGTCATTGTTTCCACTTCTGGCAATTATGAAAACGCTTTTTCTGCCTGCTCCAGCCTCTGGTGTTTTATATATTTCTGCGAACTTGTTGCTGCTGTTTGCATATTAGTGCTAAATATAGATAATTTCATCATGGTCAGGCCTTGTCGCATCCAAAAGCACTTACACACTCTTGGAAAAAATAGTAACTTTTCGCAAATAGTAACGTAACCATAAATCGTGACCCAAGCTTGCCGAAACAGGTTATGTCTTGGCGAGTGCACATTATGGGTTTGATGCAGAGCTGAAATTAAAATTAAAGCTTTTCTTGCTAACCTTCCACCTTGCGTAAACTACTGATACGCACATGTATGACAGTATTTGGCTCTTTTCATAACTGGGATCGCGATAGTTATTAATTATAACTTGAAAAAATATGACCAAAGCTCTTCAAATTGATTTCTTCTGTTACTGAACAACTTGAATGCCAAAAACCATGTACCACGAAAAGAGAAATAGTTCTCTAGAGAAATGCATCAGTCAATTCCAGCCTCGCCCAGCCTCCCTCCCGGCACCCCGGGGATATTCCCGAGATTTTGACACGCACGCAGTTTCCTATCAGAATATAACTACACAGAGGACATTACTGAAAAAAAAGCAGATTTGCTCATCTGTCAAGGACAGGGGGTTTTAAAGGCATGTTCTCGATTTTATGCATGCATTTCTTCATTTCTTATCAAACCCGAATTACATAGCAAAACTCGGGAGGTATCGACCTGAATCAACGTTTTTGGGTTAGTGAACGGGCAAATTTCTCTTGACATTATTTGAAGAACATCTTTTCATATTTATAACCTATTCATAACATATCGCTTTACAGCGCTCTATTAGTTTTTAATGTCAATAATTTTACATATATCAATACTAAAGCCTTTAAACTGGTGCATGGCATCCTACTGATGAACAGTGACGACACGTAGATATATATTTTTAGCAACTACTATAATTTGCAGTCTGTCCACTTTGAACTGAATGTTTGCGTTGAAGAAGCGAGCACGAGGGAAGTAAACGCATGAAAACAGAGCTGTTTAATAGTGCAGATGGATGGATTAGCGCGATCAGATGATCTACTGTTTCTTTCGGCTGCCTCCAACTTACCTTGGTAAAGTGTTATTTATTTATTCCAATTTCCTAACCTTTTTATGCTAAATAGATAAGGAAATAATAATAATTTTAAAAAATTTTCCATAAAACGTTTACTACTGTCAAACCTTGTAAAAATAGTACCATGGGAAATTACTGCATTTTGAACGTTGTTCGAATACGCAGTCTTTTTTATTTACTCAGAACTTTAAACTCGCCCGTTGTTCATTATAAGTGATCCTAGACAATTGTGTTTTTTCCTATCTAATTGTACATGAAAAGACACCCCTCCTCAAACTTCTTGTGTCATATTGGAGGCCCTGCTACTGAGGGTAAATTACGACAGGCGACATGACCCAAAAAGTCGCAACAGAGGGTAAAATGAAATCGCGACAAGAGACAACCTCCCTCGGCCAAATTGCGACAGTGACGGCAAAGCCGAGAATAAGCGACAAACAACGGTGGCTTGGGTAATTTATCACCACTCCTGAATGCCAAGAAGAAGTAATTTTTGTCAATTTGTAGTTGTTTATCGACGTATAGGTGTTCGATACGCGAAATGTTAACTGAGAAATTGCAGAACTGTAATGGTTTCTTTACAAGGGTGGCAAAGAATTTTCGTTCAATTTCCTACAGTGACGTGAAGCATTAATTAACATCGACACGAAACGTTTTAAAATTCAGACCCCCCCCCCCCTGGCAGGACCTCATATTGAGGTACTATTATTTTTGTCACCAAAATTCCAGTGAAAATCGTGAAGAGAGTTAAAAATGTATATTTTTTTATTTTTATTTTTATTTTTCAGGGAACTGGACCACGCCATGCTACTTCGACTAGAAAAACGAATTCTGGTTGATCTTCCTAACCCTGGAAGCCAGGGAAGCGATGTTGAAGCAATACCTACCGCCTTTGATATACTCAGTAGAGGGAAGTGTTGAAATTAAAACCGAGATCGACTATGAACAACTGGCAACGGTATGATTTACCCTTATGCCACAATAGGCCTTTTCCAAGTTGCCCAAGCCTCTGTTTCAAAGCGAGGCTAAGTTTGAACCTACTGATTTGAGAATGATTGTTCAAGCAAATAACTCATTTTCAGCAGAAAGGCTTTGCGCGTAGCCTCGTTTTGAAAGTGAGAGTTTTTGGAACTCAGAAATGGCCTATTGGGAGAAACTTATTTTATGAACCAATCAGTGCTGGAGTCGTACACATAATAACTACCCGGAGCGAAGCGCGGAATAGCTATCTTTTCTGACTGGTCGAAAAAGCGTCGCGAATTTTTTTATCCAGTCATCTAGTTAAGTGGTTCCAAATTGAGTCAACTGCAAAACTACTCTCGGTGCTCATTTGTAGACTACTAAAAAAGCAAAAACACAAAGAAACAAAACAAAAACCTGCGAAACATTACCTAGCAATCACACTTTGTTCACGTCTATTGTCAGAAAAAAAAACGATTTTGTTCAAGTGACGTCTGCTGAAAGGTAAGAGGGATGTTTTGGCATAAGTTAAACTTTCTGTGACCTTGTTTGTTTGTGCACTGCTTATTAGAGAAATTCAGAATCAATTTACGAACGTCAATTTGCACCAAGTCATCACAACATTCATTATTTCTACACAAAATAAGATTCAAGTCTAAGAACGACTTTGAGCAGTTTTTATCAGCTCATATTCTAATTTTAGTAAATTAGAACCTGAATGTGACCTTTGCCATAAATGTAATTCCAAATACCTCTCTCATTTTTAGCGCACCGATGGATACTCTGGGTCAGACATAAGACTTCTTTGTAAAGAAGCGGCCATGAGAAAAGTGAGAAAAATATTTGATCTGTTGGAAAGTCACCAAGCAGGTGGGCATGAAATTGTTTGCAAGAGAGGATCGTCTCTTAGTTGTTTGTCAGTCTTAATTCCTTTTTTTGTTGTTGTTAATTTTTTTTTTCTTTGTGTAGTTTTGCGAACAGCAAGTAGGGATGGATAATGTTACTTTGAGAAAAAGGTTTGGCTGTTGATAAATTTTAAAAAAAGCTTTTTTCCCGTTTATTTAAGTGGACGAGGACGGACGAGCGACTCCGCTGCCCAGACTAGAAATTGAGCCCGTGAGCACAAAAGATGTAAGCGTTAAAACACACCAAGCCATCCGCACGACAGCTCAAGGATAAATATAAGGACTGGCAGAAGGAATACGAATCCGTGTAGTATTCGCTTCGCCGGCAGTTTTAAAATTATTCACGGTAACCATTGAGAGAAACGGTAGCCTGGGGAGAAACCACCCTTACTGTGCGAAAAAGGCTTTTCGTGGTAGTAAGCAAAAGTTGCAAGTCCAAGAGAACAGGTGCTTTTTCGGGACTTGAACGCAAAGAGTGAGCGTGAAGAGTGAGCGAAGGAAACTAGGTCAAATTTCATCCTTTAAAACTATCCCATAATGCAATTCGAGACAACCCAGTCTCGCCGCAACCTCTGACCAATGATGAAAACATTTTTAAAATCTCTCAGCACTTGTTTACATTGGGTTTCTATTTGGCCGGCTAACCAGTGAACAGAGAAGCCTAGCAATGAAGTTGCTTATGTATATTTATTGTGTGCATAACTTATGTTATGATACGAATGGAACAGATTGTATATAAGTTTCTATTTTGTAAATAAACCTCCAAAAGAAGACTGCTGAAAGCTGGGTTCAGTCTTGCCAGAGCGTCTGCTCTTCTCATTATTTACCAAACAATAGAATGACATATAAGCCTATGTTCTCTTGCCAAAAAGCGCATTCGACGGCTTGTTCGTACTGGAGCGTTTGGGCCAGGTGGAGGGATTTACACTTCATCAAGTTCAGCGGGGCGTTGTAAAGAGATACCTCACCGTCTGTGATCTTTTTGCGGTCCCAAGTTATTTTCATGAACTTTTCCTTCTAAGGAAAAATATTTTGCTTTGAATAGTCATTCTATTCTTGTCATTCACGAGGGGTTAAAAAGGTAAAGTCATTGATGTTTCTAGAGTTTGGCTTTCACGCTCACCAGACACGGTTAAACATTGGTTTTCTTCTTGAGCGCTTACGTTGGTCGGCAAGTGTCTTAAACCAAGAACGAAATGTTTGGAACAATCGGCGGTGTGGCTTTAATAAAGTTGGTGTTGCTGTCCTGTCTCTTCTGTTGCATCCGAAGCGCCAGCAAAGTAGCCTCAGCTAAGGTAGGGTTAAAAAAGAAAGATTTATTCCATTAAGATGTCCTTTAGACAATGTTAATTTCCTCTTGGAGACTTTCGATAACCGTCACTTACGATAGCTTTGATTTCAGGTCATTAACGTGTTCCTTCGTAGTTATCACAATATTCTCCACCAGTTACAACTGAAGGTTGCTGGACCCCTTGCTGACATACTTAGTAGAAAAAATTTTGATACGATAGGAGCGCAACCACTTACACATACTTGGAAGATCTCCACAGAGTTTAACCATCATCATCATCATCATCATCATTATTATTAGTAGTAGTAGTAGTATTACTATTTATCATGTACATTTTGAAACTAGTTTAACCAACGATACAGGTTTGAACAGGCATGTTTGCTTAACCCAGGGATAAAAGAGAAGCCTCCGTTTATAAATTTATAATAAAAGCAATCAACTTTAATATAACTCTCAGCCACTCAAAAGAAATCTCATAATCCCTACGTTGGCTTAGGAACCTTTTGAGGAAGGGGCTGGGTGATTAAGGAAAAACTCCCATCAAGGTAAAAGTGTATGTCAAAGAAATCAATATGCATTACGTCCGATCACAGTAGTTAAAGCCTGGAAAATAATTTTTCCCCTCTGCGAAGTTATAGGTCAGTCCGTGAATGTAATGTTACCTTCGGTAGCAGCCAATTTACAGGTAACGATTTCTAAGGTCAATATTTCTGTCTAAAGGAAAGACCTGAAAGGAAGATCGGCCCGACTTTTGTGTTCGCCGTAAACCTATTATATTTAGCTTATGTCTTCTTATTGGACCCAGGTGAACAGTTCCTTGTAATTATACACTCCAACATCTGATAGAAGATTTTGCTACAAGGTGCTGTTTGTTTTTTGGGGGAACAGACCTAGGACAGCAAGTAACGTATTTAACCTTTTTCACTTCTAATAACTTTAATTCTTTAATCATAAACGGTGCAGGACGTGTGCAGGGGCTGTGTAGTGCACTCACTGAGAAACGTAAACTTAAAGGTTGCGACAACTTTTTTCAAAAGTTAAAGGCAAACTAGGGCTCCCAAAGGGACGAGTCTGTCGGCAGAAGAAACGAGAACTCTATCATTAGACGAGCTTTTATGGCCAAGATAGAGAAACTGTAAACAGACGCATCAAACTTCTTTCAAGCGTCATTCAGGGTACCAAATATGGGGGAAATAAGTAGCAGACTGAAAAATTCTTGACTGGCAATGCAAGAAATGATTGAAAACACGAATACCAAATCAATAGAACATGTACGACAACAACACTTCAGTTTTATTCAAGAAAGGCGACTAGTGTGCTTAAACTGTTTCTAAAAGTTCCTTCATAACGTTTTTCTTGTGTTTGCGTTCTTTTCAGCCGGCTTCGTTCGTTCGAAATGGCGAATACTAGATAAACGTACCTCGAAGCAAGACTTTCGCTTAAAGCTCTCTTTTCACAGCTGAGACGACAATTGAGTATTCACTAGGTTTTTTCCTTTCATTAGCAGACAGAAAAAATGTTTAATAAGCTTACCCATGTGTATTTTTAACCTGATAACAGGAGGCCATTCATCGCGCGTCTTAAATCTTGAAAACGTGCATCATATTAGGTAACAGGAAATAATTACGCCCGAGATTATAAACAAAGACAAAAAAAGACAAACAATCGAGCCCACCTGGAAGACAGTAAATGAGGTCAGAAGAGCACTTTGTTGTAAAAGCCTGGGCCTGCATGAATTTTCAAAAACGCAGCCGTCTATGAATTCCGTTCGCGCGATGCTTTCCTCAACCATAAATAAATAAACGAACCATCAAATTAAAATCAACTTTGAACAGCAAAAGAAACTTAATAGAAGCTTTATCTCATGTTGTGAAAGCATTTACGCAACGTTTCACGTTTTTCTGTCGAGACGCAAGGAATAATACAATTACAGGAAATTACGCGATTTTTATTGAATAGTCGTTAATAATTTTAGATTAGGTAACCGTGCAATAATTTTTTTCTCACGACCTTATGTTTCGACTGTCGCTTAGCAACTGGGCTGTTTTGCTTTCGTTTGGTCTTACGAAATTATTTATTTCACAGAATCCCAGTTTGTGTGCGCAAGGATTGCCTGGACTTCCCGGACGAAATGGCGTAAATGGGCATAATGGGTTACCAGGCCGCAACGGTCGAGATGGTGCCAAAGGTGAGAAAGGCAAGGCAGGTCCCCGTGGACCACGTGGTTTCAAAGGAGAAGCGGGACGAGTTAGAACGGTCGCTGCTGAACAAAGAAACTGGAAGCAGTGCGCGTGGAAAAACGGTGACGGCAAAGCTATTGGCCTTATTAAGGTTAGTGCATGGGAAGCAATTTATACAAATTTCATTGGTAGAGTCGGTGTTACTGGGCGTAATTATTAATAGCTATAGAAGCGCTTCTCAAATTTTCCAGTCCTTAGTTTCCTTTCATCGGTTATTCTTGTCTTTAACTCGATCAAATAGTCTTTTTAAATAAAACTTTCTTTAGTTAGTTCACATGTTGTGTTTGACTGTTTTTCAACTAACCTTAACGCGAAAGTAGTGGGAAATTCAAAGTTTACCCTTCGTAACTTCGAACTCTACATCTATTATTATTGGAATTTCGGTTGTTCATTCAATCACTAGTTGTGGGCATCAGATACGTAAAATGAACTTATCTGATAGAAAATCCCTTTTTCAAGCCATGAACTTTTCCGAAAGCGAAGCGCACAGCTGACCGTGAGTTGTCCTAGGTAGTCTAGGTAGCGTGAGAAAAAAGTTGATCCTTTTGCCGAGACTTGCTGGGAGTACGAAAAACGGCGAACAGGCAAAACTGGGGCCAAAGAAAAAAAAGAGAAAGCCCGCCTGATCGCAGGTTACATCTCAGGTTGACTCAACTTGCCTTCTCAACCGGCCGCCTCCCTCACTCTCCCCCACCCTCTCCCCCACTAGGCAAGATCGCGACCGTCATATAAACTGCAGTCGGCTGAATTTTTCAAGGAGGAAGTGAATCAATCCGAGAGTCAATCTGAGGTAGGGGTGTCTTAGGTATCACGGATAGACCATATAAATGTGGCCTTAGGCAACCGCAGTGCTCATCGTAGGGCAGACGAATCAAGGAATTCTACTGCCTCTCACTTTCAGTGTAATTTTTTGGCCGGTTATAAGTGTGACAAAATAAATATACACATCTTTCTTTGCCTTATATCGGTGGCTCTAAGACCGTAATTACCGCTCTGAACATAGTCATAAAATTTCAACAGAACGTTCATTACGACTTGAATAATAACGTGGTTCACGGTGCTCTGTCTGGCACTGATCGCTAACAATATAATGCTACGTTTTCAGGATTGCCAGTTTACTAAAATTAAAGACAATACAACTCTTCGTGTTGTATTCCAAGGAAATATCTATCTGGGAGGTTGCGGGAGCTGCTGCAAGCGATGGTTTATCACTTTCAACGGCGCCGAGTGTAGCGGACCTCTGCCTATTGACGCGGCCCTGTGGATCAGAAATAGAAACACAGATGACTTCAGACATGGAGCAATAGAGGGCTACTGTGACAACATCAGAAAAGGGAATATCCGCGTTGGCATCAACATTGGAAACTGTCCCGGTTATGGAAACTCCAATGGTCACACGGGATGGATGTCAGTGTCTCGTTTGATTATCGAAGAAGTTCCTCGGTCCCAGCAGTAACGAATCCATCGTATCTCAACAACATTCTCCAATAGCTGAGTGCTTGTAGAGTCATGTTAGGCGTCAAAAATCGATAAAAAGAAATATTTTAGGCAGAAATTTAATCAAACGCAACTGATAACCTCTGTTTAACTCTTTCATTAAAATATTGATTATCAAACTGCATGCTTTTTTTTTCTTTTTACAGCAGTGCAACAAGTCTTTGCAGTATACGATGTCTGTTTTGCAACACGGTGCCGCTTCTGCTTGCGCACCTCGAAAGTTCGGCTCTGAGATTACCCAAGATCTATTTGAGGGTCCCCAATAGGTCCTTTGGGACCTGAGATTTACCGCCATTTGTGCTTGCGCATCTTGTAAGTTCGGTCCTTGGCTAAACCGAGATCTACTTCAAGGTCCCAAATAGGTCCTTTCCGTTTTCTAAATAAACTTCCAAAGTCAGACTGCTAAAAGCGGGGTTGAGTCTTGCCAGAGTGTCCGCGTTTCTGATTATTTGGATCAATTTAGCTTTCTAGGAAACTGCCCACCTACCCCTCTCCCTAGGGCAAAATGTTGGCTTAGGGGAGAGGTAGGTGCGCATTTTCCCGGAAACCTAAATTGATTCTATTATTTTCCAAAAAGCATTTGACACCACTTTCGTATTGTAGCTTTAACTGGACCAGGTGGAGGCATTTACTCTTCATCAAGTGGTACCTTAAGTACTGCTGGACGTTGTAAAAAGATACCGTGTACGGTCTCAGTCTGACCCTGACAAGTTTTTTGCGGTCTCAGATTATTTTCATGGATATTTCCTTGTAAGGAAAAATATTTTGCTTTGAAGAGTCATTCTATTCTTGTCCTTCTCGAGGGTTAAAAAAGTAAAGTCATTGATGTTTCTTGAGCTTATCTTTCATGCTCACCACGCACGGTTAAACGAAGGTTTCATTTTGAGCGCTTACCGGTCGGTCTGCAAGTATCAGGAACCAACAACAATCGGCGGTGTGGCTTTAATGAAGTTGGTGCTGCTGTTTTGTCTCTTCGTTACATCCGAAACGCTAGCACAGTCACCCCAACTAAGGTAGAGAGTAAAATACGATAAATTATTACATTTGAAATGTGATTAAGAGATTTCCACAAGATTTTAGTCTTTTCAAACAAGGAAGATTTATTTGTTTGTTCCGCGCGTGGATTTTACATACCACAGGAGTCTTAGTGGTATCGTCGCAGCTGTTCCGTTTTTTCTCGTTCTTCTTCTCGTTCTGTATTTGTTTATTCATTATTTATTGCCTCCGCAGGGATTTCGCCCAGAAGTTGAAATCCCGAGGAGGCACTCTAGTAACTCGCGCGTATATTAAGGAAAGTACTTACAGCTGAAATATACAGTCATACAGTCAATATAGAAAAAATCTCGATTTGCTTGAACAGGGGCCGCGAGGAATCGGTAGGTAATGATGACGTTTCTATTGTTTGCGCCCGCAAATACGAAATACAGTCGAACCTCGCTATTTCGAACCCGGTTAATTCGAAGTCCCCGCTATTTCGAAGGAAGATCGAATGCCCTCGGATTTACCCTTCCCCTTTACGCTTCCCCGGTTATTTCGAAGCCCCGCTATTTCGAACTTTTTTTCATTTCCCTTGGGACTTCGAAATAGCGGGGTTCGACTGTAGTTAGGATGATGTAAAGACAGAACATCCCCAAGGGACCGCTTAGGTAGATTTTGTGACATTTATTGTGCAGTCATACTTCGACACTCTTTTGCGTTACGTGTTATCAGTGACATTCTGTGGAGCAGTTGTTTCAGTGAAAGTTATGGACCAAAATGTTAACGCCGGGTGTTAACGACACTCGTTAAGCGCAGAAGAAGTTACAAGGTGCGTATAACTGTGTATATATAAACACTTGGAGAGTTTGCCAGACACGAGTTCACAAATCTTTCATTGAAAACCTTGCCAGACACTCTTTCTCTCTCTTTGACCGGAATAAGACTCAGTCCCAAACAAGCAAGACGAGTGAACAACGGCTACAATACTCGTCACAAATCGTTGAAACAGGAGCCATTTGTCTTGAATTTTCTCCAAATTTCTTACATTCACTCCTGACACCTTCGTTCTCACTTACATTTGCCCCTCTCCTTCCGCAATGTTGAGCCAGGCGTATTTTGAAGCAGTGAGACGACTGTAATACCCAAATCAACATTGGGGAAGGGGAAAATCACACAAGTGTTTCAAGATTTGTGACGAGTATTGTAGCTTCTCACTAGCAGAAAGATGGACGATTAAAGAAATTCGCCGACAATCAAACTCTGTGCTTCCCTGCTCACAGATGTCCTTCCACTATAAAGCTTAAAATAAGACTAGAATGCGCGACTGGGTGTGAATTTTTTAATTTCTAAGGCTTCCTTTCCGGCAAATAATATGAACTGAATTTAAAAAGTGAAAGAGAAATAGCGAAAAATACAACTTCTAAATAAATCTTTTCTTATGATTTAGAATAAACTACTCTCGAAGACACTCTCGAAACTGATAATGTTTTGATCAAAGCTATGTAAATTGACCTGAAACTGTGCATGGAACCTTGCGTTTCCTGTATTTATCTCACCTATTGTATGGAATATGTGTGAAAATCTTCCTTTAGAATCGGTATATTTCAAAGAGCTACACAACAAGTAAGAATGCTATGACCGACACTATACAGAACGGGAGCAGCTGTAGTGTCAACTATTACGAGTAGATATTATTAATTTGTAGGCTGTTTGGCTTGTATTTGATCTAAGCAAATATATATTTATATCAAGGCATGTGTTCTAAACAACTCTGCGCGAGCTCTGCTTGCATTTCAGGTCACGTACTTTCCGACAAGGAACAGAATTAAAATATAAACAAACAACTGTGTTGGATAAATCTGGCCACGGTTGTGGCAGGTTTAATGAAATCAAAGCTAACAGAATCACAACACATCGATATATGTAAACCGATTAACCTACTGAATAAAAAATGGGGCGACAAAAATCCGCCACAAGCCACACAACTGTGGCTGAAGCCCCACAAAAAGAAGCAAAGCTCGCGTGAAAGCTGGAAAGCAAAAAATTGTTGGACACTTTTAAAACTATGAAGAAGAAGAAAAAAATAAAAATTTGTCAATACTAAACGTGACGCCAACGAAACGGCAGCCCTTGCCTGAACCGTGAAATTGGACGTCTGGTACAAATTAGAGATATGATAATCGATAGGAAAATTCGGACTTAAAAATTGTCAACCAAGTAGCAGCCCAATGACTGACCTACGCAACCAGCAGAAGAACAAAAGTTCTAAAAAACGGCCTAACGTTAAGACAAGGGAAACGAGAAATAATGCCAACCAAGTAGCAGCCCGATCACTGACCTACCAAAAAGGCATAATAACAGAACGAACTAAGTCATACGAAACGAGAACTAATGCCAGCCAAATAGCAGCCCAATGACTGACCCATTCAGCAGGCGTAAAAGCAGAATGAATAAGATTAGGAACTAACAACTCAAAGGTCAGTTAAAAATGGTTGTCTAAGCCCACCAAGTAGCAGCCCAATTGTCTGACCTACTTTCGACCCGTGGGCAAATCAATTAATTAGCGTGAAGAACTTCCGACCTCAAATAAACTTTAAATGCGTCCGATTTCCAGCGACCAAGAGCACGAATTTGCGCGTCAGAATAACCTTTTTCAGCGGCATGGCACGCGCCGCCAATGCGAAAGCTATGAGTCTTGTACCGACTACTGTCGAGACCACAGTAAGATAAGCACTGTTGAAGTGCGACATTGAATTGGTGAACAGAGATGGCGGTCTGATCAGCGTGACAAAAAAGTGGCCCGGGACGAGTTCCCCTGATATTACAATACTGATATAGGGCTGTAACAGGGCAAAAAGGGGAAGAGACATCCTTTGCAAGTAAAATGTCAAAAGGTCTGCGACTAACGTTATGCTTATACTCGGTAATAGTAATCTTTGCCCCCTGCACTTGGCCTTGACGAAATAAGAATGTTAGATTACTGTACTGAACGACAGAACGCGCAAATCGTGTGCTCTTGGACGCCAGCTCACCTATGCGAAAAAGACCGTAAAACGCGACAAGAAACATAGCCGAAAAAAGAGAACGCTGAAATGCCGAAGAGTTAGAAAAAGTAAGAGAGCGAATCAGCTGGTGCAATATGGGCCGTGTAATTGGCAGACGAATGTCCGACGGCTGCTGACGGCTCAAAGCTGTCAACAGCTTGTCAATTAGAAAAGATTTGGTAGGGTCATTAAAACCTTTGAGCTTATGTGCATATGAAATGGCAGAAAGATATGATTTGATCGTGGAACAGGCCAATTTACGAAACGAGAGATAAGAACTAAAAAGAGGGATACAAGTAGGGGGTAAAGGTAAAGGAGGATTGGTTGAACCGTACAAGTGAGCATAGAATTGGCGGAAAACGACCCACGCACGCTGATACAGCCGCCGCGAGCTGGCTGTGAGAGTAGAATTTAGTAGACCTGTCAAGTTAGCACCCAACTCTTCGGCAATAGGTTCTCGGGGATGGGGGTCGGGAGCTGGTCGGCTTCTGGTGAAAGTTCCTTGAACTTTGTTACCTGGGAACGTGAAATGTAATCGGCACTAGAATTGATTAACCCAGGAATATGGCGAGCTTGAAATATTATGTTATGTTTAAGGCAGCTTAGCACTAAATCCCTTAATAGCACCATGATACCCTGGTGTTTAGACGTCTGGTTATTAATAATGTCAACAACGGCGGCATTGTCAGTGAAAAATATGATACGTTTATCTGCCATTATGTGACCCCAAATGTGAACAGCAATGACAATGGGAAAAAGCTCCAAAAGCGCGATGTTATAAGATTTCCAGTGGTTCGGCCAAGTTCCGTGAAGCCAATGGCGATCAAAGACCGCACCAAAACCTATCGAACCTGCGGCATCAGTATAAAGCTGAAGACTCTGGGATGTTTCCCAAACGTCACTTAAGAAAAACGATCGCCCGTTAAAATCGTCAAGAAAACGGAGCCAAAGCATGATATCTAATTTAGCGCCTCGCGAAAGACGAATGTGATGATGAGGCTTGTTGACGCCTTTGGTAAGATCTATCATGCGACGCAGAAAAACGCGACCCGGAACAACCACGAGGCACGTAAAATTCAATAAACCTATCAGTGATTGGAGTTCCTTTAGGCAGACGGAGCGCCGGGCCTGGAAATTTTGTAACATCGCACGACACTTGACAAGTTTGTCCTCTGGTAGGCGAGCCTCTTGGCGTACAGAATCAAGCGTAATTCCAGCAAATTGTAAAACAGTCGCGGGACCCACCGTTTTTTCAGGGGCCAAAGGAACGCCAAGATAATTACACATCAAAATAAAATTATCTAAGTCGTGTTCACATTGTCCTTTGCTTTGGGCTATGAACAAAAAATCGTCTAAAATATGTAATACTGCGCAAGCACCAAGATGATTGATGGACAACCACTCAAGTGCCGTACTAAATGCTTCAAAAATCGCACAGGAACTGGAAAGCCCCATCGCGAGACACCTATCAAAATAGTACATGTTGTCCCATTTCAAACCAAGCAAGGAATAGTCAGCAGGGTGAATAGGAATTATACGGAAAGCAGATTTCACGTCGGTTTTGGCCATAAAACAACCCTTTCCTAACCGCTTGAGTAACTTCACCGCATCCCCGACCGATGCGTATTTCACGGTAGAACAATAATCCGGAATAAAGTCATTTACGGAAGAACCCTTGGGGTAAGATAAATGGTGTATTAATCGAAATTCAGATGGATCCTTTTTGGGAACAATGCCCAGTGGAGAGCAACGAAAATTGGGAAAGGGGGGAGCTGTGAAAGGACCAACAATTCTCCCTGCATCACATTCCTTGCGTAACTTAGCATGCGTTACCACTGGCTGATCCAGAGCGCTTTTAAGATTAGGAGACTCAGACGAAAACCGCTCACCAACAAAGTGAATACGAAAACCAAAACGAAAACCGTCAACAAGAAATTGTTTTAAAACTCTGTCATAACCATGCAGCAAAAAATCAAGCCGATCCACTCTTACTGGCGTGACTGGCTTGCTGTGGAGAACCCGATGTACTATCTCGTTTGCCTTTTGAACTGAAAGGGAATCCACTTTTGGGCGCCGAAGCTGAGCACTGGCCGCCCGGGTGTTTTCCACCACATTTAAAACACATGTGTTCGAATTTGCATCCGGAGCAGTGCTTGCCTGCTTGAAAGGCCCAGCAGGTCCCTTTCGGAAAGAATTGAGAACGAAAACGTGGTTTGTTGGTGGGCGGTTGCGGTTTTCGAAAAGTATTTGACGCCCGTAACCACAACTCCCAATGTATCCTATCCCATGGATACTGCTCTGGTGCCGATTGTCTTACGTAACGAAATTGTTCATCATACCAATGCCAATCTCCCCCCTTTGCAGCCAGATCCCGGACCACCTCGCAATATTTCATTAATTGAGGAGTGTAGTTGTTAAATCTTTCCGCGTAAACAGAAACGAAAATATTAAACGCAGAGACCCACTGGGAAATGTTGGCTATTTTCTTAGAAACGTGACAGGGTTCAAGCGTCAGTTGAGGCTGGCTCGAAGAACCGGCGACTGACGGTGTCATAGATAATGAGTATTTCCCCTCCTGCTGAGGTGAATCAGACAATAACGACCCGAAATTAATATATTCATTCGCCCAAATTTTTGCTTTGATTTTGGAACTCACTCTCGAAGTGAGAGGGACAGAAACACTGGTGAATTGAACTTGTGGTCTTTGATCATACGGACCTGAGTTAACTAAGTCTAAAGGATCAACTGCTTCAATACCTGACTGAGGATTGGTGATGACATGGACGTCGTCATCCACAGCCTGTTCAACAAGTCCAGTTGGCGCTTGCGTAACTACTGGCGTTGGGGAGTTGTTGTCGAGAAGCGAAGCCAATTTCTCAGGCGAGAAGGCCGTCTTTACTGCTTGTGTAATTACGGCAGAAATGGTAGCGGTGATTGCGTCGACATCCACGGACACTGTGCCTGGGGATGAACTTGAAGGGTTTGAAGCAATCACGTTAGCCTGCTCAGTTGTAGTGCTCTCATGAACAGTGGGCGCCTCCTCAGGACGCAGTCTTGGCCGCCTGGCTCGCTTGTTGGGGCGAACGGATGGAATGGCGGTGGGCGCTGTAGCCTGAGTTGCTGGTCGTTTTCGCGGAGGCATTTTTTACAAAAAAGACTACTGAAACTGGCAAAAATAAACAAGACTGAGACAATTAACAGCACTGCAGGGGATACGAATATACCCCGCGAGCCATTGTTGTCTGTAAAATTACTTAGCACTTGGGAGAGGCAGTTCAAGATATATATAGCCTAACAGGCCCGGCGTAGCCACAAAAGAAATTGAAAAATATAAGTGACAAAATACGATTAATAAGACAGCAGTAACAGTATAGAAAAAAGCCAAGTTCCATGAAAAACGTGCATAATCACTGATACCGAGTGCATTGGACACACCTCCCAAAAAAGGGGGCGGTCAAAAGTGGTTGTACACTCAAAATGGTAAAGCGAAAGCACAAAATAACATAACCAAAGCCGCAAAAATAAACACGGTATTTAAACCGTGCATGAACAAAGTAGCAAGCCTGCTTATAGGTAGGAAATTACTTTCCAACAACAAGTGAACAAAGGGCAAGGCTGCATAACATTCGGCTTGGTAAAGACCAACAAATATCAAAATTAGGGAACTGGCAAATACATGGGAAAAAATTAATGCTGTTAACGACCTGAGAAAATGCGTATACATCTAAGAACTGCGCCTCTCAACTGCGAAAATATTTATAATGTCCGAGTTTGTTTAAATGAACACCATCCCGGGCAAGAAAACTTGATTTACAACGCCAAAACCCTCTGTGACGCCAGTAAAATACATAAGGAATGGGTTCTAAAACCACCTTCAGATACTTCGTTAACAAGTCAACCTGTTTGTTAAAAGAAGAGGCATCTTGCCTGTAAAGGGTTTGACAAACGCAAATCACTTCCACTCCATATGACTCATAAAGTAAACGACACAGATCTTCAATTGCCGAGCCAGTTTCAACGGCCGAAATGGTGGTAAGGTCATTCGTACCTAATTGCATGATCACTACATTGGGAGCAAACTCCTCTACTATACCTAAATCGTACTCCCTAGTTTTAGAAACCGTTCTATTTCCAATCCCATGCCATCTTATGAGCAGATCGCCATCTAGACTTAAATTTTTCGCAATGCGAGCATTAAAATTGCGGCAAAGAAAATCGTGCACACGGCGAATGAAAGAGTGGCCCAGAATTAAAACACGGATTGGCGGCATGAGAAAAAGAGAATATAATCAAAGGAAGTACTTGCCTGAAAAGATTTTGCTCGAGATCTGACCGAGTTGATGACGAGGGAGAGAAGGAAGAATTACTGGGAAAATATCTCGATATACCTACTTAACCCTGACACCGCCCTATAACCTAATTGGCTAGATTTGCAGTACCTGGTACAGCCTGACCTAGCGAGTTATCATGTGAGTATCATGCCTTGCCATAAATTACATTATGTCTGCCATAATGTCTAGTTTTTTTGCACAGAACTGACACCAGTATGTGCTCGCAAGGCGGCAAGGATCACCTGGTAATCCGGGACGAAATGGACATAATGGATTACCCGGCCGGGATAGTCGAGACGGTGCTAACGGTGAAAAAGAAGTGGCAGCTCCACCTGGACCACGTAGTATAACTACAAGCGGGAAAGGTCGCTGCTGAAGAAAGGAACTGGAAGCAGTGCGCGTCGAAAAAGGCTGACGGCCGTTTTGGTGGCCTTATTAAGGTGAGCAGGAGACAATTCCCTGGGGAGGGGGGTACTCCTGGGAATTCTTGGTGGGGGTGTGCTACGCAGTTCCTCTAATCCTTACCCGATTTCACACCAAAAAATGTAATTTTCCACGCCCGTTTTCAGACTAGACCTCAAAAATCCATACTCGTTTTCAGACCTGGCCTTTAGGCAGAAACAAGAGCCATAATGGGAGAAATTATGTTATCATTACTTAGCCGTTACAGCGCAAACAAAAATTATTCAAACCCATTTCGAATTCGCATATTTCTCTTTCTTGCTTACTTATTTGGAATTGAAACGATAAATACGTTCATACCCTCCGTAGTTCTCTCGAAAACAATACCCGATTCCAGGCCAATATGGGCAAAGTGTATACCCGTTTTCAGACCAAAACGGCGCAAAACCCCTACCCGACGGGGCGGCATATACCTATATGGCTTATATAAGGGAGTACCCCCCCCCGGGGACAATTCTTTATTAAGAGTCGGTTGTACTGGACCTAATTATAGCAATTCCAAACGTTTCTTAAATGTCCTGGTCCATAGTTGTTCAAATATTCTTGTCTAGACTGTTCACAGTCCCCTATTTTTCCCTACAGTTTTGGAAATCAGAGCAACTCTCAGTTGCAACATACGGATTAGTAATTTATCTTTATCTGGTATCAGATAACTAATAACTGACCAACCTCGTTTATAGAAGCCGCCATCCTTTTGGTCTTCGACGGGGATTCGGGTATGACAAAAGGGACCCAAGGGGATCGGACGAAGTTGATAACTGACTAAAACAGTCATTCGTCCACTTGTTGGTATTAGAGCTTTACTGGGCCAGGTGGGGGCATTTGCAATTCTTTGAGGGGCATAGTGAATAGGTACCTCAATGCCTATGGCTTCAACCTGCCTGTGAAATGTTATTGCGGTCTCAAATTATTCTTATGAACATTTCCCTATAAGGAAAAACATTTTGCTTTGTAGAATCATTCCATTCTTGTCATTCTCAAGGGGATTAAAAAAATAAAGTCATCGATGTTTCGAAAGTTGTTTGCCATTCACGCTCAACAGACACGATTAAACCGTTGTTTCATTTGAACTCTTTCGTTGGTCTTCATTTGCCTGAAACCAAGACCAAAATGTTTGGAACAACCGGCGGTGTGGCTGTAATGAACTTGGTGTTGCTGTTTTGTCTCTTCTTTTACATCCGAAGCGTCAGCACAGTCGCCCCAGCCAAGGTAGGGTTAAAATACGATAAATTATTACATTTGAAATATGATTAAGACAATCTTTGTTTCTTCTGGGGAAAAAACTTTCGATTACCAGCTATAAGATGGCTATAATTTATGTCATCACAGTGTTCCTTCTTACTTCTCACAGTACTCTCCACGACGCATCGCGAACAACGGAAGCTTCCTGACATATTTGTTAAAAAATGCTTGATACGATAAGAGGGCAACCAGCTATAAATTCTTGGAAGATTTCCACTTGATTTATTAATTAACGAGGAAGACTTTCTTTGTTTACTTAGGGCGTGGATTTTGCGTATGTGGTCTGAGTGGTGTCATCGTTGACCTTCAGTATCTTCTTCTTATTTTTTGGTTTTATTCATGTATTCTTTATTTTATTTTTACCTAACTTAGGAAAAAGTGAGACTTTTTCCATTTCGGATTGTGACTCTTTTTCCGCGTCCTTGGTTATCAGGGACCGCGGAGGGGGAGGGGCTGGTAGGGCCGCGGCCCCACCACTTTTTTGGGCCCCCGCCCCCACTTTTTGCAAATCAAATACTATGATTTTATTCCTTTTTTCGATTTTGAATATGAAAAAATTATTTTCAATTGTCAGCCCTCCCACTTTTCACCTTGCTCTGCGGTCCCTTGTTATTGATGGATGCGACTTGTTTCCCCTAACTTTTTTTTTTAAAATCTAAAAACAACTTTTGCGACACTTTTTTTCACTGCTGGCTGGGTATTTTATATACATTCCTTAAAGGGCCATCCTGGAAAAGGCGCAATGAACATTCAAACTAGAGGGAGTTGCGTGATTTTTATTTAATATATGCGCGTCAATCAGTTATTTTAGATTAGATAACCATACTTTTTTATTTAACACACCCTCATATTTCGAGTGCCACGCAATATCTAGGCTGTGTTTTGCTTTCGTTTGGTCTTACAAATTATTTATTTCACAGAATCCCAGTTTGTGCGCGCAAAGAGCAACTGGACTTCCCGGACGAAATGGTGTGAATGGACATAATGGGTTACCAGGCCGTGACGGTCGAGATGGTGCAAAGGGTGAGAAAGGCTTGCCAGGTCCATCTGGGCCACGTGGTTTTAAAGGAGAAGCGGGTGAGAAGGGTGTGGCAGGGACACCTGGACCACGTGCTGTTAAAGGAGAAGCGGGTGAGAAGGGTGTGCCAGGTCCACCTGGACCACGTGGTATTAAAGGAGAAGCGGGACCAGTTGGAAAGGTCGCTGCTGAACAAAGAAACTGGAAACAGTGTGCGTGGAAAAAGCAAGAAAACAAAGATATTGGCCTTATTAAGGTGAGGGTGCTAATGGGGGTACCCAAATCTCAGTTCACTACTATTTTTTCGGCCAAATATCAGTCAACTACTATTTTTTGGCCAATTCTCAGTTAACTTACTAATTTTGGTTGGCTATTAACTTTCACTTTCCTACAGGGAATATTATTCCGTCATAACCGAATTTTCCCTCCTTCAGCAAGTCTATCACTTTTGGGGGTAGGCCCTAATAAAATCAAGGAATAAATTTACATGAACTCTGCCACTAGTACAATTTATTAGTAACTGAAAATATAGGTCGTATAACCATCAATATGACACCTGCCTCATAGATCCAAATCGAGACGCACCAGTCATGATCTCGTACTGATCTTCCCGACATGGTCATGCATGTCCTGCTGTAAACTACTTCAAATTCACCTTCCTCGGCACTTTCACTATCTGATTGGAATCAGTCTTGTACTTATATGGTTGCTGTATGTCCCGTATCTTGTTGTTGGCCTACGTTTCAATCCATTCATTTAATCCTTGCAATCCATTGCAACAGACGACGAGAAACATTACTGATCAATGCCAAAATATAGTCTTAAATAACAAAAATGGACCATTATTTTTGGAATTCGATTGGTGAATTCAATCACTGTCTGCACCAATGGGAGAGACATAGTTGAGAGTGCTGACAAAGGCATGAAAGTATTTGACACCGGACAATTCGACTTTAATTTCGTGAGTGTAGCCCTCTTCGAACTCGTAGTTCTTTTAAGCGATTCCTTTACTGTGGTTCCAAGCTCTTGGGCGTAGTTCAAAGCACTAAATGTTTTGTGCTGAAGTGAGAAACCGCATGTAGGTTTTCCACCTGCGTTGGTTTTTTACATCGATACAGATTTTGTTGACATCCTCTTCCGTAATGTTACCTTTTTCGCAGACGTAACTTATTCGCGTATTTCAAAAGCCTCATAAAGGTATCCAAGGGTTTTAAGAAATGAAACTGCCGAAACTGTTTCCGTAAGACCGGTTTAAACACGAGCTTTTCCTTCTATTAAAATAGTCTCAATAGTTAGAACTCCAACATCAGTTACAAAAATGATTTCTCGTAAGTACAAATTCCAGGTACTTGGAATAAAGACTGCTGATTTCTTTGAACCCTCAGAAATTCTTTTTAGCCAGAACCAAGGCTAAGAGTCACAGCTTTTTTATTTGGGTAATGTTTAACTTGACGATCTTTTGGGTCCGTGAAAACAGTATTTTCCTTTTCCGAACACGGAAATCTTGTTAATATCAGAAAACGAATTATTCGTTGAGTTGTGTATAACCAGCTCTTTGACTTACGCTTTCTGTTTGTCACGAACTGCCCTGGTGACTGTGCCTTTTGCACATAGTAATATCAGTTAATGTGCCACCTGGTCATCAGAGGGACAGAAACTTGTCACAAAATAGCATTTCTGTTTGCAAAACTTTGTTGCTTTCATTAACATTAATATAATATCACTTAACTGTTAACTTTTCATTTATCAGTTAACTGCAATTTTTTTGGCCAATTATCAGTTAACTACTAGTTTTTTGGCCATATATCAGTTAACTGTTAACCCCATTCGCACCCTCTGAGGTGAGTGCATGGGAGAAAAATTACAAATTTCCTTTTTTAGAGTCGGTGTTACTGGACAATAAAAATTGAGGCGAGGAAGTCACATTTGATAGATAAGGCCATGACTCTTGAACCTACGGGCCATTAAGAAGCGCTTCTCAAATGTTCCAGTCCTTAGTTTCCTTTCCTTCGTTATTCTTATTCTTCAACTCGATTAAATAGTCTTTTTTTAAATAAAACTTTCTTTAGTTAGTTCATAATGTTGCGTTTGACTTTTTTTCAACTAACCTTAACGCGAAAATAAAGGGAAATTCAAAGTTTACCCTTCATATCTTCGAACGCAACCTCTTACATCAGTAATATTATTGGAATTTCGGTTGTTCATTCGATCACTAGTTGTGGGCAACAGATACCTAAAATGAACTCATCTGATAGAAAATCCCTTTTTTTAATCCATGAACTTTGCTATAGGGAGCACACAGCTAACCGCGAGTTGTCCTAGCTAGTCTAGGTAGCGTGAACAAAATGTTTAGTGAGAAAAAATAGTTGCGCTTTTTGCTGAGACTAGACAACCCCACCTCGAGAAACCTGGGATCAGGAGTTGTTTGCGGGGAATGCAGAAGGAAGAAAGGCCGCCTGATCGCACGTTACACCTCAGGTTGCCTCGTCTTGCCTTCTCCACATACCCCCTCCCTCAAGCTCCCCGATCCCTTCCCCCACTAGGCAAGATTGCGACTGTCATATAAACTGCAGTCGGCTGAATTTTTTAACGATGAAGTGAATTCAGTTGGAAAGCCGAGAGTTAATCTGAGGTAGGAGTTGCTCGGGTTTCCGAGATCATATAATGTGGCCTTAAAACACCGCAGTGTTGATAAGGTAAGGAAAGATTCGTGGAGCAGACGACTCAACAGGATTCTTCTGTCACTTACTTTCAGGGTAATTTTTCTGACCTGTTATATGTGTGCCAAAATAAATATACGTGTCGCTCTTTTCGTTATATCGGTATGCAGTAATGATAAACCACCATGACCTGAAGTCACTTGGCTAGCCGAGAGTTCGGTAGAGCTGTCTCGGTTTCCCGACCGATATAAATGTGCCATTTGAAAATTTAGAAATGATGTGGTGTATGAGCTAAGGAAAAAATCGTAGTGCGGAGGACTTAAGGCAATCATCAGTCGTTTACTTTAAGTGACATTTTTTGGGGGCGGTTATATGTTTTGCCAAAATAAAAATGCGCATCGCTCTTTGCGTTATATCGGTGGCTCTAAGACCTTAATTAACTCACTTGTCTCTTAACATAGTCACAAAATTGCAACAGAACATGTACAGACGTTAGGATTTGAACAATAACGTGAATCATATTTCACGGTGTTCTGTGTGGCAGTGGTCGCTAACAATATATAATGCTGTGTTTTCAGGATTGCCAGTTTACTAAAATTAAAGACAATACAACTCTTCATGTTGTATTCCAAGGAAATATCCATCTGGAAAATTGCGGTAGCTGCTGCAAGCGATGGTTCATCACTTTCAACGGCGCCGAGTGTAGCGGACCTCTGCCTATTGACGCAGCTCTGTGGATCAGAAATAGAAACACAGAGGACTATAGACCTGGAGCAATAGAGGGCTACTGTGAAAACATCAGAAAAGGGAATATCCCCGTTGGCATCAACATTGGAAACTGTCCCGGTTATGGAAACTCTGATGGTAACACGGGATGGATGTCAGTGTCTCGTTTGATTATCGAAGAAGTTCCTCGCTCCCAGCAGGAACGAATCCATCGCATCTCAACAACATTCCTACAATAGCTAAGTGCTTGTAGAGTCATGTTGGGCGTTGAAAATAGATTTTTAAAAAAATTTAGGCATAAATTTAATCGACACGCAACTGAGAGCCTTTGCTTAACTCTTTCATTAAAATATTGATAATCAAACTACATGCTCACTTTTTTTTTATTTTTACTTTTTTCTCTTTACTAAGTGCAGCAAGTCTTTGCAGCACACGATGTCTGTTTTGCAGCACGGTACCCCTTCTTCTTGCTCACCTTGTAAGTTCGATCCTGGGCTAAACCGAGATCTATTTGATGGTCTCCAATAGGTCTTTTCCGTTTTCTAAATAAACCTCCAGTTCCAGACTGCTAAAAGCCGGGATGAGTCTTGCCAGAGCGTCCGCCTTTCTGATTATTTTCCACAGAGAATTCGACACCTCGTTCGTATTGTAGCTTTAACTGGGCCAGGTGGAGGCATTTACTCTTCATCAAGTGGTACCTTAAGTACTGCGGGGTGTTGTAAAAAGATATCTCAGCATGTACGGTCTCAGCCTGACCCTGACAAGTTTTTTGCGATCCCAAATTATTTTTCATGGATCTTTCCTTGTAAGGAAAAATATTTTGCTTTGAAGAGTCATTATATTCTTGTCATTCTCGAGTGTTAAAAAGGTAAAGTCATTGATGTTTCTTGACTTTAGCTTTCACGCTCACCAGACACGGTTAAACGAAGGTTTCATTTTGAGCAGTTACCGGTTGGTCTGCAAGTATCCGAAACCAACAACAAAATGATTGGAACAATCGGCGGTGTGACTTTAATAAAGTTGGTTCTGCTATTTTGTCTCTTCGTTTACATCCGAAGCGCCAGCACAGTCGCCCAGGCCAAGGTAGGATGGAGTAAAATACGATAAATTATTACATTTGAAAGGTGATCAAGACTTGGAAGATTTCCACAAGGTTTAGTAATTAACGACTCACCGAGCTTAAACTGAGTCTTCCAAAACAAGAAAGATTTATTTGTTTATTCCGCGCTTGGATTTTACATACCACAGTGGTCTTAGTGCTTTCATCGAAGCCGTTCCGCTTCTTCTCGTTCTTATTTGTTTATTTATTTATTTATAGATATTATTAATTTGTAGGCTGTTTTGCTTGTGTTTGATCTAACCAAATATATATTTTTTGCACAGAACCCCAGTATGTGCGCGCAAGGATCACCTGGTATTCCGGGACGAAATGGGCATAATGGATTACCCGGCCGGGATGGTCGAGACGGTGCTAAGGGTGAAAAACGCGTGGCAGTTCCACCTTGACCACGTGGTATAAAAGGACAAGCGGGAAAGGTCGCTGCTGAAGAAAGGAACTGGAAGCAGTGCGCGTGGAAAAAGGCTGACGGCCGTGATGTTGGTCTTATTCAGGTGAGCGGGAGACAATTCTTTATTCAGAGTCGGTTGTACTGGACCTAATTATAGCAATTCAAAAACGTTTCTCAAATGTCCTAGTTCATAGTTCCCTGTTGTTCAGATATTCTTGTCTTTAATTCGTCTTAATAGGGTCTTTGAAATAACACTTCACTTCTCTTTACTCAGTTACGTAGTTACTTAGTTGTTTTAAACTTAATTCGTAATGGACATCGTAGGAAATTCAAAATTTACCCTACTTGAATCTTTCATAACTCCAAACGCAGTCGTCCTACACCATATATTAAGTTTCGCTCGTTCATTAAATCACTAGTTCTGCGTATCAGAGACTTACACTAAAGTTGTCTTAAACAAATTCGGTTTCTAAACAATGACTTTGGCTTTACGTAGTACACAGCTTGCCGTCCGGTCAGATGTCTCAGGTACCCTGAACAAAATGGTCATGTGAGAAAAAAATTATGCTGCTAACCCCGACTATACTACCCCCACCCTCCCTTCCCCCTCCCCGTTAGATCGCGATCGTCATTCGAGTGAAACTGTCGGTTGAATTATTCAACGATAAAGTGACGTCTCTTGGCTGCCCGAGAGTCACGCTAAGGAAGGGGTGTTTTTACCTAGACCATATAAATGGGGCCTAATTAGGAGACTTAAAATGATGAGATGAATGAGGTTGGGAAAGAATTGGCTACAGCTTGCAATCCTGATATAAATGAAGGACTCAAAAGCCTCTTTTTTCTCCTTTAGTGACATTTTTTAGCCAGTTACATGTGTGTCTGTAAAAATATATATACAACGCGCCCCGCGTGATATCGGTGATTGCTCTACATTGTACTGACTCACTATCTTTCATCTCACTGTCTAGAGCCTACAGTTAATTTTTGAAATCAGAGTAACCTTCAGTTGCAACATACAGATTAGTAATTTGTCTTTATCTGGTATCAGATAACTGACCAATCTCGTTTATAGAGGCAGTCATCCTTTTGTTCCTCGACGGGGATTCGGGTATGACAAAAGGGACCCCTGGGGATCGGACGAGGTTGATAACTGACTAAAACAGTCATTCGTCCACTTGTTCGTATTAGAGCTTTACTGGGCCAGGTGGAGGCATTTGCACTTCACTGAGGGGCATAGTGAAAAGGTACCTCAATGCCTATGGCTTCAGCCTGCCTATGAAATGTTTTTGCGGTCTCAAATTATTCTTATGAACATTTCCCTATAAGGAAAAATATTTTGCTTTGTAGAATCATTCCATTCTTGTCATTCTCAAGGGGATTAAAAAGGTAAAGTCATCGATGTTTCGAGAGTTGTTTGCCATTCACGTTGACCAGACACGATTAAACGGTTGTTTCATTTGAGCTCTTTCGTTGGTCTTCATTTGCCTGAAACCAAGACGAAAATGTTTAGAACAACCGACGGTGCGGCTGTAATGAAGTTGGTATTGCTGTTTTGTCTCTTCTCTTACATCCGAAACGTCAGCACAGTCGCCCCAGCCAAGGTAGGGTTAGAATACGATAAATTATTACATTTGAAGTATGATTACGACAATCTTTGTTTCTTCTTGGGGAAAGACTTTCGATTACCAGCTATAAGATGGTTTTAATTTATGTCATCTCAGTGTTCCTTCTTACTTCTCACAATATTCTCCACGACGCATCGCGGGCAACTGAAACTTCCTGACATATTTGTTATGAAATGCTTGATACGATAAGAGGGCAACCAGTTACACATTCTTGGAAGATTTCCACTTGATTTATTAATTAACAGGGAAGATTTATTTGTTTACTTAGGGCGTGGATTTTGCGTATGTGGTCTGAGTGGTGTCATCGTTGACCTTTAGTATCTTCTTCTTATTTTTTCGCTTTATTCATTTCTTCTTTATTTTTATTTTTATCTAACTTAAGAAAAAGTGAGACTTTTTCCATTTCGGATTGTTACTCTTTTTCCGCGTCCTCTGAAACAAGGTCAACCACTGACTTAAACTTATAATTTGTAATTTGTTTTCTTGGTTATGGATGGATGCGACTTGTTTCCCCTCACGTTTTGATCTAAAAACAACTTTTGCGACACTTTTGTTTCACTGCTGGCTGGGTATTCTATATACATTCCTAACGGCCATCCTGGAAAAGAAAACCACATAAGACGCAAGGAACATCCAAACTAGAGGGAGTTGCGTGATTTTTATTCAATACATGCACGTTAATCAGTTATTTTAGATTAGATAACCATATATACTTTTTTAACACACCCTCATATGTCGAGTGCCGCGCAATATCTAGGCTATGTTTTGCTTTCGTTTGGTCTTACAAATTATTTATTTCACAGAATCCCAGTTTGTGCGCGCAAGGAGCAACTGGACTTCCCGGACGAAATGGTGTGAATGGACATAATGGGTTACCAGGCCGTGACGGTCGAGATGGTGCAAAGGGTGAGAAAGGCTTGTCAGGCCCATCTGGACCACGTGGTTTCAAAGGAGAAGCGGGACGAGTTAGAACGGTCGCTGCTGAACAAAGAAACTGGAAGCAGTGCGCGTGGAAAAACAGTGACGGCAAAGCTATTGGCCTTATTAAGGTTAGTGCATGGAGAGCAATTTATACAAATTTCATTGGTAGAGTCGGTGTTACTGGGCGTAATTATTAATAGCTATAGAAGCGCTTCTCAAATTTTCCAGTCCTTAGTTTCCTTTCATCGGTTATTCTTGTCTTTAACTCGATCAAATAGTCTTTTTAAATAAAACTTTCTTTAGTTAGTTCACATGTTGTGTTTGACTGTTTTTCAACTAACCTTAACGCGAAAGTAGTGGGAAATTCAAAGTTTACCCTTCGTAACTTCGAACTCTACATCTATTATTATTGGAATTTCGGTTGTTCATTCAATCACTAGTTGTGGGCATCAGATACGTAAAATGAACTTATCTGATAGAAAATCCCTTTTTCAAGCCATGAACTTTTCTGTACGAAGCGCACAGCTGACTGTGAGTTGTCCTAGGTAGTCTATGTAGCGTGAGAAAAAAGTTGATCCTTTTGCCCAGACTTGCTGGGAGTACGAAAAACGGCGAACAGGCAAAACTGGGGCCAAAGAAAAAAGAGAGAAAGCCCGCCTGATCGCAGGTTACATCTCAGGTTGACTCAACTTGCCTTCTCAACCGGCCGCCTCCCTCACTCTCCCCCACCCTCTCCCCCACTAAGCAAGATCGCGACCGTCATATAAACTGCAGTCGGCTGAATTTTTCAAGGAGGAAGTGAATCAATCCGAGAGTCAATCTGGGTAGGGGTGTCTTAGGTATCACGGATAGACCATATAAATGTGGCCTTAGACAACCGCAGTGCTCATCGTAGGGCAGACGACTCAAGGAATTCTACTGCCTCTCACTTTTAGTGTAATTTTTTTGGCCGGTTATAAGTGTGACAAAATAAATATACACATCTTTCTTTGCCTTATATCGGTGGCTCTAAGACCGTAATTACCGCTCTGAACATAGTCATAAAATTTCAACAGAATGTTCATTACGACTTGAATAATAACGTGGTTCACGGTGCTTTGTCTGGCCTTGATCGCTAACAATATAATGCTACGTTTTCAGGATTGCCAGTTTACTAAAATTAAAGACAATACAACTCTTCGTGTTGTATTCCAAGGAAATATCCACCTGGGAGGTTGCGGGAGCTGCTGCAAGCGATGGTTCATCACTTTCAACGGCGCCGAGTGTAGCGGACCTCTGCCTATTGACGCGGCCCTGTGGATCAGAAATAGAAACACAGATGACTTCAGACATGGAGCAATAGAGGGCTACTGTGACAACATTAGAAAAGGAAATATCCGCGTTGGCATCAACATTGGAAACTGTCCCGGTTATGGAAACTCCAATGGTAACACGGGATGGATGTCAGTATCTCGTTTGATTATCGAAGAAGTTCCTCGGTCCCAGTAGTAACGAATCCATCGCATCTCAACAACATTCTCCAATAGCTGAGTGCTTGTAGAGTCATATGTTAGGCGTCAAAAGTGGACAAAAAAAAAAAGTATTTTAGGCATAAATTTAATCAGCATGCGACTGAAAGCCTCTGTTTAACACTTTCATTAAAATATTCATCATCAAATTGCATGCTGATTTCTTTTTTCTTTTTACTAAGTGCAGCAAGTCTTTTCAGCATACGATGCCTGTTTTGCAGCACGCTGCCCCTTCAGAGTAGTTGCGCGCTGCGCTACGAAAGTTCGATCCTGAGCTTGCCCGAGATCTATTAAAGTCCCCAATAGGTCCTTTTAATTATTTTGTAAATAAACGTCCAAATTCAGACTGCAAAAAGCGGGATTCAGTCTTGCCAAAGCGTCCGCCTTTCTGATTGGTTTCAAAGAAAAAAAAATTGCACTTTATTTGAGTGTCAATGTATTTAGCACGAAAGTACTAATTGTGGACACTATTTTTACGTCTCCTAATGGAGACGGGACTGCCATTTTACGTGGTCATCCGAGCCACGCGAAGGTCTAGCCGTTTAAAGGACAAAGGAAGTACCTTCATTTCTCAGTTATTTTAAGACCCTGAGTATTGGTCTGGCCCCGGGAATCGAACCCGCGACCTCCCGCTCTGCAGTCAAGCGCTTTACCGACTGAGCTAAACCTGCCGCGGACACCCCGTGCGTATTGTAGCTTTAACTGGGCTAGGTGGAGCGGGCATTTACTCTTCATCAAGTGGTGCCTTAAGTACTGTGGGGCTTTGTAAAAAGATATCTCAACGTGTACGGTGTCAATCTGACACTGACAAGTTTTTTGCGGTCCCAGAATATTTCCATGGATATATCCTTATAAGGAAACAAATTTTGATCAGAAGAGTCATTCCATTCTTGTCATTCTCAAGGGTTAAAAAGGTAGAGTCATTGGTGTTTCTAGAGTTTGGCTTTCACGCTCACCAGAAACGGTTAAACGGTGGTTTCATTTTGAGCGCGTACGATGGTCTGGAAGTGTCCGAAACCAAGAACAAAATGATTGGAAGAATCGGCGGTGTGGCTTTAATGAAGTTGGTGCAGCTGTTTTGTCTCTTCGTTTACATACGAAGCGCCAGCACAGTCGCCCCAGCCAAGGTAGGGAGTAAAATACGATAAATTATTGCATTTGAAATGTGATTACTTTCAAGGCTTGGACGATTTCCTCAAGGTTTATTACACCTAGCTTAAACTTAGTCTTCCCAAACGAGGAAGATTTATTTGTTTCCTCCGCGCGTGGATTTTACATACCACAGTGGTCTTAGTGGAGTCACCACAGCCGTTCCGCAGTTTCTCGTTCTTACAGTCGAACCTGTCTAATACAGACACCGAAGGGACAGAGCGAAGTGTCCGTATTAGAGAAGTGTCCGTATAAAAGAGGTCACTATGATGACGTCTCTTTTATTACTCCACTTACAGTTTTAAGTGTTTAGTAGCTAAAACCAGGCTTACACTCGTCTTTAAACTGCATTTAAGTTATTAATTCACAGTACAAAGACACTTTCTTTCAGTAGCATACAACATTAATATCAGCTACATACGTGCAGCCGGAAGCAAATCACTATTTTAAGACGAAACGAGCTACAGCGCAATGTTGCATGTAAAAAGTTGCACAATTCTGAAAGCGTCTCTCGCGCGCTATTTTGCAAGTGCAGTAAACAGTAACTACAGTACAAAATGTAATAGAAAAGATCTTTATGCTATCTGTAGTTGTACACCTTTTGAAAATTAATTGACGTTTGGTATACAGCGACTGGGCTTTTGAAGTCACCTTGCATAACTCATTAGCCAGACGGGATTCACCTCAGTCGGGATTCGGGATTCACCTGATCACCGCACCGTCCGTAACAAAGAGGTTAAGTTCATACGAATTTACTCTCTGGGGCCGAGATTAAGTGTCCGTTGTCCGTATTAGAGAGTGTCCATATTATAGAGTTTTTTTTTAAGAAAGTAAATGAGAATTTTGTCGGGACATTGGAAACTGTCCCTAATAAAGAGGTGTCTGTACCGAGAGGTTCAACTGTATTTGTTTATTTATTATTTATAGATATTATTAATTTGTAGGCCCTTATATTTTTTGCACTGAACTGACCTCAGTATGTGCTCGCAAGGCAGCTGGTATTCTGGGACGAAATGGGCATAATGGATTACCCAGCCTGCCGGATTGTCGAGGCGGTGCTAAGGGTGAAAAAGAAGTGACAGGTCCACCTGGACCAAGTGGTATAAAAGGACAAGCGGGAAAGTTCGCTTCTGAAGAAAGGAAGTGGAAGCAGTGTGCGTGGAAAAGGCTAACGGCCGTGATGTTGGCCTCATTCGCGTGAGGTGAGCGGGATACAATTCTTTATTCAGAGTCGGTTGTACTGGACCTCGATTATAGAAATTCAAAAACGCTTCTCAAATCACAGGGCGCCCACACAATCTGTTTGTGTAGCCGATTGTTATTTTATAGTAAATGTACTGAATTTACCGTTTGCTTCACCTATAGCGATATATCGCTAACTATGTATATAAATCAATGATAAATAAACGTTGAATTACCTTACCTGTGGTGTATAGTCGTCCTTTTGCCTCAAAAGCGGTTTTTTGAGCGATTTTGAATGAATTTGAGTTCGCCGTTGACTGTTCCATATAATAGAAGGAACAGTTAGCCTCCGTCCATCAAGCGTTTTTTTTTTAAATTTGAATTATTTTAATTTCCTCAAAGGTTGTTTCTGACGAGTTTTTTCGTAGGACTCTCAAGACTTCTCCTTTGACAAATCCTTTTTTAACATTTGAAGGGTGACACGGGGTGAAATGAGTGTGCAAGAAGGTTTCCGTTTTTTTAAAATGTGTCTTTACATCAAGGATAGAGTTTTCCTTGAATATTGTGCCTTTGTATACAACCGTGTCTAAAAACGCAGCCTCAGTGTCAAATGTTTCGGCCGTGAATTCAATAGTTGGGTGATGTAAGTTTGCTTGTTCAATGAAGGCTTCGATGTCTGGTTTACTCATGTCCCACAGGGAAAAGATATCGTGTATGTAGCATTTCCAAACTGTTCATTGTTCTAAAGACAGTTTTGCTTAGAGTTGTTGTTTCAATATATGTCATGAAAATATTGGCAAAGGAATCAAAACTGCTGTCTTTGTGCCCATTGCAGTTCCATGGTTTTGTAGGTAGTGCTTTCCATTGAAGTGAAAGAAATTTTCTTTGAGGATTAATCTAAGCATTTCCGGCATGTAACGTGTAGGAATGAGTTGTCTTTGTATAAATTTTCTTATGCTTTGTGACAGACAATTTCAATATACCCTCGTTTTTCCAGTGTATATTTGTGTCAAGACTCATAAAGTCCATCGAAACAAGAAATGTTCGGTTTTTCACATTTGTCTTTTCAGTGAAAGGTATGATTTCTGTGATTTTCATACTGGTTGTAGCAGTGTATCAACAAATTTTGTCAAGCACAGGACAATTTTTTATTGGATTATAAAGAGGAAACCAAACATCCGTGTTTTAACTAGGGGGTGGGTCATGCAATTTCCAACCTTGCTTTAGGGGTGGGTCAGTCATTTTTTTGCCGAGGGGAGGGGGTGGGTCATGTGTTTTTTATCAACCACATTTCCAAATGCACCAGCCCCCCCCCCCCCATATACTTTTTGACCAGTCCCTAATCAGTTATTTTAGATTAGATAACCATATATACTTTTTTAACACACCCTCATATGTCGAGTGCCGCGCAATATCTAGGCTATGTCTTGCTTTCGTTTGGTCTTACAAATTATTTATTTCACAGAATCCCAGTTTGTGCGCCCAAGGAGTAACTGGACTTCCCGGACGAAATGGTGTGAATGGACATAATGGGTTACCAGGCCGTGACGGTCGAGATGGTGTAAAGGGTGAGAAGGGTGTGGCAGGGCCACCTGGGCCTCGTGGTTTTAAAGGAGAAGCGGGTGAGAAGGGTGTGGCAGGACCACCAGGACCACGTGGTATTAAAGGAAAAGAGGGACCAGTCGGAAGGGTCACTGCTGAACAAAGAAACTGGAAACAGTGCGCGTGGCAAAAGAGAGACTACCGTAATATTGGCCTTATTAAGGTAAGTGCATGGGAGAAAAATTTTTAGAAACGGTGTTACTGGGCAATTAAAATTGAGGCGAGGGAGTCTCATTTGATAGATAAGACCATGACTCTTCAACCTAAGGGCCATTAAGAAGCGCTTCTCAAATGATCCAGTCGGTTATTCTTGTCTCTGTGTTTGACTGTTTTTCAACTAACCTTAACGCGAAAATAAGGGGAAATTCAAAATTTACCCTTCATAACTTCGAACGCAACGTAATTCCGGTTGTTCATTCAATCACTAGTTGTGGGCATCAGATACCTAAAAGGAACTTATCTGATAGAAAATCCCTCTTTTAAACCATGAACTTTGCGATACGGAGCACACAGCTGACCGTCAGTTGTCCTAGGTAGTCTAGGTAGCGTGAACAAAATGTTTAGTGGGGAAATAGTTGCTCCTTCTGGTGAGACTAGTTAACCCCACCTCGAGAACTCTGGGATCAGGAATTGTTTGCAGGGAGTGCGGAAGGAAGAAAGGAAGAAAGACCGCCTGATCGCAGGTTACATCTCAGGTTGCCTCGTCTTGCCTTCTCCACCCGCCCCCTCCCTCAAGCTCCCCGACCCTTTCTCCCACTAGGCAAGATTGCGACTGTCATGTAAACTGCAGTCGGCTGAATTTTTTAACGATGAAGTGAATTCAGTTGGATGGCCGAGAGTCAATCTGAGGTAGGGGTTGCACGGGTTTCCGAGATCATATAAATGTGGCCTTAGAAGCGTCTTAGAACACCGCAGTGTTAATAAGGTGAGGAAGGAATCGTAGAGCAGACGACTCAACAGGATTCTTCTGTCACTTACTTTCAGGGTAATTTTTATAGGCTGTTATGTGTGCCAAAATAAATATACGCATCGCTCTTTGCGTTATATCGGTATGCAGTAATGATAAACTACCATGACCTGAAGTCATTTGGCTAGCCGAGAGTTCGGTAGGGCCGTCTCGGATACCCGACCGATATAATTGTGCCATTAGAAAATTTAGAAATGATGTGGTGAATGAGCTAAAGAAAAAAATCGTAGGCCAGAGGAATTAAGGCAATCATCAGTCATTTACTTTAAGTGAAATTTTATTGGGAGGTTATATTTGTGCCAAAATAAAAATACGAATCGCTCTTTGCGTTATATCGGTAGCTCTAAGACCTTAATTAACTCTCTTAACATAGTCACAAAATTGCAACAGAACAGACGTTACGATTTGAATAATAACATGAATCATATTTGACGGTGTTCTGTGTCGCAGTGGTCGCTAACAATATTTAATGCTGTGTTTTCAGGATTGCCAGTTTACTAAAATTAAAGACAATACAACTCTTCATGTTGTATTCCAAGGAAATCTCTTTCTGGGAAATTGCGGTAACTGCTGCAAGCGATGGTTCATCACTTTCAACGGCGCCGAGTGTAGCGGTCCTCTGCCTATTGACGCAGCTCTGTGGATCCCCAGTAGTATCTCGAATGACTCCAGACATGGAGCAATAGAGGGCTACTGTGACAACATCAGAAAAGGGAATATCCGCGTTGGCATCAACATTGGAAACTGTCCCGGTTATGGAAACTCTGATGGTGACACAGGATATATGTCTGTGTCTCGTTTGATTATCGAAGAAGTTCCTAGGTCCCAGCAGTAACGAATCCATCGCATCTCAACAAAATTCTAAAATAGCTAAGTGCTTGTAGAGTCATGTTGGGCGTCGAAAATAGATAAAAAAAAATTCTAGGCATAAATTTAATATCAACGTGCAACTGATAGCCTCTGTTTAACTCTGTCATCAAAATATTGATCATTAAACTACATGCTCACTTTTTTTCTTTTTTTCTTTTTACTAAGTGAAGCAAGTCTTTGCAGCATACGATGTCTGTTTCGCAGCACGGTTCCCCCTCTGCCTGCTCACCTTGTAAATTCGGTCCCGGGCTTAACCATGTTAACCGAGATCTATATTTGAGTGTCCCGAATACGTCCTTTGGGACCTGAGATTTGCCGCCCTTTCAGCTTGCGCACCTTGAAAGTTCGGTCCTGGGCTAAACCGAGATCTATTTGAGGGTCTTCAATAGGTCTTTTCCGTTCTCTAAATAAACCTCTAAAGTCAGACTGCTGAAATTGGGGTTGAGTCTTGCTAGAGCGTCCGCCTTTCTGATTATTTTTCAACAAGCATTTGACACCTCGTTCGTATTGTAGCTTTAACTGGGCCTGGTAGAAGCATTTAAGTGATACCTTAAGTACTGCGGGGCTTTGTAAAAAGATACCTTAACGTGTACGGTCTCAGTCTGACCCAGACAGCTTTTTGCGATCCCAGTTAAGTTTCATGGACATTTCGTTATAAGAGAAATATTTTGCTATGACGGAGTCACTGCATTCTTGTCATTCTCGATGGGTTTAAACGGTAAGTCATAATTGATGTTTCTAGAGTTTGGCTTTCACGCTCAGCAGACACGGTTAAACGGCTATTTCATTTTGAGCGCTTACGTTGGTCTGTATGTGTCCGAAACAAAGCACGAATGTTTGGAACAATCGGCGGTGTGGCTTGAATGAAGTTGGTGCTGGTGTTTTCTCTCTTCGTTTACATACATCCGGAGCGCCAGCACAGTCCCCCCAGCCAAGGTAGGGAGTAAAATACGATAAATTATTACATTTGAAATGTGATTAAGACTTGGAGGATTTCCACAAGGTTTATTCATTAACGACTCACCGAGCTGAAACTGAATCTTCCCAAACCAGGAAGATTTATTTGTATATTCCGCGCGTGGATTTTACAAACCACAGTGGTCTTAGTGCTGTCATCGCAGCCGTTCCGCATCTTCCCTTTCTGATTTGTTTATTTATTTATTTATTTATTTATAGATATCATTAATTTGTAGGCTGTTTTGCTTGTGTTTAATCTAACCAAGTCACGCTGAGGAAAGGGTGTTTTGAGTACTCTAGACCATTTGAATGGGGCCTAATTAGGAGACTTAAAATGATGGGATGAATGAGGTAGGGAAAGAAATTTGCTACAGCTTGCAATCTAGCCTACGAACAGCAGACGCATTTCCGGTCGTCCCCTCTCTCGAGAAGCGAGACCGGAAATGCCTCTGCTGTTCGCAGGCTACTTGCAATCCTGCTATAAATGAAGGACTCAAAAGACCCTTCTTTTTCTTTTAGCGACATTTTTTATCCAGTTACATCTGTGTCTGTGAATATATAGACACAACGCGCCCCCGTGATATGGGTGATTGGTCTAGATTGTACTGTCCTCACTATCTTTCATCTCACTGACTAGAGCCTACAGTTAATTTTGGAAATCAGAGCAACCTTCAGTTTCAACATACAGATTAGTAATTTATATTTATCTGGTATCAGATAACTGACCAATCTCCTTTATAGAGGCCGCTATCCTTTTTGTCTTCGACGGGGATTCGGGTATGACAAAAGGGACCCCTGGGGATCGGACGAGGTTGATAACTGACTAAAACAGTCATTCGTCCACTTGTTTGTATTAGGGCTTTACTGGGCCAGGTTAAAGCCTTTGCACTTCACTAGGGGGCATAGCGAAAAAATAGCTCAATGCCTATGGCTTCAGCCTACCTTTGAAATGATTTTGCGGTCTCAAATTATTCTTATGAACATTTCCCTATAAGGAAAAATATTTTGCTTTGTAGAATCATTCCATTCTTGTCATTCTCAAGGGGATCAAAAAGGTAGAGTCATCGATGTTTCGAGAGTTGTTTGCCATTCACGATCATCAGACACGATTAAACGGTTGTTTCATCGAGCTCTTTCGTTGGTCTTCGTTTGCCTGAAACCAAGACCAAAATGTTTGGAACAACCGGCGGTGCGGCTGCAATGAAGTTGGTGTTGCTGTTTTCTCTCTTCTTTTACATCCGAAGCGTCAGCACAGTCGCCCAAGCCAAGGTAGGGTCAAAATACGATAAATTATTACATTTGCCTAATGATTAAGACAATCTTTGTGTCGTCTTGGGGAAAGACTTTCGATTACCAGCTATAAGATGGCTTTTATTTGTGTCATCACAGTGTTCTTTCTTATTCTCACAAACGCCACGACGCATCGCTGGCAACTGAAATTTCCTGACATAATTGTTACGAAATGCTTGATATGATAAGAGGGCAACCACTTGCACATTCTTGGGAGATTTCCACTTGATTTATTAATTAACGGGGAAGATTTACTTGTTTACTTAGGGCGTGGATTTTGCGTATGTGGTCTGAGTGGTGTCATCGTTGACCTTCAGTATCTTCTTATTTTTTTTTTGTTTTATTCATTTATTCTTTATTTTTATTTTTACCTAACTTAGGAAAAAGTGAGACTTTTTCCTTTTCAGATTGTGACTCTCTTTCCGCGTCCCAAAAAACCAGGTCAACCACTGACTTAAAGTTAAAATTTTCTAATTTGTTTTCTTCGTTATGGATGGATGCGACTTGTTTCCCCTAACTATTTTAATCTAAAAACAACTTTTGCGACACTTTTTTTGTTTTCACTGCTGGCTGGGTATTTTATATACATTCCTAAGGGATCCTAAGGGCCATCCTGGAAAAGAAAACCACATAAGACGCAAGGAACACCAAACTAGCGGAAGTTGCGTGATTTTTATTCAATACTTAACAATTAATGAATGAGGCTGAGTATCTTATGAAGAATTATGGAGATCGAAGAGGGTGTTATCCGTTGAGGCCGTAGGCCGAGGCGGATAACACCCTCCGAGATCTCCATAATTCTTCTTATTATATGGCTGAGTCTGTTTTCGCCATGCGATTGGTCAATTGGCGGTCAGTATATTTGCTATACGGACCAAAATTTTTAAAGAAAATGCTCATTTCGAAGCTCTAAATCTCTTTACCCCACAAAAAAGGTTTAAATAAAGTTATAAGACGCCTGTCGAACTTTAGGACTTGGATGTTGACTTTGGCCTTCAACATTTTAAACTGTGTTTATTTGTGAACGAAGGCGATGAAGAAACTAACTCGTAAACTTATCGAAGAGGATTCTAGTTAGTGTTTGAAAATTTTATCGCAGTACACAGTTAAGAAGACGAAAATCGACTGGCAGAGATTCGAGATGTTTTGCCTAAGAGAAAATGAGTAATTTCTTCGACAAATATGATAACAAACATACCTGCATCCGATTATCTTGACAAGCTTCTTTGCCATTTGCAGTGTTTTTTCAATGACCAACGAAAGAAAGATAGAGGCGAGTTCGAGCCGGACACAATGTTCAGCTTTCAAAAGACTCCAGCGTCACATTAACGAGTGAATACTTACAGTGCCCTTAGTTTTGACTGAATAAACTTTAAAATATGTCTGTAAATCCTGAGGACTGGGATGTTGACTTTGCCTTTCCAAATTTTAACCTAGCTTTGTTTTAATGAGAACGAAGCTGGTGTAGAAACTGAATCGTAATCTTACCGAGGAAGAGAATGCTAGTCAGTGTTTGAAAATTTTAACACAGATCACAACTGAAGACGAAAATGAACTGGCAGAAAGAGAGGTTGTCACAAAAAAACAATTAACTAGCGATTCCTTCAACAATGACATCAAACTTACCTTGAAAAGCTTCTTTGCCTTTTGCAGTTTTTTATTTTTTACAAGGATAAACAGGGGAAAGATGGAAACGACTTCTAGACAGACACAGTTTCCGGTTTCCAAAATACTCCAGCGTTAGATTAAAGAGCTAAAACTTACAGTACTCTTAGTTTTGACCGAATAAACTTTTTCAACATGGCGAATTTGTTTTTACTTTCTTGGAAAGCCTTTGTTATGTGCTATTGTTTTCGTGCGCCAATAAAAACTTTCTTTTTTGACACCTGTCAAATGACTGTCAAATCGTGCGTCCTGCACTTGTTTCTGAGTTTGACTAATAGTCGCGGGTCGCGGGTCGCGGGTCGCGGGTCGCGGGTCGCGGGTCGCGGGTCGCGGGTCCAAAGTCGCGGTCGCGGTCGCGGATCCAATGTCGTGGCAGGGGAAAATGATTTGGGGTTCGAGGTAACTGAGTGAAAACGAGTGATATGAAAAATATAAAGGGAAAAAATCTTTTTTATGCACGATACTCTACGGTAGCCAATTTACAGGTTACGGATGTTAGAGTCAACAAAATAATGTCTCAAGAAAAGACCTCAAAGAAAAAGCTGGCCGACTTTTGTGTTCACAGCAAGTTTATTTTGTTTTCTTTCTATCGGGCCCAGTTGTGAGTAAATTCAGCTTTGAATATACTTATGCATAACAGTATCTGAAAAAAAGTTACCATAGGGATGTATTCACTGAAAAATGTGCGGTACACTTCATAGACTACAAATTATAAACGTTACAACAACTTAAAACCTTTTTTAAAAAAGGCTAACTCGGGCTCGAAAAGCTACGAGTCCGTCGGTAGAGGAAACGAGAGGTCTTTAAAATTTAACAGTTTTTTTACAAAATAAAGAAAACGCTTGTTGAAAAACTTCCTAGACGCAAACTCCTAAAATAAACTCTTTGCGCAAGTAACTGGAAAGAGGAGGAGAGACGTTGGACTTGAACCTCGAACCCCAAATCATTTTCCCCTGCCGCGACATTGGACCCGCGACCGCGACATTGGACCCGTGACCGCGACTTTGGACCCGCGACTTTGGACCCGCGACCCGCGACCCGCGACCCGCGACC